ACTCCCATTGCTCTGTCCCAGCTCCTGCCAACCTAGCAGATCGAAAGCACGCCAGTGCAAGTAGATAAATAGGTACCACTCTGGCGGGAAGGTAAATGGCGTTTCCATGCGCTCTGGCACTCATCACAGTCCTCTGTGCACCAGAAGCGGTTTAGTCCTGCTGGCCACATGACCTGGAAAGCTGTCTGTGGACAAATGCCGGATCCCTTGGCCTGAAAGCGGGATGAGCGCTGCAACCCCAGAGTCGCCTTTGACTGGACTCAACCGTCCAGGGGTCCTTTGGTTTTACCTACCAGGAAGGACATGGTATGGGGCATTCATCGGAGGGTCTTGGCAGAGCAGCTTCCCCCAAGCCACCCAACCTGGGCAGCCCTGACTAACTTGGCAACCCAAGAGCGCCCGGTTGTTTCACGGCTTCCTCCTCACACCTTCCTGCTAACTTTAGCGTGCGAAGATGAGGAAATCATGTGAAGAGGACAAAAAAAAGGGGCCTGTGTCAGCCTGAAGCATTTCCCCTCCCCTGAGCGGATAACAGAGGCCACTTCCCTCTCCAACACCAGCCAGCTGAAAGGGTTTGGGTGCGTATGAAAGGGACCAAAGAATTCAGCGGACACAAGTTTGGGTAGAAGGATGGCGGGGAAATCACCCCACCAAACCTGACATTCTCTCAGCAAGCTAAAGACAGAACGTTCGCTTTCAGGCAGACGGTGAAGAGGAAGAACAGAAGAAATATAAAACAACGTGCTTGTTTTATATTTGAATGCGGTTTGGTTAGTTCTGTGCATAAGGTACATTTTGCACAGCTTATGTCAGCATTGGAGAAGCATGGCGGTAAATGTGCCAGAAACCAAGGCTGGGGTCAGGGACTCATCCAACTCTGGGCCCAGCCAGCCCCTGGGAGGACGTTTGTCTCTGGTCTACCAAAGAAAGAAAACAGTTGTGCTGTGGCAGAGACCTGGTCTCCCTCCCTCCCTCTCTCTCTCTCTCTCTCTCTCTCTCTCTCTCTCTCTCTGGCCTCACCAGGTCCCTGGAAGCGGCTGCAGTGACTGCTCTTCCACCCCAGACAACAGAAGAGCCCAGCAGCAGCGGGAGGATTTTAGCAGGTGCCGGAAAAAAGTACAGGGAGGGCGCCTGCCTGATGTCAATAGGCAGGGAGTTCCCCAGTGTAGGTGCTGCCACACTAAAAGACCAAACTCTTACAAATGCAGCTGAGTGGGAACATAGGGCGATAGGCGATCTTGTAGGGAAACTGGTCCCAAGTGACTAATGGTTAATTGGTTAATTGAAGCCTGTGCTGAACATTTTAATGGGGTTATTGTTTAATGTTTTTATTGCTGTAAACTGCTTTGGTTTTTTAAAAAATGATATAGCAGTATACAAGTATTTTAGTAAATAAATTACGGTGGAATAATCTCACAGGCCGGACGGTGTCTATGCTTTCCCTCCTTGGAAAGAGGGAGAGGTCTCACAGCCAAAGCAACCCTCCAGACTGCATCAGGGCCAACTGCAGCAGCCTCCGTACCCCTGGGGCCCTGAACTGGCAGCAAATTCAGCCTTCCCTGCGGCACAGTAGATCATCTCCCTCTCCCTCTCTCACGCACAGACACATACAGCACCCGGCCGGTGGGGGACAATCCATCACTGCAAGCAAGCGAGCTCCTTCTGGCAGTCCAGCAAACCAAGTCTGACAGGAAGCCCATGCACAGTAAATCAGGAGGAGAGAATTAAATGGCAGCCCAGAATCCAGAGGCTCCCTGGGCAGCCATTGCAGGGCTGCAAATGCACAGAGAGTGTGATTAAAGATGTTCTGCGCATCCTGCCAAGGGCCCAGGCAGCTGGGACTCGGATGCCAGCGCCAGCAGCTCCCACAACCCGGCCTTGACCACTGCCACCTCCTCCATGGGGGTGAAGCTCACACCTAGGAAAACCAGGCCTGTGCCAAACGCAGAGAGGAGAGGACCGAGCGGGTGGTGATCACAAAAGAAGCCCTTTCAGTCAAGGCTCCCTGAATGGGCAGTGGATCTTTGCAGGTGATGTTTCTCACCCCCAAGCCCAGATTTCAGAAAGGATCTTCAGGCAGGTTTGGATTCTGGACTCAAGTGCATCTTATTACCTTGAATCAAGGGCGGACCCAGGACTGGCAGACAAAGGGGGTTGGGGTGAGGTGGTCCGCCCCAGGTGCCATCTCTGAGGGGGTGTCAAAAAGGCACCCCACGGGCGGCTTGCCCCGTCGCCTCCGGGCGTGGCGGTGCGAACCGGTGCCATTGCACCGCCACCACAATCAGATAATCATGCCGCCCCCTCTGCAGCTATGCGCGGAGGATCCTGCTGCCACCGTGCGCGGATTGCCCCGCCCCCATGCAGCGGATCACCTTCCCCCCCAGGTGCACTGCATGGCTCCTGCTCCAGGTGCACTGCATGGCTCCTGCTAACTCTGCCACTGGGCCCCAGCCACCTCCAGCTGCTTTCCGAAGACAGAGCAAACCCTCCTCCACTTCTCCCGGCACGAGGGCACATGTGCCACCCACCTACATCCGCCTTGTGGGAAGAGAGGAGAGCAGATGGAGAAGGCAAGGCAACCCCTCCTGGGCCCAGACTCTAGTCCGGGGGGGGGGGCAGTCTGAACAAGGCGGGGGGGCTTTGAGAAACCAAACTGAAAATGGGATGCACTTCAGGTGAGGGAAATGCAAATGACCGTTTGCAGGGTGATGCCAATTTGCATGTGCGATAAAAATGCAAAAGGGGGTCCTAAACCGATTGGCAGTCAGACAAATACACTAGACAGGAAAGTCCTCCAAATGGAGATGGGGTGGAAATCTGAAGGCAGCCCTATTTAGGGAAGTTTAATGTTGGATGTATTATGGTATTTTAATATTTTGTTGGAAGCTGCCCGGAGTGCCCGGGGAAGCCCAGCCAGATTGGGGGAGTATAAATAATAAATTATTATTATTATTATTAATTATTATTATTAGGGCACCCCCCTCGCCTTTTCCACCACGCAGCTGGAGTTCAGTCTCATAGAGCTGGTCCTCCTCACCTCCTCATCTGTTGTTTCTGATGTCCTTTTTGCAACAAAACAGCTTTCCCAAAATGAAACTGGACACCCACCCATCGCAGGCCTCAGCCCAGGGATCAGCATCTGAGAGAAGCATCCAACCCTCTCTGTGCCAAGGGATGCACCAGTCATACAGCGGGGGGGGGGGGGGCTCCCTTGTGCCAGGACCGGGGAGACTGCAGAGCTCAGCATCTTCAGGGCAACCTGCTTCCCACTCAGAAACGGCCAAGCAATTCAACTAACTTTGTCACTAAAGCTGTTCCCTGCTGGCAGAAATATGAACCACAGATCCATTCCTTAATGTTGGCTTTTGATCTTACAGTGGCACCTCGGGTTACAGACACTTCAGGTTACAGACTCTGCTAACCCAGAAATAGTACCTCAGGTTAAGAACTTTGCTTCAGGATGAGAACAGAAATTGCGCGGCAGCAGCAGGAGGCCCCATTAGTTAAAGTGGTGCTTCAGGTTAAGAATAGTTTCAGGTTAAGAATGGACCTCCAGAACAAATTAAGTTCTTAACCCGAGGTACCACTGGTATCTTGGTTCTTCTGCTGTTTTATTCTTACGTTTGGTTCTTCTGCTGTTTTATTCTTACATTTGTATTATTGTAATTCAGTTGTGTTCTGCTTTGGAAATCAATACGACTGAACATCAGGCTAAAAATATAGCCTAAATAAATACAATTAATATATTAAACTGGGGGGGGGGGGATAATTGCCAAGCCAAGAGGACAGCCGAGAAGAAAACACGTGTGGCTCCGAGCCAGGCTGGCCACAATTGCTCAAGGCAGCCCACGCAAATCCTGGCTTTGCAGCGCAGGAACAGCCAGAAGCCAGGCCTTGAGAGGTAAAGAGGGGGAGGCTGAGGTGGTTTCCCCCCTCTAAGTTTTGAATTATTGAAGAACACTACAGAGAACTGAAGCCCAGTGGAGCAGCCGGCAAGAAGGCTGTGCCCCAGGATGCCCTCTCGCCCCGTTTCTTTTTCTGTCTTCCACAACATCTCCACCCGGAGAGGCGTGAAGAAGGGCGGACTCTTCTTTTTCACGGGCACACACACACACACACACACACACACACACACACCCTTGCACGAAGCAAAAGGAGGGTGCTGTCGAGTAGCTCCCATTCATTGCAAGGCGGCTGGCCTAGAAAAAAAAGGCCCTGGGGAGCCGGTCTGCTGTCGTCCCTGCCTTTGTCTGCCCCCCCCGCCCACTTTGCTATTCAAGTGATGGAGACAGAGAGAAATGTCCTTGCACTGGGGGAGAAATGGGCTTCTGTTGCACCAGCAAGACTGGGGCCATTTCAAACCCTTCTGTGTATTCTCAGCAGTGAGCAACTACTGTATTTTCCCATGTATTAGACGAGGTTTTTTGACTCAAAAATCATGTCAAAAAACTGGGGTCATTCTATACACAGATAGTGGGGGGGGGGGGAGCTGGTTAGCAGGCGCACAACTCCCCCCCAAGCCGTTGTGGGAGGTGTGTGTGCTCTAGGGAGCATGCGCGTAATTCCCCCTAAAAAAAGCTAAACAATTTTGAGCCTCATTTTCTCTAAATTCAGTCCCCCAAAATCGGGGTCATCTTATACCCGGAAAAATACGGTAATCAAAACCACAGAGATGCTAAAACAATTTAATCAATGCAAAAATCGCTAGAACACCAGGACTAGGATCCCATATTGAGTCCCTGCTCAGTATGTGTCTGGCTAAAAGGTACCTGACTGAGCTAGCCTTGATCCAATATTTTCATCACAGGGGTCTCCTCAAAGCACAGCTTCCTGCTGGGAGGGGCCACCCAGGGATGCTGGTTAGGACCCCCCCCAAGTCACCATCCTGTTTCCCCCAACTGTGTCATCCTGTCAGCCGCTGGGAGATGGAAAGCCCAGAGAAAACGGCAAGCACTCCGGCGCAGCGAAGCTCCTGCAATCAAATCATTACAAGACCAAGACCTCAGTCGGACCATTTATTTCGCAAAATGTAACAGAAACACGGAATTAAACGAAAGTGCCCAAGCTACTCAGTGTCATTCCTAGCAGTGCAACTCCCTCCAGTTCCCCACATGCTCTCAAGGGAAACCCTCCACAGGCAGCCTCAGTTTCCCCAGGAGCCGGCCAGCTCACTCTCGCAGGAAAAGGTCTGACCTACACTCTCGGCTGGTGAGGAGGGGCAGAGGACCCTGGAGAGAAGAGCAGGACGTGGACTCAGCAGCAACAGGCACCCTCTCCTCCTCCTCTGCTGGCTATAGGAAAGAGGAGGAGGAGGAGGAAGGAGGAAGGGGGATTCTGCCTATTTGGCCGGTCTCTCCAGGGTCCTTTTGCACCGCACACTTTGCACACACAACAACTTGGTCCTTGCAGGTGCCACAGCAAAGGCACACATGATCACGGTTCTTCTAGTCTCAGGGGATCAGGCTCACGGCTATGTCCACATTTTGCTCCTTCAGGAGGAGAAATCAACACAGTGCATGAAAATCTTGAGCAACCTCCCCACCTGCCAACGTGCTTCCCAGCAGTTAAGTGACTTCTCCAAACCTTCCCTTTCCTTCCACACCCGTCTCTCACTTCAGAGCCTTCTGTTCTGCAGTGCTTGGAAGCCTGCACGCCCAGAGTCTTCAAAGATTCACCGATATGAATGATTAGGAGAGAAACTAGGAAGGCGGCGGCTGTACCAAAGACAATTTGCACCAGAATTTGAAGTAATTATATAAACCTCGGGATATATACTGATTTTGATCACTGTACAAAGATCCTACGAGAACATGGAAGTTTCAAAGTTCATTGTGCTGAAGGCCTCTGGAAATTCTGGTGGACAAGTCCTGAAGATGTTTCTTGACCTGAGAAGACAAGAGACAGGTGCATGTCAGCGTAAAAGAATGGGTTGTTGGGAATCTGAATATGTGCAGCTTCGCACACAGAGTCAGTTAGGGTTTGGCAGACAGCCAAGGCAATGTGAAGGAGTAAGTCTGCCTGGTGATACAGAGGAATGGAGACACCTCCCTGATTGGTCAAGCTCTCTCACGGTGAATGATGATTTCTGGCCTACTAACTGGAATGTGAGAGTTTGGGAGTTCTGTGGTTCAGTGTCAGTGTAGGAGTTGTGAGTCGTGTAAGAGAGAGCTAGCAAAAGATCCGTGTTCTATTCCTGTAAATAGTCCACCGTATATAATAAACACCTAACTACAAGTTCCTGGTTCCTGCTTTGTCCATCCTGTCTGCAGCCACGTTGCCAATTGCTTCCGTGGATTCTGCATTTACTCTGCTAGGTCTGGCTAAGGTCCTGCAACTAGTCAGAAAGTTGCGAAACACCAATAGGCTTGCTGCTTGCTCCTGCTGCTTTGAATATGGCTGCCCTAAGGAATCCTGCCCAGACACATGCAAGCAGTGCGAGGCCAAAGCCATTCTGGAAGGGGGTCTGAGGCAGAGCAGAGAGGTGTCGAGGGGGGATTGGGGGAGCAGTTCTTAGGATCTTGGGGTGCTGGAAGGACACTGCCCTGGGACCAGCAGCGCCTGCGCATTTGTGGACAAGAAGATTGCTTAGGAAGGCACTCACACCCCATTCTGTCTCCAGCGCTGTCTCCCCTCAAACAAGGCAGGCTCAGATTTCCCGCCTCTCCGAGACCACAGAGCACCCCCAGATGAATGTGCAGGGGGGGTGAAGAACGGGGGGGTCCTGGACCCCCTCTCCCCTCCCAGAGGCTCCCCTGTGCACCTTGTAGCCCAGCTCCTTGGTCTTCTCCTCCAGCATGGCGGTCTTCTCCTTGTTGCGGCTGAGATGCTCCTCGTCTCCCATCCCTTCGATGTGCCTCATCTTCTGGTGCGAAATCTCCAGCTGCTTCTGGTAATGGTGGTGCTTCTCCACCTTCGCTTCAAAGTGTTTCAGCTCTTCCTAGAAAAGCAGGAGATATCGCTTCCTTTTATCTGTAGCTGAAAGAACTCAAAGGGGTTTATGATAAATACGCAGGGGGGCACAGCGGTGTCCCGTGCCCTCAAGGAGCTCCTCAGCACCCATGTCACAGCAGACTGCACCCTCAACCGCCCAGAGAAACAAGGAAGGACAGAGAGCGCAACCATGTCATGCGGAAATGTTGTGGGTGGCAGGAGAAGATATATTGTTTATTAATTTCCTTCCTAACTTGCTAGGGATGCAGGTGGCGCTGTGGGTTAAACCACAGAGCCTAGGACTTGCCGATCAGAAGGTCGGCGGTTCAAATCCCCGTGACAGGGTAAGCTCCCGTTGCTCGGTCCCAGCTCCTGCCAACCTAGCAGTTCGAAAGCACGTCAAAGTGCAAGTAGATAAATAGGTACCGCTCCGGCGGGAAGGTAAACGGCATTTCCGTGCACTGCTTAGTCCTGCTGGCCACATGACCCGGAAGCTGTACGGGGGCTCCCTCGGCCAGTAAAGCGAGATGAGCGCCACAACCCCAGAGTCGGCCACGACTGGACCTAATGGTCAGGGGTCCCTTTACCTTTAACTTGTGCTAGCAAGTTCCTTTATTTAGCCAAGTTACATTCCCCTTTTTACACGCACAGCAGATATCTGGTTGCAGGCTTGTGTGAGTCTCTCACTATTATACAATTCAGTCTGCCTCAGATTGAATTGTACGTTCCTGGTAAGATCCCTTGAATCCCTCTTAAAAGAATAGAAGCCACGATCTTAGTCAATAAAAGTCAATAAAAGACGTTTACTTACATCAGTTCACAATTGGATCCCTGAAGGCAGAGTTACTTACAAATATGTACATGTGGATCTACCCCATATGGGGGAATAATCCCAGTGCTTCTGCTAGCTGAGAGCTAACAGAGCAGTCCTAGCTAGAAGCTGGTCAAACAAAGAAGGAAGTCAAAAAGAGAGAGGTGTGCTGCGTGACTCATCCTTTTGTTACCTGGACAGGTGAGGTCACGCCCACCTTCTATCACATGCAAGAGGAAGGATGCTCCAGCCAGGAGGAAGAGGAAGTTTCGACTGGCTGGACCAAACATTCCCCTACATGTGTTCTCTAGCATTACAAGGAATGTTGACTGCCTCTCATGTCCCACAAGTCACAGCACTCCCCCCAAACACACACACATGATCCTTTGTACCCTCAGCCACCCAGAGAGAACCAAGGAAGGACAGAGAGCACCAGGACCGTCTTTTCCGCAAGGAACGCAAAGCATTTTTCAGACGGAGGCATTTGTTACAAATCAGTCTGGGGCCCCTTCCAAACGCAGCTCTTCCAGATCCCAGCCATCGTTCCCGATCAACGCAGAGCAAGGCACCCAACCGGAGCCCCTGCTCCCCCGAATGTTAAAGCAAGAAGGCATTTGTGTCTCGGCCAAGAGGATGATCAGAATCAGGCCAGAAAAGCCCCCAAACCAGAGAGGTTGACGCCAACATACCCGAAGCGATTCCAGCTCTTTCTCTGTGAAATTGGTGGATTTCGCCAGATCCCACAAGTCAATCACTCGGGGCTCCTCAAATTCTGGAGGGACAAAGGAGATTTCTGTGTGGAAACTCGAACAGCGGCAGCTGGATTGCAAAAAGGCTTCACTGCTATTTGTTCTGCACCCAGGAAATACTTGTGCACGAAAAGAGAAAGTATCTCTCCTCTATTAAACTCCAGCTGAGAAGCTCCTGGAGTTCTGGCCATCTTATTTCAATTGTTCAAAGAGTGAGAAAGGGAAAACCTCAGGAGAGTGGCTGGCTGCATCAGGATCAGGCCAAAGGGGGCCCACATGGTCCAGCATGCTGGCTCCTACAGTGGGCAACCAGGTGCCCCCAAAGAGATGCAGCCCCCAAGCAAGACAGCAGCCCCACAGCCCTGTAAGCCCCCATCCTGAGACTTCTGGCCACAGCATCCAGGCACATCGGATTCCCTACCCTGTTGCCTTGACAACCACCCTCCCTGCCTGCCCAAATGCCGCTCCCCACAGGCGCCCAAGCAGTTTCCCCCAACGATCACCTGGAATCACACAGGGCTGCCAAGGGGGGGGGGGTCCAAAGCAGATCTTTCTCCAATGCGAGAGGACAGTTGTGGAATTTGTGAAGGCAACGATGAGGGATTGGCCAAGACCAGGGGTAGGCAAACTATGGCCTGGGGGCCGGATCTGGCCCTATCGCCTTCTCAATCCGGCCCACGGACAGTCTGGGAATCGGCGTGTTTTTACATGAGTAGAATGTGTCCTTTTATTTAAAATGCATCTCTGAGTTATTTGTGGGGCATAGGAATTTGTTCTTTTTCTTCTTCTTCAAAATATAGTCCGCCCCCCACAAGGTCTGAGGGACAGTGGACTGGCCCCCTGCTGAAAAAGTTTGCTGACCCCTGGCCAAGACCCACCTGCGCCCCGGCCAGATAACCCGCAGGTGCAAGCGGGGGGGGAGGAGAGAGACCTACCGCTGGAGTGGTCATAGCCCTGGTGGGTGACCCTGCGCAGCCGCTCAAAGCCCTGGCTGATGCTGTGCAGCTTCTCCTTGAGCTCAGAGTGCTTCTGGTGGAGCAGGTCGTGCTTGCGGGGAACCTCCTCCTCTTCCAGGCCGGAGATCATGTTCTTGTGGGTGTCTGGGAGGGGGCCAAACGGAAAACACCATCAGCCGAGGAAGCCGCGGGTGGGAGAAGGCTCCCAAAGCAGGGAGGATTAAAATGAATGGGTGTTTTAAAAATAAATTTTTAAAAAATCTAATTCTTTGTATTTAAACCGGATTTTTAAAATAAAATGCTTTTGGAGGAAAAATATTTCTAAAAATTTTCTGTTTTAAGTTACATTATAGTCCAAAGGCTATTCATTAGGAAATAATGATTTAAGTTTTTCATGTGTGCTAAAATTCAGCCTAAGGTATGTGTGTGTTTTTAAAAAATTGTTTAACCGCATCAGTCAACAAACATGCATACATATGCTATAATGTTATCGTTTTAGTTAAATAAATTGTTTAAATTGTTATTAAGGAAATGATTATTTTTCTCCTTCCAATAAAGCACAGCAGAAAAGTTGTCCAAATATAAACACTTAACTTATTAAACCTCACAATAATTTCATAATTCTCTGCCTATGTATTTCAAATCATTAATTTTCGATGTAACTGTAAAAACTACTCTGAAAATTTATTATTCCAAAAATGAAACCTTCATCTGTTTGTAAATATGCAAGAATGAGTCTTTCTGTAAAAAAAATGATTTAAATCAAGTCTTACTGACTAGCGATTTAAATCATGATTTAAATCAATTTGATTTAAATCAAATCCACCCTGTCCCAAAGTGAGGGGTGGGAATACCTAAGGGGGTCAAGGGAGTGGCAGGAGGTGAAAGTCTCACACCAGTGTTTGATAAGATAAAGGATTAAGATCGGAACTATGATATTGGGAATAAACAAGAGAGAAAAAGCAGGAACAAGAACTAAAAAAATTTCTCTTGACCAGCCAGAACACGGGAAGTCTAATTAAAATATATAATTTGGAATGTGTAATTGGCTTTATTATTTGTATTATGATGTGGCAAGATATGATATTCTATCAATTGGAGTGGTATTAATGAAAAATGAATAAAAATTATTTACAAAAAGGGGGGTGGCAAGAGGGGTGCAAATACCTTCCGTCCGACTGACGGTCTCCAGCAAGATGTTGTAGTCCTGGACTTTCTCTTTGTGGTGCCTGAACTCCCTCCACAGCTTGTCCAGCTCTTCATCAGTGAACTTGCCTGAAGTTTTGGCCTTGAAGAGAGATCCAAGGAAGAACAGTAGCAGGAGGGTGTTATGGAAATTATGGGGGGGGCACATCTTTAAAATTGTTAGATGTTACAAATATTATGCCTGAATGTATCCTTTCAACTTGACAGCTCAGGGAAGTTACCTAGCTTTAACAATCATATAAAATCAGGTCCTTTGCCAGTTTCCTCCATTCCAAAGCTATTTCCCCCTTGAAAAAGGACTCCAGGAAGTGCCCAGAGGTGACAATTGCTGAGCTGATTGTTGGCCAAGGAAAGCCTAATCCCATCACCAAACTTGCCATGGGGTCCAGACATGCAAGGGAAGTTCTATTGTACTTTGAGTGGTGGGACTTCAGAGGTGTTTGCCTCTGCTAATCTTATCCCTGGGTCTTGCCTTGACATGTCTGCTTATGCTAATCTTGTACCAAGGACTTGTCTGGACATGTCTGCCAAGGTTAAACTAGTGTAACCCCTGCCTACCCCTCCCCTTTTGTGACATGTCAATGATGCTGTCCGAACTGTATTCTGGCATATGGTGGGAAGTTTTAAAAGTCCTCGTCTCCCCATCCTCGGGGTTCAAAATTCCTCTTTGAACCTGATGCGCAATAAACCTTGATCTACAGCTTTTTGCTCCGGTTGGTGGCTGGACTCCTCCTTTATTCCGCAGGGACCCACGGGCTCTGCCCGACCAGCTGGGGGACTGAGCAGCCTCACACCTAGCCAACTGGGCAGGGATGCAGCGTTTTATGGAATATCCTGTTTTGGAAGGTGTTGGACTGCAACGTGGGGCACACAAAATTTCTTTGAGTCCTGCTGCTTTGTCCTACAAATTTTCTCTCCCTGGAAATCCTGTTTTGAGGCACCTGATTCTGGGGCGAGGCCAGATGCCTTCAGTTCCCCAAGAACATAACTGATCAGTGAAGACGTGTGAAGTGGAACTGTCACCAGAAAATAGGGGGTGCCCCTTTAATGGACCCACTCCCCTTCTTAAAGGATTCAGCGTCTCCCAATGACACTATCCGTCAGAGATGTATTTCCCTTGCAAGACTTAGGCTATGAGGCATCTACAGGGCAGAATTAGGGGAGGGCAGAACGCTCCAAAAACTGATGGTTCCCCTTGATATCTATCTATCTATCTCTCTATCACTACAGCCAAGCTCTGGAATCAGATGTGAGTCTTTCTGGGGGGGAGGGGCCTCTGCATTTGCAGGGGGGAAATCTGCAGGTACAGCATTAGGGTTCAATCCCCCCCCCCAACTGCTGATCGCTTCTCCCTGTGCTGGCATTCCTATTAGACTAGCAAATCAGGGGCTAGATCCACGCACGTGCTGACATTGTGGACACAACAAGACCACCCCCCACTCAAAGACAGACCTTGTTCCAGAGCTTCTCCAGCCGGGGATCATCGAGCACATCGTTCTCCAGGCTGTCTTTGACGTAGTTTGTGTCTCCCAGCTGCGCGTCTTTCTTCCCATCCATTCCATACTTGGCCAGAATCACTGGAGGGGCAACAGAAGGGTTGCACAAATTTTAAGGAACACACACATAGCAAGAAACCCTCCCCCTAAAAAACCCCAAACCTGATCCTTCACCCTTCAACAATTTAAGAAATGTTTTCTGGGAAAATAGACACTTTATTTGAGTGTATTATTAGACAGTTCAGAGAGCAAAAGCAAGGCCATCTTTAGCCTCCAGCTGGACTGTGAGACCCACTTCCAAACAGACAGAAGGAAGTGAAGTTCTTGCTAAAACCATTCCTCCACAGCCAGCAGTCTTTATATTTGAAAGTCTGAAGCCCTGTTAATAAATAAACATCTTGTTAGGAATGGGACCCAATCTTATGTCAATAGATTCTGTACCTATGCAGCATTTCAATAGATGCTCTGGCAAGCCAGGAAAAACAAGGATCTGGTATTGTTCAAATCTCTGAGTGACAGACATGCAAATGTGTTGCAGAAACCTGAGCTCTGAGCTTGGCCTGAGTTACATGTGCAACCCATTTTTGTGGTGCATGGTGCTTTTGGCTGGTCTTTGGCTAAGGGGCTGGGCAATTTATAAAGCCTTTGAAAGTTGCTACACACCTTTGTTCTGGGTCCTCACCTCCTTGCAAGTTCTGGGGGGAGGGACTCTGTTGCAACAGGGAAATAAAGATCTGCCTTTCTTTCTTCCTTGCTCCTGCCTCCATTCATGCTTCTCTGACTGATAATGAACTTGGGGGTACCAGGTCTCTTGGTGGGAGTTGGATTTTAAAGGCCATCACCTTTTTTTTTGTATGTCAGAAGCAAGACCAAAAAATGCTGAGATGCCCTTATCTGCCAGGCCTGTTAGTTCACTTTGCCAGAGGTGGGCAAAGCCAAATTTAGTGGACCACTGGTCATTGTCCAGGGGGCAGTCCATTTCCCCCACAGGCATCTAATGTGCCATTATGGGAGACAGAATCCTGGATTAAAGGGACTTTGGTCTGACTCAGCAAAGCAACGCATGCCTGCCCAGGACCACGAGGGCCGTCTTAGGACCATATTTCCACCAAGCATCAATGGTTAGGACATCCTGAAGAGGTCTTCCTGCTTAGGAAAGGTCAAAACATCTTGAGGGACCAAGAGGGATGCTAGTGGCAGTTCTAGTGAAAAGTGCAATTTCTTGAAAGTGGAGGATATTTACACCCAGAACACTGCCCTGCTTCTCACCCAGGACTGCCCCAAATCCTGCTCTTGTATCTTCCATCTAGCGGTAGGTGGAGACACCAAAACAGGTCTCCCCAGGCAAATGGCCCCCCTAGCAGCCTGGGAAGCCAGTTTGTTGTGCCCAGAAGCAGCCAGCAAGACAGACAACGGGACATTTGCCTCCTCCTGGGAAAACCTAGCAGAAAGGAAGCTCAGGCAAGAGCTGAACTTGAAGCAGCTTGGAGTCAGCTCCACAAGAGCCACTGTTTGCAGCAGAGCTTTTCATGCTCAGGAATTTTTGCAGAACACGGAGCCAGTTAAATTGCAAAACACTTTGCAGGAAGTTCTGCAGTGACTCAGAGGGGAGCTTCCATGCAAAGAACCCAGATGAATGAAAGCTGCTCCCACAGCCTCTTAGATCTCTTGACACCAGATGCATCAGTGAGTTTGTAGCCAACAGTGTTCTCAGTTATCACTGCACCACAGCCTGTCTGAACGCATTAGACAGCTAAGGCATGCAGACTTCTAATGGGAAGGGTGGTTTTCCTATTTATTTGGGGTTTCTTTTAAAAAGCCTCAGTGACCCAAAGCCGGGTCTACAGAACGGAGCAGTTCTTTACCATTTAGGTTGCGCCTGAGCTTGGCTTCCTTCTCTCCATCTTCATCCAGCCCTTCGGCCTTCAGTTTCTTCCAGCTCAGCTCATCCTTCTCCTGAATTTTTAGATCGCTGTGTAGCTCTGCCAATTTAACAGCAGAGAGGTGGAGCTGCAAAAACAGAAGGCATTTGGGGAGGTGGGGGGAGAGGAGGGTCTGAATCAGTTGCACTGAGAATCAAATTCAAGTGGTGTGCAGGTTCCCTAGAGGGAAGATCTGCTCCATGAAGAGTCTCCTCCATTCTTTGGGTGGGAAAAAGCATGAACAAGAGTCCTTTCTGGGGGACCAGGGAGATGGAGGAAGGGGCCAGACTGCCTCGATGCTGCCTCCCTGCTTGCCCCCTCTCCCACTGACAAGCCCTCTGGCCAAAATCACCCCCCAACCGGACCTGCCCTAAATGGACGAGAAAGATGCAGGCTTTTAAAAAACAACGACGGAGGGACCCTGCTCATTACTCGCCTGTTCAGACTGGATTTTCGCCCCCCTTGTAATGCACCTCCGCGCCCCCAGGTAAAAGCCAGTCTCGGCCAGGCACCTTGGAGAGACCACCAGCCGGTGGGGCGGCTGAAGATTAACCCCTCCGGGCGCCGTCCAGGCGGGATCCGGCTAAAGATTAACCCAGCGATCCGCCATCGAGTGGGGCGCCAGCCCCGTCCGGCCTCGGCCGCCTGGATCCAGGAGACGTTGCTGGACCCCCCCTCCCCCAGCACCCTTCCCAGCAGGCGGGGGGCGACTCTTTCCCCGCCGGGGGTCTTCCCGAGCCGAGCCGCCAAGTGGCCCGAGGGAGGCCAGCAGGAGCCGCCCCTCCGAGGGGGCGGGACGGCTCGTTACGGGAAGGGAGGCTCCGACTCGACGTGAGGAGTAACTTGGAGGACGAAACTGGATTTCTTTTGCATTCCCGCGCCGCTTTCCGTTCCAATGAGCCCCAGAGCGGCTTACAAACCGCAAAGAACCCGAAAGGCACAAGCAACGCGCCCCCTCGACGGCGGGAAGGTGCCGGCCTCCCCTTCCTTGGAGTTTCCCAGGCGAGGTCGGAGCCCCGCATTATCGGGGGGGGGGGGTTCCTGGGGGGGGCTCCCTTCCGAGGGGGGATCCCGTGACGTCGGGGGGGGTTCCTGGGGGGGGCTCCCTTCCGAGGGGGGATCCCGTGACGTCGGGGGGGGGTTCCTGGGGGGGGCTCCCTTCCGAGGGGGGATCCCGTGACGTCGGAGGGGGGGTTTCCCGGCGGAGCTGGCCCAGCTGAGCTGCCCGCCTGGCGGGGGTTGGGCTGGATGACCCCGGGCTCCCTTTCCGACTCACCCGCTGCGCCTTCGCCCACACCTGGCTCAGCTTGACCAGGCGGAATTCCGCGGGGGGCGCCGCCGCCGCCGCCGCCTTGGCCTCCTCGTTGGCCTCCCGCGAGTACTTGCCTCCCGCCGCCGCCGCCGCCTGCACGGCCAGCGCCGCCAAGAGGAGCCGCGCCCGGAGCATCGCGGGGCCCGAAACGCGCCGAGCGGAGAGGCGAGCAGCGCTCCGGCCAGGAGAACTACGCCTCCCGGGATGCACCGCGCGGGCGTGACGCAAAAGACGCGCGCGCCTCTCCTCGCCCGTCCCGATTGGCCGGCCCAACAGCCGGACACGGGCGGCTTGCTGATTGGTTCAGAAGGGGAAAGGAGGGGAGGAAAGGACGTCCTCCTCCTGCCGTCACCCATAGAGATAGGAAAGGGTAGAGAGAGCTGCTGCTGCTGCTGCCGACGCCGCCTCCTGCGCGCAGCCTCAGCGTGGGGCGTCTTCCTCTCCCCACCCCCATTTTTTTAATTGATTTTCGACATTTATCCCAAAAATACCCCAACAAAACACTCAACAAAGAAAACCACATTCCACAATAATAAATACAAAGAAAAAATGTTTCTTCAATTACCTAATTCTCATTACATTGATAACTGACTTCCTCGAAGCCCCTCTAACTGAAGCTCATTATATCACCTATATAACAGTTCTCCAAATTCATATTTCTACTCATATTAACTCCTTTCATTTACTAACCTCTTCTTTATTAATATTTTAGTCCTTAATGTTTACTAGCATATATTCTTGTTCTACCCCATAGCCTATTTATTATTTCCAAGAATTTTCTCTTTATCTTTTATCACAATATTTAGCTAGATAGTCCTTAAATTTCATCCAATCCTTTTGTATCTCCCTCTCTTTCTGATCATGGATTCTTCCAGTCCGGTCAACCAACTCCAAAAAGTCCAGCATCTTCACCTGCCATTCTTCTATTCTTGGTCTTTCCTGCAGAGCATCTTCATTTTCTCTCTCCCAACGTGAACATTTGAGAGGGGAGTCTGCCTCACAAGCAGCCGGCGCTGCTGCACCTCTGCTTTCTTATCTCTGCGGCGTCCCTGTCGCTTTCCGATTGGGCGGGATCCCCGACAGGCGCCCCTCCCTCTCCTCTTCCGGATTGGTCTCTCGCAAGAGCCTCGCGGCAGCTATTGGCCAAAGACCCGTCCATCCGGGCCTCGACGGGAGCGGCAGCCCAGCCAGGGGCCTCTCTCTGCCTTCGGGAGCGAGTGGGCGGCGCCGCCTTTTCGTTGCCGGGGCAACCAGGTGCGCCGAGGGAGGAGCAAGCGCGGTCCCGCCCCCTGGAGCTAGACTGCCTCTGCAGCTGGAGGCTCGAAGGGAGCCGCAGAAGAGCGTGGCTGCGGGATCGGGGCCAAGCAGGGGAAGCCCCCAGGCGGGAGCCCAGGCCCAGAGACCCCTCCCCGCCCAGGCTCAGGGAAGTGTATCCCAGGCAGGAAGGGGTCCTCCTTGGGGCAACCTGGCCCTCCTTGGGGGTGTCCTGGTGCAATGGAAGAAGCAGGGCTGGATTGACCTTGTGAGAGGAATTTTGAGGTCTTAAGTATATATTAAATGTTCATAAAAGTACCAACCAAGCACATACACAGATCAGCACAGGAAGACCGACCTGAAACCATTTTTGATTCCCAAACTGTCCCAAACTGACCAAATGTTTTCTCTACATGGTCAAAGGAAAATGGAGAAGCCTCCCCATTGTCTTTTCCTTCACAAATCCTGTCTTAAGGGCACATTTAAGATATGAATCGGGTGTGAGCCTGTGACCTGGCTCAGGAACTAAGTATTTATCATTACAAAAGACTGGCCAGGCTCCCCAGGAAATCCAATCAAGTAACCTGCCAGACAGGAGATAAACAAGGACAGGAGAAAAACAAGACTCAAATTTCTGTTTTAGACTGCCTTTTCTGTGATGCATGTATGATGTTTCTGGGGGTGGTCTTGATCTAAAAAAAAAGGTAAAGGGACCCCCGACTATTAGGTCCAGTTGTGACTGACTCTGGGGTTGTGACACTCATCTTGCTTTATTGGCCGAGGGAGCCGGCGTACAGCTTCCGGGTCATGTGGCCAGCATGACTAAGCCGCTTCTGGCGAACCAGAGCAGCGCACAGAAATGCCATTTACCTTCCCGCCGGAGCAGTACCTATTGATCTACTTGCACTTTGACGTGCTTTCAAACTGATAGGTTGGCAGGAGCAGGGACCAAGCAACGGGAGCTCACCCCGTCATTGCGGGGATTCGAACCGCCAACCTTCTGATTGGCAAGCCCTAGGCTCTGTGGATTAACCCACAGCGCCACCCACGTCCCGATATAGCATATATTCGACCAAAAAACAGTGACAATTTGTTGTCGACAAAGGACAGCTGCACATAGAAAGGGCCCCATTACCTTCAGGAGCTGAGGGCCTCATCCAACCTCAGTCTGGCCCTGGTTAGAAGAGCCCTCTGGATCAAGGTAAAGGGGGCCCATCGGGTCCAGCACCTTGTTCTCACAGGGGCCAAGCAGATGCAGCCTTGGAAAATCCGGAGGCAGGATTCCAGCACAAGAACAGCCCCTTCCCTCCTGGGCTTTCCAGAAGAATTCTGGCATTCCCTCTTCTCCTCCAGGAATGTGTCCTATCCTCTTTTCAAACCATCCAATTTGCAGGAGGGAGTTCCATAGTTTGACTAGGCGCTGTGCAAAGACATATCCCTCCTCCCGGTGCACATGCGTGAGATTTGCTTTTTTTCTTTTGCTTAGGAAATGCAAGAGGAGCAGGACAGGCCCAGGCCAGCAGCATCGATAACCATCCCGGATCTGCCGCCCAGCCACACAAAGCATCCTTCCTATTTGCCCTCCCTCCGGCCAGCCGAAATGAAGGGCCTGCAGCTGGCGTTCTGGAGAGCCCCCTCTCGCCCTGCCTGTGGCACTCCAGTCCCCCTTTGGCCTTGGCTGGCGTAGGCAGACACTGGGTGGCGCTTGGCCTCGGCCCCTGCAGATCTCCTCCCTCTCGCAGCTGCCCTTTGGCCGGCCGGCCTGCATCCAACAGGCAAGAGCAAAGGCCAGCACTCCTGCCCAGCTGCCTCTCCTTGCCTCGAGCGGCAGGATGTGACCAGAGGCTGCCGGGACTGCCATGCCCCGCTCCCCATGGCCCCCAGGCGCCCCTGGGGCTCAAGGGGTCTGGCCTGCCTCTGTCTCCTGCTCTCCGCCATCCCGCTCTGGTGCCTCCTGCTCCTGGCCGATGGTGCGCAGAAGCTGCTGGGGGCCTCCAGCCCTTTCTTTGCTGCCTGGCAGGAGCCCCCGCAGAGGACCCACTCTGGAGCCGGAAACGCAGCCCGCCAGGGGGTGGACTTTGGGCCTCCGTTCTCAGAAGTTGGCTGGGAGCCGCACTGTGAGCCTGGACAGGTGCTCATAATCCTCGTGACGTCGGCCCCAGGAAATGCAGAATCCCGGCAGGTGATACGGAGGACCTGGGCTGCGCAAGAGAAGCCCCAGCCTTACCCGTGGCAGGTCGTGTTCCTTTTTTAAAAAAACATTTTTTATTAAGAATTTAAACAAAACATATTATCTTAAAACATATTACCCTTAATTTCCCCCATTTTTCCTCCTCCCTCCCATAAACAACCCCCCTCCCCCCTTGACTTCCCTCAGTTCCAATCTCTGGTTTCTCTATAAATTCTATTCTCTGCATGTTACAAAATTGTATAAATCCTTAATTTGTCTAACTGGTTATTATCAATAAAAGGTTTGTGAGTGTTTATTCAAAACCTGCCAAGGAGTCCAATTCACTTTGCTGCATCTTTAGATACTTTGTAAAGGGTTCCCATTCATCTTTAAAGTCACAGTTATCCTTGTCCCGTAGTTTATGTGTCAATTTGGCCAATTCTGCGTAGTCCATCAGTTTCTCTTGCCACGATTCTTTAGTCGGGATTTCCTCGTTCTTCCATCCTTGTGCTATTAAGACTCTCGCTGCCGTTGTCGCATACATGAAGATATTTTTCAACTTCTTTGGCAGGTCGTGTTCCTGGTAGGCCGGAGCGCAGGTGAGGAGGCCTCCCGGCAGATCCAGCAAGAGCAGGAGGACTTTGGGGATGTCCTGGTGGGGAATTACCTGGACACCTACCGCAACCTCACCTTGAAGGTCCTGCATGGCGTCCGGTGGGCCCTCGGCCGCTGCCGGCCCAGCTACCTCCTCAAGACAGACGACGACTGTTTTGTCAACACTGAGCGGCTGCCGGAGTTCCTGGCCAGGCAAAACACCCTCCGGAGCGGCCTCTACGCAGGCTCCGTCTTTGCCCGGGAGAAGCGGAAAGTCATCCGGCATCCCTCCAGCAAGTGGTACGTGCCAAGGGAAGCCTATCGCCTGGAAGAATACCCACCGTACGCCAGTGGCATCGGCTACGTCCTGTCCCTGGACGCAGCCGCGAGGGTCCTGCGGGTGGCAGAAAGCGTCCCCCCCATCCCGGTGGAAGACGCCTACGTGGGCATCTTGGCTCAGCGGGCCGGGCTGCGGCCTAAGTCCAGCGCCCGCTTTGCCAAGCAGAACGCCAGGTGGCGAGTGTGCAACTTCCGCTATCTGATGGTGGTCCACAGCCTCAGTGTGCCAGAGCAGGAGCTGGCCACGCGGAGAATGCAGGAAGCCCGGCACGCCTGCAGAGACAGGCCGGAGGTCACCAGGTGGTGAGCTGGAGAACGCAGCATTGGGGGGGGGGCGGCCTTGCCCTCCTCCTGCTCTGAGTGCGAATCACAGCAAGAGCCTAGCGCTGTCCTCCTCAGGCTCCTTCCCCAACAGGCTCCTTCCAGCTAGAGAAAGCAAGTCCTGCTGGCATTTTGGGGGGAAAGGTGGGATGTAAAGGAAACGAACAATATTCTGCAGGCCCAGCAGAGCCTGGATGTGCCAAGAGCCTCTTGGCAAAAAAGGGAGCCCCAGGAAGAAACGAGGCTCCACCTTCAAGGCTGCCAGGCACCCTTGGCCCATCTGGCCCAACACGGCCCACTCTGACTGGCAGCAGCTCTCCAACATCCCAGGCAGAGGGAGGGCTTTGTCACTGGGCTTGGACCTGGAGCGCCCCGTACCTGGAGGATGTGATCCAGCACTGGGTGCTTTCTTTGTGCCTGTTGCAGCAGCCGGGATGAGGACTGCGAAGCCTGCAGAAACTCTGCATCAGTTGGGCAAAACGCCCTCCCCTCACACATATAGTGGCACTTCAGGGAGCAGAGGGGGCAGCTGTTTTGCCAGGAGCCACTCAGGCACACACACACCTGACCTATTTCAGGACAGCTTACCTCCAGGCATGTGAGAGAGGGACTGCAAGGCACTGAACAGCTGCGATTCCTGCATTTTAGATGCGATTCCTGCATTTTAGCTGCAATTCCTGCATTTTAGCAGCAATTCTTGCATTGCAGAGGTCGAACTAAATGGGCCGTTGAGTCCTTCCCCAAACTACAATTTTGAGATTCTACAAACAGGCATTATTAACAACACATGCTAATCCTAACCCTAATCCTAATCAACAACTAATCCTAATATTACTCATTAGGATTATTAATTTCAACTAGAAACTCATCTCAACTCTTCCCGGTATTTTATAGCCCAGCTGTGGTTTCTGATCTGTAAAGAGGTGCTTTTCGGGTGGAAGGGGAGGAGGGGACACACACACACGCACACACACACACACCCCCGCCTGAAACAGTCAGCTCAGCTTGTTGGTGCTGCAAACTGGAAATGAATGGGGCAAGATATTCCCTCCCCACGCTGGGGGGCTGGGGGGCAAGCGCACACAGCCCTTGGCCCTTCAGTGCCACCAGAAAGACCCAGAGTCATGAGTCCTAATGGACGGAGGGTTTCTTCCCCCTTGGGGGATGCTATCTGCCTTTTATCTCCTTCAAGGCTTATAATTTTGCAGCAATCAGAAATGGTTCTGGTTCTCCTGTGGAATAAGCCTGTGTCACACCACTTCAGACTCTAGGCAAAAGCTTATAAAAGTGAAGTAAAAGCAATACAGTGGTACCTCGGGTTACAAACGCTTCGGGTTACATGTTTTCAGGTTGCGGACCATGGGAAACCCGGAAGTACCGGAAAGGGTTACTTCCGGGTTTTGCCACTCATGCATGCGCTGAAGCGCTAAATCACGTCACGTGCATGCGCAGACACGGTGCTGCAGGTTACGAACGCTGCGGGTTGCGGACGTGCCTCCCTCACGGATTACGTCCGCAACCCAAGGTTCCACTGTAAATAAATAAATCCCTGCACGTTGAAAGCTAGGATGTCAAGGAGAAGAGTAGACTAGCATGTCCCTCCCAAACATGCCAGGATATTCTCAGCCCTCCATTTCTGAACACCGCTCTGAGGTTTCTGCACAGGAAAGGGGCATAATACATTTCCTCATTTTCAAATTTTATTGAAAAAATAAAATTTTACAAAAGTCTGGAGGCTTTTCTGTAAGGATACAAACACTGACCTTGGAAAATGCCCCCCCCCCTCAGCACAGAGGGGCAAATGGAGTCCCTTGTGCTGCCCCTGCCCAACTCGGATGGAGTCTCAAAAACCTGGGAGAGGGAGGTGGCTCAGGGTGGGGCCGAGCCGTGAGGTCGGAAGCCGGCGGCAGGTAGCAGCCAAGCTTCTTCCTTGAGAAGGGGAGAGGCGGGTGGGGCCCCTGGGGAACAGGGCTGGGATGGGCCCCCGTGGAGAGGGGTGCGGATGCCGTACGGATCGGCCGAGTGCGCGTGGCTGTGGAGCAGCAACTCGTGCAGAGTCTCGCCCACCTGCACCAGGTTGTCCGAGATGACGTGCAGGTGGGAGACGGTGTCGCTGGCCAGGCTTTCCAGGAGGAGCTGCTGCTGCCGCGACGTGCGCAGGATCTGCACCAGGATCTGCTGCATGCTCTGCAGGAGATTGACGATGCCAGGCCCTGCGAGGGGAGAGAGGAGGCGGGAGCAAGGAGGGTCAGGGGGCCAGGGGGCCAGGGCAGAGACACCACCCAAGAGGGACCTCTCCAGAGAGAACGGACACCTTTTCTGTAGATTTCAGAAGCAGATTTGTAAGCCGGGGGGGGGGGGGTCCTATGCCATTTGTAAATGCACATCAGGGAAGGCGAGCAAATTGCTTTATATGAATGCATTCTCTTCTCGGAAGAAACAGAAAGAAGAGGTTCTGAGCTGAGCATCTGCAGACGTGAAAAGTAAATAAGGAACTGCAGCAGTTGTTTGTGGGGTCACTTGGGCCCCAGGCAGTTTGTGTACATGGCTTCTTCATTTTTCTCATTCCCACCAATAGGACCCCAAAATCTGTAAAAACAACAACATAAACTTTTCCCTAGATGGGCCTGAAATGCCACATGTCAAATCACACCTTGCCACAATCTTGGGATATTGGGAGAATGTGGAGTTGCAGAAGACGAACACAAAAGTGTTGTTCAGTGGTGTTGGGGTGCTTTCAACCCCACCTGTTTTTGGAGCACTCAATCCAAAGAAGTGACCCTCACCTTGACTGTCTGGCCCAGAGGGCTGCCCATCGTCCGCTGCCGCCTGTTCCTCTCTTGCAGTCTCAGGCGAGTCCTTCTCTGCAGTGCAGGCTGGCTGGTCCGGGCTCCCTGGCAAGGGCCTCAAGGAGCCCTCGCAGGCCAAGGGGGAATCTGCAAGATTCGGCAAAGGGCTCGTGATTCAACTCCTGCAGGCAACCCTTCTCTCCTTAAGAGCCGAAGAAGAGTCTGCTGGGTCAGGCCAGGGGCCCATCTAGTCCAGCAACCAGCTGCCCCACTGGGAAACCCAAAATCAGGACCCGAGCAAAAGAGCGAACCTCCCTGTGGTTTCCAGGAAATGGTACAGTGGTCCCTTGGTTCTCAAACAACTTGGAACCCAAACACTGCAAACCCAGAAGTAAGTGTTCCAGTTTGCAAACTTTTTTTGGAAGTTGAACGTGCTCCGTTTTGAGTGTTATGCTTCTGATTTGAGTGCCACACTTCCGTTTTGAGTGTTATGCTGAGGTCTGTCTGTTTTTGCTATTTATTTTGCATTTTTGTTTTTGTGGCTTTTTTTTTGTTTTTATGGCTGTGTGGAACCCAGTTCAGCTACCAATTGATTGATTGATTGATTTTGTGACTGCAGTTTGTTGCTTTCATTTTATGGATCAATGGTCTCGTGAGATAGTAAAATTCATGTTAAATTGCTGTTTTAGGGGTTGCTTTTAAAAGTTTGGAACGGATTGATCCATTTTGCATGACTTTCTATGGGAAAGCGAGCCTTGGTTTTGGAACGCTTTGGTTTTGGAATGGACTTCCGGGACAGATTCAGTTTGAGAACCAAGCGACCACTGTATTCAGAAGCATTGCAGCCTCTGACCATGGAGGCAGAGCAGAGCCAACACGGCTTAGTAGCCACTAATCTCCCTCTCCTCCTCCTCGAGTTTGTCTCATCGTCTTTTACAGCCATTCAGATTGGTGGCCGTCACTGCCTCTCCAACAGAGGAGCAGATTCTGCTGCCTTGGGAGAAGCCTTGGTGGGTTCTCCCCTCCCTGCTTTCAGCTACACACCTACCAGCAGCCTGACACGCAGAAGCTGAGCAAGTCAACCGTCTCCCACCGCACAGATCCTGGGTTTTGCTGCCTGCCATCTCTTGTGGCAAGGACAGAGACGGCTTGGCCTCTGGATCGCCCCCGTCCTCGTGGGGAGGCAGCTTCCCTAGATCTGGAAGGAAAATGGACTTGTAAGGCAAATCTCATGGGACAGCCATTGGCAACCTGGTGTCCTCCTATGTCCTCCCATTGGTTTGGACTACAACTCCCATCAGGCACAGCCTGCATGGCCATAGGATGCTGGCGGCAGCAGAGCTGTGCTGCCCAGAGCTGATGGGAGCTGAAGTCCAACACAATGGACTACAGGTAACCAGGTAACCAAGCAGGACAGCAGTTGACAAGCAGATGAGAGCAGCACAAATACAAGATGGGTGAGACCTGGCTTGAGAGCAGTACATGTGAAAAGGATCTAGGAGTCTTGGTTGACCACAAACTGGACATGAGCCAACAGTGTGACGTGGCAGCTAAAAAAGCCAATGCAATTCTGGGCTGCATCAATAGGAGTATAGCATCTAGATCAAGGGAAGTAATAGTGCCACTGTATTCTGCTCTGGTCAGACCTCACCTGGAGTACTGTGTCCAGTTCTGGGCACCACAGTTCAAGAAGGACACTGACCAACTGGAACGTGTCCAGAGGAGGGCAACCAAAATGGTCAAAGGCCTGGAAACGGTGCCTTATGAGGAACAGCTAAGGGAGCTGGGCATGTTTAGCCTGGAGAAGAGGAGGTTAAGGGGTGATAATAATAATAATAATAATAATAATAATAATAATAATAAAATTATTTATATCCCGCCCTCCCCAGCTGAAGCCGGGCTCAGGGCGGCTAACAACAATCAAATAATCAAACAATCAAATAATCCAGCATTCTAAGAACATTTCATTATAAAAATTAATTAAAATCAAATTAATGGCAACCGTTAAGCAAAGTTCTGTGCAGGTTGCCAGAGGAGGGAGTCAGGCTGGGCCCTGACCAAAGGCCTGGTGGAACAACTCTGTCTTGCAGGCCTTGCGGAAAGATGTCAGGTCCCGCAGGGCCCTAGTCTCTTGTGACAGAGCGTTCCACCAGATTGGAGCCGCAGCCGAGAAAGCCCTGGCTCTAGTTGAGGCCAGCCTAACCTCTCTGTGGCCTGGGACCTTCAGGATGTTTTTATTTGCAGACCATAGGTTCCTCTGTGGGGCATACCAGGAGAGGCAGTCCCGTAGGTACGAGGGTCCAAGGCCGTATAGGACTTTAAAGGTTAAAACCAGCACCTTAAACCTGATCCTGTACTCCACCGGGAGCCAGTGCAGCTGGTATAGTACCGGATGAATGTGATCTCGCAGAGAGGACCCCATAAGGAGCCTCGCCGCGGCATTGAATGCACCCGCTGGAGTTTCTGGGTCAGTCTCAAGGGCAGCCCCATGTAGAGCGAGTTACAATAATCCAGTCTGGAGGTGACCGTCGCGTGGATCACAGTGGCTAGGTCAGGGCGAGAGAGGTAAGGAGCCAACTGCTTAGCTTGGCGGAGATGAAAAAATGCCGCCTTTGTTATAGCTGTAATCTGCGCCTCCATAGAGAGGGGAGGTATCGAAGATTACACCCAAACTCTTAACGGACGGTGCTGGCACTAATTGCACCCCCGCAAGAGATGGGAGTTGCCCCCCCAATCCCATATCGTCCCGTCCCAGCCAGAGGACCTCTGTCTTCGAAGGATTTAACTTCAACCGGCTTCCACGTAACCATCCAGCCACAGCTTCCAAACATCTGGTCAGTGTGGGACTTCCGGGTTGGCGCCTCCAGGCAATGGCGGAGTTCCTCCGATCGGGAGGAATTTGCTCCGTGAAAAACAGGGTCTGACCGCCACGGTGAAGGTGGAGACCCATTGAAATCACAAGCGGGAGAAGCTTGTGAACCTGGGATTTGGCTGGCACCTTTTGCGCCTCCCCTACTCGCGGGGAAACCCTGTTTTGGGGATCTGGAGCGACGTGGGGTGAGCGGCGCGGTGCTTTGAATCGACTGCTTCTTTCACGGAGTGAAGCCGCATCGCTGTTGCCGGAGAGCGCTGACTTTTTCCTGTGGACAATTGGATTTTAAACAACTACTTGTGAGTAAAACGGAAAATTGGATTTTTAAATTCTTTAATTCGGCACTGAAGCGGGAAGGTCATAAACAGGAAGTCCGCCTCCCGTTTTTGTAAATAGACTGAAGCAAAGACGTTACAAGTTAAAGCCTTTGAAAGCTTTTGGTAAAGGATTAAATTTCCATCGATTTAAAATACAAAACCCCCCTTGGAAGCAGGAGAAGAGGGGGGAAATTTGGATCTAGTGAGCCTGCAGGAGAGAGTGAAAAATCAAATTACCACTGCTCTGAACCTGGGAACGGGCTGCCAGATGACGTTTGGAGAGAGTGCATTTGACAGGACGGATTTGACAGCTAGCTAAATAAGAGTAAGATACTGTTTCCATTGTCCTCTTCTGCGTTTAAAAAAGAGGAAAAGTAACTGAAAATTTATCTTTAATGCTTGAGTTGTGCCTGAAGAACTGATACAAGTGGAGACTGTTTCCCTCTAGAGCGAGCTTTTGAAACGGTTACAGGAATGTAATTGGGGGATTTCCAGTTACAGACAAGGATTCTGAGAACCAGAGAGTGACCTTGGACTATTTAAAAATGTTGATAGGAAAGGCCATTGTGACTGTTTTATGTAAGATAAGCTGTTCGCTGGGACAGCTTCACAAGAAGATGGATGACATGACTTTTAAAGTTGATAATTTGGAACAGAAAGTGACCAATTTGAGTCAAAAAGCGAACACTAACACAGAAATAATTTGGGACTTGGTACAGGAATCCATTTTGTCAGGACAAATGGTGGAGGAGAAGGAGAATGCTGTTGTTGCTGAACATAAAACAATACAAGTGAGATCCGTGGCCTTACAGAAGCAAATTGAGGACTATAAGTTGAGGCCTTTTATGATTGAATCTAGGAAAAGTCAGACTCTGAGGAATGGATCCCGGCTTGGACTAAAGAAGGAAAGTTGGAAAGATCCCTCTATGCAGGGATTAACTGGCTTTTGGGACATGGACTTGGGCCTGGAGGAGACTGAAGTTTTGGGGGCCTTTGGACTTGGAGGAATCTTGAAATATGCCCTGAAATACTTTATGGACTGTAGCTTTAACTATGGAAATTTAGTTGATCTGTTCAGAAGGAAGAAAAGGATTGACAGGTTGGAGTTTCCCCGCGATTTGCTCTTTAGCATTAAAGAAAATGGGACCTGGAAAAGAGTTAAGAGCCTCGGACATAAGATCACCAGGTTGATGGACTTTATGGAGTTGACGGAAAGGACTGGCAGAATCCGAAACCAGGGAGAGGAGATGGTGGAAGAAGATTGGAAAATTTAAAGTTTATATATAGACTTATGGTAAAATCAATGAGTGATAGAAAAATGGTGGAGTGATTTTTTATGGGCTTAGCAGAAATGTTATAAGGAGTTAAGCATATATAAGTATTTTAGATTTAATGGAAAATAAGGTTAAAAAAAATGTTATTTACAATATGATAGAAAATGGAGAAAGATGGAAAGGATTTGCTGAAACAATTAATAGAAGTGGAACACAAAAAGGGAGGTGAGAGGAGGTCGAGGAAACAAGGGAATGAAAGATAGAGTATGGAAAAGAGATGATGTATGTTTTTAAATTGTTTTTGTTTTGTTTCATTTAGGGTTAAGGTTAGGGAATGGGGTTTGTTTAGTTTAATTTAATGTATTTAGTTTTGAGTTTAGGTTGTGTTTTGTATTCTCTATATATTGTATTGTATTTTTTTTTTGCTTTTTGCTTTCTTTCTTTGTCTTTTTTTCTGTCTTTTCTTTTTTTCTCTTCTCTTTTCGTAATTTATAAAAGTAATAAATATTATTTTAAAAAACAACAACAAACATCTGGTCAGTGTGTCTGGGGCCGAGTCAGGATGGCCATCCATCAACAGATAGAGTTGGGTGTCATCGGCATACTGATGGCCTCTTTGGAGGTCTTTAAGCAGAGGCTTGACAACTGTATGTCAGGGGTGCTCTGATGGTGTTTCCTGCTTGGCAGGGGGTTGGACTCGATGGCCCTTGTGGTCTCTTCCAACTCTATGATTCTATGATTCTAGCACATTTGATTAGGATGGGCACTCTGGGATTTTTAAAAAATGCATATTTCAATGAAGGAGGGGAGGAATGACAAGCAAACAAAAAAGGGCAAGGGAGAGGTAAAGAGGCAAAAGAACTTCAACAAGAGTGGTCTACAAGGCCAAGCAGGAGAAAAAGCCCCATGCCAAGCTGAGCAGAAGCAGGGCAGATCTGGGGGGCTGAGGGTGGGATAGCCCCTCCTCCTCCCGCAAAAGCAGCCCCTCACCCCCACTGATCTGGGGGTGGCAAGTGGTGCTTGGATGGAGGAAGAACCACAAGACAGAGATAGATGCAAGCAGAAGAAGAAGGCTGGAATGGATCTGCCTTGCTGCTGGGCGTTAGAGTCAATCATCCCACCACAGCTTCCAGAGAAAGAGGCAGGTCGCAGGTCCAGATCCATTCCAGCCTTTTTCTTCTGCTTGTGTCTCTCTCTCTGCCAGTTTCTCTCGATCTCCATTTTTTTAAAAAAGCATTAGGCCTGGGTACGCCCCACACACCCCATGTGCACCCCTGTGTTGCCAAGCCATTCCCCAGGACCCAGGCACTGGCATTCCCAATTACCTTAAGATGGGGCCAGTAAGTAGAGAAATTTTCAAGGCTTGAGGCTGGGGCCACCAAATCCAGGGCATTTCTGGTCTCTCTCTTTCTCTCTCTCTTTCTCTCTCTCTCTTTTTAAAATGAGACTCTCCCTCATTCTTGTGGGTAAAATGTTTGAACCTGTACAGGTAACAGCACCTGCTCAAACTAAGACGGTTTGTTCCTTCCTGTTCCTGACTGAAAAATACCCGGGGGGGGGGGCAAGAGTAGGGAGGCCTCTGCTGCTGCTCTCTTACCTCTCCTCTCCCATCACCTGCCTCTTTTTGCCAAAGTACCTGTTCACGTCCCCCAAATCCTGGGTGGTGCAGGGAGGACCAGGGCTCCCCTGAAGCCCACCCCAAAGCTGGCTAGGGAAGGGGGGCAGGGGGGAGAGGAGGCTCCCTTACCTGGCAGGCGCCTCTCTCCGAAGACAGGTCTCCCCGCGGCTTCCCAGATCCTCTTCATGGTCTTGTAGTGGGGGGGTGCCTGTGGGGCGGGTCGCCCCCCACCCTGCTGCCTCCGGGTCTCCCACTCGGAGTAGAAGGCCTGCTTAAGGGCCTTCCACTTGGAGCGGCACTGGGCCACGTTGCGGCTGTAGCCGGCCAAGGCCAGCCGGCGGGAGATGTCTCGCCAGAGGGCCTCGTTGGGGCGCGAGGTGGAGGCCATCAGCAGCGTCACCTGCCGGCAGCCTCCGATGAACGCCAGGAGGCAGGCGATCTCCTGCTGGGTCCAGGCACGGCCCCTGGGCATCATTCAGGGCGGCTCCGTGGGCTGGGCACCTGCAGGGAAGACGGAAGGAAGGGGCTCGCAGGACCAGGGCGGGCACCAGGAAGGAGCCAGATGGGCCCAGGGTCAGCAGGAAACCAGGGAGCTCTGCTGGGGGGGGGGGAGTTGCACCAGACTCCCCTTTGCTGCCACCATCAGGCTCCCCCATGCAGGCAATGATGAGACCCCTGCAAGACCCCCTCCTTGGGCCTCAGATTCCCCTTGACCCCAGACAGCTCCCTCCTCTGGCAGCCTGCCTGCCTCCCTCTTCAGCATCCCTGAATGTGGTCCCTGGACTCCCCCCACCTCACCATTCCCAGTTTCCCAGCAGCAGGTCCTGCTCACTTGCCTCCCACTGGGGCGACAATACTGAGGCAGTGGACCAGCTGAGCCTCTGACTGGCCCTATGGCCATTTCCCGCGTGGGGCCCCAGCTCAGTGGGTCTCTGCTGGCATCTCCAGGTGGGCTGGGAAGGTGCCCTGCCTGGAACCTGGGAGAGAGCCTCTGCCAGCCAGTGTCAACAATGCTCAGCTGCATGGCCCAGCGCTCTGACGCAGCACAAGGCCAGCCCGGTATGCCCCTCCGTCTGGAGGGAAGGGCACCTGTCTGGCATGCAGAAGGACGAGTTCCGAGCTGAGGAATAAGCCCTGCCTAGCTGCATGGGGGAAGCGCAGTTCACGGAGAGCGGCGCCTGCAGTTGCGGAGGAGATTTTCCCCTGCCACTCTATCTGGGCTAGGCTTGGCGAGCGGCAACGTGGGGGCCACCTTTTCTGGCCACCCGGCCCCCGGCCAGGCCTCCTTGCGCCACTTCTTGGCCCCCGAAGGGACTGAAGGCCCGAGGCCGCTTCCGGCAGCCCTTTGTTTTTCCAGAGCGCGCAGCAGCTGGCGGGCGGCCCTCTGCACACGCTCAGAGGCCCTCTCTTCTGCCGCGAGCGTGGCGCCGGGGCAGGACCGCGACTCCCGGGCTCCGCCCGCCCGCCCGCCCGCCCATCCTCCTTCCCTGTCGGGGCTGCAGCTGAGCTGCCCGGCCAAGCGCAAGGCGCGCGCCCGGCGGGGAAGGGAGCGCGAGCGTGACACCCGCCCGCCCGCCTCTCCCGGCTCCGGCGCGCCTTACCTGCCGCTGCGCTCGGGGTCCGGCTGGCCAGCGGCGGCTCTGCGGATGCCCGGCCGCGCCCGGTCCCTCGCTCGCCTGCCCGCCGGCAGCTGCCCCCGCCCGCGGCGACGAGGCTCGGGGCTCCGCATGGCCGGGCCGGGCGAGGCTGCGCAGGACCAGGGCGCGCGCGGAGGCGGCGATGGCAGCAGCAGCAGCAGCAACGACGACCCCGCCCGGTCTGTCCGGGGGCTGCACCCGCCGCGCCTCTGCCAGCAAGCAAGCGCGACGGGACCCTTTGCCGGGGGAACCCCTTCGGGGTGCAGCCGGGGGACCCCCCTCCAGGGTCCCGGAAGCCTCCCTCCTCTCCCAGCTGCGCAACGCGCCCGTCCTGGCTGGACCCCAATCCGGAGTGAACAAGCCCTTCTCCTCCCGTGCCAACCTACCTGGACCCCGAGGCCGCCCCCGGAGGCAGCCCTGCCTGCGCCCCCTCCCAAGGAAGCTCGGAGAGGGTCCTTCTCCTCCGCGCAGCGCAGCCTTAAACGGCGGAACTCGCCCCCTCGGGAGGCAGCGATGGCCGCCCACCTGGACCGGGGCATCCCTGGAGGAGGCGGCCGGCTTGGGCTGCAGCCACAATGGCCGGGCTCGGCCGGGCGGGCCAGAGGCAGCCGCGCGTCTGAAGGGCAGTGGCTGGAAAGCAGAGGGGAGGGGCTCTTGCTCTGGGGCGCTGCCTGGGGGCTTCCCTTGGGGGCATCTGGCTGGCCACTGGGAGGACAGGACAGGAGGCTGGACTAGAGGGCCCCTGGCCTGATCCAGCTGCAGACTCCTTCTCAGGGTGGCAAGAAGGGAGAGGGCCTTTGCAGCTGCTTGCTCCCTGCAGCTGACCTGGCACCTGCTCCGACAAGGCTCCAGGGTGGGTTGAACCAAAGGCAGACTGCAAACACCATCTTGGTGGTCAAGATAGCCCACAATTAACTGGTAGTGGTTGCAGCAATGACCTCATATGTATTTATATTTATTTGCTTTGATATTCTTTGTTTTTAAGATTCTGTGGGGAGCCGCCCAGAGTGGCTGGGGAAATCCAGCCAGATGGATGGGGGTATAAATAATAAATATTATTATTATTATTAGCTGGCTTTGCCTTATCTCTCAGCTTGGGGTGCTGGGCTCTGAGTCCAGAAAGAGGAGCTACCTGTAGGATTGGGGTATTTGGCACCTATGCCCTCATCTGGTCAGGTGAAGCGAGGGGAAGTCCTGGCCAAAGTGATGTCTGCTGCTTTATGTCTAATGAATGCCTGAACATTGACTTGGACAAGCCGCCTCCTGGCTTCTGTGTCTGTCCTGCGTCTGTAAAGCCTGGGAGGCCCGGCTGATTTGCTGCAGGTCTGCACCTATCTTGAACAAAGCACTAGAACTGATCACTCCAATGTTTCCACATCCTTTTTTGGTATCCCTGCACCCAGCCACTCCCATGAGTCCTCCTTTGGGTCTGCGGTTCAGAACGCCGGGACTGGCGAAACCCCTTTGGAATGTTGTTGCTTCTGTTCTTGGGCCTGGAGTCAGTGTGGGGGTTCTTTAGCAGGGACCCTGTCATGGTCACCACATTTGGGGGTTTGTTTTCAGCTGAACCCCATCCCAAAGCAGAAGCTGTGCGTTAAGTGGCGCACGCATGTGGAATGCATCAGAGACACAGGCCTCCTCAGTCCCCAGAACCATATCCGGTGCCAGCACACGCCTTCATTCCAGCTAAATAGTGACACGCTCCTTGCACTGCAATGCCCCACAGATGAATTGGCTCCCAGAGGCACCCACAGATCAGGTGTTCATCCACAGCACAATGCAGCAATGTAACAATTAGAGCTCTGCCCCCTCCCCAAATGGGAGGGGGTCCCGACTTACAATATCGCAGCTGGCACACTCAGTGAAAGTGCAGCTAGCAAAGCTTGCAGAGCAGAAAGCAGCCCTCCTTTCCGGAGGAAGAACCCTCAGGGCATGTGAAAAAGGAGCCCTCCAGCAAACTTCCTGTTTCAAAAGAGGCAAAGTTGGGGGCAGGCGGGGAAGGATCAGCGCTTATCCTAGGGTTACCAGATGTCCCTGGATTTGTGAATAAGTCCATGGACAAATTCCATCCCCGGAATATCCCTGGATTTCATCTAATGTCCCCAGGAAACGCATCAGCAGCCGTCTCAGCAGCCTGCAGCAGTTGGCTCTGGCTGGCTTCAGGAGCTGCTTGGAAGTCCCCATGTGATGGTGGTGCAGGGGCTCAAAGACGCAGCTGAGGCTGCCTCCACCTTCCCTGACCCCAGCAACTCAGCTGGGAAGGGAGGCTTCATGCTACCTATCGGAGCAGCCTCACAACTCTTACTTGCATGCAAGCAAGCAGGAGGGGGCAGGGATCTCTCAGTTAGGCAACAGGAAGCTTCCCTTCCCAGCTGAGGGATCCTTGCCCCCTCCTGCTTGCACGCAAGTAGGAATGGGATTGGGGCTGCTCCGATGGTTAGGGAGGCATCACGCTGCCCAAGCCTCGCCACCGCTGCCACTCTTGGCCCTCTTTCTCCGCCTTCCATGCCTGACCCACGGCACACCGCTTTCCCACCACTGAAGAACCCACAACTCAGGGGCTGCCCAGGCTCATGGAGAAAGGAGACAGAAGCCTCGGAGGAAGGGGAAACGTGGCGGTTGAGGTCAAGGCGGCGGCCGCCCCTCTGCTGCCATCATCACTGCAGCATCAACGTCCCAAACGTGTAGTATTTAATTACCGTATTTTTCGCTCTATAACACGCACCCAACCATAACACGCACGTAGTTTTTAGAGGAGGAAAACAAGAAAAAAAATATTCTAAACGAAAAAGTGGATATATGATTTTTGTGGTTCATGCTGTGGCCACAGACATGTGATCTGACAGTGAGTTTGGAGTAGCCCAATGCAAAAATCCTGAGGATCCATGTGGATCCATGCTTTGTAACCACGGAGGAGGGAAGGAGGGAGAACCATGGATCCTCTGCTCACGACTGCAGCAGATCCCCCTGCCACCCACAGGCATTCGCTCCATAACACGCACAGACATTTCCCCTTACTTTCTAGGAGGAAAAAAGTGAGTGTTATGGTGCAAAAAATACGGTAGTTAGTTAGTTAGTTAGTTAGTTAGTTAGTTAGTTAGTTAGTTAAAGTGTCCCCAGATTCATTGAAAAAAATCTGGTAACCTTAGCTTATCCGCCATGCAGTTTTTGCAATCAGGATCACTCCACCTTTTGGCATCCCACTATCTTCCCCTGCAGGTGGGGTTGGGGGATGTTTTGATCCTGGGGGTGGTGTCTGAAGGCAAAAGAGGCAACCACCTTTCTGAAACGAAGCGCTGGCTCTAGACTTGATGGACCTCCAATGAAGGTGAATGTTGGAAGGTTCAGGACAGACAAGAGAAAGACCGTCTTCACGCAGCGCAGTTAAAGTGTGGAACCCCCAGGAGGCAGAGATGGCTACCAAATTGGGCAGCTTTAGAAGAAGATGAGATGAATCCCTGGAGGGGGAGAGGGCTCTGTCCATGGATCCTGGCCACAGTGGTCACAGCTGGGGGCAGCAGCGCTTCCAAATCCCAGTTGCTGGAAGCCATAGGAAGGGGATATTCTCTTGTGCTCAAATCCTGCTTGTGGATTTCCCATAGGAGACATCTGGTTGGCCACGGGGGGGGGGGGGGCAGGATGCTGGCCAGGATGGGGCGTTGGCCTGATCCAGCTGCAGGCTCTTCTTATTTTCAGATTTGTTTCTGGCAGCACCTGCCTGGGAGCCACATCTGCATTGCCTTGGGCTCCAGGATGGGGGGGGGGCAGGAATGAGAGAAAGTGACAAGGGGAAGGAAAACAAACACTCGAGGGGGAGGTTAACAACATTTCCCTTCCCTAGTGCTTGCAGGGGACTATATGTCTGGGGGGGGGGGCAGCATCCATTCCATAAGTGGTCAAGCCTTATTGGGGGATGGACTGCAGGCAGAACCATTTTGGTTATTTTAAAAAATCATGCCACATGTTGCCTTCAATTTTTTAAGTTCCTTTTGTTAATAGAGAAATCTGAGGGCTCCCTTGGACAAAAAACAAGCACATCAGCCAGGAATACCAGAGCAAAACAGCAGCCAGGAGCCTTGGTCTTGATTGAAGACTGTCGCAACAGGACTCCCACCTGCCACCAGGTGGAACAAGATGGAAGCCCCCAACAAAAGAGAACCCAAAATTTTATTAGCTGCTCATCCCCATGTTACACCCCCCAAAAAACTACATCATGGTTACATCATGTAAGGGGAGGTCTGGTGGCCGTAATCTGAGCATCCTGGCCCCTGCCCCATGGTTCTCCTTGCCCTCCACCAAAGTGTAACAAAGTGTTACATCAAGTGTAACAAAAGAGATCTTTACATTTCCCTGTTTCCCAGCCAAGTTAATCACACCCTAATAAGTTGAATTAATAATAATACCATATGGCTACTATCATAGGAAACATAGAATTTCAGAATTGGAAGGGACCCCAAGAATCATGTTGTCCAGCCCCTACAATGCAGGAATTGCACCTAAAGCCCCCCTGACAGATGCCCAGGGCTTGAAATATCGCTCTGTACAAAAGCACCACCAACAAATGCAACCAAGTTGGGGAAGGAAGCAGCTGGGAAAGAGGAAGCCTCGTGTTTTCTGCAACACTCTGCTGCTCCGCTGTGCACTGAGGGGGACATGCCTTGGGTCCCTTGACAGGCTTGCATGAGACTTTGACTTTGCATGCCAAATAGACGAGACACCAAGTGCTGTAGGAAGTCTGGTGCTTGTGGTTGGTTGATGGACCCTATCAGATTTCAGTTTCTTTCGCTTGCCATCAGTTTCATCTTTTCTTCAGACAGCCCAGGAGCTCCCAGCCAGCCAGGCCTCTCCCTTTGCCATCAGTTCAGGCACAGCAGTGCCTCCCCCCACCCCAGGATGGCACAGGATGTGACCTACGCTGACCTGCGGTTCGTGAAGACCCCTCCGGAGAGGAGCCAGGAGAAAGGTACATGGAGCCAAGTGGATCAGATCCGGATGCCCCCCTCCGTGACTGACCCCTCGGCTCCTCTTCCAGACCCCGGAGAGGGAGAGCTGACCTATGAGAACGTCCAGGGACCCCCCTGCCAGGAAGAGAGGACTCCCACTGCCACAGAGGGCACAAAAGGTGAGTGCCAGCCAGGTCTTAACCCACCTGGATCCTCCACCTGCCATGAGGAGGAGGAGAAGGACTGGGGGAACCTTAGGCATTACTTATGCTTCCAGAGGAGGGGCCACCCACAGAGGGAAAGGAGCCCCACAAATGAGACTGGCCACGATTGCAGCAGAGAAGCTTGGGCCTGACAGGGAATTGGGGGCTGCCTTCAGCTCCCTGTCTCCACACAGCCCTCCCTCCAGGATCAGGCTTCCTTTGAGGATTGACCCCATCCCACAGGAACCCCAAACTGACCCCACTGAGTTTCTCTTGCAGAGTCAGACCATCGGACCTGGTACGCCATCCTGGCATTGTTGGCCACCTGCCTCTTCCTTCTCACCGCCGCCATAGGACTGGGGGTCCGATGTGAGTAGCGGGTGCCCCCTGCCCAAGCCCACTGAGCTGATAAATGGGGGAGGGGGGAAAGCACCCTTGGGTGTTGCAGGCATTTGATGCAGAGCTTTCCCTGGAGCCTGGGCTCAGAGACAGACAGCCTGGCACCCTCCAGGCAGAGGGCCTTCTCGGTGGTGGCACCTGCCCTGTGGAACGCCCTCCCATCAGATGTCAAGGAAATAAACAACTATCTGACTTTGGCAAGACATCTGAAGGCAGCTCTCTTTAGGGAAGTGTTTAATGTTTGATGTTTTACTGGGCTTCTAATACAGTGGTACCTCGGCTTAAGTACTTAATTCGTTCTGGATGTCTGTTCTTAACCTGATGCACCACTTTAGCTAATGGGGCCTCCTGCTGCTGCCACGCCACCAGAGCATGATTTCTGTTCTCATCCTGAAGCAAAGTTCTTAACCCGAGGTACTATTTCTGGCTTAGCAGAGTCCGTAACCTGAAGCATATGTAACCTGAGGTACCACTGTATTTTGTTGGGAGCTACCCAGAGTGGCTGGGAAAACCTAGCCAGATGGGCAGGGTGTAAATAAAAAATTATTATTATTATTATTGACTCCAGTTCCCATCAGCCCTGGCCAGCATGACCAGTGATCAGGGTCAAGGGGAGCTGGAGCCCCACAACATTGGGAGCGCACCTCATCGTCTCCCCCGATGTAGGAAGCATTTGTATAATACATAAGACATGCATAGCCTGTGTTTGCATATCTCTGAGCAGCAGTTCCGTTGGGCTAAGACTGCCTGTGTGTGCCCCCATCCAACAGAAGCTGGCTCCTCTCTGCCACGCTGCCTGCCTGGCACCTGAACATCCCTCCCCCTCCTCCTCCTCTTCCTCTCATGTTGCCCCTGCTTGTGCTCTGCAGACTGGCAGGTCTCACGGCAGCTGCAGCAGGCGACTGAAGATGGCAGTGCCCTGGAACGGAGAATGGGCTCCCAGGAGGGCAGCCTGGCCCAGACCCAGGCCCAGCTGGAAGAGGCCCAGGAGGAGCTCCACTCCACCAACGGGACCCTCCGGAGCTGCCTGGCTGCCGAGAACCGGACGCAGGAGCAGCTGAGGCAAGCCAACCAGAGCCTGATACTCACGCAGCAGGAGAAGGAGAAGCTGCAGCAGGAGAAGGAGGAGCTGCAGCAGCAGCTGGTCCAGACCAAGAAGAGTTTGGAGGAAGCCAAATCTTGCCAAAACATTGGTATGCCTGTTGCACTCTGCTCAGGAGGCTGGCAAGGCTGACAGGGCACCCCTTGTGTCCTTTCGCTTCACCTGCCCCTGTGGTGTTGGACTTAGCTGAGCTCATAGGTGGGAATGTTCAGGGATGCAGGAGAGGATATATTGTCTGATTATATCCTTTTCCAACTTGTGTTAACAAGTTCCACAATTTAGCAGAGTAACATTCCCCCTTTTAAACTTGCAGCGGATGCTTTTGCTCAGGCTTGCTAAAGCCTCTATAATAACTGTTCGGGTATTTTCCCCTTATTCCCTCATAAAAGATAAGACAAGACACAGTCTTCTATAAAAGTATAAAAAGGTTTACTCACACATCATTCTGTTCACAATTGGATCCCAGAAGGCAGACTTAGCTTAGAAAAGTAACATATACCTGGAAACTATCTCATAAGGAGACAGTCCCTCTGGAAGCCAAGAGAGCATCTTTGGCTAAGCAGATGTTGCTTCTTTGATGCATGTAGTCAAAGAGAGAGAGATGGCTGCCCTGCCCTGTGCTTTTTGCCGTTACCTGCACAGGTGAGGCCACGCCCACCTCTCATCACATGCAGAGGAAGTCTGTCTCAGCCCAGAAGGAAACAGGAAGTTGACCTGCTGGCTGGACAAACATTCCTCCCCATGTGTAAACATGTTCACTCTAGGAATGTTGTACTTGACTGCTCTTGTGTTTCACATCCCACACGTTTGGCAAGAGCTCAAAGTCTGGCTTACATTTTACTTTCATCATCCTTCTCCATCCCATTTTCCTTTAATGATAGTAGTTGAATTTGCCATCCATGTCTTTCCTAAATTCCAGCTGAAATCCTTTGCACACTTGCCCTATTGAACACGTTAAAGCCTGATTCAGAGTAAAGATAGCTGCAGGGATGTGGGCACAGGCAGGATTTTTGTTAGGGGGGCAGAACTGACCTGATTGCTCAGCTAGTTATGTATTTCTATTGTTTTACTTGATCTAGGGGAGAAGCTGCCCCACCTTGGCTGTGCCCATAGCAGGGTAGGAGGCACCACATGGCACAGCCTTGAGTGCCTTGGAAGAAGGGCAGGGTTTTAAAAAATATCACTAACACATGAGGAGAATCAGGCTACACTCTGTACGCTTTGGCTGCAACTCCCTCCATTATGTGCAGAAGAATGAAAGTCCCAACCCTTCCTCTGGGTTAGAGCCAAGCACCCGAGGAAATATAACAGGAAGGAAGGGCCTGAAAAGCAAGATGATCACCGCAACACCATAGTGGCCTTTGACTGGACCTAATTGTCCTGGGGTCCTTTACCTTTTACCTGTCCCCATAGCCCATCCTGTGTGGACATGATTCACGTCATCTACACAGGTGGAAAGAATGTGGCAACTGGGCAACTTTCCGTGTGTGCATCTGCCTGCACTCAGGTCCGTCCTATCAGTCTCTGCTCAGCGGCTGGCATGGTCTGCCACGCGGTCTGAACTGGGCCCAACACAGATGCTTTTTGGAGGGTCCTTGCCTCTGGATTGGCAACATGCACCCTCTCTCCCTCATAGACTCTCAGCCCATGGATTGGGGACAGATCTGGGTCCCACTGGAATGGGTCCACCCTAAGCCGGCCTGAGACCACGTGGCTTTCAGCTTAATGCCTTCCTTTGACCTTCTCTTGTCTTCCTTAGGCTGCTGTCCCCGTGGATGGAATCTCTTCAGGTGGAAATGCCTGTGGATTTCAAGGGAAATGAAGAGTTGGGACGATAGCCAGGAAGCCTGCAGGAGGAAATCATCTCAGCTGCTTGTTTTGAAGCCCTGGAGTGCAAAAGAACTATGGGATGCCACAGACATTGATAAGGTAATACCTTTGGGGTGCCAATGTCTCAGACTTTAAGGAAGGGGGCTTCTGGTGCAGGGGAGTCATGTCCAGAGTCTAACCGTTACAGATCATGAAGAAATATCCACCAGGACAGGGAGGCCTGTGCCCTGGGCAGGGGTCAACCTGGCCACTCCCCAGAAATGACCCTGGCTGCAGTGTGACCTAGAAGTAAAGGGTGGGAAGCCAGAGAGGCAGCGCACGATGGAATCCAAGGCAGCTGTGAAGCCCTTCATCATAGGCTCAGGTTGCATATTATTAGAAGTTACTAACCATAACAGCTTCCCAAAGTGTCTAGCAAAGTTTCCCTGGTGGCAGACGAGAAGAACCGTAGCCACTCAAATGCACAGTCAAGAATTACTTTATGCAAGCATTTGGTTATACAAGCATTTCCAGTTACTATTATCTACAAACTATTTACAGTCCTTCTTCCTCTCTTCGTCATGGTATACTTTCAGTCTAGTAGTAAACAGTCCTGATACAGCAAACTCATAGTATCAGCAGCACACTTCCCCATATATCCAAACCAGCTGTAAGCATGCGTACTAACAGCGTATGTGTGCTCTCCTCGTGCCTCACATTGTAAACTCATCTTCCTCCTTTTTAATTCCATCTCCAGTGACACCAATTAAGCTTGGAGTGCCACTCCTACACATTGAAGAAACTTCTGGAACACTTTTTTTAAGTTTCCAGGAACTGTTAATCTGTTTCGTGAAGAATGTATTCCTAACACATATATGTGCACTGCAAATAGACCATATGTCATAAAGACACCACAGTCTCCTCTGTGCCTCATTTCCAAAAGGAGACACAAAGCCCGGGTGAGCGCCTGGAACCCTTGGGATCTCACACCGCTCAGAGATTGGGGCTCAAAGATGCAACAGTAGACCTTGGCTGGAGATAAGATCAGCCAACTCTCCAGTCCCAGAGCTGGGAAGGGGTGTTGTGGAGGATTCTGGGATGGGTGTCCTGTGGACTATTAGTAACTGTATTGGTTCTGCATATATGAGCCTCTTAAAAAGGGAGGAAGGAGAGATCCATTGGGAAGGAGGTTTTTCCCCGTTAATATTTTATTCTTTCTTCTAGAGTGATCAATACTGGATTGGACTTGGAAAAGGCTGGGGCTCCTGGAAATGGATCGATGGTAGGGGCTTTGAAGAGTAAGTGGAAGAGAGACTGTACCTTTGCTACCCATCAAGTCAGATTTGCTTGGGCTGAACAGAGCAGAGTTTCCCCCGTCAGCCCCCCCCCCGAATCTGCACCCTGCAGCCTTTCCCCTTCTTTTAGGGCTCATCCCCACAGAAACACACTCTTTACCAATGGAAACAATTCCGCAGAAAACCCAGGTTGACATTAGCTCCAATTCACTGGTCAAGACTGGGATTTCCTGGGGGAAGTTGCAGGGCAAAAAAGAAAGATGCTGAAACATGGACTGGGAAAGTGTGGGTCTGTGCCTAGAAAGTGTGGGGCCAAAGGGAAGTCTGGGTGAGTCCATGGAGAGTCAAACCACTGGTTGCTTGAGGCTGACGTCCTCCACTGAGGAGCAGCAGCAGATTTCTCCGCTTGCCTCAAGCCATGCAGAACCCAGACTTCTCTAAATAAATAAATAAATTGTCCAGCAGCACCTTAGAGGCCAGCTCAGTTTGTTCTGGGGATAAGCTTTCGTGTGCATACACACTTCTTCAGATACCTTTGTTCTGGGTATAAGCACACGAAAGTCTATACCCAGAACAAACTTTGTTGCTCTCTAAGGTGCTACTGGACAATTTTTTTATTTATTTCGACTGCGTCAGACCAGCACGGCTACCTACCTGAATCCAGACTTCTCTGTACGCACATCAAGTGAGGCATGATCAGAGTTTTGCCCCACCCCTGCTCTTTCGGCAAAACCAGCAAGCTCAGATCCATAGTGGTGCAGTGATAGGGTTGCCGTTTCTTGAAGTGCAAAAAAAGAGGACAGCCCGAGCCTCTGCCAGCCCGAGCTGGGGAAAGAGGCGTGCCAGAGTGTGGGACAGTGTGCCTTTTTTCCTGGCTCGGGCTGACAGTGACCACAGTGTGCAGAGCAGCCCAAGTCCAAGTCGCTGCCCAAACCTGGACATTTCCTTTAACATTTAAAAATTCCCCAAAGAGGACCCTATGATGGAGCAACCTCCCTTTGCTAATTTAATGGCTTGAAATGGGTGGTGGATGCTTTCTGAAGGGGAGCTGATGGTTGGGGAAGATCTGGAGATGTCTCTAGTGTTGGCCACCAGAGCTTTGATTTAGACACACACACACACACACTGGTCCTGCCTGAGGGGAGGGATTGATGAGTGTGTGCGTGTTGGGGCATTAGAGGTAGCAAAACTGAAGGCATCTAGGGGCGCAGATCCCACCTCACCCTGGCATCTGATGTGGGGCAGTAGATCTGCTGAATGCTGGGAGCACTGGCACTGCTTATGATCTACTTATATATTAACAAATGCACTCCAGGAACTTCTCGCCACGGGGGGGGGGGGTATTGAGTGCCAAACAATATTTATCCCAGGTGAAACTGAGCCATTTTTGAGGTTTTCTGGAAAGTCTTTTTTTTTTCAAAAGTGTGCCCAGCCTATTCAGAACAAAACCTTTCCAGGACAATAATTTGGGAGCAAAGCAATAATTCAGATACGAAATCAGTCCAAGTGACCCTGAAGGTTCTGCTCTGCCTCCACAGTCTCTGAACTCCAGGGGCTGGAAAGGACATGAGGGGAGCATTGCTTTGGAGCGTACCGTTGGGGGCGTCCGATGGGCCACTGTGAGACCAGGATGCTGGGCTAATTTGCCCCCCTCCCTTGCCCTGACCTGGTATGTAAATTGGGCAGTGTGTGTGAGAGTGGATCTGGCTGAGGAACCGGATTAGGCCAAATTTGACCGGTGCCCCCCCACCTGCTGATGTCACAGTGACCTCAGGTGAGCATTTTTTGGCTATACATCCATCATCCTCAGTCAGCATGAATGATGGACAGGGTTGGTGGGAGAGCTGAAGCTCAGAAACTCAGATAACGATGAATGGTGAGGAGGGATTGGGGCTTTGTGCCTTGACTGTCATCTTTGTCTTTCTAGAACTGAAAATATTGGGACTTGTAGCAGTTTTAGCGGCAACTGCCTTCAAATCAGCAACGGAGCCCTGCAATGGTGTTCCTGTTCAGAAAGAATCAGATACATCTGCGAGAAGAACGCTCAATAACCACAGCCAGTGTGAGCTCAGTAGGGCCAAAATATGTCCAAAGACCCCCAACAGGCAAGGCCTTCTCTTTCCCAGCAATGAACCCCCTTCCTGCCCTCAGGCCTAACTTTTCTACTACATACACTGAATGTGTGTCTTGTGCTACTTGTAACAGCCATGGTCCCCCCATCCATGAATCCTGCGAACCATAGTTTGTTGGGGTGTGGAGAGACCCCCTTCACAGAGCTACAGTTCCCAACTGTGTTGGCATCGCCAAAGAAGAAGAAGAAGAAGAAGCTGTGGCTGTAGACACCAATAAGGGAGAGACATGTTTTGCTGCAGGTGGGGCAGAGGAAGGTGCCCACTTGTGTTGCTGCAGATGCACAGGGCGTTCCTTCTCTCTTTGCTCCTCCCAGCGGTCATTCCTCTTCTGGTCACTGCTGTGGATACACACCTTCTGGTTTGCTAGTAAAGACGAATTACTGTGTTGCAAAACGATGCATGTCTAAAAAGTGTGTCACCAACAAGACCAGTTTGGAAAGCTGTGTCTTCCAGTGTCAGACTCTGAATGGTTCCCTTCAGAGAGGGGCCTCCTCTCCCTCTTCCTCTCCCTCTCCGAGTCCGGAGGGTCAGGGGAAACATTTACAAGGTGACACAGCCTCTAGAGGGCCACTGCCAAATCCATTTACAGTGGGACCTCAGGTTACATACGCTTCAGGTTACAGACTCCGCTAACCCAGAAATAGGACCTTGGGTTAAGAACTTTGCTTCAGGATGAGAACAGAAATAGAGCTGCGGCGGCACATTGACAGCGGAGGCCCCATTAGCTAAAGTGGTGCTTCAGGTTAAGAACAGTTTCAGGTTGAGAATGGACCTCCGGAACGAATTCGGTTCTTAACTCGAGGTACCACTGTACTGGATCTGGAACGAAAGGAAAGTGTGGTTTATGGTGAGCTGCAAATGGCTTTATTCTCTCTCTACTCGCAGGAAAGTCTTGTTCTTTTTGCTTCATTTCATTATTCAGATTATTGCTTTTTGTGTTTCTGATATTGTATTATGGTTTGTTGTTGCTGCTTTTTGCTTCGTAAGATCACTCAGGAAAATGTTACTTTCAGGCAACCGTATAACAAATTTTATTTATAATTATGAAGATTATACTCTTGTTAATAATAACAATACGAATAATAGTAATAATAAACATAAGATTGGACCTGAGTGTGAGCTCATGGCTGGTCCATCTCCCTGGAAAAATGCTATAACAAATCAATGCACACACACACACCCTTCTCTCTCTCTCTCTCTCTCTCTCTCTCTCTCACACACACACACACACACACACACACAGAGAGAGAGAGAGAGAGAGAGAATCGGAACTTGGCCTCCACAGTGACATTCATTTGCTGGAAGTCCAGGGCAGGATATGCTTGATGCTTCATGCAACACTGAACCATAATAGGGTGGTATTCAACTTAAAGTAAAGGTAAAGGTAAAGGCGCCCCTGACCATTAGGTGCAGTCACGGACGACTCTGGGGTTGCGGCGCTCATCTCACTTTTTGGCCGAGGGAGCCGGTGTAAAGCTTCCGGATCACGTGGCCAGCATGACTAAGCCGCTTCTGGCGAACCAGAGCAGCGCACGGAAACGCCATTTATCTTCCTGCCGGAGCGGTACCTATTTATCTACTTGCACTTTGACGTGCTATTGAACTGCTAGGTTGGCAGGAGCAGGGACCGAGCAACGGGAGCTCACCCCATCGCGGGGATTGACCTTCTGATCAGCAAGTCCTAGGCTCTGTGGTTTAACCCACAACGCCACTCGTGCCCCTCAACTTAGAGTAGACCCATTGAAATTAACGAACATGACTGATTTAAGCCTACTATTTCAAGGGCTCATCTCCACTTCCACTGGGGCTATGCCTAGAAACCACATGAGGATGGAGGGGTTTTAGCAGGCCCAAGATTGGCACGAGTCACCAGTGTGATTCTGCCTTGAGAGACAGTGGAGTGTGCGGCTGGGGGCGAAGGCAAACCTCTGCATTAGCAGCAGCAGCAGCAAAGTGACCCCTCTGGGGCGCAAGCCTGGCTGGTGGGTCTGGGGGTCCTGGGCTGCCCAGACAACCAGACTTCTCTCTCACCTCACTGACGTGGTCCAGAGGAAGGCAGAGCAAGACGTTGAGCACCAGGCTGCAGGCGTTGCCGGAAAGAGGCGTACCAGGCGCCAGCCAACCATCTTAGGGACTCCACTCCAGATTTGTGTAGGGTTAGCCTTTCTTCTCCCGAAGGTGTCCTGCAAGGCAGCCAAGGTTTAGGATCAGAGTCTTCCTTCTCCTAGATGGGCTCTCTTCCCAGATGGACCAGCCCCACCTGCCCCTCACTTCCCTCTTCAGCACTGGCAGAAATCGCCTTCTTGACCCTTGGACCCCCTCTTCGTCTTGTCTGCTCAATTTCCAGAGCCTGTCTTCACATGCCGGGAGATTCAGGCGGTAGCCATGTTGGTCTCACACAGTCAAAATAAATTAAAAAGTTAAAAAATTGTCCAGTAGCACCTTAGAGACCAACGAAGTTTGTTCTGGGTCTAAGCTTTCGTGTGCATGCACACTTCTTGAGACACACTGAAACAGAAGTCACCAGACCCTTATATATAGTGGAAGGGTGGGGTGGGGTTTTTCTCAGAAGGGTAGTGGGAGATGGGTGATTGACTCAGTGGGTATGGTCAACCTGTGGATGACTGTTAACGACTGCAATTAGTCCTACAGGAAAAAGCAAGGGATAGTATGCAAATGACCCAAAATAGCTTTAGCATGTGTAATGAGACAAGAATCCAATATCTCTATTCAGACCAGGGTAAGTCATATGCAGGGTAAGTCCCTAACTCCTCATGGGTTGGAGACCCATCGGCTCTGTTAGGAGTTTGGCCTACACTCGAGTAGGACCCTGGCAGAGACACATGCCCGACTGGCATGTTCTCTCCCTCTTGGTCTTTTGTTCGGGAGCTTCAAAAGCTTTCTTCTGCCCGAACATCACAGCGACCGATGCCAACCGACACCGGCACACTTAGGGATCCGCGGAGTTTGCGCATTTCGTGTGACAGACCTCAGCAACTCAGCATTTTGGCTAATCTACTTTATTTGCATATAAACCCACACGGAGCACTGCAACATGGCTCCCTCTCTCTCTAGCATCAGACTGCAAAGAGAAAAAGAACAAAGGACAATAGTCCCACTTCAAGGAACACAGTAACACAAACATCCTGTCTCCATCACTTCCCACTTTGTGGAGTCAAAACATACACAGTCATGTGAAAGACAACAATCCCATGACTGCAATCACGGAGCAGGAATTCTAACAAGCCTCCCTCGCCTTGTTTAGCTGGCTGCTTGAAGCCGTTCGTGGGGTGTGGCCACTGCCACCTGCTGCCAGCTTCTAGGAGCCACAGGCGAGAGCAGAGTGCAGGGTGGGGACCAAAGGTGCTCAAACTACCCCAGAAGGAGCAGGATACGTCCCCCACCCCTTCCCTAGCACCTCAACAGTAGGATGAAGCAGCAGCAGCAGGGGGGAAAGGCTAATGCTACACTCGGCTGCATCCACAGAAGTCTTGTGTCCTGATCGAAGTAACAGTACCGCTGTCTCCTGCCTTGGTGAGACCCCGCCTGCAGTCCTGGGCATCCCAGTTTAAGGAGAATAAGGACAAGCTGGAAGGTGTGCAGAGGAGGCAACCAAGAGGATCACGGGTCTGGAAACCAAGCCTGATGAGGAACAGTTAAAGGAGCTGGGGATGCTTAGCCTGGAAAAGAGGAGACTGAGAGGAGAGAGGAGAGCCATCCTCAAATATCTCAAGGGCTGTCACATGGAAGAGGGAACAAGCTTGTTTCCTGCTGCCCCCCCCCCGGGGGGGGGGGGGACCCGAAGCAATGGGTTCCAATGGCAGAAAAGGAGGTTTTTAAACAGAAGCTGGGTGGCTGTGGTGCCTGCATTGCTGGGGGTCAGACTAGATGATCCTTGGGCTCCCTCCCAAGCCAACAAGTCTATGATTCTATGATTCATCTCTGGGCCTCAGACTAATTCACTGGTCCGGGAGGGGGAGGGCCTGGATCCGCAGGGGGGCAGCGGGGGTGGTGGTGTCCAAGTTCTGCTGACGGGACAACATGCCCTGCAGGGGAAGCCCCTTCGGCCGGCCTGTGACGCTGACTTGCCCAATTACGAGAAGGAGCAAAGGGGAAAGAGGAAGCCATGCTCTGATGCGCTGCGGTGCGCCGAGGGGGACATGCAGCTGGCCTGGGTCCCCTGAGGAGATTGCAGGGGATGGGGAAGGTAGGACTTTTACTTTCATACACTGCAGGAAGTCTCTCACATTTCACTTTCTTTAATTTGCCACCACTTTCCTCTTTTTTCTGCAGAGAGCCCAGGAGCTCCCCCCCAGCCCAGCATCTCCCATTGCCACTAGTCCAGGTGAGACAGGACCCCCCCCCCCCCCAGGATGTCACAGGGTGTGACCTACGCTGACCTGCGCTTCGTGAGGACCCCTCCGGAGAAGAGCCAGGAGAAAGGTACACAGAGCCGACTGGCCCCGATCCCCTCACCAGGGTCCCCCTCCGGGTCCCCCCCCTCCGTGACTCACCCCTTGGCTCCTCTTCCAGACCCCAGCGAGGGAGAGCTGACCTATGAGAACATCCAGGGCCCCCCCTGCCAGGAGAAGAGGACTCCCACCCCCACCGAGGGCACGAAAGGTGAGTGTCGGCCACGTCCTTTTTATATATATATTGGTTTTACATAAATTTATACATTATAACATTAACCATTTCAAAACATAAAATGAAAAGGTTCTTTTGAACCTTCGCACTTCCTCCCCTCCCTCCATGGCTTCCATTTCCAAAGAAAATGTTTTCTTTTTCTGCATCTTTTTTCTGTTATCTATCTGTTGCATATTCATAGTTTCCAAAGTTCATTTCACATTATAAGTGTCATTGCATCCTTGCCAATGGTTTTAACTGTTTACAGTGGTCTTTTCAGTATGTTAAAAATTATTCCACTTTTAGGAATACAGTGGGGGCTTCTCTGAAAGGTCCCTTACTTCTGAAAGGTAAGGACCCTGTTTCTCTTTCATTTTTTTTAAAAAATATTTATTAAGATTTTTACAATATTACAAAATGAAAAAGAGAAAAGAAAAAATACAAAGTAAAAATAGTTTAAAACAATTCAATCTTTTCATCACTTATCTTTCATTTACTTGTTTCCCGGACCTCCTCATACCTCCCCTTTTTGTATTCCAGTTCAATTTATTAGTTCAGCAATTCCTTTCCCTCCTTATTTTATCCTGATCTTTAATCTTAATATATTATAGCATTAATTTACCTGTTAAGAATCCAATTTTTTCATATTCTTTTATACCATTACAGCTAGAAACCACTTAACTTCAATCCAACATCATTCTAACATTCATTAATTTTGCAATATTTCTGTAAATAGTCTTTAAATTTCTTCCAATCTTCTTCCACCGACTCTTCTCCCTGGTCTCGGATTCTGCCAGTCATTTCCGCCAATTCCATGTAATCCATTAGTTTCATCTGCCATTCTTCCAGAGTGGGTAGGTCTTGTGTCTTCCAATACTTTGCAATAAGTATTCTTGCTGCTGTTGTAGCATACATGAAGAAAGTTCTGTCCTTCTTTAACACCGATTGGCCGACTATGCCCAGGAGAAAGGCCTCTGGTTTCTTCAAGAAGGTATATTTAAATACCTTTTTTAATTCATTATAAATCATCTCCCAGAAAGCCTTAATCCTTGGGCACGTCCACCATAGGTGAAAGAATGTACCTTCAGTTTCCTTACATTTCCAACATTTGTTATCGGGCAAATGGTAGATTTTTGCAAGCTTGACTGGGGTCATGTACCACCTGTATATCATTTTCATAATATTCTCTCTTAAGGCATTACATGCCGTAAATTTCATACCTGTGGTCCATAACTGTTCCCAGTCAGCCATCATGGACCCTGTTTCTCTTTCAAAAGAGGATCCCTTTGATTACAACTGGGGGCCTTGCAGCCACAGAACTGACAGAGGTTGGGTTTCTCCCACTGAAGCAAAAAGCTCCATCTACCCCAAAGGGCTCTTTCAGGTGTTTTGCAGAAGTTTAAAAATAAAAATAAAAAATACACACATTTCTCAGAAATCGTCTGAAAATATAGGCTTCTCTTTTTTTAAAAAAACCAATCGGTTTCTTATCTGCCTCATCCTCTGCGCTCACAGCAAGGAGCCCATTAATATAGGTCAATAATACTACCCTGTATTGAAACAGCACATCTTAGGTAGGACAATTTAAGTGCTCAAAAGAACCTCAGGTGAATTTGCGACTTTAACCAAAGAATTCTATGTATGGTTCTTAACGGTCTTTTGTTTCTCAAAGTCCTTAATAAAGGGAGTCACAGCAAACATCAAACAGGCAATGCAGGCATCACGACTAAAGAATCCCCTTCAGATGGCCAACTCCCTGCAACGGAGGAATCTTTCACCCAGTGTGGGGCTTGAACCCATGGCGGTGAGGTTAAGAGCCTCAGGCTCTGCCAACTGAGCTCCCACTGCTATTCGGCAGCCGCTGTGCAAAGAAACAGTGACACGCGCTGCCCGGGAAGCTCATAAACTGTGCACCTAATTATATCTTTGCTTCTTTTCCTCCTTGCTGGATTGGGGCCCTCCTTGAGCAGTTTCTACTGCTTAATATTGTTATGAGTTTGTGGAAGGAAGGGTGTAGGCAGTTGTTAGCTAGCTTCCTGTGTCAAGGGATCGCCTGGGTGAGCAGCTATTAAGAGAACAAAGGAAATGGGCTCCGTGCAAGAAGGCAACTGGCCCCACGCCCTCAGTTTTTTTTAAAAAAAATTATTTAGCCCCACATTTCTATCTTAGCTTCTCTATCCCCTACACCCATTCACCCTCCACTAAAAGCCAAAGAGAAGATTCAGCAGTCCCGTTAATGGCAGTTGCTCAATACTCCCACCACCAGGAAAGCAACCTCCACCTCCACTGCTGCAAGAAACAGTGGGATGAAAAGAAAGAAGACATTGTTCTCTCCTAACTACCCTTCAGTGTTGAGCTGCTTTGAGGAAGGCAGAGTTTGACCGCATCTGGCTTAGGTTATAGTGCCTGAAAAGACATCACTATGCATTGATGTCCTGGCCATTTCACAAAAAGATGGAGTTGCACAGGCTCTGACAACCTCATTGGGAACTTCGCTGTCATCATGAACAAGAACAAACTCAAGGCACCAAGTCTCTACTGGGCCAGAAGCACAAAGGACTGGAGACCATTGCAGACCATTTAACTCACGAAGTGGAACAAGTAAAACGTCCAAAATGTTACACATGATACAAACGGTTCAGCTTTCACTAATCAGTGTAATTGGCTGACCCCCCCCACTCCCTCAGTTTAGAGATAGAAGGACAAAGCCTCAGTTTAGAGTGAAAGGGGGCAGTCGTGTGACTTAGAAGGAAAGCAGCAGACTTGTTGAAAGTTAAGAGCATTGCTATTAGCAATAGCTCACAGCCTCTACAGCCTACATACCGTATACTGTAGTTGGGGGAATTTCAAATGAGAGTTGCCATAATGAGTCATAGTTAAAAGCAGAACTCAACAGGTTTGGGGTCTTCCTAAAAAAAAGTTCAACAACTTTTGGTGTGTCCTGGTTTTTCCTTTTTGAAAGCTGGTTGGCACTCAGTAAGTAAAACTTACAGCCCTTTATAGCAGAATGATCACCAACAAACCAGGCAGTTCCAGGGCTGGGGAAATTCCTAGCCCGTTTAAGGGGAGTCTTTACTGTTCAGGGTCTTCCAGAAAGGAGACTTCTGTGTTTAGAATGTTTTTCATCCTGAGATTTTGTACCTCCAGATTTTCAGACTTAAGAAGTGCTCCCAAAGAGGCTTTAATTTCATGAACTTTTTACTCAAATTAACACTGGACCCTTTTCAACCATGCAGAATATAAATCTGGGGGGAATCTTGGGGTTTCCGCAGCCATTCCACCAGTCTGACTTGGGGCAGTGGCTCTCCTCATCTTGGGGTGTTTGGGCTCTGCATGAGAGGGCCCCCCGCCGAACAAGAGGAGAGGGGACCCCAAAGGAGCCTGCTCCTCCCCCACAAATGCCTACGCATGGGATTGGCCACGATTGCAGCAAAGCTTGCTGGGCCCTGACAGGGAATTGGGGCTGCCTTCCGTTCCCAGCCCTCCCTCCAGGATCAGGCTTCCTTTGAGGGTTGACCCCATCCCACAGGAACCCCAAACTGACCCCACTGAGTTTCTCTTGCAGAGTCAGACCATCGGACCTGGTACGCCATCCTGGCCTTGTTGGCCGCCTGCCTCTTCCTTCTCACCGCCACCATAGGACTGGGGGTCCGATGTGAGTAGCAGGTCCCCCTGCACAAGCCCATTGAGCTGATAAATGGGGGAGGGGGGAAATGTCTGTGAACCACCCTGAGATCTTTTGATAAAGGGCAGCATATAAATTTAATAAATAAAATATAATAAGTGTTGCAGGCATTTGATGCAGAGCTTACCCTGGAGCCTGGGCTCAGAGAGGGTCTGCCTGGTGCCCTCCAGATAGTGTTAAACTCCAGTTCCCACCAGTCCCAACCTGCAAGGTCAGTGGTCAGGTTCAAGGGGAGCTGGAGCTTCACATCAGGAGAGTACCTCACTGTCTCCTCGGATGTGGTGTTGTTGTTGTGGTTGAGTCGTTTAGTTGTGTCCGCCTCTTTGTGACCCCCTGGACCAGAGCACGCCAGGCCCTCCTGTCTTCCACTGCCCTCCTCATGTTGGTAGCCTCGAGACCACGGCCCCACCATCTCATCCCCTTCTCCTTGTGCCCTCCATCTTTCCCAACATCAGGGTCTTTTCCAGGGAGTCTTCTCTTCTCATGAGGTGGCCAAAGTCTTGGAGCCTCAGCTTCAGGATCTGTCCTTCCAGTGAGCACTCAGGGCTGATTTCCTTCAGAATGGATCGGTTTGATCTTCTTGCAGTCCATGGGACTCTCAAGAGTCTCCTCCAACACCATAACTCAAAACTCCCCTGATGTATACCCCCCCTTTGTATCTCTCTGAGCAGCCTGCCTTTGGGCTCCCGCAGTGGAGCCTGGCTCCCCTCTGCCATGCTGCCTGCCTGGCACCTGAAGCTCCCCCCTCCTCCTCCTCCTCCTCCTCCTCCTCCTCTCATGTCGCCCCTGCTTGTGCTCTGCAGACTGGCAGGTCTCACAGCAGCTGCAGCAGGCGACTGAAGATGGCAGTGCCCTGGAACGGAGAATGGGCTCCCAGGAGGGCAGCCTGGCCCAGACCCAGGCCCAGCTGGAAGAGGCCCAGGAGGAGCTCCACTCCACCAACGGGACCCTCCGGAGCTGCCTGGCTGCCGAGAACAGGACGCAGGAGCAGCTGAGGCAAGCCAACCAGAGCCTGATGCTCACGCAGCAGGAGAAGGAGAAGCTGCAGCAGGAGAAGGAGGAGCTGCAGCAGGAGAAGGAGGAGCTGCAGCAGGAGAAGGAAGAGCTGCAGCAGCAGCTGGTCCAGACCACAAAGAGTTTGGAGGAAGCCAAATATTGCCAAAAGATTGGTATGTCCATTGCACTCTGCTCAGGAGGCTGGCAAGGCTGACAGGGCACCCCTTGTGTCCTATCGCTTCACCTGCCCCTGTGGTGTTGGACTTAGCTGAGCTCATAGGTGGGAATGTTCAGGGATGCAAGAGAGGATATATTGTCTGATTATATCCTTTTCCAACTTGTGTTAACAAGTTCACAATTTAGCAGAGTAACATTCCCCTTTTTAAACTTGCAGCGGATGCGTTTGCTCAGGCTCGCTAAAGCCTCTATAATAACTGTTCTGGTATTTTCCCCTTATTCCCTCATAAAAGATAAGACACAGCACAGTCTTTTATACAAGTATAGAAAGGTTTACTCGCACATCATTCTGTTCACAATCAGATCCCAGAAGGCAGACTTAGCTTAGAAAAGTAACATATACCTAGAAACTATCTCATAAGGAGACAGTCCCTTTGTCCTCTCTTGGCTGGAGGCCAAGAGAGCATCTTTGGCTAAGCAGATGTTGCTTCTTTGATGCATGTAGTCAAAACAGAGAGGTGGCTGCCCTGCCCTGTGCTTTTGTTGTTACCTGCACAGGTGAGGCCACACCCACCTCTAGTCACATGCAGAGGAAGTCTGTCCCAGCCCAGAAGGAAACAGGAAGTTGACCTGCTGGCTGGACAGACATTCCTCCCCATGTGTAAACATGTTCACTCTAGGAATGTTGTACTTGACTGCTCTTGTGTTTACATCCCACATGTTTGGCAAGAGCTCAAAGTCTGGCTTACATTTTACTTTCACCATCCTTCTCCATCCCTTTCCTTTAATGATAGTAGATGAATTTGCCATCCATGTCTTTCCTAAATTCCAGCTGAAATCCTTTGCACACTTGCCCTATTGAACACGATAAAGCCTGATTCAGAGTAAAGATAGCTGCAGGGATGTGGGCACAGGCAGGATTTTTGTTAGGGGGGCAGAACTGACCTGATTGCTCAGCTAGTTATGTATTTCTATTGTTTTACTTGATCTAGGGGAGAAGCTGCCCCACCTTGGCTTTGCCCATAGCAGGGTAGGAGGCACCACATGGCACAGCCTTGAGTGCCTTGGAAGAAGGGCAGGGGTTTAAAAAATATCACTAACACATGAGGAGAATCAGGCTACACTCTGTACGCTTTGGCTGCAACTCCCTACATTATGTACAGAAGAATGCAAGTCCCAACCCTTCCTCTGGGTTAGAGCCAAGCACCTGAGGAAATATAACAGGAAGGAAGGGCCTGAAAAGAAAGATGATCACTGCAACACCATAGTGGCCTTTGACTGGACCTAATTGTCCAGGGGTCCTTTACCTTTGACGTGTCCCCATAGCCCATCCTGTGTGGACATGATTCACGTCATCTACACAGGTGGAAAGAATGTGGCAACTGGGCAATTTTTCTTGTGTGCATCTGCCTGCACTCAGGTCCGTCCTATCAGTCTCTGCTCAGCGGCTGGCATGGTCTGCCACGCAGTCTGAACTGGGCCCAACACAGATGCTTTTCGGGGAGTCCTTGCCTCTGGATTGGCAACATGCACCCCTTCTCCCTCATAGACTCTCTGCCCATGGACTGGGGACAGATCTGTGTCCCACTGGAGTGGGTCCCACCCTAAGCCGGCCTGAGACCACGTGGCTTTCAGCTCAACGCCTTCCTTTGACCTTCTCTTGTCTTCTTTAGGCTGCTGTCCCCGTGAATGGAATCTCTTCAGGTGGAAATGCCTGTGGATTTCACCTTCAAGGGAAATGAAGAGTTGGGACGATAGCCAGAAAGCCTGCAAGAGGAAATCATCTCAGCTGCTTGTTTTGCAGCCCTGGAGTGCAAAAGAACTATGGGATGCCACAGACATTGATAAGGTAATACCTTTGGGGTGCAAATGCCTCAGACTTTAAGGAAGGGGGCTTCTGGGGCTGGGGAGTCAAGTCCAGAGTCTAGCAGATCATGAAGAAATATCCACCAGGACAGATAACCCCTTGATTTCTCAGTGCAGATGCAACCCCCCCCCCCCATGAACTGGAAGGGGTACCATGGCACATTCTGTGTGGGGTTCGCAGCCATGTGAGCCAAGACTACCAACTTTTATTTTACTGTAGCTTAGAAGTATTTATCAGCATACTATATTTGCTGTAAATGCTGCCTGCACTGAAATGTGAGTAAATGGATTTTTAAGATATTACTAAAAACATCTAATTCAGTCTCTGAAACAGATGTGAACAAGAGGAAGGTCAGCAGACCACAAATAAAAGGGGATAAAAATGTATAACTGCCTTATTCCTAAACTTCAGTAAGCTGCAAAAACATTTAAGTGTTTTATTCTGCTAAAAAGGCTTCACATCCCGTTTCCTTTTTTTATTTCGCCCACACATGTGGGATAGAACGTTTTAAAATTCATTTTACACAACTAATCCTCAATTCATATCTTCTGCATTCTGGACCTGGGTCTTCTTCCAGACCACTCTGCACCTGAGCAAGGTGTGTGCTGGGGTGACCATAGGCCAGAAGCCAACCAGGGCACTGGATTTTGGAGTATCTAATTGCGCCATAGCCAGATAGAGAAAAAGCAAATTTTCCTGCCACTCTCTAGTTTCCTGTAGACTCTAATTAACTGTATTGCTTTTATATAAGAGTCTCTTAAAAAGTGAGAAAGGAAAATCTCATTGGGAAGGAGGTCTTTCTCTATTAACATGTTATTCTTTCTCCTAGAGTGACTCAATACTGGATTGGACTTGAAAAAGACTGGCAATCAGAACCCTGGAAATGGGCTGATGGTACAGGCTATGAAGGGTGAGTGGAAGAGAGAGGGTCCCTTTGCTACCCATTAAATCAGATTTGCTTGGGCTGAAGAGAGCAGAATTCCTCCTACAGCCCCCCCTGGAATCTGCAGCCTTTCCCCTTCTTGTAGGGCTTAGCCTCACAAAAACCCACTCTTTACCAATGAAAACAACTCCGTGGAAAACCCAAATTGACATTTGCTGTGATTCACGGGTAAAGATCCGGTTCTCCTGGGGAAAGTGGCAGGGCAAAAAAGAAAGGTGCTCAGACATGGACTAGGAAGGTGCAGACTCTAGAAGGTCTGGATGAGACCATGGAGAGCCAAACCGCTGGTTGCTTAAGCTTAACGTCCTCCACTGAGGAGCAGCAACATGTCTTCACTGTCACAAATGGCTCATTTCAAGCGCTGCTACCCGATATCAATCTTCAGGAGAGCCACACTGAGCAGCAGCAGTGGGGAAGCTTTTGCGGCCTGAGAGTTATTTTCCCCATGGGGAACCTTCTTGGGGGCCACCTGTCAATGGGGGTGGGCATGGCCAGAGGCAAGATGGACAGAGTCACAGCTATGACACTTCCCCTTGTAGTACAGGGGGCAACATCAAGCCATGCAAAAGTCAGACTTCTCTGCACATCCTGGCAAGCAAGAGGCATGGTCAGAGGTCAAGGACATATTCCAGCCGGGCAGAAAAGCTCGGGGACTGGCTGGGGCCTGAGGAGAGCCCTGAGGGCCAGAGTGGGCTTGTTTGCCCTCATGCATCCCAAAATGGCTTCTCGGGTTTCCGAGTTTCCACTGCTTACCTAGAATTGGAAGATGGAAAAGGGAAGGGAGAACTGTTTGCCACCTGCACACTGACGACACCTCAGCCCCAAACTCCCAGAGGCTTCATGGCGACTGGGGGGGGGGGGGGACTGATGGACTGGATCGTTTTCTCCCCACCTGCTCACAGGCTAGGTTTTACCAGTACCCACCCCTGTCTCCTGATGTCACAGGATGCCCTTTTGTTGGCTGCACACATCTTCAGAATCCCCTTTCAAAGATCTGTTTAGTGTAGCAAACAGTTTATACCTGCCCCATACCTGCTTCATGATGTCACATGACGTCACGTCTACATCTGGCACAGGCCATGTGGGTCCCTGCAAAGGCTGCTGGTCTTCAGCTCCCATCATCCTCAGTCAGCAGGGGAAATGGACAGGGACGATGGGAACTGAAGCCTAGAAACCTTTGCAGAGCAATACTTTGCCGCTCTGGACTGATCTGGATTCCCCCCCCCAACAGGCTCCTCCTAAACTGGCCATGTCCGGCTGTTATAACCACCACTGACAATTCAGATTCTGCAAAATTGTGGCTGGTACAAATGTGGGCAGCTACACAGAGTCTACACAGAGACTCATTTTGGGGTGGCTGGGAGAACTGAGATAACAATGAATGGCGAGGAGGGATTGGGCCTTTTTGCCTTGACTGTCATCTTTGTCTTTCTAGAACTGAACATATTGGGACTTGTAGTGATACAGGCAACTGCATTCAAATGAACCAAGGAGCCCTGGAACAGTGTAACTGTTGGTATGTAAAGAGATTTATCTGCGAGAAGAAAGCTCAATATCCATACCCATTGAGAGCTCAGTAGGGCCAAATTATGTGCGGACTCTCGTAAAGGTAAAGGTAAAGGGACCCCTGACCATTAGGTCCAGTCGTGACCGACTCTGGGGTTGCGGCATTCATCTCGCTTTACTGGCCGAGGGAGCTGGCGTACAGCTTCTGGGTCATGTGGCCAGCATGACTAAGCCGCTTCTGGCGAACCAGAGCAGCGCACGGAAACACCGTTTACCTTCCCGCCGGAGCGGTACCTATTTATCTACTTGCACTTTGACATGCTTTTGAACTGCTAGGTTGGCAGGAGCAGGGACCGAGGAACAGGAGCTCACCCCGTCACGGGGATTTGAACCGCCGACCTTCTGATCAGCAAGTCCTAGGCCTTGTGGTTTTACCCACAGCGCCACCCGCATCCCTCTTAAATGACCTGAAATCTTTCTCTGCAAAAACAAGAAGTATATTGGGGAGGGGGGAATGACTTTCCAGATTGTTATTTTTCTTTTTTCTTTTATAAGACATTTATTAGGTTTTTTGAAATATTACAGTAAAAATGAAAAAGAAAAGAGAAAAATACAAAATAAAAACAATTAAAAACACACATATTTCCAGTTACTTATTTTCCTTTAGCTTGTTTCCTGGACCTCCTCGTACCTCCCTTTTTTGTATTCCACTTCAATTTATTGGTTCAGCAAATCCTTACCATTAGATTTTAACCCATTTATAACCCTTTTTTCATATTCTCTTAAAGCATTACAGCTAGAAACCACTTAATTACTATCCAACATCATTCTATCATTCATTAATTTTACAATATTTCTGTAAATAGTCTTTAAATTTCTTCCAATCTTCTTCCACCGACTCTTCTCCCTGGTCTCGGATTCTGCCAGTCATTTCTGCCAATTCCATATAGTCCATCACCTTCATCTGCCATTCTTCCAAAGTGGGTAGATCTTGTGTCTTCCAATACTTTGCAATGAGTATTCTTGCTGCTGTTGTAGCATACATAAAAAGTTCTGTCCTTCTTTGGCACCAGTTGGCCGACAATGCCCAGAAGAAAGGCCTCTGGTTTCTTCAGGAAGGTATATTTAAATACCTTTTTCAGTTCATTATATATCATTTCCCAGAAAGCCTTAATCCTTGGGCACGTCCACCAAAGGTGAAAGAATGTACCTTCAGTTTCTTTACATTTCCAGCATTTATTATCGGGCAAATGATAGATTTTTGCAAGCTTGACTGGGGTCATGTACCACCTGTATATCATTTTCATAATATTCTCTCTTAAGGCATTACATGCCGTAAACTTCATACCTGTGGTCCATAACTGTTCCCAGTCAGCAAACATAATATTATGTCCAACATCTTGTGCCCATTTAATCATAGCAGATTTCACTGTTTCATCCTGAGTATTCCATTTCAACAGCAAGTTATACATTCTTGACAAATTTTTAGTTTTGGGTTCTAACAGTTCTGTTTCTAATTTTGATTTTTCCACCTGGAAGCCAATTTTTTTATCAAGATTATATGCCTCCATTATCTGGTAATAATGAAGCCAATCTCTCACTTTGTTTTTTAGTTTCTCAAAACTCTGCAATTTCAATTTGTCTCCTTCTTGTTCCAAAATTTCCCAATATTTCAGCCATTTGGCCTCCATATTGAGCCTTTTCAGAGCTTTCGCTTCCATCGGTGACAACCACCTTGGGGTTTTATTTTCCAATAAATCCTTGTATCTTATCCAAACATTAAACAGTGCTTTCCTGACAATATGATTTTTAAATGCTTTATGTGCTTTGACCTTATCATACCATAAATATGCATGCCATCCAAATACGTTGTTAAAACCTTCTAAATCCAAAATGTCTGTATTTTCAAGAAGTAGCCATTCTTTCAACCAGCAAAAGCTGCTGGTTCATAATAAAGTTTAAAGTCTGGCAGGGCAAATCCACCTCTTTCCTTTGTGTCAGTTAATATCTTAAATTTTATTCTGGGCTTCTTGCCCTGCCAGACAAATCTAGAAATATCTCTCTGCCACTTCTTGAAACAGTCCATCTTGTCCACAATTTGCAATGTCTGAAACAAAAACAACATTCTAGGCAACACATTCATTTTTATCGCAGCAATACTGCCCAGCAGTGAAAGCTTCAAATTTGACCAGATTTCTAAATCTTTTTTCACTTCCATCCAACCTTTTTCATAATTATCTTTAAATAAGTTCCCATTTTTGGCTGTCATATTAATCCCCAGATATTTCACTTTCTTAACCACAGTCAGACCTGTCTCATTCTGAAACCTCTCTCTTTCAATCGGTGTTAAATTTTTCTCTAAAACCTTAGTTTTTAGCTTGTTCAGTTTAAATCCTGCCACTTGACCAAATTCTTGAATTAATTCTAAAACCCTTTTAGTGCTAGATTCTGGCTCCTGTAACGTCAATACTAAGTCATCTGCAAATGCTCTCAGTTTGTACTGTTTGGCTCCGACCTGTATACCTTTAACCAACCGGTCCCTTCTAATCATATTCAGCAGAACCTCCAGGACCGATATAAAGAGCAGTGGGGAGATTGGGCACCCCTGTCGTGTCCCTTTTTCTATCTTAAATTTTTCCGTCACCACATTATTTATAATTAATTTAGCCTTTTGTTCAGAGTATATTGCACCTATACCATTTTCAAAACCTTGGCCTACCCCCATCCCCTGTAGGTTCTTCTTCATAAAGCTCCAAGAGATATTGTCAAAAGCTTTCTCCGCATCCACAAATATCAGAACTGCTTTAGTGTTAATATTCACTTCTAGTTTTTCCAAAATGTCAATTATATTCCTCAAATTGTCAGACAAGTGTCTTCCCGGGAGAAAGCCCGCTTGGTCTTTATGAATCTCTTCCATCAATACTTTTTTCAATCTCTTGGCCAAAATGTCTGCAAAAATTTTGTAATCCACATTAAGTAACGATATAGGGCGGTAGTTCTTAAGCTGAGTCTTTTCAGTCTCTGTTTTAGGTATAAGTGTAATGTACGCCTCTTTCCACGACTCTGGTGCCCTTTTCCTTCCAAAATTTCATTGCAGACTTCCTTCAAAGGTTGCAATAGCCACTCTTTCAAAGATCTATAATATCTAGAAGTCAGCCCATCCGGTCCTGGAGATTTGCCCAATTGCATGTTTTGAATGGCACCTTCCACTTCCTGTTCCGATATTTTATAGTTCAGCATTAATTTACTTTCTTGAGAGATTTTTTGTAATCCATTTGTCTTCAAAAATCGGTCTATGTCCATTTCTTTCTGTGGCCCTTGCGTGTATAATTGTTTAAAGTACCTCTGGAAACAGTTTCTAATCTCAATTGGGTTATGTATATTCTTTCCTTCCACTTCTAAGTTTGTGATAGTATTTAGTTTTTGTCTTTTTTTCATTTGCCAGGCCAACAATTTCCCACATTTATTAGCTGATTCAAATGTTTTTTGTCTCATTTGTTTAATTTTCCATTCTATTTCCTGATTCATCATTTTCATGTATTGTACTTGATATAATTTTATTTCTCGCAGAATCTCCTGCGACTTTGGTTTTGCTCTCAATTTCTTCTCACTTTCTTTTATTTTCTCCAAAATTTTATCTTTCTTCTCATTCTGACTTCTCTTCTTTATTGCATTCTGTTGTATCAGAAACCCTCTCATGACCGCTTTACTTGCGTCCCAGATCACTCTTTTTTCTACATTAGTGTTCATAATTATTTCAAAATAGTCTCTCAACGTTTTTTTAGGCCTTTTTATATACTTTTTCATCTCTAAATAAGGTGTCATTCATCCTCCATCTGAAGGATCCGGTTGATATTTGTTTCATCTCCATCCTTACCGCATTATGGTCGGAGCAGGTTTTTGGGCAGATTTCTACTTTCTTTATCTTTGGTGCCATTCCTCTAGTTATCCATATTTGGTCAATTCTAGTCCATGTCATCTTGGCTTCAGAAAAGAAGGTTCCCTCTCTTCCCAAGGGGTTCTTTGCTCTCCAGATATCCACTAAGTCTATATTGTCTGCAGATTGTTCTTTTTCAGTGTAAATCCTGTAAATAAATAAACTACTGTAAACTGCTTGAAATGCGGGAGCTTACCCCTCTGCAAAACCAGTCTGGCAAATATCTGTTAAGCAGAGGGGACCTGTCAACAGAGCATCTTCTGTACATCAATAGGTATAAAATTGGTGGATGGAATTCAGGAACTGAAGGTATTTACAATTTCAAAAGAATAGCCCAGACTGGCCAAAACAACCCCTCTGCAGCACCACACATCCAACTCAAGTGCTGTAATGCTGGAAAATGTCAATCACTTCTCCTACCTGGGCAGCTGTCTTTCCACTAGGGCCAACATCGATGCCGAAATCCAGCACAGCCTGAGCTCTGCAAGTGTGGCTTTCTCCTGATTGAAGTGCAGAGTGTTTGAGGACCGGGACATTGGCAGAGAAAACCAAAATGCTTGTTTACAAAGCTATTATACTACCAACCTTACTGTCTGCTTGTAAAACATGGACCACTTATAAACGCCATCTCCAACTCCTCAGAAGATTCCATCAATGGTGTCTCCGGAAAATTTTACACATTCACTTGGAAAGACAGGCAAACTAGTGCCAGTGTCCTGGAAGAAGCAAAGATCACCAGTGTCAAGGCAATGATTGTTCAACATCGACTTCGTTGGACTGGTCATGTTGTGCGGATGCCTGATGATCGTCTTCCAAAGCAACTACTCTATTCCCAACTTAAAAATGGAAAGCGTAATGCTGGTGGTCAACAAAAGAGTTTTAAAGACTCTCTCAAGGCAAATCTTTAAAAAATGTAGTATAAACACTGACAACTGGGAAACACTGGCCTGCGAGCGCTCCAGTTGGAGAACAGCCTTGACCAAAGGTGTCATGGGGTTTGAAGACACTCGAACTCAGTACGCAAGGGAGAAAGTGCTAAGAGGAAGGCACATTTGGCAAACCTTCACCGTGATCCACTCCCACCTGGAAACCAAAGTCCCCACTGTAGAAGGACATGTGGATCCAGAACTGGCCTCTACAGTCACTTACAGACTCACTGTTAAGACCCTGTTCATAGAAGACAATCTTACTCGGCTATGAGGGATCAACAAAGAATAAGAAAGAAGAAGAAATTTGATGAATGGGATTCAGGAATTAAGGTACAGTGGTACCTTCGGTTGCGAATGGGATCCGTTCCGGAGGTCTGGCCAAATCCTGAGGTTTTCGCAACCAGAGTGGTAGACCACTTCTGTGCATGCGCACGGGGTGAAACACTTCTGGGTTTGCCACTTTCGCAACCCAAAGTTTGCGTTACCTGAGGGTAATGCAAACTGAGGTGCTACTGTATTTATCATTTCAAAAGAATGGCCCAGACTGGTCAGATAGGACAATCAGCACATCATGATATCTTGACAGACAGGAGAAAAGCCACAGATTCAAATTTCTGTTGTAGACCCCCTCTTAGTTTGATCCTTTTTGGGTGGTCCTTGGCTAAGGGGCTGGGCAATTTCTAAAGCCTTTAAAAGTTCCTGCGCACCTTTGTCATGGGTCCTCACCGCCTACCAAGGAAGGTGGGTACGGTTGTTGCAACAGAATAGTAAAGATCTGCCTTGCTTTCACTGGATCCTGCCTTAGCTCCTTCTTCTCTGACCAATATTGAACGTGAGGGATTCTTAGTCCCTAAATGGGGAGTTTAGGGATTCCAACCATATCGGGAAGAACAATAAGAACCATTCAGCAGTTGAACAGACTCCTTTGGACATAGGGGACAACTCCTAGGGGGTTATTTGAGGGGGCTGGGCTCCCACAAAGCTGATGGGCATCTCCATTCAAATGGTGTGTGTGCACTGCATCATGTGATCGATCGTGTGGGGTGGGGCTTACCTGGGCCCCTACAATATTTTATTCAAGTTGGCACCCCTGCCCTTGGAAGCTGGTGGACTCTCCTTCATTGGAAGTGGTCAAGGAGGGGTTGGGTGGCCGTCTGCCAGGGATTCTTGAGCTGTGGTTCCTGCATTGCAGCGGCTGGGCTAGATTCCCACTCTACATTCCCATGCCCCACCAACCTCCGTCTCTCCCCACCCAACTCCCCACCACCTGCCCAAGGGGGTGGTCCTGGCTGTTAGCTTCCTCCTCCTCCTCCTCTGCTCATCCTCAGTGCTGCTCCCTTGCAGAACTCATTGAGGGGGAAGGATGGGGACTAAATTTCTGTGTTCCATTTCCATTTCTGTGTTCCATTTCCAGTTAATTTTATTTTTATCTCTGTGTTTATAGGTTTGATGTGATGTTATTAATAACCTTTTCTGTTGAGAGATAGCAAAGCGGATGAAATTAGAAACAAAGCAGAAACGCAAGCTGTGGGAAGTCTTGGAGGGGAGGGAGGGAGGAATATATAGTAAACTTTAAGAATTTGAGATGTATGTAATGAATGAAAATGAAAAATGAATAAAATTTTCAAAAAAATAAATAAATTCTGTGTTCCAGACCCAATGCTAACCTGCAATTGAAGCCTATGAGCTGCAGACCTGCTTTGAGCCTGTCGGAGGCTGCTGGAATTCTCAGTGGCCTCGTGAGCCATAAGCACCGACTGTCCAGGGAACGGCGGCAAACCTATGCCAAGCCATATACAATGGGGGGGGGGGGAGAGAGATTTCCATTTGTTTCCATGCCACTTTCCCACAAACCTGGGCCCAAAAGGGATCAAAATGTATCAAATGAGTATCAATAAGTATAACAATTAAGAGAAATTAGGAACAATTCGAAATAATCCTGAAGGCAAGAAGTAACCACATGGAAAGACCAATGCAACATTGTATGACACAATCCAGATAATCTTACCTAATGTAACAGCTTGGGATCAAACAGGGGCGGGAATAATGCCTGACTCAGAAAGGAAACGGTTGGATCCTGTAGAACAGGCATGTCCAAAGTCTGTTTCGGGGGCCTAATCCAGCCCACTGGTCGGTTTAGTCCAGCTCCTGTGGCAGTTTATTTCCTGGGGTAAAATCCTTAAAAACCCCCAATAACTTCAATCCTTAAAAAAGGTCAACAACTTTGGTTGGCCCTTTGGTCAGCCCTCACGGCCCTTCACTTCATCAAGTCTGGCCCTCTTTGAAAAAAGTTTGCTGTAGAAGCTCCCCCCCGATGGCTTGCTTGCCTTGGGTGGCCGAGGCCACTGCCCTGCCCTGTGGGCTAGGGCTGGGAGACCCCTTCCATCTGAGGCTCAGCTTGCATGTGTGCATGGAAATAATAATAATAGAGAATTCTATCAGAGATAATGCCTACCAACTCCAAGGACTTTCATTCCAAGAAAAGCAAATCCCAGGTATGTGCTGTTGGGCCAAAAAAGCAACCACCCTCAGCTGTGCTGGCTGATGCAGTGGTGGGGCCCCAACTCTGGCACTCCCTCTCTGAGGGAAATATTTAGTAATAGTCATTTTCCCCATATACAAAGACAACATCACTCACAGGCCGTCAGCCATGTTGCTTAGACCTATCAGATTTCTGCAGTTCACACACACAAAAATCTTTCCACATTTGACCATGAAATCTTGGGGGGAGGGTTATAAACACAATCTTTTTGACACATACACAGTGGTACCTCTGGTTGCAAAGGGGATCCGTTCTGGAGGCCCGTTCGCAACATGAAAAGAGCGCAACCTGAAGCGCCGTATCTGCGCAGGTGCATGGTGCAATTTGGTGCTTGTGCGCATGTGCGAAGCGTGATTTAGCGCTTGTGCTGTGTGCATGTGTAAACGGCGAAACACGGAAGTAACCCTTTCCGGTACTTCTGGGTCGCCATGGGACGCAACCTGAAAAAACGTAACATGAAGCAAGCGTAACATGAGGTATGATTGTAATCCAAAAATGGTTACCACACATCATAGAAAAGACGGGGGCTAGAATTTCTTTGGCTGCATGATTCTAGCACATCAGCTTTTCAGCCGGGGCTATTGCCCATGCTCAATGTTCAAGCCCAAGGCAGTGCGCCATTGCATGGCTCTTTCCATATCTGCTGCCACAGGGAGGAATCTGCTGCCCCACTTTGTGAGTAAACCGGACCCTGGGTGAGCATCAGGAACCCCTGGAATCTCCCACTGCTTGGAGGCTGGAATGGCAGGCAGCAAGGCCAAACTCAATTCTTTAAATACCCAAACCCAGAATGGGTAAGCGGAATTGCAAAACCACCACATACATTTGTAAGATCCAATCTCCCCACATCCCCTCCCACAGGTTGATGTTGCCCCTGGGATCGTGTGGGATATTCGCAAGGGGGAAATATCCGACATAAGTAAGAGTTTCAAAAGGATTCCCTTCATTGGACCAAAACTGTTTTAAAAGCCCCAAAAGTGTCTTCTGGTTTTTTAATTTTCAATAGCGATTATTACTTGAAAGTTCATTTCCTAGGGAATATTTGTGGCCGTAGGATGGCCAAATTCTCCCTCAATTAATATTTTGTATATACCGTATTTTCCCGTGTATAACACACCCCAGTGTATAAATATTTGGGGGGGTTCAAAATTAAGAAAATGTGCTATGCACTATCTGTGTATAAGACGACCCCTTATTTTAAACTTGGAGGGGGGGGGAATAGTCTTATACACGGAAAAATACGGTAGCTCATACTCCTGCCTCTGATGTGGCAGGGACATTCACCAGAGTTGTTCTAGAGCAGTCTGCTTGAATGGCTATACTTTAGAAGAGGAAGGAAATGAACCCACGTCCTCATTCATGCGCACGAGGTCTACACTTAACCAGTGAGCTGTGGCGCCACACTGAGCACATGACACATGCTTTGCTCTGCAGGGACAGACGGCGAGCACCCCAGGCGCCTGTCCTCTGGGGACCAGGGGAGGGCGTTTCCTTCCAGACCCCACCTGACAGAGCGGGGGCAGCAGGAGTCCGGATCTGATGCTCCGTGGGTCCCACCTGCTCCCGGGGACCAGTGGCCCAGCCCCACTCTCCCCGCTCAGAGCATGTGAGGCTCAGGCAACTGCTTCCCCCACCCCAGAGGCATCTCAGGGCAGGGCTGGAGCTCCCAGGATGTCTCAGGGGGTGACTTACGCTGACCTGAGATTTGTGAAGGTCCCTCGAAGGGAGAGCCAGGAGGAAGGTAGAGGCGCAGCCAGCCCAGATCTCCCCCCCAGCTCCCCCCACCCCATGTCACCACCTGTTCCTCACACCACCTTGTCTTCCAGAGCCAAATGATGGGGAGCTCACCTATGAGAACATCCAGGGGCCCAGGACCAGGGGGCAGGAGGAGGAAGAGGAGGAGGAGACCTCCAGGGAACTGGAAGATGCAAGAGGTGAGTCTCTGGTACCCTCCCCACTAGGGGGATGCTGCCAGAGAAGGAAGGAGGGGAGGGAAGGGGGGGGACTCTGGAGATGCTTGTTCTCCTCCACCAAATGGAGGCTCCTCACCAGTGCTGGATTAAACCCTCTGGAGGCCCCCAGGCAGTCAAAACCTCGGGGGGGAGGGCCTCACAAATCATGTCCTAATACTTTTCTTATTTTACCAACCAACCATTTTAACATTTTAACATTTATTATCTTGCCATGGGCTCCCTAAAAAGCATGGGGGCCATAGGATGGTGTCTATCTACGCTGCCTACTTAGTGATTTATTATTATTATTATTATTTGCTTTTCTGTTTTATCATATCATCAATGCATAATATGTTAAAGTCAGACCCATAATAGTAAGGGGGGGGAAAATAATAATAATGTAAATAATAATAGATTCAGGTAGGTAGCCGTGTTGGTCTGATGCAGTTGAAATAAAAATAACCTGAAGAAGTGTGCATGCACATGAAAAGCTTACACCAGAACAAGCTTAGTTGGTCTATAAGGTCTCCTGGACAATTTTCTATTTGTAAATAATATATTATAATTTGTTAATAATGATAACAACATAACTTATCCCTCCAGTTTATAAACCTTAATTTTAACTCCCTGTCCACTCTTTCTCTGGTCTCCTTTCTGTTGTCTTCTTGACTGCGTTTTCTTCTACTACTAAATTATTTCCATTGCCTTACAGTCCCACTTTGTCACATCCATTGCTGAGCATTCTTTTTTCAGTCTGTTACACTTATTTTCTTGTTAAAATGTTTTTCCATGTATTCTATATATAATGTCCAGTTTCCTTATAAATTCATAGGGTCTTTACTTCTTAATCTGTCATGCTGGCAAGTTCTATATATTCTTCTCTTGATGGTCCTGCATCTGTTCTCCACTTTCGTGCTGCCAGAATTTGGGCAGCTGTAGTCACATCCATAGAGTAGCTTGATTTGGGGGGGGGGGATTTATATTGTTATTCCACTGAGTGCTCACTGGAAGGACAGATCCTGAAGCTGAGGCTCCAAGACTTTGGCCACCTCAGGAGAAGAGAAGACTCCCTGGAAAAGACCCTGATGTTGGGAAAGATGGAGGGCACAAGGAGAAGGGGACGACAGAGGACGAGATGGCGGGACAGTGTTCTCGAAGCCACAAACATGAGTTTGACCAAACTGCGGGAGGCAGTGGAAGACAGGAGTGCCTGGCGTGCTAGAGGGGTCCAGGGGGGCACAAAGAGGCGGACACGACTGAACGGCTAAACAACCATATTGTTATTATTCCCAGAAGGAAAGCTTCTGGATTTTTAGGAAAAGTTCTTTTAAACATTTTCTTAAATTCGTTACAAACCACCTCCCATAATTATGTTATTATTCTACAAGACCACCATGAGTGATAAAATGTGCCAATTGTTTCTTTACATTTCTAGCATAGGCCACTTTTAGTTCTAAACATTTTAGCTTGTTTACTTGGCATCAAGTACCACCTGTGGATCATTTTTAAACAGTTTAAACTAGCAGTTTAAATTTAAATTTATTTTCTACAAATGTTCCCACAGGTTCAGATCAGTATTGTGACCCATATCTTGTACCCATTTGAACATAGATGATTTCACAAATTTTTATTTAGTTTCCCAATCTAATAATATCCTATATATTTGAGGAAAATTTTTAAACTCTAGATCTTAATATTTCTTTTTCGAATTGTGATGGTTTTTCTGCAAATCCCCATTTTTTATTCACCTTACATTTTTAAGTGATTTGATGATAGTTTAGCTAGTCTGAAACAAATTCTTTAATCTCTTCATTTTTTCTTCTCCTGAAAAGTATAACAAATCATTATAGGTACCCCAGTTACCACTCATATTATTATATTTCCTTGCCTCAGCTTCTATTGGGGATAACCACCTCGGCGTTTTGTTTTCTATTTTATTTTATTGTATTTTCCCCACACCCTAATTAAGTTTTTTCTAATAACTTTGTTGGCAAAGCTTTTACGTATTCCTTCTTTGCCATACCAGATACAAACATGCCAGCCATGTTTGACATCAGGACCCTCCAAATCTAGCAGCTGTGTCTTTTCCAGCAGTATCCAGTCTTTTATCCGACACAGGCAGGCAGCTTCAAAATACAATTCCAAATCTGGGAGTGCGAAACTTCAGCTTTAAAAGTAGGGGCCACATTTTATTCCACATGTTGCGGGGGGGGGGGGAGCAGGTTGTTTCAGGATGATGACTGGTTTTATGCAATATTGTGCTATTCTGAAGTTCCCTGCTTTACAGAACTCTTCTACGTAAACAAGTGAGCAAAGGTTGCCACTGATTTGCAGGTGACATTTAGGTTTGCACAGATTACGGGACTCTGACACCCAACTGCAGCAAATCCATTTTTTAAAAGGATCAGACTTTAAAAGGGAAAGAAATCCTGTACAACCTGCAAGAATCTGAGTTTTCTTGGTTTGGAAAGTGATGGGGAAACGGATTCAAAAGTGTGGGGTGGTGAACAAATGACTAAGGGCAAGCAGTCACAAACAATGCAGAACAAATGCTTTCCCTCTACCTAAATGCTGAATAAATACCGTATTTTTCGCTCCATAGGACGCACTTTTTCCCCTCCAAAAATGAAGGGGAAATGTGTGTGCGTCCTATGGAGCGAATGCAGGCTTTCGCTGAAGCCTGGAGAGCGAGAGGCATCGGTGCGCACCGACCCCTCTCGCTCTCCAGGCTTCAGGAAGCTATCCGCAAGCCTTGCAAGCCCGGTGGGAGTTCCCGCGGGCTCACAAGGCTTGCAGGCAGCAGCCTGCAGCCCCGGCGAGTGTCCGCAAGCCTTGCGCGCCGGGCAGGAGGTCCCGCCGAGCGCGCGAGGCTTGGGGCGGCAGCCGCGGCGGGGGGGGGGATAATTTTTTTTATTCATTTCCCCCCCCCCAAAAAAACGAGGTGCGTCCTATGGGCCGGTGCACCCTATAGAACGAAAAATACGGTAAGTCCACCTAAGTTTGGCGCGTAAATACTCAACCAACAGACTGCCTGAAGTCGCCCAAGCCAGTTTCCCTTTCCCCCAAGGGCCACTTTGCTTAGCAAATCAGCACGTCTTGAGACCACTGACATTTAAGATGCAAAGTCTGCATTTTATTTTCCTTATTTACTGTAAGTGGAACTTTTTTTATCAAACAAATATGACTCATTCTGGTGTTTTGCAGAAGTAAGAAAGCGGCATAGATAAGAAAGGTTCTCCATTTATCTGAGAAACTTAAAATACAAGTTCAAGATGATGAAAGGGCTATTTATCTCAATAGATTTCTGACCTGCCTTGTCTTCTGGACAGATAACACCATTGAAAACCCATCTGCCCAGCTGGTTTTGTTGGCTCAAAAAATGAATAATAAGCCAAGCAATAATATTCCACATGCATGTGACTTTCAGCATTCAGAGTTTCGCTTACAAGGACCTTGTAAAGTAAGGCAGTCTGAGTATTGTGCCAGGTATCTAACCACCATTAAATCCACAGGCCCCAGGCTGAAGTCCTCCTTGCAGCCCTTTGTCCTCCACATCCAGTGACAGCATTACCATCCATCAAGGATCCTTCAGAGTCCAGAGTCCTGCTCTTCTGGTCGTTCCACCAGCACAAGCCTTTCTGCTTGCCAGACTGAACAACTCTCCCCGCTCTCCTCCCTTTGCATGTTGTCCTGGGGTTCTCCTGACCACCCAGAGCTGATTTGGGGAGCCCAGGGAGAGGCGGGGGGGGATCCCAATACAGTCACTGGAACCCTTGTGCCTCAGTGTCAGGTTCATGGGATCCGGGCCTTTATCTTTCCCTCTCCCTTTTCTTCCAACATTCAGTCTGCACCACCAAGTCTTCTCGCTTCTCCTCCCTAGGCAATGTGAAGACAGCCGAGGAGATGGAGGGGAAAGACTGGAGTTATCATCATGGATGCTTGAGAGGTGGGGATCGCTGCCTTTTAGGGGGAGAGCTGTATTCTGAGACTAATCATTTTCCTACTTGGGATCTAGATTCCAGACATCTTCCATACAAGCAAGAATCAGAGTGTTTTGGAGCACAGAGTGTTTGGGAACCCAGCCCAGCATTGTCTCCACGGGCTGGCAGCAGCCCTCCACGGTTTCAGACTGGGGCCTCTCCCATCCCTCCCTGGAGATGCCACAAGGGACTGATCCTGGCACCTTCTGCATGCAGGGTAGCTGTCCTGCCACTGAGCTAATTCTCTTCCCAGTTCCCAGTTTTACTAGAGAACAATGACTGGATGGGCCAAACTCCCCAGAGGATGAGGCTTGGCTGCTCACTCCTCGGCAACTATTCATTCAACATTTTCAGGAAGGCCTTCACAGGGAGGGGCATTGAAGGCAGGATCCATCCCTGCACGAGTGCACCTTCTTGCCTCTTCCCCATGCACAGCACAGACACACAGTCCTGAACATGCCTCGGAGCGCCAGCTCTTACAGGGACCAGGGGCAAGTGGCCATTTCCCAACTGCAACCGGGCAGCTTTGGGGCTAAAAGCAGTCAGTCAGAGCCCCCAGCTGATCCCAGTGAGTTTCTCTTGCAGAGCCAGACCGTCGGACCTGGTACGCCATCCTGGCCTTGTTGGCCACCTGCCTCTTTCTTCTCGCCACCGCCATAGGACTGGGGGTCCGATGTGAGTAGCGGGTGCCCCCTGCCCAAATCCATCACCCTGGGAAAAGCCAATCAATTGGGGGGGAGGGATCACAGTTGGCTCACAGCTTGCCCTCTCTGCCCTGGGCTCTGGGCATGAAAAGGTGCATTTGAATAATGTCGCTCATGAGGCCCACCTTGCAGGGGTGTGGTCCCCTGGGAAAAAGCCTTCAAGGGAGACCAGCTGCTTTGGCTGCTCTTGGTGGGGAAGAGCCCAGCCTGGTGTCCCTCCCCCCTTCTCCTCTGCAGATGGGCAAGTCTCCCAGCAGCTCCAGCGGGAATCCCAAAACCATGTGGCGCAGAGCAGCCTCCTGGCCCAGAGACTCGGCACCTTGGAGGAGAGCCTGTCCGTTTCTCAGAAGCTGCTCCGCGAGGCTGAAAGAGATCTCCGTCTCACCCGGAGGGCCCTGGAGGAGAGCTGGAGGGATGCGAACAGGACACAGCGGCAGCTGGGAGACCAAGTGAGGCAAGCAGACCGCAACCTGACGCATCTGAAGCAGGAGAAGGAGCAAGTCGAGAGAGCGCTGGGCGAAGCCACCTCTTGCCAGCAGATGGGTAGGTCTGTGGTGTGGGAATGTTCAGGGAGGCAGGAGAGGATATATTGTTTGTTAATATCCTTCCTTACTTGCACTAGCAAGTTCCTTTACTTGGCAGAGTTTTACATTCCCCCTTTAAACGCACAGCAGGTAGCTGGTTGCAGGCTTGTGTAAGCCTCTCACTGTTAGGTTCCTGGTAAGTTCCCTTAGATCCCTCTTAAAAGAATAAACACGCCATAAACACGTATATATAAGAAGTTTACTCACCTTATCAGTTCACAGATGGATCCCTGAAGGCAGACTTAGTTACAAATATATACATGTGAGTCTATCCCATATGGGGATAATCCCACTGTCCTCTGTCGGCTGAAAGCCAACAGGACATTTCTAGCTAAAAAGCTGCTCCAACAATGGAGGAAGTCAGAGAGAGAGAGAGAGAGAGAGAGAGAGAGAGAGAGAGAGAGCGCTGCGTGCCTTGTCCTTTTGTTACCTGGTCAGGTAAGGTCACGCCCATCTCTAGTCACTTCCAAAAGGAAGCATGTCTCAGCCAGGAGGAAACAGGAAGTTCCGACTGTCTGGACCAAACATCCCCTTGCATGTCCACTCTAGGAAAACGAGGAATGTTGTACTTGACTGCTATCTATGTATCACATCCCGCATGGGGGGCTGGGGGAGCCCTGACCCTGTTCATTGCTTAGACAGATGAGCATTTATTTCAGGGGTGTGGCCTGTTGATGGGCTGGGAGGGGGCTCTGTTGGTGCCACTCTATGGCAACTGTGCCACAACCTCAGGCCCCATCTCTGCGCTCCGTGTGATCCACTCACCACATCCCAGGAACATACAAAATGAAACTGAAACTCTCGCACAGCCTCTGGGGTGCATCTCCCAGGTCACATGTTGCTTTTTGTGCCCAGCAGCCACCATGCACCACCAATCATCACTCGTTCTCTATACCAGGCACGTCCAGCTCTATAGAGACTGCAATCTACTCCCAGTATAATAAAACTGGCAGTGATCTGCCCATTGGCATTGCTCATAGTTGTTGAGCTTTTTCAGGGGGACAAACCAGAGTGGGCATTAGTTGTTGAAATTTTTGGGGGAAGGATTGAATTAAAACACTTGTCCTATAGTCCGCTGCCCTCCCTCATTCCCCGCACTCTGCTGAGGGGAGGGAATACAACATTTCTAAGCAGCATCAGAAGCAACGATGGGATGTAGCGGCAGGGGCGGGGCACGTCGCGAGCGCTAAGGAGCAACAGGGGGTCACTTTCTTGGCTCCTGCAATCAACCTGGAACACTCCGGCAATCTACCTGTCTATTGCAGTCAACCGGTTGGACATTGCTGCTCTATAATATCGCATGAACTGGACCTAGCACAGATTCTCTTCTGCAAAGCAACAAATAAGATTTGTTGCTGAAGAGCGCCAAATCGGAATCTGCCAGGATGCTAATAATAATATTAATAACAACAACAACAATAAAATATTTATACCCCACCCACTCTGGGTGGCTCCCAACAGAATAATAATAATAATAATAATAATAAGCAGCGATAAAACATCAAACATTTAAAAAATCCCTAAACAAGGCTGCCTTCAGATGTCTTCTAAAAGTCAGATAGTTGTTTATTATGAATCTCACCCCCCAAATGGTGATACCCTGGACTCTCAGCAGATTGGCAGGACAAGTCGTGTGTCCCACCAGGGCTTGGCTGCCAGCCTGAGGCCACCTGCCAGTCCCAGCCGCTCAGAAGCTGAAAGCTGCTCCCTTGACCTTCTCTCCCCCAGGCTGCTGTCCCCATGGATGGGAGCTCTTCAGGTGGAAATGCCTGTGGGTTTCACCTCCGTCAGAAAGGAAGAGCTGGAGAAAGAGCAAAGAAGACTGCCAAGCCAGATCGTCTCAGCTGCTTATTTTAAAGCCCTGGAGCGCAAGGGAATTATGGGATGGTGTAATAGCAAGGGATGAGGAGGTAATAACTGTAGGGTACAAGCAGCTCCAACATAATGCAAGGGGGTGGAGGGTGAGGAGGGGACGTCGAGTCCAGAGTCAAGCCTTACTGGCCAGTAAGAGAAACCCAGAAGCAGGTTATTCTCCAGTTCCACCCAAAATGAAACCCATTGATTTCACACTGCTGGGGACCCAAACCATAGAAGGGGAAGTCAAAATCACACAAGTGGAAGCAATGAGAACGCAGGGAGCGAGCGATGTGCAGTGTGGCCCGGTTCACACACGGCTGTGAGCAATGGTTCCTGGCTTGCTGTGAACAAACAGTTGCTTCTGAACCAAGACAGGTATGTTTCACCTGCCGTGAAGAAACCCATATCAGCTGGCAGATGGAGACCCCGAATCAGACATTGCGCTCAGCTTGGCTTCCTCTCCTGTTGCTCCTCCAAGGGAGCGATGAAAGAGGAATGATCCGGCCTGCTGCTCATTCATGGTCAGCCATTACCCACAACTTGCTCTGATGATGGGCAAAGTCGACCAGGGGGATCTCCTAGGGATAGGCCAGCCCCCCCGCCACCTGCAGAGCATATCCAGGGGCCCACGAGAAAGGATATTCAGCACTAGGGGTGGGGAACCCGTTTGGCTGACCTCACCTGACCTCACAATGTCCCTGCAAGGCACTGCTAAGCAAAGGTTTCCTCCTCCGTTTTAGCCAGCCTTTTAGTGAAAACCCATCCCTGAATCAGGAAGGACCTTGAATGTAAACCTGCCAAAGTGAGCAGGGTTTAAGCCACACTTGAGGAAAGAGGCATTTTGGCTGATAGGAAGAAAGGAAGGGGAAGGCGAAGCCTCAGAGACTAGAAAATGAAACAGAAGCAGGACAAATGCAGTCAAGGGGAGCAGAAACAGCAGCTCCTTAGGACCCCAGGGATAATAATAATAATAATAATAATAATAATAATAATAATAATAATATATTTTATACCCCCACCCATCTGGCTGGGTTTCCCCAGCCACTCTGGGTGGCTTTCAACAGAGCAATAAAAACAGAATAAAACTTCAAACATTAAAAACTTCCCTAAACAGGGCTTCCTTCAGATGTCTTCTAAAAGTCTGGTAGTTGTTGTTCTCTTTGACATCTGGTGGGAGGGCGTTCCACAGGGTGGGTGCCACTACTGAGAAGGCCCTCTGCCTGGTTCCCTGTAACTTGGCTTTTCGCAGTGAGGGAACCGCCAGAAGGCCCTTGGATCTGGACCTCAGTGTCCGGGCAGAACAATGGGGGTGGAGACGCTCCTTCAGGGATACTTACAGCTCACTGTCCAAATAACTCACTCATCCAGCACAATTCTGACTCCACTCACTGGCTAAAAACAATCTTTTTTCTCAACAGCCAAATAAATACTGGATTGGTCTGCAAATAACATGGTCTGCAAAGAAGAAGGGTTGGGTTTACACTTGGGTTGATGACACCCCTTATGAAGGGTAAGTGCACCAGAGAAGGTCCTTTTGGATGACTACAGGATTGGAAGGATCCAATCCCCCCAGAAGGCAAAAGCACATTAGCTCAGGCAGAATTTCCACAGCCTCTCAGGAAAAGAACCATCAGGGCCAAGAGGATGGCAGGGTGGGTAACAAGCAGAATTGAGGAAGTTATGAAGGGCAAAAAGACCCCGTCAGAAAAGAAAAAAGATCATAAACTTTGGTAAAAGAAGCAGGCAATGCAAAGCAAGAGAGATGAATTACACTGAGCACATTTTTGAAAACAGAGGGCTGTATCCAACTCAGCTTTGATCAAAGCAGAGCCATCAGAAGGAATAAGGTAAAGGGGCCCCTGACCATTAGGTCCAGTCGTGGCTGACTCTGGGGTTACGGCGTTCATCTCGCTTTACTGGCCGAGGGAGCCGGCAGACAGCTTCCGGGTCATGTGGCCAGCATGACGAAGCCGCTTCTGGCGAACCAGAGCAGTGCACGGAAACACCGTTTACCTTCCTGCCGGAGTGGTACCTATTGATCTACTTGCACTTTGACGTGTTTTCGAACTGCTAAGTTGGCAGGAGCAGGGACCGAGCAAAGGGAGCTCAAACCGCCGACCTTCTGATCGGCAAGTCCTGGGCTCTGTGGTTTAACCCACAGCGCCACCCGCGTCCCATCAGAAGGAATAGACCTGAGTTAATCCTGCCATCAATTTCAGTGGGGTATCAGTCTCCCTCCAGGTCCAAAACAGCCCAAGGTCAATCTGAAGGGGAATCCAGACAAGATCCAAGGAGGCAAGGGAGAGGCTGCCCCAGACCCCTCAGCCAGACCCGCCAGCCAGCCCTCCTCCCCCTCCTCCTCCTGAATCTCATTGTGGCCCTTGCATGACTCTGCAGGGAGGAGGATGGGGACCAGAGGAGCCTTCGTTTCCCTTGCCTGCCTCTGGCTCCACCTGCTGTGCACATCTCAGCATCATCTAGCTGTTATCATCCACTTTCTTTTTTTTTTTTTAATGATATTTATTGAAAATTTTTAAAATTACAGAAAAAAACACAGCAGAAAAAGAAAAAAGAGAAAACAAAGAGAAAACAAACCACATCAAACAATGCAGATTCAAAAAACAAAAATACACCACAAACAGATAAAAACAAATCCATCATTCTCGAATCCTCAACTTTCATTACCTTCTTTCTTTGACCTCCTCCTCCTCCCTTTTTTTGTATCCTAGTTATTAATTATCGCAGCAAATCCTTTCCATATTTCATAATATTCTGTCATTACATTACCTTAATCTATTTTCATCTTATCTTATAGAAAACCTTAAAACTTAAAACTTAAATCTTATTTTTACCAACTTCTCATAACCATAATATTCTTACCTAATTCTTTAAACATTTTTGCTAGAGCCAAGTAATTTCGTTCCAACATTTTTCTAACATTCATCAATTTTATAAAGCAATCCTAATAATAAAAAAAAGAAATAAAAACAATCTAATCTTCATCCAGCGTCCTTTCCTCCTGGTCCCGGGTTTTGTCAGTCCTTTTTATCCCATTGATCTAGCGCATTAACCTGGTAACCTTATATCCGAGGCCCTTAAGTCTCTTCCATGTCCCTTCCACGGCTCTTCTTCATATTTTCCTTTCACTCGTGGGAACTCCAGCTTGGTAATGTTTTTGACCCTTTTCAACAAATCAGCCCCTTTTCCAAAGACCAGACTAAACTCCATGTGGTATTTGAAAACATGTTTCAGAATCCCTCCAAAATTAAGAGCCCCCACAGCCCCAAACATCTCACGGCCCATTGCCAGACTTGGAAAGTCCAAACATCCCTGCATAGGGGGGTCTATCCAACCCCCTATTTCCAAACCAAACCAAACTTTATCTTTCCAAATCTGGCTTTTTCCAAGTTCATTTGTCAAGTCCAAAAGCTCATGTTCCTGCTGGGCCACAGCTCCCTCCATCTCTGGCGCCCAAAATTCAGCAACATCCTCTTCTCTCATCTGTTCTGTCAGGGCACACTCCTGGTTTAATTCCTGGGTGGGCTCCATATAGTTTCCCACTGCCTGTTCAAAAATTCTGACCGCATTAGTCATCAAATCCGTCTTCTCATTTAACTGTTCCAGTAGGGCATTTGTTTTACAGAGAGCACACCACAGAGCTTCTGAATACATTGTCCTACAAGGTCACAAGTCTATTCCCACGATAGTAATCTGTAACAGCTGCAAGCTCCCTGGAATTAGTTGCAGTTTCACAGTCTCCCTCTAGGGGGAAAACTTCTATTTGTTCTTTCTTTTAAGTACAAATCTAGCAACAAAGTTTCCTTTTTGAGATATTTTGTCAATATTTGTTCCTTTAAAATGCGAAAGGGAACAGTGGAATCACTATGTTTCTCTTCTTTTAGCTATCTGTCAAAAACGTTTGTCTCTGGTCAATGAGCTTCAAATGTCAGTCCTGACACCCCGCTCCAGGATCAGGACGGTGGAAAGTTACTTTACTTTAAGCTCACTTCTGCAGGTTTAAACAGTCCGAAAAAGATCCCCCTTCTTCTCCTGCTTCCGAAGGGGGGTTCAACAATTTTAAAATGATGAAAGTTAATCTTTTAGAAGCTATTTTCTGAGCTCTAGTTTACGTTGTCTTTGCTTTATTCTGTCTACAAAGAAACGGAAGGCTGACTTCCTGTTTAGACCTTCCCGTTTCAGTGCCAAATTGAAGTAAATTTTTAAGTCCAATTCCTTTCTGCTCGCAAGTCCTTATTTAAAGTCCAATTGTCCGAAATTTAAGTACTCATGGGTGATTATTTTAGAAGCCAAATTGTCCCAGGAAAAAGGCAGTGCTCTCCGGCAACAGCTATGCGGCTTCGCTCCATGGAAATAGCAGTTGACTCTCAGCACCGCGCCACTTCCCCCTCTTCGCTTTGGAGCCCGTTAGTGGGTTCCTTTGCGGGTTGGGGGGGCGCTAAGGGTGCCCGCCGAGTCCCATGGTCACAGGCTTCATCCGCCTGTGATTTTTGAAAGGGTCCCCGCTTCGCCGTAGCGGAAAAGACCCGTTTCGCACGGAGCTAGTCCCTCCAGATCAGAGGGAGTCCGCCATTGCCGATGGCGCCACCCCGGAAGTCTCTGTTATCATCCACTTTCCTCCCCGTTTGAACTGGAACAGAGAAGTCCCCACCCACAAATATTTCAATCTGTATACAAGGAGCCCTTTCCCTGTTTAGACCAGGAGGCGTCCCCTTCTGTGTTTCTCCCTGCCTTCTAATTTTGGGATTCTGTGATGCCAAAAGCTGAACATGCCCCTTGTGTTTTTAAAGTCTTTCCCAGCGCAGGAAATGCACAGTAACTCCCAGCCAAGCAACTGTAAATTCTCAGCACAGACTTTTCAGATTGTGGCACGATATCTGCCGTAGAAATTCCAGACCTGTTCCATGGGATTCTGCCTGATCCCCAAGTTCCCTGGTCTGTGGGGTGTCGGGTTTGTCCTCTGAAGACCCCCTGTCCAGAACTGGGTCTGAGCTGGGCAGGAGGAGGACAGAGGCAGCGTCCCCTCTGAATCCCAGGGGCCAGGGAGCCTGAGCAGGGAGAGGCTGCCCTCAAGTCCTGCCTGGGGGCTTCCCAAGAGGTGCCTGCCTGGCCACTCTGAGAACAGCAGGCGGACTTAGATCGGGCTTAGATCCAGCAAGGCATTTGGTGGGTGTTTGTGTTGGGGGGGGGTTGCTCTCCAGCAGACATCATACACCCCTGTGATAGTAATTTTGAGGTCTTAGATATATGTTAAATGTTCATAAATGTACCAAGCAAACACGTACATAAATATATAAACCACATGTCTGAAAACCCCACAGAAAAAGTCCTGAACAAATTGACCTCAATTATTTATCTGCAAGGTCAAAGTGGGAAACCTCCTCATTGTCTCTTTCCTCACAAATCCTGTCTTAAGGGCACATTTAGATATGAAGGTTGCAACAAATCAATAAAGATCAGGCTTACTAGCTGCTTTGCTTCTCAATATGCTCTGGTTGGCCTCTGTTATTTTCTCCAAATGATGGAGAACCTACGTAAGGACTCTATATGCGCTCTTGGATACGCCATAAGGGGGAAAGGGCAGATTTTGTTTACAACAGTGGGAAGCCCATTGTGCAGTGAGCAAGAACTAGGGTGGATTTTGTCCCTTGAGTTCTTTCATAAATTGCTTTTTGAACCTTTCAGAAGTAAAAGACTTAGTCAGAGACAGGATTATCAGTTTGGAACACTGAAGAGTGGAATCATCTCAGTGGATAAGGAAGGAACGCCACATCCGTACATTTGTGAGACGGCAGCCAGCCCTGAGCAACCATTTCCTGGTTGAGAGGTAAGAGATGAATTAGGGGAGGCAGAGTTGCTCCAGCCCCTCGGTCATTTTGGCTGCTGTTTTCTGAACCTTTTCCACCTCAGCAATATCCGTTTTCAGGTGTGGCAACTACAACTGCGTTCCACATTCAGTCACTGCACCAGATTTGTATCATGGCAGTTTCATGACATTAGCAGTTTCGTTTTCAATTCCTTTCCTAATGACCCCCGGCAGAGATTTTGCCTTTTTCGCGGCCACAGCACACTGGGTCTGCATCTTCAACAAGCTCTCTGCTGTGACCCCAAGGTCTCGCTCCTGGTCCATCGCTTCCAGTTCAGACAACCACCAGCTTGTACATGAAATCAAAATTTTCTGCCTCAAAGTGCATCACTTGACCCTGACTGGCACTGAACGGCGTTCGCCATTTCCCCTCCCATTCGCGCAGTTTGGACAGGTCTCCTTGCCGCTCTTCACAGCTCTTTCAACAACCTGAACAGCTTCCTGTCATTAGCAGACTTGGTCACCTCACTGCCAGCTTTGGATCAGCTATGAACAAGCTAGAAACCACAGGTCCCAATCCCCGATCCTTGGGGGGCTTCTTTCTAATTTTTACCATTTGCATTTATTCCTACTCTTTGGTTCCTGCAACTCAGGGCCCCCCCACACTTCCCATCAGATGTCAAGGAAATAAAGAACTGAGAGACCTGGTCTGAATAGACACATTGGATTCTTATCTCGTTAAACATGATATAGCTGTTTTTGGCCATCTCACCGCTTGCTTTTTCCTGTAAGACCAGTGGTCAAGAAGTTTACCATGCCCATTGAGTCAATCACCCATCTCCCACTACACTTCCGAGTAATATCCCTCCCCACCCTCTCACTCTATATAAGGGTCTGGTGACTTCTGTTTCAGTGTATCTGAAGAAGTGTGCATGCACACAAAAGCTCATACCAAGAACAAACTTAGTTGGTCTCTAAGGCGCTACTGGGAGGAATTTTTTTATTTTGTTTTGACTTTTAGAAGATATCTAAAGGAAGCCCTGTTCAGAGAAGTTTTTAATATTTGAAGTTTTATTCTGTTTTTAGTGTTCTGTTGGGAGCCGCCCAGAGTGGCTGGGGAAACCCAGCCAGATGGGCAGAGTATAAATAATAAAATGATGATGATGGTAATGATGTTTGTCCCACAATATTCAAGTCACGGGTCCAGAGGGTGGGGATTTTTGCTTCTTTTCCTCCTGCTGCTTTTTCTGGGAAAACCCGCTCTTTACTGCTGAACGGGAACAAACGTCAAGCCACAGAAAACCCATTTTGTTCTTCTCATTAATGTATTTCTAATATTGTGTTGGGGTCCGTTGTTGTTTGTTTAGTTAGCCACCCAGGAAATCTTCCTCAAGGGCATCCATTTAATGCTTGGAATTTGCAGAGGCCACTGCAGGTCCTAGCTGCACAAATCGGGACGTCTCAGAACTTGAACTGGTGGACTCCGAAGAAGGGACGGCGCTTCTGGAGCTGCTCTGGCCTCAGAGTTCTGCTGGAATAACTGGACATGAGAAGGGGTCACTTTCCTTCATGAATGTAAATCTCCCCATGGATGAGCTAATCCCAGGTGCAAGGTCAGCCAAGCCAGTTGCTATGATAACAGCCCAGTGCCCCAACTATATTTGTAATTAATGCATGTCGGCTCAGGAGTGTCAGTCTGTGAGTCTGCAGTTAGTCTGTCTGTCTGTCTGTCTGTCTGTTATTTGTGTTGCTTGCCCAATGCTATGTCTCGAACGGCTCAATTTGGAGCAACGGAGATCATTTGTACTTGTAGTTGTATCTGTATCTGCAAAAGCCTACCAGCTGTATCAACATTTGGAACTGTCTGACGGAGCCTTATCTTCTGCAACAGTAAACTATCTGAAACTTTCTCGGCTGCTGCATGGTGACTGGTACTGGGAGCAACTTCCACCGTGTGGGGATCTCACCTGAGATTCCCAACAGGCTCACCTGTCCACATGGGGAGGGGCATCCCTTGTTCACGCTCCTTGGCAGCATCACCATCACGTTTGCAAGGCTGAGAGAGGCAGCCACCTTGGGCTGCGGGTGGGTGGGTGTGTCTGGAGGGGCCGGCCTGTGTGAGCTGCCAGGCCTGAGCCTCTTGGGATGCTGCCGTCAGGTGCAGGAAAGGATGTGGCCCCACAGGAAGCACCAAAGTCCAATCCAGATCTTGGGCATGGAATGAGGTGCCATCTCATCCTCGGGCAGCAAAATTCCTTGAACAGCCCTAATCTTAACACAGGCCTTGATATCGGGACATGGACCAGCCTGGTCACACCTGGTGGCAATCTCTGCTGGCTGGGATTCCCCAGCTACTCTGGGCGGTTTCCAACAAAAGATTAAAAATACATTAAACCATCAGTCATTAAAAGCTTCCCTAAACAGGGATGCCTTCAGATGTCTTCTAAAAGTCAGATATTGTTTATTTCTTTGACATCTGGTAGGAGGGTGTTCCACAGGGCGGGTGCCACTACCGAGAAGGCCCTCTGCCTCACTTCTCGCAGTGAGCAAACCACCAGAAGGCCCTTGGCGCTGGACCTCAGTGTCCGGGCTGAACGATGAGGGTGGAGATGCTCTTTCAGGTATACAGGTCCGAGGCTGTTTAGGCTTTCAAGGTCAGCACCAACACTTTGAATTGTGCTCGGAAACGTACTGGGAGCCAGTGTAGGTCTTTCAAGACTGGTGTTATGTGGTCTCGGCGGCCACTCCCAGTCACCAGTCTGGCTGCCGCATTCTGGATTAGTTGCAGTTTCCGGGTCACCTTCAAAGGTAGCCCCACGTAGAGCACATTGCAGTAGTCCAAATGAGAGGTAACTAAAGCATGCACCACTCTGGTGAGACAGTCTGTGGGCAGATAGGGTCTCATCCTGTGTACCAGATGGAGCTGGTAGACAGCTGCCCTGGACACAGAATTGACCTGCACCTCCATGGACAGCTGTGAGTCCAGAATGACTCCCAGGCTGTACCCCTGGTCCTTCAGGGGCACAGTTGCCCCATTCAGTCCCCCACGCCCGCCAGACTCCTATCCCCCCAAAACAGTACTTCTGTCTTGTCAAGATTCAACCTCAATCTGTTAGCTGCCATCCATCCTCCAACCACCTCCAGACCATAGCTGTCAACTTACAGATTTGAAAATAAGGGACCAGCAGCCTCGGAAATAAGGGATCAGCAGCCAAAATAAGAGATTTTCAGAGCACAGGTATGTTTGACTTCTGAGCCCCTCCAAGCCAAAGGCAGAAAGCCCAGCCAGCAGCCAAACGAAGCCTCAAGCGGTGGTTCCCACAGCGCAGCAACCCGGCAAAGAGGATGCAGCAAGGAAAACTACCGTCACCTCTCCGCTGGGAAGCGCTGAGCAAAGGCGAGTCCCCAGGCAACGCGGCCGATTTGATCGGCACAAGGCATGAAAGCTCCACCTTCCGGTCGTTCTTAGACTCCTTATTGGGTGAACAACGCAGCCAAGCAACAAAGTTGGAGCCTCCCTCCTCCCTGGCCATCATCAATAAGGGACAGCAGCGGGACACGGCGCTGGGATAAGGGACTTTCCCGCCAAATAAGGGACGGTTGACAGCTATGCTCCAGACACTCACACAGGACCTTCCAACATCCAGCTTTACTGCGTGTCCCGTGTTATGAGAGAGGGAGGCAAACTTTCTCTCTCCACTCTCACAAGCCATGCGGAGTTTATAAACTTGTATTGCGCTGCTTCTTCCTCGCCTTTTCTCTGAAGCAAAAAAGGAAGATGCAGACCAAGCCAAAGACCCAGCCCCCTGCTGAAGCCCCCTGACCGGCCAGATCCGATATCCTAGGACGCTTTGGGCAAAAACCAGGCTGTTTCGACCGTCATCATGTTTTATTTCTCCAACACTTTAAATAAGCTGAATACATAAAGCAGCATTTGTCGTTATTAAAAATGCAGCTGCATCCCACCAGGGCACTGAGTATAGGGGGGCTGGAGGGGGGGGGACGCTGAGCCTCGCGCAGGAGGGGGGGCCGAGATGCAACCAGAAATCAGTACTCATCATTATTGCACATGGGCAGGAGAGAAGTGCTGGGAACAGAAGCCAGTTCCCCCCCCAACTCCCCCCCACCCGCCTTCCCCCCTCCAACACTCGTACAGCTCAGGAGCACCCAGGGGGGAGGCTGAGCCCCCCCACCAACATTGCAGGTCCAAACTTGTGTCTCCCAGTTTCCTAGTCCCCAAATGTGCCACACAAACAAGCACACTTTCCTGCCCCCCCCATTTCTGTCTCCTGACCCCGCCCCCCAGTCCTTAGAGTCTCTTTCTCCTCTGTCATCCCCCCCCCAAACAAGCAGGGCAAGTATTATTGGGGGGGCAAGACCCCCAGGCCACTATTTGCAGCCCACACCAGGAGGTCTCACCAAGCCTGGGTTTGCAGAGGGAGGCACTGCACTGGGGTGGGCAAAGCCCCCCACCCAGAAAGAAACCTTGGGGGGGTCTCTTGGATGCTGGTGTGTGGCCCCCCTCCCCAGTCCAACCGCACGGGGGTCCCTGGGGCGGCCACCTTATTGCACTTCCGCCTGGCTCATGGGAAGGGACCCCCCCTTCCTTCCCACAGCTCCTGCCAGGGCTGGGGAGGGGGGTTTCAGGCACCGGGAAGCCCCTTTGCTACAAAAGGCCACAGGGTGGAATCTTAACCTCCCGCCCCCCAAAAACATGGCCCCACAGGCTCCTCCGCTTCGCCAGGCCCTGAGAGCCGGCCGAGCGCTGGCACCGGCTATGCCACCTTCAACGCGCTGCGGCGCCCTGAGGCCGCCCAAAGGGTCCGTCGTGGGTCCGCAGCCCCCCTTTCGCCCCGCCGGGCTCAGGGGGGCCCTCTGTGTGTCCCGCCTTAGGACTGTGCTTCGGGCAGCTTGAGGCTGGGCTCTGCCAGAACCGGGCCCTTGTGGTGCCTCTCCTGACACAGGAGGCTCTTGGCTTCGCAGTTGAGGTTCTGGTAGGCGGGGGCGCTGGCGGGGGGCCGGTGGCAGACGGAGGCGAAGCTGAAGCCAAAGGGCCCCAGGCAGCAGGCGGGACAGCTGAGCACCTCCTCCTGCTCCAGCACCCCCACGCTGCCCCCTCCGCTCAGGGCCAGGGCCGACCCCGCGTGCTCCAGCGGGGGCCCCGAGCCGGGCGGGGGCACGCTCAGCTCCGAGAAGCCCCCTCCCCAGCTGGGGGGCTTGCTGTTGTTGTTCAAGAGCAGCCCGTTGGAGGGCCAGGGCTGCATCCCAGAGACGGCCGTGCGGATGAAGCTGCCGTTGGCCACGGAGGGCGCCAGGGGGGCGGCCGGCTCCGCAGGGAGGGCGCTGGGGGGGCTGTCGGGACCGGTGTCCATGAGCTCGCTGGAGGGAGGGGAGCGGAGGGGGCGCTCCAGGCTGCTGCAGTCCAGGGACAGGAGGGGCTGGGGGGGACGAGGACCCCCCCGGCGGGGCATCTCTGGGGAGGCGGGCAGCGAGCGGCACCTGCGGGCCAGGGCGGCCGGCTCGGAGAAGTCGCAGTGGGCCTCCACGGCCGGCTCCGGGGTGACGGGCGTGCCCGGCGGGAAGGGCGAGGGGGGCGGCAGGTCGAAGGTCAGCGAGATCAGCGACTTGCTGGGCGTGTCAAAGAGCTTGATGCGGCCGCCCTGGAGGTCGTGGCGCTGGGAGAAGGGGTTGACCCGCTGCGGGGTGTCCTGGGGCGCCCTGGGCGGCACCATGTCCGACTGGCTGCGCGAGAGGCGCTGGTCCGGGGGCACGGGAGGCTGGTCCAGCAGGCTGGGCGGCATGGCGGGCAGCAGGGGGTCCTGGGCGGCTTTGTCTGGAACAGAGGGAGAAAAGGGTGGTCAGGGGGTCGCCCAGAGGCAGACCTCAAAGCATGATGACTAGGTGACCTTTAGGTTCCCCTCCAGCTCTGCCGTTCTCTGATTCCATGACCAAGTGAGGGCTGTCGCTTGGACCCACATCACTCAGGAGGGCAGGAGTCCTTTGGAGCAGGCGTGGCGTTACCACGACACTACAGTGTTGCCCAGTGGTTAGAGTGCTGGACTAGGAGCTGGGAGAGCCCAGGGTTCAGATCCCCACTCAGCTAGGAAACTGACCTTGGCAGGCAGGCCCTGGCGCTTAGCCCAACTTACTTCTCAAGCTGGTTGCAAAGGAGGAACATGCAAACCACTTTGAACTCCTTGGAGGAAAAGGTGATGTATGAATGTAATGAATAAATAGAATACTAATTTGCAAAAAAATATATTATATGCCACTTTCAAGGCAAGGCAGTTGGCAGAAGGCTGGCTAAAAGGAATACTTTTTAAGCTGTTGTTTAGAGTCCAATGCCTTTGTCCCAAACAGGCTGTGCACTTAGAACCATAGCACTGCAGAGCTGAAGACAATGCGAAAAGTTAAAGACGACATAAAAAAGCCGGAAGAAGGAAGGAGGAAAGTCAGCTCTTAGGAGCAAGTACAAATGTAAAATGTAATGTACAGTATGTAACTAAAAAATTAATAAAGATTATCTTTTTAAAAAAAAAAGAATTGCAGGGCTGGAAGGGACCCAGAGGTCATCTAGTCCAACCCGCTGTGACACAGGAATCGAAAGCCAAACTGGGAAGGGTTACCACGGAGGGAGAGTGCCGGGCTCCCCGGGGTGCTGGTCCTGTCGCTCTGCAGGGCGTCTTGGGCGTCTCTGGCTGCCAGCTGCTGCTTCAAGATGCCCTCCAGGCGCTGCGTGATCTCCAGGAAGGAGGGCCTCGAGGTGGGCTCCATCTAGGGAGGGGAGAAGGCACCTGGCTCAGCAGAAGACACACACCCCCCATCTGTGGGGAGGGGCACTTGCAAAACAAAGCCCCAAGGCTTTGTGGGTGGGGTGGGGCTTGGTGGGCTGCTGCCTCCCCGGCAGACAAAAAGGTCGCCTTGGCCAGGAACCAAGGGGGTCTATGGGACGGAAAGCGGGGGGTCCAGCCTGCCTCAGGGGGAGGCAGACTGGGAGCAGGACAGATTTCTGGGCATGGTACGCAGTTCTCACCGACTTCAGTCCCCCCTAAAGGGAAGTACTGTATTTTTCCATTTATAAGACGACCCCTATTTATTTTAACCCAAAATTAAGTTGTTCAACTTTTGGGGGACGTGGGGGAGGTCACTTCTGCCAATTGCTCCCCCACCTGCCCCGCACTGCCGATCGCACACCTCACCGCAGCTGCCAATTGCCTGCCCGCCTGGCCACAGCCGCCAAACACCCGCCCCATTGCCCCTGCCAATCTCCTGCTTGCTTCTGCCATTAATCACCCCCCCACACATATTCACTATCTGTATACAAGATGACACCCAATTTTTGCCCCCCCCCCCTTTAAGCAAAAAGCATCATCTTATACAACAACAAATACGGTAGTTCTTTGGGTGACATGTAGCTAAACGGTGGAACTCCCTGCCACCGTAGGCTAGAATAGCCACCAAGCTGCATGGTTTTAAAAGAAGGTCAGACAAATTTGTGAAGCAGAGGACTCTCAAGGGAGGGAAGTAGCCAGGAAATCTTCCTTTAAATTGAACCCAAAAGCTGCTCTCAAGGCCAGTGATATGCATTCATGGTCATGGCTGGGGCTGGGACTCTGTATTCCTCAGGATTTGCCCCCCTCCAGCCCCTGCAAAACCACCACACCCAGCCAGGGCTGATTCTCTCGCAGGCGTATAGGGCCAGGAGGGGCAAAGAGGCTCCCTTCTGGCAGGTGGGTCTGGCAGCCTGAAGGCTCCTTCAGGTCTGGGGGTGGGGGTGTGATGGGGGGGTCTTACGCTGCAGCAGTGGAAGGCCAGCTGGAGGAATGTTGCAGGGCAGTCGGCTCCCACCAGGTTGCAGAAAGCAGCCACATCCAGCCCAAAGTCCTGCAGGGAAGAAGGGAGAGGGAGGTGAGTTCGGCCGCGAGAAAGGCCAGTTCCCAATATTTAAAATCAATAAAGTTTAAACTGCAGTTCTTTTTGTGGTGAATGGATTCAATATTTAAAACCAAGAAAGATTAAATTGCAGAAAATGGCCCATGCTAGGGATCACTGTCGCAGGAAACCCCCCCCCCCAATCATTCAGTTTGTACAAACTTCATACACACTCACACACCACATACGCCACGCTTCTGTTATAAATTCATAGAAAATCAACCATACATCGGATTTGCACTGTTCCACTTTTATTTTACTCCATGAAGAAAGGACTACAAAATGGGGAAGGTTTGATACAGGGCAGCCATAATCCCTTCACCATCCCAGCACATCCACAGGAGCCCTGCCCAGTTGCTATGCCAACCCTGATGGTCCTAGACAGAAGACCATCAAGATCACAAAGAACTTGCATATGGGAGTGAATTCAGCACGGACTGGAACACAGGACAATAATCAGCTCTTCCCTCTGGGGGCAGGAAACTGCCAACTCCCCTTTGTCTCCTGGAAGTGACTCATGGGGATGGGGAAAGGGGGAACCAGCCAGGTGACAGGACACTCAGGTTACCACCACAACTCCTCCCTCAACCCCTCCTTTCTGTAATGTATGCATGATGTTTCTGGGGTGGGCTTGACCTAGAGGATGGGAATTTCAAAAGTTTTTATAAGGTTTTGCACACCATCTTTCTGGGTCTTTCCTCTCTCTCGCAAGTGAGGGGAACACCCTGTTGCAACAGATCAATAAAGGCCAAGCCTACAGGCTGCTGTTTTGCTCCAAGTTATCCTGGTTGGTGTCTTTGTTTTTGTCCAAGGGAGCCCTCAGATTTTTCCGTTAACATCACTAGGGAAAGAATCGAGAAGAAGACTGTCGATGTCATAATGCCGTTATACAAATCTGCATTCACACCAGGAAGGCTGTGTCTGGTTCTGAATGCCTCTTCTGAAAAAGGGTATTTCTGGGTTGCAAAGGGATCAGAAAAGGGCCACCAGAATTTTCCAGGGGGTGGAGAGACTCCCCTAAAGGGAAGGTTGCAGCGTTTGGGAATTTTTTAGTTTAGAGAAAAGATCAACAGGTGACATGATAGAAGTTTTAAAAAAAATAAAAAATAGCCATGACATGGAGAAAATGAAGAGTTTCTCCTTCCACCCTAGAACTTGTGGACAGTCAAGGAAGCTGAACATTGGGAGATTCAGGACAGAGAAAAGAAAGTCTTTCTTTAGCCAGTACATACTTAAACTCTGGAACTCACTGCCACTGGAAGCTGGGTGGCTTTGAAAAGAGGACTAGACAAATTTATGGAGAAGGAGAGAGCTAGCAATGGCTACTAGCCAGGAGGGCTGGACTCGGCCTCTGCGGTTGGAGCCAGCAATGCTTTTGTGCCCCAGTCAGTGGGAACCGCAGGAGGGGAGAAGAGGGCTCTTGTGTTCAAATCCTGCTTGCTGGTTTTGCACAGGCATTTGGACTAGGTGGGTCCCTTGGCCTGATCCAGCCATCTCTCCTTAAGTTCTTATGACCTTCCTTACCCCAAAACAGCTCAACAACACAGAAAAATACGGTAAATTGCTGTGTTGGCACTTTGCGAAAAATAAGTGGGTTTGGGTTGCAGTTTGGGCACTCGATCTCTAAAGGTTTTGCCACCACTACCCGAGAGCCTGCTGGAGACCAATAATAATAATAATAATAATAATAATAATAATAATAAAATTTTATTTATATTCCGCCCTCCCCCGCCAAAGCCGGGCTCAGAGCGGATAACAACTGTAAAATAAAAGAGTTTACATAAAATCACAATCAATTAATTGAAATACATTCTAAAATCAATTCATGAGCCTCTGTCGCCCTCTCTGCTTGACCCAAACATGACATGCATTTGGAGAAGCTAAGCTAAGTGGTCAGTGCAGACCCAGCCAAAAATGATGGCAGGATCACAAGTATTGGTGAGAGGAGGAAACTAATTCGGCTCTGTGCTCATCCTGCCTAGAGGAGCTATTGCAGGCCCCTCCCTCGCCGAGAGAGAGAGAGAGAGAGAGAGAGAGAGATCTGTGCAACGCAGCCCCCGGCCACGAGGGGGCAAGCAGGGCCTTCTCCGCAGGGCCAGAGGGTGGACCAGCCCCTCTCTCCACGCCCCCCTCCAAAAGAGGAAGCACTTAGCCTGGCAGAGGCTCCCCCCCCACACACATCTGGCATTCTCCGGAGACGGAAGGACGGCAGCCTTTATCTCAAGGAGCAGGCATCTTTCTGGGATGATGGGGCAGTTCTGGGGATGGAGTATTATCTGAACTATGCCGTCCACAGGCAACATTCAAACAATCATCAAGAGTGGGGGGCTGACACTCTAAAATTAGATGACAAGAGAGAAGACCTGTTTTGGGGGGACGGGGCGGGGTGTGTGGAAGACTCCCTGGTCCTGAATGGGGTAACTGTGCCCCTGAAGGACCAGGGGTGCAGCCTGGGAGTCATTTTGGAACCCATTGTTCTGCATTCTCTCCTCCCTCCCTTCGTGGGGACCCTGTTGCAACAGATCAATAAAGATCAGGCTTACTAGCTGCTTTGCTTCTCAATATTCTCTGCTTGGCCTCTGTTATTTTCTCCTACCAATAGGGAACCTAAGTAAGGACGCTGTATGGGCTCTTGGGTACCCCATAAGGGGAAAGAGCAGATTTTGTTTACAACACGGTGCACCCCCGGGGATCCTTGGATCTGGCCTGTTTTCACCCACTAGCAACACATCCTGCCGAATTCTCTCTGAGATATTTTATCTGCACAATCAGAACAAATTTCAGGAAGCAAAAAGGAGAAAAAGTCTTGAAGAAAACCCAGGGGGTCTCTTTGCGGCCCTCCTGTCTTCTTCATCTTGAAGTCAAGGCTGCTGTGGAATTAGAGGTGGGGAGGGGGCTACCACAGCAAGGGCTTCCTCCCCACCAGCCCCTTTCTCTTGCCCGGCACGGCCAGGCAGAAGCTCCTCTCCATCTGGGCACCAGGAGAGGTTCTGGGTCACGGAGCTGTCATTCCGGAAACGCCCAACCCAGAGGCCGCCTTCCAGGGCAACCTATTATTAGGACACAGCCCAGGAGAGAGGGGGCCGTGGCCCAATTCTGAGGCAGGCGGCTCCACGGCAACCGAGAGGAGAAGCTCCTGGCCCGACTCCCAGGAAGCACCAAGGGCAAAAGGTGGGGGCGCTGGGCTCCAGGGAAGCCGCTGAGACAAAGCACGGGCTGCTCTCCTAGGAGCAGGTTTTCTTTCTGTGAAATGCAGGAGGGAGGGACTTTGGGGGGGCAGAATCCCCCCACCCAGAAGTTTTCTCCTTCTTCCTTAAAGTGAACTGCTCAACTGCAGTCAGCAACTGAGTGCACCCCCCCAAAAAAAACCCCTCTCTGTTGGAAAGAGACAATGCAGCAAGTAGCACCGCTCTCCTCCAGGGGAATCGCTGGAGATGTGCAAAAAAGGGCGCACCCCCCGACACACTGCAGCTGCTATATCTGGAAGGGAGGGAACAGTGGAAACGCCCCTCCGGGTTCAAAGAGGAGTGTGGGGGGGATTTCATAGGATCGGAAAGAGAGTTCGATAACTGCAGGGGGAAGCTGTCCTCATGCCATGATCCCATAGCTGTCAACGTTTCCCTTTTTTAAAGAGAAATTCCCTTATTCCGAATAGGATTCCTCGCAAGAAAAGGGAAAATTGACAGCTATGAATGGTCCTCATATCCGACACATCCCCAGCAATATACCGTTCAAAGTCGTTTTTAAAAATAAATATGTCCCATGATGCCAAACTATGACGTTGAACATAATGTCTAGTTTGGCCCTCAGTTGTTCCAAAAATATCCAAATTATACAGGCCCTGGAAACTGATATTGGGCGTTATCTGTCTCCGAAATGAAGTCCTGCTTCTCAAAGGACCCTTTGCTCTCCCTTCACCATCTGAGGACCAAAGCTCCCCAAAGATGCTTCGAAGCCTTTTCCTGCAAAATTCCTGCGCTATGAATCCCACAGGGCAGCCAGGAGAGATGACCCCTGGTGCCCCCCAACCGCAAGAGGCCTTGGACTCCGCCTCCCACCGGCCCCAGCCAGCATGGTCACATGACAGCGCTGAGGCTGATGGGAGTTGTAGTCAGAAGGCCTGGAAGGCACCAAGTGCTGGGAAAGTCCCTGCCTGGGCAGCTGAGCTCCGCCTTTCCCTGGAGAGAAAGCTCTCTTGGTTTGCATGAACAGGTTATCCAAAGCAGCCCAGGTGAGCTGGGAGACCAGCATTCCTCAAGGGGCTGCGGAGGAGGGCCAATTATCACCTCCTTCCTCACCTGCACTGGTAATAGGTGCAATTAAGGGCCTCCCCAAGTCTCCTGGGAGGGAGCCAGGAAGGGATGCATTTGCCTGGCGTGCTCTGGTTCATGGGGTCACGAAGAGGCGGACACAACTAAATGACTCAACAACAACAAAACCCAATATCTCCAGCACCTGGTTCTGGGAAGGAGAGGAATCCCACAAAGTCTGCCACCCCCAGCTTGGGACCCAATCAAGCCATTCCCCTCCCAGCCCCTCTTCCTCTCTCCCATCTGAGGAACTCCCACCTCCATGAAGACCTGAAAGCCCCTCCTCAATGTTCTATGCCATTCCGGCCAGGCCTGGTACAGGCATTTCCAGCTGTGGCCCCCTCCACAGGCAACTGCAGATCAGCCCCCTTCACCCCTTTCCCCTGGAGGCTCCCCCAACTCTACATCTCATGCTCCTGGGTCGCTTTGGAGTCATGCTAGTTCAGAACAGCCACCCAAATATTTAAGCATGAACTTCACTCTGCTGGTATGAAAGACTCTCCTCTCGAGTCCCGAGCACAGGGTGACTTTTCAGTCTAAGTACCGGACAGCATCTTCAAAAGCAGAGACATCACCTTGCCAACAAAGGTCCGTATAGTTCAAGCTCTGGTTTTCCCAGTAGTGATGTATGGAAGTGAGAGCTGGACCATAAAGAAGGCTGATTGCTAAAGAACTGATGCTTTTGAATTCTGGTGCTGGAGGAGACTCTTGAGAGTCCCATGGACTGCAAGAAGATCAAATCTATCCATTCTGAAGGAAATCAGCCCTGAGTGCTCACTGGAAGGACAGATCCTGAAGCTGAGGCTCCAATACTTTGGCCACCTCATGAGAAGAGAAGACTCCCTAGAAAAGACCCTGATGTTGGGAAAGATGGAGGGCACAAGGAGAAGGGGACGGCAGAGGACGAGATGGTTGGATAGTGTTCTCGAAGCTACCAGCATGAGTTTGACCAAACTGCGGGAGGCAGTGGAAGACAGGGGTGCCTGGTGTGGGATGTAAACACAGGAGCAGTCAATGACAACATTCCTAGAGTGTACATGTTAGAACATGGGGAGGGATGTCTGTCCAGCAAGCAGGTAAACTTCCTGGGGACGGACTTCCTCCGCATGTGACCAGAGGTGCGTGTGGCCTCACTTGTGCAGGTAATGACAAAGCACAGGGCAGGCAGCCATCTCTCTCTCTCTGCCATGTTGCTGCGCTGAGGAAGCATCTGATCAGATGCCTCTTGGCTCGCAGCCACTGTGGAGAGGAGAGGACTATCTGGCTATAAGATAGATTCGGAACGTATGTAACCTTTTAAGCTGTCTGCCATCTGGGATCATATTGTGAACAGAACGTGAGTAGACCTCTTATACTTGTGCAAAGACTGTGTCGTGTCTTGTATTTGAGAGGGAACCAAACGAGACCAGTACCAGAGTAGCTAGTATAGAGGTTCTAGCGAACCTGTGCAGCACGTTACGTGCGAACTTAAAGGGGAATGTCTATAAACTCTGCTGATATTTTGGGAACTTGTTAGCACAAGTTGGATAAGGATATAATTAGTCAATATATCCTCTCCTGCACCCCAGAACATTCCTACACCTGGCGTGCTCTGGTCCAGGGGGTCACAAAGAGGCGGCCACGACTAAATGACTAAACAACAACAAAACCAGTGCCTGTCTTGTGCCCATGAGGCCAGGAGGGTCTCGGAGGGCCCCCAGAAGACCCCCTCAGACACCTAGAAGAAATGCAGTGGTTTGCCCAAAGGAGCCTAGCAGAGCAAGGGGAGGAAGCAGCCCCCACAGGGAGGGAGGGTCTTACCTCAGTGCGGGGCAGGTAGTCCGGGTCGGCCGGCAGGCGGGCGATGGTCTCACAGAGGATGATGCCATAGGCAAAGACGTCAGCCTGGCGGGATGGGAGAAGGGAGGCAGTGAGGCAGGAAGGGCCCCTGCGCACTCAGGGGAGGGGGAGACAAAAAGAGGCTCCAGCCCACCCCCCAGACCCAGAGGGAAACTGGGGACAGAAGAAGAGCCCCCCCATACCCCCTGGTATTTGTGGTCCAGGCCCACAGTCCCCACACCCACTCACCCTCCTGGTCAGCTTCCCTGCCCAACACCAGACTGACCCTGTGCACCCCACTTCCCCCCTTAATTCTCTGGCTGGGAAAGGGGATGGGAGAAATTCATGAGGAGAAGGGCTCTCAAAGGCTACTAGCCAGGACGGCTCTCCTCTGTCTTGCTGGCTTCCCACTGAGGCATCTAGCTGGGCGCTATGAGAGAGCGCAGGAGGCTGGACTCAAGGGGCTGCCTGTGGCCCAATCCTGCAGGCTCTTCTATCGTTCTGACATTCATTCCTCCATGCAGCACACGAACAAGGGATTTCCCTCTCAAAAGACGTCCTGACTGCCTCCAACTTGGATGGCTTTAAAAGAGTGACTGGGGAAACCCAACCAGATGGGCAGGGTATTAATAATAATAATAATAATAATAATAATAATAATAATAATAATAATTTATTTATACTCCGCCCTTCCCGGCCAGAGCCGGGCTCAGGGCGGCTAACACCGATAAAATTTCAGTAAAAACAGAATAAAAAAAAAGAAAAACAATTTAAAATACAGCCTCATTTTAAAAGTCAAAACCATAAGGGGAGGGAAACATAAGAGTCAGACTGAGTCCAAACCAAATGCCAGGTGGAACAGCTCTGTCTTGCAGGCCCTGCAGAAAGATGTCAAATCCTGCAGGGCCCTAGTCTCTTGTGACAGAGCGTTCCACCAAATCGGGGCCAGTACTGAAAAGGCCCTGGCCCTAGTTGAGACCAATCTTGCGACCTGGGACCTCCAAAATGTTGTCATTTGTGGACCTTAAGGTCCTCCGCGGGGCAGACCAGGAGAGAATAATAATTATTATTATTCAGGGAGGGTGAGCCTATTCTTGACCATCAGCTACCAGGCCTGGGCGATATCTGGTTGTCAATATCGTATTATATATCATCAGCTAGACATCACAAAATAAAAGGTACAAGGTAAAGGACCCCTGGACAGTTAAGTCCTGTCAAAGGCGACTATGGGGTGTGGCGCTCATCTTGCTTCAGGCCGAGGGAGCCGGCGTTGGTCCACAGACAGCTTTCTGGGCCATGTGGCCAGCAGGACTAAACCACTTCTGGCACAACGGGATACTGTGACGGAAACTGGAGCGCACAGAAACGCCGTTTACCTAATCATGATGCACTGATATACCACAATGTCTGGAATAAGGACGGAGCCAGGCAGAGGCATCAGCTGGCTTCATGGTTTCTCCGGTATTGTGGTTTTTGCACAGCAAAATCACACACTGATTCACAATATATTGCTAGGTCAAAAATTATGAAACCAATATCATGATATGAGCTTCAAACCGGTTTTGGATGATATATTGCCCAGTCCAACTAGCCACAATGACTACATATCCTCCGAAGATGGTAGAGTCTGAGACTCTTAATCTCAGGAGTCGTGGGTTTGAATCCCGTATTGGGCAAAAGATTCTTGCATTGCAGGGGGTTGGACTGGATGACCCCGATGGTCCCTTGCAACTCTCCAGTTCTGCGATTCTGACTATGCCTGGGAGGGCAGCCCTGTGGCCGTCGTGCACCGCTTGAGGTCTCCCTGTGAGGAGAGGCTGTGGGGCTGGGTGGACCCACGTTGGCCCCCCCTTACGGTCCTACCTTCTCGTTGTACAGCTCCCCACGCAGGACCTCCGGGGCCATCCAGTACGGAGAGCCGACGACGGCCAGAGGCTCCTTCTCGCCCCCGTCACTGGGGAGGAAGCAGAAAGGGGGGGCCAAGAGAAAGAGGTCAGCTGAAGCCCAGCAGGACTCCCCCTGGACCCCACACGGCTCCCCCTGGCCAGGAAGGGCCACCCGCCTCACCTGTAGGTGGGGATCTTCTCCGCCAGGCCAAAGTCTCCCACCACGGCCGTGTAGCCGTTGTCCTCACTTCTCACGAGGCAGTTCTGGGCAGATGGAGGAACAAGAGGCGTCACAGGCGTCCGAGGAAGGAGAGGGGGGGCGGGGAGGGGGCTGAGGGGCACCCCATGCCTACCTTGGAGGTGAGGTCGCGGTGGAAGATGCCCTTGCTGTGCAGGTAGCGGAGGCCGCGGGCGATGTCCAGGGCCAGCTTGACGCGGACGGGCCAGGGCAGCGGGGTGGGGCTGTCCAGCAGCTGCTCCAGGTTGCCACCGTTGATGTACTACAGGGAGGAGGAACGGCAGGGGGTGGGTTAGATGGGCTCTGGGGGTCCCTGCCAACTCTACAGTTCTAGGCAGCCTCCGCCCGGCCTCTCTCTCTGGCCCCCAGCCTCCCCTCGAGGGATGGCAGTGGCTCCCCGTCCACCTTTCCTGGGCCCAGGCGGGCAGGCAGGTGAGCCTCACCTCCGTCAGCGCGTGAAGCTGGCCTTGGTGGACGCAGACGCCCATGAACCTGGAACGAGAGGGGGAGACAGAAGGACCCGTCAGGACACCGGGGAACCCTCCCCTCACGCACTGTGCCCTGGGGGTGGGAGGCACCCACGCCCCTCCGACCCCTTGCCCAGGGCAGAAGAGCAAGCGACCGTCAGCCTCAGGTCCCCGGTCTGTAAAATGGGAACGGCACCTCTGGCAACTAGGAAGGAGGACACAGAGCTCCAGACTTTTGGGGGGCAGGAGGAGCCCAGCTCACTCAATCCCCACTTTCTAACACTGAGACCCCCCCTTCTATGTACTTCACAAGAGGAGCCCCAACTGCCCAGACCTTTTTGAACTGAAGCCAGAGTCCTCCAGGAGACGTTCCTCGAGGATCCTGCGAAAAACCTAGGGCAGGTGGAGGTTGGGGGGCTGCGCCCGGAACCCCCTCAGGCCAGGCTGGGCACCCCCTTTGGCCAGAGCCCCCCATCCACCCCCCACCCCCCGAGGCAGCCTCACCGGAGGATGTTGGGGTGGGAGAGGCGATTCATGAGTTGCACCTCGCGCAGCATGTTGCCACGGTTACTCATCAGCTTGTTCATCTTCAGCACCATGATCTGCCCCGACTGGCGATGCCTCACCTGCAGGGAGAGCGGAGCCGTTCCTTGAGGGGGGAGCTGTTGCCATTTATTGCATTCAGTGCCAGATTTATGTATAAGCAGTGGCATCGCAGCGGGGGGGGGCGGGGTGCCCCGGGTGCCATGTCTGGGGGGGTGACAAGAAGGCCACCGCAGTCGCATGTGGAGGATCCTCTGTTCGCAGCTGCAGCCGCGAGCAGAGGATCCCGGTGCCAGCAGCAAACCGCGATGTACAGCGCATGTGTGGCGTCGCATGCATGCGCTGTACATAGCGGTTTGCCGGCAGCACCGCTCAAACACTGTATGGATGGCGGTCCCTCCACCATTGCTACAGCTGTGAACGGAGGATCCCGGCACTGTCCATACGGCGGGGAAGCAGTGCCACTGGCAAACCTCTATGTATGGTGTATGTGCGGCGTCGCTACCTACGGTGCATGCGCTGTACGTAGCGAAGCCGCACATGCGCCGGATGTCATGGTTTGCCACCCCGGGTGTCACGACACCGTCGTTCGCCCCTGAGTATAAGCTAAACAAGCTATAGCTTAGGGCCCCACTCTCTTGGGCCCCCCCCCCCAAAAAAATAAAGGAAACAACAACTGGATGGACATTTCTAAAATGTAAGATAAAAACCAAATAAAATAAAACCTACATACAGCAACATTTCAGTTCAACAATTACTTTGATAAAATTCATACAGTGTATTTTATACCTCGGGTTACACACGCTTCAGGTTGTGCGTTTTCGGGTTACGGACGCACCGAAACATGGAAGTACCAGAACGGGTTAATTCCCGGTTACTTCCGGGTTTTGGCACTCAAGCATGCGCAGAAGTGCTAAATCGTGTGTGCAGACGCGGTGCTGCAGGTTGCAAATGCTGCGAGTTGCAAAGATGCCTCCCGCACGGAACAAGTTCGCAACCTGAGCGTCCAATGTATTATGTGACGTGCAAATGGCTTTAGATACCTATTAGGTCCATAAATTACCATATAGCATATATTCAAAACGGTGACAATTCATTGTTCACAAAGTATAGCTGGACATAGAAAGGGCCCCATTACCTTCAGGAGCTGAGGGCCTCATCCAACCTCAATCCAGCCCTGATTGCATTTCTATCCCTCCTTTTTCCTCCAAGGAGTTTGATGTGGCCTACAAGGTTCTCCTCACCTCCTTGTTTAATCCTCAAAAGCCACAACCCTGAGAGGCTGGCCCCAGAGGTCACACTCAGAGAGCTTTATGGCTGAGTGAGGATTCGAACCCTGCTCCCACCAGGTCCCAGTCCAACCTCCTACCCATGATGTCGCACAGGCAGCAGTCTTTCCCCATCCCCTCACAGCATGACAATGATGCCTGTGGGATAGCTCAGTTGGCGCAGCATGAGGCTCTTCAATGCCAGGCTCATGGGTACGAGCTCCAGGTCGGATAACAAGATTCCTGCCTTGCAGGGGGTGGACTAGAGGACCCTGGGGGTCCCTTCCAACTCTGCAATTCTGGGATTCTATGAGCCCCAAGAGTTGGAGCATAGGAGCAGGAGCCCAGGTGGGCAGGCCCCAGAGCAGGATAGGGCCCCTTCTGCTCCCATGATGCACCAAGGCACCCCTGCATGGCACAGGGGCATCCCGGTGGGTCTCTGCAGGAATCCAGTCACCTCCCCATCACGCCCCGTGCAGAGTCTAGGCTGGGAGAGACGCCTGGATCTGCACAACAGTTCACCACAAAGCACTTTGAAGAGGCTCTTTGGCCGAGAAACCAGCCATGAAGACATAGCGGAGAGGCAGCTCATGAGGTCAGCAAAGGCTGCACTTGAAATTTCTAAACCACACCTTATCCACATAGGGATCCAAGGTCATGGGCGTGAAAATACAACTATTATTATTAATAATAATAATAATAATTGGATTTGTATACTGCCCTATAAGGGACGCGGGAGGGTTAGGTTTAACTTGCCAATCAGAAGGTCGGCGGTTCGAATCCCGCGATGGGGTGAGCTCCCATTGCTCGGTCCCTGCTCCTGCCAACATAGCTGTTCGAAAGCACATCAAAGTACAAGTAGATAAATAGGTACCACTCTGGTGGGAAGGTAAATGGCATTTCTGTGCGCTGCTCTGGTTCGCCAGAAGCGGCTTAGTCATGCTGGCCACATGACCCGGAAGCTGTACGCCGGCTCCCTCGGCCAGTAAAGCGAGATGAGCACCGCAACCCCAGAGTCGGCCATGACTGGACCTAATGGTCAGGGGTCCCTTTACCTTACTGCCCTATACCCTATACCAGGTCTCAGGGTGGTCACAACATAAAATCACAATATAAAAAGACAAAATGCATAATAAAAACATAAGCAACCCAATAACCCCCTTCCATGCATGATTAAGAGAAATAAAAACCAAAGTGCGACAAACTATAAAATAATAAAGCCACAATTCCTCAACTCAGCTGATATACAATAGAATAAATTCAGAAAACCCAGGAAAATAAAAACCTCATAAGCAGGAGCTAAAACGGTAAAATGTCCAGCTTTACTTCTTTGGGGAAGGTGTTCCCAAGGGCAGCACCCCTTTGTGGGGGCATCATGGTCCCCCCTCCCACAAGTGAGACTTTGGGGTCCAAGTGACAACGCAGAGCCAGACAGCAGCAGCTGCCGCAAAAGAGGCAAATTCCATGCTTGGGATCATCAAGGAAGAAACAGAAAATATGAGCGTGTGGAAAATAAGGTGAAGGAATTAATGTAAATGCAGCTAACCAAGATGTAAAAAAAATCTGTCATGGAAGGTTGGGTGGGAAGTCAAATAGAATTGCTGTATAAGTATGGAAAAAAGGTGTAACTGGAAAACTTAAAAATAAAACAAAACAACAACAATCGTCTAATACGGCCGCCAACATCCTAATGCCGTTATCTGCGGTGCAACTGCATTTGGAGGACTGTTCTGGTGCCCCCCCCCAAAAGGGATATTGTTGGGAAAGGTTCAGAAAAGGGCCACAAAATGGGGGGGGGGGTGTTGGGAGAAGCTCCCTGAGGTGGGAAGGACTTTTTAGCTTGGAGAAAAGGCGAGAAGTTTGTGAAGGGGCGCAGAGCCCAGGCAGGGCGATTTATCTAGGAAAAGGGGTGGCAGAGCTCACCGTGAACTTCTCCCTTGTTGTCTTAGGATGGCCATGGCGCCCCCCTGACAGGTGCCACAGCTGAGCTCTGGTGAGCTCTGGCTGGCAGAAAGCCCCGGGCACAAGTCCTTCCTTTTATCTGCCTTGCACCTTCTAAGGTCCAGCTTTTGTGCGGAGAGAGGGAGGAAACCTTCCTCCAGTCTGTCATTTTTATGAACAGCCATCAGCTCATGCTGGGCTTGTGGGCTTCTGAGAAGAGGGGGATCATTGGCCACTGTGGTAAACAAAAACCTGCCCTTTTCCCTTATGGGGTATCCAAGAGCCCATATAGAGTCCTTACGTAGGTTCCCTATTGGTAGGAGAAAATCACAGAGGCCAAGCAGAGAATATTGAGAAGCAAAGCAGCTAGTAAGCTTGATCTTTATCGATCTGTTGCAACAGGGTCCTCGCTCACACGCAGGAGAGGAGGAGGAACCCAGAACAATGGCGCCCCAGGCCTTATACTTTAAATTCCCTGCCCTGGAGCTCCAGACCACCCCCCAAATACATCATACATACAATCTATGTACATGCTTGGCTGGTACACTTCTGAACATTTAACACATATCTAAGACCTCAAAATTCCTATCACACCACTTTGAGGACATGGTGCTGGCCTAGTTTCCCTCCCCCCACTGGTGGACGAAGGTGAGGGCGGGGGGGACGGTCTACCCCGGGTGCCATCGGGGGGCTGACGTCGCTGCTGCCCCCACCCCCGGGAAGCTTGGTGCTCGCCACGCATTTCCGGGAAGCTTGGCACTTGCCGTGTATGCTCCAGGACATGTGCTGCTTTCTGCGCCCCCCCCCCAATGCACCCAACGCAGGTGGCACACCACATCCCCTGGGATCCAGCCATGCCCCTGGATGTATGCCGCTCCCGGTGCCAGAGCAGGTAGCTTTGCCACTGCCCCCCCCCCCCACTCTGCAGCTCTCCATATGCCATGGAAGCAGCTGGGGGGCGGGAAGAAGGGCTGTGCAAAAGGGAGGTTTTCCATGACAGCCCAGCCAGAAGCTGCTCCCAAGGAAGACCCCCCCCCCGCTGGGCTTCCTGGCGTGGGGAGGGGAGAGAGGCGTCTGCGCCAGCCCACACCTGCAGGCCTCTGAGACAGCAGCCCCCCGCCAGCCGGGCCCAGCAGCTGCTCCCCCCCCAGCCCTGCAGGGAGTCCTCCTCGAGGGGCTGCCTCCCAGATTCCTGGCTGCTGCCGTCAGCTGCTGCTCTTGCCCTTTTTAGTCGATGCTCCAAGGCCCGGCGGGCGAGGCTGTCTGCTCCTCCTGCGCCGCCTCTTGCTGCCCCCCCCCCTGCAGCCCCAGGGAAGACGAGGAGGAAGGGGGCAAGGGGGTCTGGGCAGAACAGATGTGGGGGGCAGGGGAGACCCAGGGCTGGTGGCTGCAGGACCCCAGAGGGAAGGAGGCCCCTCGCAGAATGTCTCTAAAGAAGAGCACCATCCAGCTGAATCACAGAACTGCAGAGTTGTAAGGGACCATCAGGGTCATCTAGTCCAACCCCGAAGTGCAGGAATCTTTTGCCCCATGTGGGGCTTGAACCCCCGACCCGGAGATGCTTTACTGACTGAGCTGTCCTGCACCAAGTGGAAGAGCACATCCTCCAGCCGCTGTGCCCCCAAATCCCAAGTGTGCTCTTCACATGCTTCGTGACGCCTTCACATCATCCTGGAAGCGTTCTGGGGCTGAGTGTGCACCCAGCGCAGGGCTGCCTGGTGAGAGAAGCTCAAGGTGGGCCAAGGCTCGAGCCCAGCATGATTGGCAAGGGCATAAACCCCCCCAGCTCAGGTCAGGGGATGCTGTGGGGTGGGGCTGCCATCAGCCTTTCATAGAGGGACCTTCAAGGGTCCTCTAGTCCAGCCCCCGGCAATGCAGGAATCATGGCTAAAAAACTCCAGACGGGGCTGCCACTTTCCCCATCGCTTCCTGCCACTCAGCACTGGACCATCTTGCCTCTGATCTCTCACCATGGCAGCACCTCTTGACCAAGCTATTGGCCGGCCGGTTGTCCCCTTCCACAGATATGCCGGCAAAGATGGCGATAAGAACACCCTAAGCAAGAAGGAATTGAAGAAGCTGGTACAGAAGAAGCTCACCATTGGACCGAAACTGCAGGACGCAGAGATACAGGCATTAATGAAAGATCAGGACCGCAATGGGGACCAAGTGGTGAACTTCCAGGAATACGTCACTTTCCTGGGTGCCCCGGCAATGATTTACAGCGAAGCTTTGAGTTCATAAATGTACACCCCGGTGGGGCAAGGTGTCGTGGTTCAGGATTATACCTCTGTAGGCAGTTTCATGTCCAATAAAATTTAAGTTTTGTAATAATAATAATAATAATAAACTCCTGATGGAGCCCCCTCCCACCTCTGTTTAAGAACCTCTAAGGAAGGAGAGTTTGCTGCCTGCGTTTATTCCTGCCTTACGAGGGGTAGGTCTAGATGACCCCCGGGGTTCCTTCCAACTCAGCCATTCTGTGCTTCCATGGTGATTTTCCGTGCCCCGGACAAACAGACCCCCAAGACTCTCCTTGGCCATGCCACCTCTTCCCACCATTGTCCTGCAAGGCCCCAGAGCTCAGCAGGGCAGACGCTCTCGGGTGCCAGGCAAGGAGGAGGGGGCAGAGTGTGTGTCTCCCCAACTGCTGCCAAGGCCTGGTGTGTGAAAGGCGATAGCCCAGCCTCCCTAATGCATCCCTTCCGCCAAGTCCTTCAATTATTGAGCTCTCTCTCACCAAATGGTGGCCCAGAGATCACCTGTCACAGGTGTCGCCTTCCATCAGAGTCTGCCACTGCCCCCCGCAAGCAGAGCAGAAGCACCTCAGGGCAGGGACTCCCTGCAAGACGGAGGACTAAGGAGGCTGCCAGCCCCACAGACCCTCCAGCCGTTGGGTCTGGCCAAAGGAAAAGCCACGCAGCAGCCTTCTAGTCCTCAGTATTGGAGCAGAACTACCTTCTAACATGCTGCCAGATTCCCCCCCCCCCTTTTTTCTGCTATAGGACACAGATCTTCCTGGGACTGCGGGGGGGGGGGGACACACACATGAACTCAACTCCCCTCCCCTCCCCCCACACCTCCCCCTCCCTTAGCAGCATGGAAGGAAACCCCACCCCAAACTCATGTCTGGCGCTTTCCCCCTGAATTCAAATGCAAGTGCCTTGCAAGAGTTAAGGCCTCCTTCCCAGCCTGTTTATTCAGGCAGGATGTCCAATTTTGGAGCCTGACATTTATGCAGCAGAGACTTCTCCAGAACCGCCCCTCTGCCAGCTCCCTTCAGAGGAAGGGCCCGTCCTCCGGGCTTACAGAAATGAATAGAAAAACCGTAAATCACATTCCAGGATTTGCTCCAAAGTGCAGGGCTGATAAAACCAAGCATGTTCCAGAATCCAGCCTGACTGATCAGGCTCCAGATAACAGAGTTAATGTTCCTCGATCGCAGACACTTTGATCTGGCTCGTCCTTCCAATCATAGAATTGTAGAGCTGGAAGGGACACCCAAGGGTCATCCATCCCAACCCGCACAGCCCCTTGCTGTGCCAAAGCCAGGCCAGAAGCTAGCCAGCAGGACCAGCCCCCGCCAACCATAAAAGCCCAGGCAGGGAGGATCCAGCAGGTTGGCTTGGATTCATTTTCTGAAACGCAGGGGGTTGTACCGGATGATCTTGTGCATCTCCCTTCCTACAATTCTATGGCCCCACCTTTTCTCCAAGGAGCTCAAGGTGGAATATAAATGCAGAAAGAAGAATCAATAAATGCGGCAGAGGGGGCTCAGAACAGCAGCGGGAGAACTTCGCCTAAGGAAGTCCAGAATGTGAGCTGACCCAAACTCTAGCCGTAGCAGAACATCAGAAGAAGAACCCGGCGGCAGGATCAGGCCAGAGGGAGCCCTCCTAGCCCTGCTCTCTAATCCTGCAGTGGCAAAGCAGTTGCCCCAAAGGGAAACTGCCAAGCAGGATTCAAGCCCAAGAGCAAGTCTCCCCCTCCTGTGGTTTCCAGCAAGAGATATTCAGAAGATTGCTGCCTCCAGCCATGGAGACAGAGCTATCAATAGCCCTCTCCCCTATCAATTGGTGTAATCCTCTTTAAAGCCACTCGTCAGTGGCCATCCCCGTCTCCTGTGGTAGGGAGTTCCACAGTTCAACTCTGCGCTATGGGCAAAAGGACTGTCTTTTCTCTGTCCTGGATCTTCCAGCATTCGGACACAGGAGGAAAGGCCCGTTTGCCAGACAGAGAGATAGATAAACTTTATTTGCATTAGCCAACGGCCAGAGCAACATAAAACAAGCAAGATATACAATTAAAAAGACAACAATGGGTAAAAAGGGCAATCAAATGACCAAGATTATCGTTCAGATACAGAGAGAGAGATCTGCCGGCTCCTGACCTCCCTGCATCCCTGACCCTTTCCCCTCCTCGGTCCCATTTCAAGGTCGTCAGAAGCCAGCGCCACCCAGGGACCCAGGTGAGCACCAAGGAACACAAAAGCATCCGAGGGAAAGGCCAGAACGGAGGGAGGTGATGCAAGAGGGAACAGTTGGGGCCTCTGTTTACGTCTAAACAAGGCGGCATCACGGGCAGCCGAGAAGGAACCCGCTCCAGTTTGTGGCCCCCTCTGTCCCAGCAAGGGCTCTTTGAAGGCACCTCCTCTAAATGCCAGGGCGGCAGATCTGGCCCAGATAAGTTCCAGCCTGGGAGCCAGACAAGCCTCCTAATGAGGTTGTGGTGGCTGCCCAACGCTCACTTAGGGAAGTCCTGCCCAGGAGGAGCTGAGCGTCAGCACTTCTGGGCTGGGGCCTGCAAGGATTGCAAAAGGATTGGGCCACAGTGCCCTTTCCCTCGCAGCTGGGGGGAGATTTCAAAACAGCTGGAAGAGGAGAATTTTTAACCTCCTGATGTGCTTATTGCATGTTAGCGTTTACATTTCTGGGAGAATTTCAGTGCAAACTAGAGTTAGAAACTCAGATATAGAACTGACGGGAAGAATCCGGAACCAGCGAGACCAAGCATTCCAAAAAGACTGGAATAAATTTATATTATGTTTGAAGGACAACTGTAAGCAATTAACATCACTAGCAGGGTTTTCTGAAGATTTGTAAGATGAAATGGCTACCTATTCAGGATGAGCAATGTAATAACTTAGGTAATGATATAACAAGAATAGGAAAGGAAGTGAAATACAAAGATGAAAAATTTAGGTTTGTAAACTATTAGGCAGGAGAGAGGGAAGCCAGTAAGCTCAGTTGAGTCAAAAAGATTTATTAAGAAGATACGATGTTACGCAATGTGATTATATGTAAAACTAATAAAAATGATTATACAAAAATAGAAACTCAGATATAGAAACTAGGTGCCAAATGGCTCCTTAAACCAGGGTTACAGCTGCCAAAAATGGAGTGCCCAGTTGCCATTTGGGGAGCAGATGACATGAAAGTTGTAATTTTCAATACATCTTTTTGGTTCCTGAAATTCGTTCTGATTCTGCAGATAATGTATAACTGATAGAATTCGACAGGATGCGTTGCTAGTGTATGAGAACAGATCCAAGGATCCCCTGAGGGAGACGTCAGGCGCCATCCGGGCAAATGGGCATCTTCTCATGGTCCCAAGTGAGAGCCGGGTGCAAAATGTGCCTGGCTGATTTTGAACATGGGTGCAAATACTCTGAATATCCAGAACATAGTGCACAGCGGCATTTGGGAATGAGACGGGTTCGCATCCAGGAAGCATGAAGCGAAAACTGTTCAGGGCGGCCACTCTCAGCCGAGAGAGCCTCAGCTGCTTGGTTGGCTGATTTTACTTCTACGCCGCTTTTCCAAAACGAGCTCTGCTCAAAGCAGCTGACAGCAGACATTCAAAACATCAAAACACAAATATACAAAATACAGAGCATGTTAGTAAACTAAAAACCAACAATTTAGCAAACAAAGAATAAATTCAACATTACAAAAAAAAAAAGGAAAGAAACCAATCTAGGTTTAAGTACACAAATGCAAAACAAAGTGAGAGTTATGGCAATAAAGTTACTGTTTTCTTCTGCTCCTACAATAGAAAGAGGCCTGGCCTGCCTTACTGGGTCGTTGTTTGAGGACAAACCAGGAAAAGATGGCAGGACACTAAAAAAATTGCTGTTGATGAGAAGCAACAGTCTGAAAGACGCTTCAAAGCTGTCCCTGGTGTTTCTCCAGCCCTGGTTGCAAAATAAGGACATCAGAAGAGGCCTGCGTCTGGATCAGGCCAGAAGAGGCCCATCAGGTCCAGCACCCTGTTCTCACAGGGGACAACCAGATCCCTCCAAAGGGATCCCACAAGCAGCTCCCCCAAGACATGGGATTCCCAGCAAATGGCCTAATTGGCAGAGATTGACTTCCTCCAACCGGGGAGGTGAAACATGGGCATTGGGGGCAGTAGCCTCTGGAGAGACCGGCATATTCATTTATTTGGGTAAAAAAAATTTATATACTGCTACATCATTAAAAAAAAAATCAAAGAGGCTTATAGCAACGGTATTTATATGCAATAAAAACCGCAGAGGAAAATTAAAACCAAGAGATCATCAACTTGCCATGACAGAGAAATGTTTTGCTAGCAGCCTGCATAAGATTATGGGAAACGGGTCTTGTCATGTGAAGCTCTGGCCATGACGGCAGTGAGGAAAAAGCCCCCATTAAAGAGGCCTAGAACAACAGAGCTGGAAGGGACCCCAGGGGGCATCCAACCCACCCCTGAAATGCAGTGGCCCTCCAAGCTTTGCTTAAAACCTCCGCCCCTTTCCGCCACCCTCGCAAACCTCTGCCACTGCTGGCCCAAGCTCCAGCCTGCACTGACCTGATTACGGCCACACTGGCGTTGGCAACAAGCAGACAAATACGGGCACAGCCCAGCCTGTTTCTGAAACCAGGACGTGGCAGAACCTGATGAACAGCTGGCTTGATCCAGCCGCTGATAGACGCGGAGGGTGGCAAGGACAGGGCAGAGCCTCCCTCGGCTGGCACACCGCTTGGGCCCTGGCAGCGTCTCCAGCTGGCGAAGGGTGTCTCTCGTTCCCCGGGGGGGGGGGCCTGCAAAGCCACTGCTGCCAGTCAGAGCAGGAGATGCCCGGGCTAAGTGGGCCAGCGGCCAGACTGTGCCTCGGAGGGCAGTTCAATGGACCTAGGCCAGCGAGAAAGTCTCTGCTTTGCCCGCAGAAGGACACTGGGTGCAACCCTCACCACCACCAGAAGGAAAAGATGCCAGGCTCTTTGGCCTGGGAGAGCCTCTGGCTGCCAGAGGAGGTGCTAGTGGGCAGGGGGTGACCAGGGCAAGGCAGCCTCCTGCGTCAAGTCATTCCGCCTTTATTTCATGAAATCTATACACTGCTTGTTTGTTCAAGAAAGCCTCCGTTTACACAAAAAAGATTAAGCAATAAAATTATCAATAACAACCGACAGCTATAATTTAAGACTTTCAAAAAGCTAAAATAACAACGGAATAAAAATGGATTAAAACCGGCAGCAACCTTCTCAATCTCTGGGGAGGCTTGTCAAAACAAAACCTGTTTCTAGCAGGCGCCGAAAAAGAGGGTGCAGCGAAATCGCCTCCCTGAAGTCAAGAGGCAGGGAGTTCCAAAGGGCGCAGGCGGCCACACTTACAAGATTCCTGCCTCGTGGTCCCTGCCAGTGCTATGCTTCTCTAACAAAGACGTTCACATCGCTGCCACCCCCACCCCTTCAAAGGCTGTGCTTCCCCACACGCTCCAGCCCTCCTCACCACCCACCCACTGCTCCTGCACCTCCCAGGGAGCCGGGCCCAGGCTGCAGCAGCTAACAGAGGAGGGCTGGGCTCAGGAAGAGTGGCATGGAAGCCCCTGCCCTGGCTGGGAGCCTGGGGCCCCTCCCCAGTCTGGCTGGCCCTCGGCCAAGACCCACGGCCACCCCCCAACCCCACAGCCTCTCCCCTCCTGCTGCTTTCTCAGAACTCCTCCTGGCTCAGGAAGGGCTTCCCACCCCCCATTCCCACCCCCAGCAAGGCCTTCTGTGCCCCTGCAGGCTTTGGCACCTTTCTAGTGGGGCAAGCCAGCCCCAGAGTCAAAGGGGCAGCACAGAAGGAGCTGGGGGTGGCAGGGGGAATCCCCAGTAAAAGGGACCCCCAGATCAGGGGAACAACCAGCAGGTCCTGCAAAAGCCACCCATGTCTCTCCCCCCCCCCTCGCTTTCTTCCGTCTGGTCCTGCTGTCAGCAGAGATCCTAGAATGGGGGAGCTGGAAGGGGACCCTCAGGGTCATCCAGACCAACCCCCTGCAATGCAGGAATCACAGCTGAAAAGCCCAAGGCAGGCCCCACAAACTGCAAAGAGGTGTGCGCGCACACACACACCCTCCCTGCAGAGCGGGTCAGAGATCACAAGGGGTTGTTTCTACACACACACACACACACACACCCCACTCCAAAATCCATGCCTCCTGCTATTGCTCCAAGTCCCCCCGCTGTGTGCCTCTGTGTGGGTGGGCACCCTCCGAGTGGCTTCGGCTGCCCGCCAGGGCAAAGCAGGGGCAAACCCAGATTAGCCGGCTTCTAATTCCCCTCTAATGAGGCCTGGGCTGGGCGCGGCACCTAATGACCCTAATAATCTCTCGGCACAAGCCGGGACGGAGATGAGGCGGCAGGCCAGGCTGGGAGAGTCTGCCTGGGGGAGGGGAGAGGGGGGGGAGGGGTGTCCCCCCCCCCAAGAGGGCAGAGGCAGGGGCACCTCGCACACAAGGCTCAGAGGCCAATGCTCACTCCTCAAAGCGGCCCCTGGCACAGAGGAGGGCAGGCCCCTGCCAAGACACTCCAAACGGGGGGGGGGGGATCCGAAATGGCACCCGGTCTGGGGACACCCTGGCTGGCAGGCAGGCAGGAGTCACGAGCTGGCCTGCTCCTCTGTGCATGGCGGGGGGGGGGGGCTGTTGATGTTCTCCAGCTCCGAGAGGAGCAGGCAGAGATTCCTGCAGCGATGCCACCCACTCCTGGCACGGGGCCTGCAATCCGGGCACATTCCCAGAGCCAAGCTCCACCGCTCTGCTGCTGCTGCTGCGGCCGCCCACCTCCCTCCCGGCAGCAGCTGGGGCCCAGATGGGCCTCCCCACCCACCCCAACGGCTTCCGAGCCCACTCCTCGTGGCCGGCAGGTGGGTGGGTGGGCAGCCTTCAAGGCGGCAGAGGCTGTGCCAGGCCTTGCCCTCCTCCAGACCAAGCCTGGGCAACTTGGGGCACCCCTCCCAGTCGGAGGCAGCAACCGAGCAAAATTTGGGGCCCCAGGAGCCCCAGAAGTCTGGCCCAGGCACCGAGGGGGACAGGGGGGCATGTGTGTTTGTGAATGCCTTTCTCTGTCGGGAGCCTCCTTTGACTACTCGGAATCATAGGCTTGTTGGAAGGGACCCCAAGGGTCATCTAGTCCAACCCGCCACGATACAGGAATCACAATTTGATTTTTCTGTCTTCCTTGGATGGTGGAAGCTTTTGCTTCTGCTCCAGTTTTCCAAATCCAGAGGAGGAGGGCTGAGCCCTTGCTGTTCATTGTGGGGTAACGCCAGCCTTGCGAGGTAGGCAGGGCTGCAGGGCAGCGCCTCCAAGCCCCACAGCGTCCTTCGGCAAATGCCACTGTGAACATGTGCAACACACACAGACGCAAATCCACAAATGCAAACCCTGTGCACGGCTTGCGCAGAAAACCTCCAGGCAGAAATGCGGGCTCCCCACTGTATGTAGTTGGGGGTGGGCAAGAGAGACCAGAAGGCCCCCCCCTTCTCCCAAGGCAGGGTCTGCCCCACCCCTGATCACTGCAACCAGAGGACCTTTAGCAAGCCACCCAGAGCAAGCAGAGGCAGAGACCTCCAGGTGACTCGAGCGAGCAAGTCAAGCCGCGAGGGGCCAGGAAAGGCCCAGGATTGGAGCTCGGCCAATTCCAGCGGCGGAAAAGCTCCTTCCTGACTCCCAAGGCAGCCGCCAGACCCCAAACACAAGCCAGGACTCCGGAGCATCTCTTCCAATATTTACAAAATACTTGAGCAAGCTGGGACTGGCCCAGAGACACAGAGCAGCCCAGGCATGAGGGGGTCCACACCCCCACTCCGTGGGGGAAGGGCAAGGGGCCAAGGAGCGACCCAGCGAGGGACGGAAGGAAGGGCGGCTCCAGGAAACAAGCGCTGGCCGGCAGGAGCCAAGGCGGAGGCGCTCAGGATCAGTGCCAGGAGACACGGGGGGACGGCAATCAGACCAAAGAGCCCCCTTGGGCTGGCAAGCGCAATGCAGGCAAGGGCAGGCCGGCCTCTCGTGGGACCCAGGATGAGGGGGACCTCAGCGGGCATCTAGTCCAGCCTCCTCTTAGGGGTCTGCTCCAGAATGCCCGCCTCAGTGCCAGGATGATGCAGCCAAGGAGCAAATGCGCTTGGCTCAGAGGCCCAAAAGAGGAATGCGTGCCCTGCACCCAGCGCCTCTGCCAAGCGGGCACCCTGCCGCTGTTTTGGACTACAAATCCCATCAGGTGGGGGGCTGCAGTCCAGGACATTTGGAGGGCGCCAGGCTGGCGAATCCTGCTCCGTGCCACTGAGCGGCTGCTCTCACTTTACAGGCCTTGGGGCTCAGCGTCTCTGGTTAGGGGGCTTTCTATGGGGCCTTCGCAGCCCTGAAGAACTTTTCCTAGTTTCAGCCGCCCCCCAAAATGCACACACACACCCCTGTATCTGCTCCTGGAATTGCAGAGGATAAGTCCTTTTTTGAGGAGGAGGAGCAGACAGGGCCTTTGCCCAGACGCAGCTGCCTTTGTGGAGACAGTGGGGCAAATCTGGGGGATTGGGGGCTGGAAAAGGCCAAAGGATCAGCAGCAGCTGCCTCTGTCCTGGCGACTGGAGACCCTCCTGGGCTGCCCCCCTTGCCCTCCTCCCCTGCCTGAGGGCCAGGTCCCTGCAAAGGGCAGGACCCCACAAAGCCACCAGCCCCACAGGTGATCAGCCCACCCTGGGTCGAAATCCCCCAAGGGAGACCAGCTGCAAGAATCTCCGGGGCCAGCCCAAACACCCGGGAGTTCAGGGCACCGGGATTTGTAGAGTGGCACCCGAGCTTGCCCTCTTGGCCGAGATGAGCTCAAGGGTCAAAAGGCCGTCGGCTGGCCCTGGCAAGAACCGACACAGGGGGAACCGCCTGCCCTACGTCCGCAAAGCAAGGCTGTTCCGAGGAATGCGCAGCACATGTGGCTCCCTTGGCCCAAAAGCGGGTGGCATCTGCCTGGCAGCAGAGAAGCTGGAAAGGCCAGGCCGGATGACTCAGGAGCCGAGGCAAAGCCCTGGCCGGCCCAACTGGCCCTGCCTGGGATCCTGCATGACACACACACGTGCAGAGTGCAATCTCCTCAGCGCCTGCACCTTGCCCCTTCCCCGCAGCCCAGCTGCCAGGACTAATTGAGAGCCCTCCCACTTCCTCCCCTGCCCGGGCACCGACGGGGACTTTGCCGCTCTGCCGTTCCCTCTGCTCCTTCCCAAAGTCCTGCCAAGAACTGGCAGCCGGCAGCGGGCATGGCAGGATCCCAGCATGCACTGCTCCCTCCGGAGAACAACAACTGGGACACCTTCAGGGCTGAGTGCAAAGAGCCTGGCCAGGAGAGGCCTGGGAAGGGAGGGAGGGTGGTTCTTGGCCAAGCGCCCTCTTGGGGGGGGCTGCAAAGGGAGGGGCCTCCGGGGCACCGGGGCTGGCAGTGGAAGGTGCCCCCTTCCCAAGCAGCCACAGGGCAAGCAAGTGGCATTGGCAGGCAGGCCAAGAGAAAAGCCTTGGGTCAGGCCAAAGGGGACTCACCTCAGCCAGCCCCCTGTTCTCACCGCAGCCAAAACCAGCAGGCAGGATCTGAGCCCCAGAAGCCTCACCCCTCATCAAGTTTGCAGAAACTGGGATTCAGAAGAGGCCTGGCTGCCCCCGCGGAGGCACAGCAAAGCCATCCTGGCTGCCAACCGCTGAGAGCTTGGTCTCCCTTCCTGAATTCATCTAAATCCTCTTTTAAAGGCACCCAAGTTGGTGGCCTCCAGTGGGAGGGAGTTCCACAGTTCAGCGATGCCCTGTGTGAAGAAGGGCTTTCTTTTCCCTCTCCTGAATCTCTCCTGGAAGTTTGCACATGGGCAGAAGGCCAGCTGACTGGCAGGAGGCCGGACGGTGCTCAGGGTCAGATTGCATTGAGGCCTCTTGCGAGGGACGTGGCCAGTCCAGAACACAGCGGGTCTCCACTCCCAAGTCAGGATGTGTCCCTCAGCCCCTGCCCGGCTTGCCTTGCCTTTAGCAGAGGAGCACCAAGCCCCGAGCAGGCAGCTGCCAAGGGGGTGAGAGTGTGGGGAGAGGGTTTTGACGCCACCCGGACTGCAGCAGCTGCCAGCCAGGACCATCTTTGTGCCCGAAACCTCGTGGGTGACTCTGGAGGAGCCCCAGGGCCAGAGGGATGGATCTACCAGGCAGAGTTGATCCAGTCACTCGGGGTCCCACACCGAAGGGGTGCAGAGAAGAGCGGGCACAGCAGAGACTCTGGCTATTCTGGAAGAGGGAGCGCTGGACGGAGCCTGACCCTGGCACTTTACAAAAACAAGGAGGGGGCATCCTCAGCCGAAGGAGCGGGCCCCTCCCCACCCTGCCCCACTCTCCTTCTCCGCCAGGGCAGGACAGACCCCCTGGCTCTCCCAGGCCCGCCCTCTGCCCCCTTCGGCTCCCCCCTCAGAGGACAACAGCATTTCACACGCCTCAGGAGATGTTCCAAGAAGCCTGCGAGGTAGGCCAGCGCCGCAGCTGAGAGAGAAGGGCTCAGGCACAGAGTCAGAGCAACAGCCCACCAGGCTGAGTATTGCAAGCACTGACTGGCAGCATCAGCTCGCCATGTTTTTCTCCTGGGGACGGAAGTTGCGCCTTCTGCATGCCAGGCAGATGCTCTGAGCCGCGCGGCAGAGTGAGTTCCCAAGGAAGGGGAGATGCGGACAGAAGGTATTTTGACCCCCGAGCAGTGGCACTGTGCCAGCTACTTCGTGCCAGGGGCCCACAAGTGTGAGGGTGAACCCCGGGAGCCTCACCAGCCCTCAGGACAGAGGAGCTCCCTGCAAGCCAAAGGATCCACAGAGGGGCAGCCTTCCTTCTGCCCGCCATCGGGCACCAACCCGCCACCTGTTCCAAGCCTGCCTTCCTGTCTCTCGTGGGGGCCTCACCCCTTGGCCCCCTCAAAATCCTTGCCCAGCTCACCCAGGCCTCATGCATGCTGGCCGGCTGCCTCCTCTCTGCCCCAGGGCACCCCAGCCTCCACATCTGGGGCTAGAGGGCAGCGCCCACATGGTCACTCTCATAGAGGGGGTGCCGCTTCTCCAAGTGTGCCCCAGCTGCGCCCTCCAGAGTGGCAGAAAAATGCCAGCCCTGCCCCTTGGCACCGTCCCCTCCCACCTCACCCAGGCTGTCAAGAGAGAGCTGGACCCTCCCACTCGCACACTGACAGAGGAGAACAGGCCCGGGGTGGTGGGGAGCGCCCGGAAGGGACACCCTCTCCCCACCCCAAAGAACAAAGCACCCGGTGCCAGGGCGCCAGGCCAGCCCCATGACAACAACACGCCTCCCAGCTGTCACGACAGGGCCTGGCCCAGACCACGGGCATACGTGCCAACTGCCCGAGCAGGCCGGGGGGGGGACACAAGTGGCACAGCGCCCCCCCCCGCCTGGGGACCCCAAGGGCTTGACGGGGCTGGCTCTGAAGGAGTTGCCCACCCACCTCCCAGGAGGACACCCCGCCCCCGCTCGCCCGGCACGGGGCTGTCAGATTTCCCCCGGCCCCCGCCGGCCTCCCGCGCGGCCCCTCGCCGCTCACCTTGAAGACCTCGGAGAAGAAGCCGGCGCCGATCTTCTCGCAGTAGAAGTCGTCGATGCGCGCCAGCGTGGAGACGGCGCTGCGCAGGGCCCGGTAGGAGGAGGGCCGCAGCCGCCCCCCGCCCGCCCAGCCGCCGCCCCCGCCCGCCGCCGCCCTCGCCGCCCTCGCCCGCCTCGTCCAGCCGCAGCGAGAGCGCAGGGCGACGCGCCCCCGACGCCGCCTTCTCGCGCTCCATCGCCGGGGCGGCCCGCAGCACCCCGGCCCCCTTCACATGGCGGGCGGCGGCGGCGGCGGCGGGGAGCGGGGCCAGCGGGGCGCCCGGGCCGGACGGGAGGAGCAGCGGGCCGGAGGGCGCGGGCGAGCGGGCGGGCGGGCAGCGAGGGCGGCGGCGGCGGCGGCGTCGGGGCTCCGGGCGCGGCGCGGCGATCGCGGCTGGTCTGCGGCGGCCCCGGAGCGAGCGGAGGCACCGGCGGAGGCGGAGCCGCGGCGGCGCGGGCGGGGCCACCCTTAACTCCTCGCCTGCCGCCGCGCGGGCACGAGCCGCGCAGCCCCGACGGACCGGCCGCCCTGCAGCGCCCCGGACGGACGCGCCCCGCCGCGGCGCCTCGCCCTCCGGCAGCTGCCCCGCCGCCTTCCCTCCCGCCTGCGCCCCGCTTCCCACCGGCAGCAGAGGACGCGCAATCCCGCAAAAAGAAAGACGGGGCCAGAAGGAGCTGCGCGGGGAGGGAGGCGACGCCGCCAAGGAGATGCCCCGCTCGGCTGCGCCCTGGCCGCGGGTGGGACGCGGCTCCCATCGAGACCAGCGCCTCCTGCGCCTTCCCCGCCTCAGGGCCCACGGGGAGTATCCCACCCCAGCCCCTCTCCTCCTCCCCCAGGCATTTTTCACATTTCAACCTCCTTATGCAGCGGCATGCACGTATATTTAAAGGAATAAATGCACAATTCCTGTATTGCAGGGGGTTGGACTAGATGACCCTCAGGGTCCCTAGTCTCTGAGTCTAAGTAAATCAATGTGCTGTTGAGAGCCATGATGGGGTGGGGGGCTTCCGACCCGGGGCATTGCTTGGAGCTGGAGCAGGCGAAGGAAGAAACCTCCTGACGAATCCCTTTGCCTGAGATGCAGCGAGGCGTATGGGCCCACTACTGGGGGCTGTGGCGGCTTCGGCCCCCACAATAAAATATTTGAGGGGGCTGGGCCCCCACAAAGTTGATGTGCATTCCCATTCCCATGGTGTGTGCACACATCAATGTCATGTGGTTGATTATGCACGGTGGGGCTTAACTGGGCCCCCACAATATATAAGTCATGGGCGCCGCCTGCTAGCCTGCTCCATAAAAATGTATTTCAGTTCAACATTTACTTTGATAAAATACATATTTTGTGATGTGCAAATGGCTTGAGATACCTATGAGGTCCATAAATTACCATGTAGCATATATTCAACACAAAAAAACAGTGACAATTTGTTGTAGACAAAGGACAGCTGGACATAGAAAGGGCCCCATTACCTTCAGGAGCTGAGGGCCTCATGAAGCCTAAATCTGGCCCTGATGGGAAGCTGCCTTAGCAGAATCAGACCATTGGTCTACTTGCGCAGTGATGTCCACACTGGCTGGCAGCAATGCCTCTCTGGGATTCGAGACAGCAGCCTCTCACAGCCCCACCTGGCGATGCTGCCAAGCAGGTACTGCACCTGGGACATTCTGCACCCAAAGCAGGTGTTCTACCTCTCAGCTATGGCCCTTCCCCAAACTTCTACAGTTCACAGGTTGTCCAATCTAAATCCAATTTAAAATGCCGTATTTTTCGCCCTATAGGACGCACTTTTTCCCCTCCAAAAATGAAGGGGAAATCTGTGTGCGTCCTATGGGGAGAATACAGGCTTTCGCTGAAGCTTGGAGAGCGAGAGGGGTCGGTGCGCACCCCCCCCTCGCGCTCTCCAGGCTTCAGGAAGCTATCAGCAAGCCTGGGGAGCCTGCGGGAGACATCGGCCAGCCCCACAAGCTCGGGAGACAGCGGGGAGGCGCAGTGCCGCCATCCCGCTGTTCCCCGACCTGGAAAACATTTTTTCCTTTATTTCCCCCCCAAAAAACTAGGTGCGTCCTATGGGACGGAGCGTCCTATGGGACGAAAAATACGGTAGGTGTCTCTCTTCCGGCCTGGAAAATACATTCCTAGAAAGGCCACGCATTGCAGGAGCCATGTGGAGGCCCATGCCCCCTTTGCTGCAGCCTCTCCCTTGGCAATGCCAACCCCCTGAGGCTCCTTCCAAGCCAAGGCCAGCCTGTTCCACCCCATTAAGCCGCAAGCGCTGGGACAGGGCTGCCTGTGGGAGATTTACGGCTGCCCTTCACCCACTGCTGACACTCGGCCATTTCGCCTGACAGAGGCAATTGTCCTCACGGCCCAAGCGAAAGGTCTTCTCAGGCGCCGCAAAATGGCTTCAGTCTGGGCTTGGGGATGGTGCTCTGCACCCAGCGAGGAGCGCTTTGCCCGCGTCCCAGCCAGAGGTTTCATGCCCTGCGTCTCGTTCTCGGGTGCAAACCACACACAATGTCAGACATGGGGTTCAGGAGGCTGCTTCACCTGGCTCTAACTCTAACCCCAACCCTGTGGTACAAAGACAACACGGCAAAGTTTTTAGCTGCTGCACACAATTGGCAAGGCTGCCTACTTGGAAAGGGTAAAGGTCAAGGGACCCTTGACCATTAGGTCCAGTCGTGGCCGACTCTGGGGTTGCGGCGCTCATATCGCTTTACTGGCCGAGGGAGCTGGCGTACAGCTTCCGGGTCATGTGGCCAGCATGACTAAGCCGCTTCTGGCGAACCAGAGCAGCGCACGGAAACGCCGTTTACCTTCCCGCCAGAGCGGTACCTCTTTATCTACTTGCACCTAGACGTGCTTTTGAACTGCTAGGTGAGCAGGAGCAGGGACAGAGCAACGGGAGCTCACCCCATCGCAGGGATTCGAACCACCAACCTGATCAGCAAGTCCTAGGCTCTGTGGTTTAACCCACAGCGCTACCCACGTCCCGCCTACTTGGAAAAGGATGGTCAAATTCTCCCCACAACGGAGGTTTGGAGCATTTGCTCCCCATTTCTCATCTGTGTGTCCACCCCCTCCCCAGGCTGAGTTTTGTGTGCCAATTCCTCACTGTGATCCTTTTGGCAAGGTGAGCTCTGCACCTGTTAGGCCAGAAGAGTACCTGGGCACTTGATCTCACAAGGGAACAATGATTCCTGTGCTCTGTAGTACCCATTTCAAGGGCTGATTCTATCATCTTGTGTTTCGTAATCACAACAAAGGCTTTTAAGAAACAACTCTGGGATCAGTCCTGGAACCATTTCCCTGTTCTGTCTGTTCCAGCAAGTGGCCCTGGAGGGTGTGGTGTGAGCGGATTGTGAGGAGCGGATGATGTGAGCCGTATCTGGGACTCCCAGGGCAGAGAGGTCCATCTCTACACCACCCAGGCAGACCCTCCAAGGCTCCCTGTTTTCCAGGGATGTCCCTTACTTAGAGAAGCCGTCCCAGTTTCTGATTTGATCCCGGAATGTCCCACTTTCCCTTAAGACGCCCCTATTTTCATTGGAGAAATGTTGAAGGGTATGGAGTTATCTGACCCCTGAGCCATCTGAAGGCAATCCTGTATAGGGACTTTTAAAAATGTATAAATATGTTTTTATATATGTTGGAAGCTGCCCAGAGTGGCTGGGGCAACCCAGTCAGGTGGGTGGGGTATAGTCGAACTATCAGGATGGAATGGGACATCCCTATTTCCACAGGAGAAATGTTGGAGGGTATGCGCATGGCAGCTTCACTTGTGCCTCAGCACCACTTCCCAAAGGGCTGCCTCTCCTCCCCTCTGCCCCAGCCCCCTGCAGACAGACTCCTCCAGGCTCTCCGCACGAAGCCTTCCTTCTCCACCAAGGCAGCCTCCATGACCTTTCTGGGCCTGGAAATATCAGAGGCGTCATGCGTAGCTAGGCCCATGCGCTGACTCAGCAAGCCTGTGGTCCTGGCTGCAGCTCAGGGGTGGGGGTGGGGGGGTAAATGGATGGATGGTCAGTTTAATCTTCACCCTGTTAGTGCTTCCAGCCAAGGTTCATTTAGACCCAAGCAGGGTCTGGGCACAGAATCTCTCCCCTGACATTTTCATCTCCTTAGCAGGCAAAGGAGGGGGGCACGGGGGGGGCACTCGGCTCTGCAGCACCGAGCAGGCGGCATCATCCTGAGCTCAGCCCAGACGCCAGTCAGGCCAGGAAGAGGCAGGAGAAACGATGATGACGGTGGTGGTTGCGATTTATTAAATTTGTACGCCTCCCTCTACTTGCAGATCTCAGGGCAGTTCACGACATACAATTACAAAATAAAAAACACAACACTAGACGGCAGGTCACACTTCTTCTCAGGAGATAGAAGGAGGCCCATCTTTTTCAACTGTACAATTCCAGGATCATGACGGGCATTTTCAGTTACTGGGCCAGTTTGTCCCTTTGCAATGAATGCAAGGCGGCAGCGGCAGCTGCTTCTTGTCGTCTTCTTCCTCTTCTTCTTCTTCTTCTTCTTCTTCTTCTTCTTCTTCTTCTTCTTCTTCTTCTCAGACCTGGGTTCAAGCCCCCCTCCCCACAGCCCTGGTTGGTGCCCATTATACCTCTGTGAACCCCTTGCCTGTTTCTGTCAGACACACAGGAGCAGCCAGCCCCATTTGCCAGTCAAGAGGGCCCTGGCTATAGGGCAGCGGGGGGCCCCCTCCATGCAGCTGCGCTGTTGTTTGGGCCCCTTTGGAGTCCTTGACATAAGGACTAAGCCTTATATGTGCACACATCAAAAAATAACCCACATATATATAGGGTTATATATAAAGGTCAAGGTCAAGGGACCCCTGACCATTAGGTCCAGTCGTGGCTGATTCTGGGGTTGCGGCGCTCCTCTTGCTTTATTGGCCAAGGGAGCCGGCGTACAGCTTCCGGGACATGTGGCCAGCATGACGAAGCCGCTTCTGGTGAACCAGAGCAGCACACGGAAACGCCGTTTACCTTCCCGCCGGAGTGGTACCTATTTATCTACTTGCACTTCGACGTGCTTTCTAACTGCTAGGTTGGCAGGAGCAGGGACCGAGCAACAGGAGCTCACCCTGTCATTGGGATTCGAACCGCCGACCTTCTGATCGGCAAGTCCTAGGCTCTGTGGTTTAACCCACAGTGCCACCCGCGTCCCTTAGGATTATATATAGTGGAGAGCAAACTGGCTGGGGTTGCCCCCTCCTCCTTCTCCAGAGGGTCATGACTTTGGCTAGCCAGGAGGGGCCTGGCATTTCCCCTTGGCCCCACTTGGGCACTGCAGTGCAGTGGCTGGAGTATTTGGACTAGGGCCTGGGAGAGACCAGGGTTCAAATCCCCCCTCTCGGCCATGAAGCTCACTGGGGGTGACCTGAGGTGCCAGTCACTGCCTCTCAGCCTCACCCACCTCGCAGCCTTGTTGTGGTGGGAGACAGGTGCCATAAATGAGATATTTATTGAAATTTTCAAGATATTACAAAACACACAAAAAAAAGAAAATACAAAATAAAAATATTTAAAAACAATTCATTCCTTCCATTACTTAACCTTCATTTGCTTAGTTCCAGGACCTCCTCACACCTCCCTTTTTTGTATTCCAGTTCAATTATTTCATTCAGCAAATCCCTCCCCTCTTTATGTATCCTAATCATTAATCATAAAGTATTATATTTTTGGTTTTTTTCATATTAATAATCCATTTTATCATATTCCTTGTAACCTTTCAGCTAAAGTTCGCTTAGTTTCTATCCAACATCATACTAACGTTCATTAATTTTACAATATTTCTGTAGATAGTCTTTAAACTTTTTCCAATCTTCCTCCATCGACTCTTCTCCCTGGTCTCGGATTCTGCCAGTCATTTCCGCCAGTTCCATATAGTCCATCACCTTCATCTGCCATTCTTCCAAGGTGGGTAGATCTTGTGTCTTCCAATACTTTGCGATGAGTATTCTTGCTGCTGTTGTGGCATACATAAAGAAAGTTCTATCCTTTTTTACCACCATTTGGCCGACTATGCCCAAGAGAAAGGCCTCGGGTTTCTTCAAGAAGGTATATTTGAATACCTTTTTCAGTTCATTATATATCATCTCCCAGAAAGCCTTAATCTTTGGGCACGTCCACCAAAGGTGAAAGAAAGTACCTTCATTCTCTTTACATTTCCAACATTTATTATCGGGCGCATGGTAAATTTTTGCAAGCTTGACTGGTGTCATGTACCACCTGTATATCATTTTCATAATATTCTCTCTTAGGGCATTACATGCCGTAAATTTCATGCCTGTGGTCCACAACTGTTCCCAGTCAGCAAACATAATGTTATATCCTAGATCTTGTGCCCATTTAATCATAGCAGATTTCACGGTTTCATCCTGAGTATTCCATTTCAGCAACAAGTTATACATTTTTGACAAAATCTTAGTATTGGGTTCTAACAATTCTGTTGACAGGTGCCATAAATGAATAACTTAGAAAAGTGGAGCCCCTGCCTTTGGAATGAAAACCAACCAAAAATGATCCTGGTTAGCCAATCAAAAACATTATTTGCCTGAGGTCACAACATTATGATGGAAGATTGAGAAAGGTTATGGAAAATTGACCTAAAATTTACAGATTGTTCTTTGCTGAGGGAGAATTATATGAAGATGATGTACAGATGGTACACAACACCAGTGCAGCTAGGGAAAATGTACCAAACTAGCTCCAATATATGTTGGAAGTGTAAGGAAAAGGAGGGGACTTTTTATCATATGTGGTGGGATTGTGATGCAGTTTTAGAAAATTTGGGAAATGATATACAATGAATTGAAGGAAATGTTCCATCTAACATTTGTCAAAAAACCTGAAGCATTTTTGTTAGGGATTGTAGGGAAAGACCTGCCAGACCCACGGTTTGTGGAGGCTGGTGGCTCCCTGGCTCCGCATTGTCCTTGCGGTGCCTGACTCCCACTTCAGGAAGGCCACAGGGCAGCAGACAAGCCCCATGAGAAGCCCAGGAAGGCCAGCCAGGGCCTGTCCTCTCCCCTTCCCAGCACCAGGAAGGATGAGTGCCAGAAGAGCCCTGCCTGGCCCAGACCAGAATATCAATAAATATATCTGTATTAGGATAAGAAGCTTAGACACATCTGTATATTAACGTATTAGATTTCTTTCTCTACTTCACTTTCACTTCCTCCATCTTTTTCTCCATGAAATTCTTCTAATAAAATTGATTAATTAGGATGACGATGTGTATCTTAAACCTTTTGTGAAACCCCTTCAGGCCTGCTTGAGGTCCCTCCCCCTCGGGTGCATTGGGATGGAGGGGGACCCACGGAGGCAGAGCTGAAACTGGCGGTAGTGGGAGGGGCTGGACTCCCCACGAATGATCCCTGGGTGCCTTGGTCCCAGCACAGGTGCGGAGCAGCACCCACAGCCTGACTGAGGCTGCCTTTGCAGAGGCCCCTGCAAGACTGACGCGTGCAATGGAAACCGTGCAATGCCTCTGGCTCCTGTTATTAATTAACTTGGACCATTTATAACCGGCTCTTCATCGTGATAGATCTCAGGATGGGGTACAGAACACAAATGACGTCAAAGGCCCCGAGCTCAGTGACGCAGCGCCTGTCTCTCAAGCGGAAGGGGCCAGCTTCAGTCTCCAGGTTGGGCTGTGTTATCAGAATGCTAAAGTCTCAAATATATAAATTAAATGTTCATAAATGTACGAGGCAAACACATACATAAGTATATAAACCACGTGTCTGAAATAGTACAGGAGAGCAACCCTCAAGCCATTTTGACTCTCCCAATGACCTCAAATATTCCTCTGCAGTAAGGGAGGAAAGTGGGGAAAGCCTTCCCCTTGTGTGTTCGCTTACAAATCCCGTCTTAAGGGTGTATTTGTGTATGAATAGGGTGAGCCTGTGACCTGGATTCAGGAACTAAAGTATTTACCATCACAAAAGAATGGCCAGGCTGCTAAGGTGAAGCAATCAGTGACCATTAACAGGTATCCTGGCAGGCAGGATTTCTGCTGTAGACGGCCTCCTTCTGTGATTTATGTATGATATTTTTGGGTAGTCTTGAACTACAGGGTGGGCAATTTCAAAAGTCTATGTAAGGGCTTGTGCACCATTTTCAGGGTTCTCCCTCCTGCGTGTGGTGAGTGGGGACCCTGTTGCAACAGTTCCTTTAATAAAAATCAGGCTTACTCGCCGCTTTGCTTCTCAATATACTCTGGCTGGCCTCTGTTATTTTCTCCTGCCAATAGGGAACCCACTTAAGGACTCTATCTGGGCTCTTGGGTACCCATAAGGGAAAAGGAGCAGTTTTTTCTTGTAACAGCTGGGAGAGAGCTGTGCCTGGAGAGCTGCTGCCAGTCCGTGCAGGCAATACACTGTCCGTAGTCTCGCTTTCTCTCTTCCTAAAACCACACAGAACACATGTGAGCCCTGAATCTGCCTGGAGCTGCTCCTCTTCTGGGCTCCTCTTCTGTCACTGCCCACAAAGGCCTCTTGGGTCCAGTCCAAAGGATGCCAGTCTTGGTGCCCAGCATGTTTCCAAGGGCAGAATGTGCACAGTCATGGCACTGACAGCCCTGACAGGACCCACAGCCTCTGAACTTGGAGGGTAAGAAGATAAGAAGAACCTGCTGGATCCGGCCAATGCTCCATCTGGTCCAGCCTCCTGGCCCCTGCGAGAACAGGATGCTGGACTCAGTGAGCCATTGGCTTCATCCAGAAGGCTCTTCTGAGGCCCTCTGATTCAAAAAAAGGTAAAGGACCCCTGGACGGTGAAGTCCAGTCAAAGGCAACTATGGGGTTGCGGCGCTCATCTTGCTTTTCAGGCCGAAGGAGCCGGCGTTTGTCCGCAGACAGCTTTCCAGGTCATGTGGCCACCAGGACTAAACCGCTTCTGACACAACGGGACACCGTGACGGAAACCAGAGCGCACAGAAACGCTGTTTACCTTCCTGCCACAGTGGCGCCTATTTATCTACTTGCACTGGCATGCTTTCAAACTGCTAGGTTGGCAGGAGCTGGGACTGAGCCACGGGAGCTCACTCCGTCGTGGGGATTCGAACCGCCAACCTTCTGATTGGCAAGCCCAAAAGCCTCAGTGGTTTAGAGCACAGAGGCACCTGCAGCACCACAGCTAATCCCCTCGCAGACATCCCTGCCATCAGTTGCAGGCCTGGGGTAAAGAACTTTCCTTTTCTGAAACTCCTGGGTGGTCCTGGTGTGACTCCCGCAGGGCTGAGTGCCAAGGATGCTGCCAAGCAGCCAGCCAGCCACTTGCGCCCCCATCTCCCTGCAGAGCATCTGGGGCTGCGTCTGTTGCAATATTTCCTTCCTTCTTCAATCTGCTTCCTTCTCAGCCCAGATATTTTTGGCCACTTCCCTGTTCCTACCACCGAGGAGGAGCCTGGCATATTGTCCTATATTTATAACAACGTGTTTCAAGGCTGGCATTTCTGAAGCAGGGTCTCCTCCCTCGACCTCAAGGAATGGAAGCTACTTTGCAGAGTTTGCCTGCCAGCTTCCTTTTGACTCCGGTCCTGGTCTCTGCCTCTCCCTTCCTCAGGGCAGCCCGGGCAGGAGAGCTCTGCCACGGCTCCCAAGGGCTCCTGGCCAGCATGGCTCTCCTCTGCTTCCAGCTTCTGAATCCCAGTTGCTGGAAAGCTGCTCTTGGGCTTGACTCCTGCTTGTGGGTTTCCCACAAGGGGCATCTGGTTGGCCACTGTGGGAACAGGAGGCTGGACTAGATGGGTGACTGGCCGGACCCAGCAGACTCTCCTTGTCTTCTTGCAGCTGCTGTGCTGCCAGAGCTTGCAGGAGGGCGGTCTCGTTGGTTGGAGAGTTGCAACAGGGTCTTCCCTTGCAGCAAGAGCTTACCCTTCAATAAACGCAATTCTATCCATTTGGCATAAACCACAGAGCCTCTTGGGTTTGCCAATCAGAAGGTCAGCAGTTCGAATCCCCACGACGGGGTGAGCTCCCGTTGCTGGGTCCCTGCTCCTGCCAACCTAGCAGTTCAAAAGCATGCCAGTGCAAGTAGATAAATAGGTACCGCTCCGGCGGGAAGGTAAACGGCGTTTCTGTACGCTGCTCTGGTTCGCCAGAAGCAGCTTAGTCCTGCTGGCCACATGACCTGGAAGCTGTACGCCGGCTCCCTCGGCCAATAAAGCGAGATGAGCGCCGCAACCCCAGAGTCATCCGTGACTGGACCTAACGGTCAGGGGTCCCTTTACCTTTAAGAAATGAAGGCTTCCAGTCCCAGTATAGGTAATTAACACCTGGTTAATGAACTTAGCAATATCAAGAGAAGACTGTTAGCTTGTGTGAGAAGGACAACTGTGACTTTAAAGAAGAATGGGAACTCTTTACAAAACTTTAAGAAACAACAAAATGAACTGGACTCCTTGGAAGGTATTGAATAAACATACACAAATTTATTTGTTAATATAATAGATGGATAACTTAGAGATTTTTACATTTTTATAACATGCAGAGAATAATATGTGTTAATAAATCAGAAAGAGGAACTGAGGGAAGTCGTAGGGGGGTGGGAGGGGGGAGGAGGGGGAAATGGGAGGGGGGAATTGGGGGGAAATACAATTGTTGGAGTAATTTGTTATGTGAAAATAGTCAATAATTTTTTATTTTTTAAAAAAAGAAAAAGAAGAGAGTGTTAGCAGTAACACTTCTTTACTGAAGGGGCCCAGACTGCACCTTCACAGGCCCAATTTAACAGAGGGAGAATAATTGGTGGGGACATGTCAGACACTCCTGAGAGCAGTGGTTCTCAAAGGGGGTGGCAGGGGAGAATGGCAAGTGTGTGGGGGGGAAATCAAAAAAGCATTTAAACATTTCAGTATAGTATAGTATAAAAATAATTTTGAGGAATATTGCCAGAAACGGCATCCATGCCTCTTTTCAGGAGCACTGGCTATTATTCTACAGTTCTACACAACCTGCTGTTGTGAAGAGGGATTTTGAACTCTAACAAATATGAGACATCAGAAAAGAAAGCTTTCTTTGTGTTGATAAGCATATGACAGTTTGTTTGTCTTACACCTTTACATAAAAATGCAATAAAAAAGTAGCCCTGGAGCATTTTTGTCCATTACCTTGATATCCCACCTTTGCTCTGAGGAGCCCAAGATGGGGCACGTCATTAACTTCTCCCACATTTTGTCATCACAATGACCCTGCGAGGCAGGCTAGGCTGGGAGGAAATAACTGGCTGCGGAGATTCTCAAGCCCGGAAGGAAGCTAGGCTGAGCTTGCAGGGCAGCAGTTGAAGAAGGAGCAAAAGGGGTTTTCTTGTGTGTGTGTGTGTGTGTGTGTGTGTGTGTTTCTTTGTGGCTGATTGGCGGCTCTCCCTGTGCAAAGGTCAGAGGGGGCAGGGTTTCTGTTGAGGCAGGTGATTAGCTGTGGGAGGAGCTTATCAGAGCTTGCAGGGCAGCAGTTGAAGCGGCGCGTGCAGTCTGATCCATCTTTTAGATTTAGGGGAGCTAGTCTCAAACGTTTGTTGGGGAGATCTAGGTTTTTTTGTGGGGGGAGTTATTTGTCCTGTCTTCACGCTTTTTATGATGGAGGACCGCTGTAGCCACCCCCAACGACACGTTCTCAAGATGGAGGGGGAGGGAACAGCTGCAGTCACCTGCGGTTCCTGCGCAATGTTTGCCATCTTGCCAAAGGTTGCAGGCAGCTTTACCTGCAGCAATTGCATGTTGATTGCCCTCTTAAAAGACAAAGTCCAGCAACTGGAGGAACGTGTAGCTACGCTCCAAAGAATTAGAGAGCTGGAGCTCTTCTTGGAAGCAACAGAGCACACCGTCTCCACCAAGGAGGAGACAGGGGACTCCCCTGAGAAGGAGGCTAGTTCACCAAAACAGGAGCCAGATATATGGAGAAAGGTGACTCAAAGAAGTAGGAGGCCCAGGGTTCGCTCTGATTGTTTAGAAATACACAATCGCTTTGAGGTCCTCTCCCTAGCATGGAAGACGAAGAGCAGACTCCATTTGAGGATCTCTCCCTCATTACAGTCGATCAGGTATATGAAGATGAGCAGCAAAGTCAGTCCTCAGGGAATGTGCAGGCGACCTTGGAACGGACAGCTCACGGAAGAACCGGACCAAACCTAAGAGGAGGCGTGTAGTGGTGATAGGGGATTCCCTACTGAGGGGAACAGAAGCAGTGATCTGTGGGCCTGACAAGATGTCTCGGGAAGTGTGCTGTCTCCCCGGGGCTAAGATCCAAGATGTAACTGAACGACTGCAAGGAATCATAAAACCCACTGACAAATACCCCTTCCTCTTGGTTCATGTGGGAACCAATGACACTGCAAGCAATAGCCTCCAGAAGATCAAAAGAGACTACGAGGCTCTGGGCAGGAAATTGAAGCAATTAAATGCACAAATTGTCATCTGTCCTCCCAGTTGAACGACGTGGCCCAGGGAGAGAGGGAAAAATAGTGGAAGTGAACAGCTGGCTTCGCAAATGGTGTAAACAGGAACGGTTTGGATTCTTAGATCACGGACTGCAGTTTCTTGAAGATGGACTTCTGGCAAGCGATGGGCTGCACCTCACAACGGTTGGGAGAAATGTTTTTGCCAAAAATCTCAGAAACTTCATCAGGAGGGCTTTAAACTGACTAATGTGGGGGAGGGAGACAGTGCTCCTGAAGGTAGGAGTCTATCAATTGATGAAGATGATCATCCAAATGTCATAGACCAAATGGAGCAAACACAGACCTAGTGGTGGGAGGAATAAATCCTTAAATAAGAGACACGGGGGAATGATTAATGGACTTCAATGTCTGTACACTAATGCACAAAGAATGGGAAATAAACAAGATGAGCTTGAGCTCTTGGTACAGCAAACTAAATATGACATAATAGGCATCACTGAAACCTGGTGGGATAAGTCCCACGATTGGAATGTAATAATGGGGGGATACAATCTATTTCAGAGAAACAGACCAGACAAGAAAGGAGGAGGAGTGGCGTTATATGTCAGGGATGTGTATACCTGTGAAGAGATCCAAGATTTAGAACCTCAAAGCCAAAGTGAGAGCATTTGGGTCAAAATTAAGGGAGAGAAGAATAACAGTGACCTCATTGTGGGAGTTTACTATAGATCCCCAAGCCAAACGGAGGACATAGATGATGCCTTCCTGGAACAGATGGCCAAGCATGCAAAAGGAAGGGAGATAGTAGTAATGGGGGACTTCAATTACCCGGATATTTGTTGGATGTCAAACTCAGCCAAGAGCATAAGGTCAAACAGATTCCTCACTGGCCTTGCAGACAACTTCATTGTCCAGAAAGTGGGAGAAGCAACAAGAGGAACAGCCATTTTAGATCTGGTCCTAACCAATGTTGATGACCTGGTTAGAGGGGTAGAAGTGGAAGGATCATTAGGCGCGAGTGATCATGCTCTTCTGAAGTTTACTATACAGCGGAAAGGAGCGGCCAAGCATACTAGGACTCAATTTCTTGACTTTAAGAAAGCTGACTTCATAAAACTTAGGGAAGTGCTGGGTGAGATCCCATGGACAGTAATACTAAAAAGAAAGGGAGTTCATGATGGCTGGGAGTTTGTTAAGAGGAAGATACTAAAAGCACAACGTCAGGCAATACCAATGAGACAGAAACATGGAAGGTGCCTAAAGAAGCCAGGGTGGCTATCTAAAGAACTTTTAACTGAGTTAAGATTTAAAAAGGATGTGTACAAAAAAATGGAAAAGGGGGGGAAACCACCAAAGAGGAATTCAAACAAATAGCCAGCACGTGTAGACACAAAGTCAGAAAAGCTAAAGCACAGAATGAACTCAGGCTTGCTAGAGAGGTTAAAAGCAACAAAAAGGCTTTTATGGGTATGTTCAGTAGCAAAAGGAAGAACAAAGAAACAGTGGGGTCACTCAGAGGAGAAGATGGTGAAATGCAAACAGGGGACACAGAAAGGGCTGAACTCCTCAATGCCTTCTTTGCCTCAGTCTTCTCCGATAAAGAAAACAATGCCCAACCTGAAGAATTTGGAGCAAATGATTCAGCAGAGGAAACACAGCCCAGAATAACTAAGGAGATAGTACAAGAATACTTGGCTAGTCTAGATGTATTCAAGTCTCCAGGGCCAGATGAACTGCATCCAAGAGTATTAAAAGAACTGGCAGATGTGATCTCAGAACCACTGGCAGTCATCTTTGAGAATTCCTGGAGAACAGGCGAAGTCCCGGCAGACTGGAGGAGGGCAAATGTTGTCCCTATTTTCAAAAAGGGGAAAAGAGAGGACCCAAATAATTACCGCCCAGTCAGTCTGACATCAATACCAGGGAAGATTCTGGAGCAGATCATTAAGCAAACAGTCTGTGAGCACCTAGAAAGGAATGCTGTGATCACCAATAGTCAGCATGGATTTCTGAAAAATAAGTCATGTCAGACTAACCTGATCTCGTTTTTGACAGTATTACAAGCCTTGTAGATGAAGGGAACACAGTGGATGTAGTCTACCTTGATTTCAGCAAGGCATTTGACAAGGTGCCCCATGATATTCTTGTAAAGAAGCTGGTAAAATGCGGTCTTGACTATGCTACCACTCAGTGGATTTGTAACTGGCTGACTGACTGAACCCAAAGGGTGCTCATCAATGGTTCCTCTTCATCCTGGAGAAGAGTGACTAGTGGGGTGCCACAGGGTTCTGTCTTGGGCCCGGTCTTATTCAACATCTTTATCAATGACTTGGATGATGGACTCAAGGGCATCCTGATCAAATTTGCAGATGACACCAAACTGGGAGGGGTGGCTAACACCCCAGAGGACAGGATCACACTTCAAAATGACCTTGACAGATTAGAGAACTGGGCCAAAACAAACAAGATGAATTTTAACAGGGAGAAATGTAAAGTATTGCACTTGGGCAAAAAAAATGAGAGGCACAAATACAAGATGGGTGACACCTGGCTTGAGAGCAGTACATGTGAAAAGGATCTAGGAGTCTTGGTTGACCACAAACTTGACATGAGCCAACAGTGTGACGCGGCAGCTAAAAAGCCAATGCAATTCTGGGCTGCATCAATAGGAGTATAGCGTCTAGATCAAGGGAAGTAATAGTGCCACTGTATTCTGCTCTGGTCAGACCTCACCTGGAGTACTGTGTCCAGTTCTGGGCACCACAGTTCAAGAAGGACACTGACAAACTGGAACGTGTCCAGAGGAGGGCAACCAAAATGGTCAAAGGCCTGGAAACGATGCCTTATGAGGAACGGCTAAGGGAGCTGGGCATGTTTAGCCTGGAGAAGAGGAGGTTAAGGGGTGATATGATAGCCATGTTCAAATATATAAAAGGATGTCACATAGAGGAGGGAGAAAGGTTGTTTTCTGCTGCTCCAGAGAAGCGGACACGGAGCAATGGATCCAAACTACAAGAACGAAGATTCCACCTAAACATTAGGAAGAACTTCCTGACAGTAAGAGCTGTTTGACAGTGGAATTTGCTGCCAAGGAGTGTGGTGGAGTCTCCTTCTTTGGAGGTCTTTAAGCAGAGGCTTGACAACCATATGTCAGGAGTGCTCTGATGGTGTTTCCTGCTTGGCAGGGGGTTGGACTCGATGGCCCTTGTGGTCTCTTCCAACTCTATGATTCTATGATAGCAGAGAGCCACTTTAGGAGGGGGGGGTCCTACTGCAAGAGGCCCCACTGCCCCCACAAAACAGGAAAGGGTTGCCAAGGGGAAACCAGAAGGAAAAATCGGGGGAGGAAAGGAGGTGGGGGAAGAATGTGCGCCAGAGAGAAACTGCGACTCATTTGCATCAAATGAGTATTTCTTGTGACTTGCAAATTCATCCAGTGTTAGCAAGAGCTAATGGAAAGTGTCAGGGAGTTAGCAGTGCCTTTTACCAGCTTTGTCTGGTTCGCTAGCTGCAGTAGGGCCATTCCTGGACGACGGATTGCCCCATTCCCCACTCCCTATAGGTCTTCAGCCCCTCTTATTTCTAGCTGAGTCCCCGTCATTCAATAGGAACACACTTGGCCATGAATTCCACAGGGTGAGACCTTGGGAGAGGCAGTCAGTCAGCCTGACCTCCCTCACAGGGCTGTCGTGAGGATGAAAACAGGGAAAGATCAGGGAGGTGGGTGACAGTTTCTGCCTCTCAGCCTGGCCTCCCTCACAGGGCTGTTGTGAGGGGGAAGCAGCATGCAATGAACAGGAGAGGGAAGAAAGGCTCTTTGCGGCTCCGTCCCTTGGCCGTTTCCATGCCAACCAAGGATGCCACCTCCACCTCCCCAGGGTGAGCTTCTCCAGATGGGGATTGGTGCTGCTGGAGCTGCAGGGCCTTCTCCTCCTCCATCCTCTTCCTCTTCCCTCCTGCATCAGCCCCTGACCACCTGCGCCTGCACACCTGCACACGCAGCCAAAGGGGGGGAACAGCCCCAGGTGAATGTCTTTTGCCTCTTCTCGCAACCCATAGCTCAGAATCTGCACCCTGGTCGCTTTTGGGAGACGCAGTTCTCCCTTTCATACAGTTCCTTTCGGTGGCCGGTCTGCAGGGGGGAATGGAAAGCAGGCACTACGACTCCCAGAAGGCAATGGGAGAGCTGGCTCCTCCTCCTCCCTTTCTCCTCCCCTCTTCTGAGTCCTCCCCATTGGCCGGCTCCTCCACTATGCAGTCACGAAATTAAAAGACGCCTGCTTCTTGGGAGAAGAGCAGTGACAAAACTTAGACAGCATCTTCAAAAGCAGAGACATCACCTTGCCGACAAAGGTTCGCATAGTTAAAGCCATGGTTTTCCCAGGACAGTGGTACCTCTGGTTAAGTACTTAATCCGTTCTGGAGGTCCATTCTTAACCCGAAACTGTTCTTAACCTGAAGCACCACTTTAGCTAAAGGGGCCTCCTGCTGCCGCCGCGCCGCCGGAGCACGATTTCTGTTCTCATCCTGAAGCAAAGTTCTTAACCTGAAGCACTATTTCTCGGTTAGCGGAGTCTGTCACCTGAAGTATATGTGACCTGTAGCGTATATAACCTGAGGTACCACTATAGTGATGTATGGAAGTGAGAGCTGGACCATCAAGAAGGCTGATCGCCGAAGAATGGATGCTTTTGAATTCTGGTGCTGGAGGAGACTCTTGAGAGTCCCATGGACTGCAAGAAGATCCAACCTCTCCATTCTGAAGGAAATCAGCCCTGAGTGCTCACTGGAAGGACAGATCCTGAAGCTGAGGCTCCAAGACTTTGGCCACCTCATGAGAAGAGAAGACTCCCTGGAAAAGACCCTGATGTTGGGAAAGATGGAGGGCGCAAGGAGAAGGGGACGACAGAGGACGTGATGGTTGGACAGTGTTCTCGAAGCTACCAGCATGAGTCTGACCAAACTGCAGGAGGCAGTGGAAGACAGGAGGGCCTGGCATGCTCTGGTCCAGGGGGTCACGAAGAGGCAGAGACGACTAAACGACTCAACAACAAGGGGGAATGGAGAGCAGGGACTACGACTCCCAGAAGGCAGTGGGAGAGGCGGCTCCTCCCCCTCCTCCTCCCTTTCTCCCCGCCCCGCCCATTCCGAGCCCTCCCCATTGGCCGGCTCCTCCGACTCCGTATCTGGGCAAAGCCCGGCTCCGCCAGCCAATGGGAGGCGAGAGTCGGGCGCGGGGCGTGGCTGGGCGGAGAGCCGTCGGGCTTGGCGGTTGCTTCAAGATGGCGGACGGGGCGTCTCTTTCCCTCCGGAGGCCGAGGGGGTTCCTGAGCACGGGCAGAGAGCCGCCTCCCTCCGCTGCCCCGGGAGCCAGGCCCCCCCCGCCCCTCGCCCTCCTCGGCCGGCTTGTGGTGAGGGCTCGACATGGCGGCTTCCGAGTCTCCATTCCGGGCCCAGCCGAGCGGAGACTCGAACTCGGGGCTGCCCGCTTCCCCCGCCAACCCGGAGCCGCGGCCGCTGATTTCAGGTGTCCTTTGTGGTTCCCTTGGGTGGAAGTCGGGGGAACTTGGGGGTCTCTCGTCCCGGGGAAGAAGGGGGGGGCGGGGAGACGCATCTTGCCCGGCCCTGGAGGCAGTGGAAGACAGGAGGGCCTGGCCTGCTCTGCTCCAGGGGCTCGCAGAGAGTCGGACACGACTAAACAGCAGCAGCAGCTTGATCTTGCGCACAAGCTTGTGTAAATATGTGCACAAGCTTGTGTAAATCTACTCTGGTGCGAAAGGCATTATAACGCGGCTTGGGCCCAAAGCCCAGTCCTAGCTGGAAGACCTGTTCTTCCTCCAATATCGAGGTGCAGGATGAGCTGTTGACTATTAATATCTCTTCCTCTGCCAGGGATGTCTGCCCCCTCAACAATCCCGTTTATCGTTTCCGAATCCCTGTTTCTGGGGTAAAGGACCTAGAGTGGAATATCCTTCATCTATGTCCGACTGTGATGTGATGCTCGAGTCACTAGCAGACCTGGTTACATTAAAAGATTTGGGATAAAGTCAGGCTGGTTACTTATCCAGACCTCACGGTGAGTTCTTTTTGCTGAGTGGCCTTATGTCCAAAGGGGCTCCAAATAAACAACAAAATGAACTGGACTCCTTGGCAGGTTTTGAATAAACAGTCACAAACTTTTTATTGGTAATATAGATAGATAAATTGAGGATCGTTACAACTTTATGATATGCAGAGAATAACATGTACTGAAAAAACAGGGAGAGGAGCTCGGAGGGTTTCTTTTTGGGGGGGAGAAGGATGATGTATTTTTAATAAATTGTTATGTTGAAATTCCTAATAAAAAATATTTAAAAAAAACACAAAGGGGCTCTAAATGAGCCAACCAACCAGCGGGCCATTTCCTCTCTTGCAGGATGGCTTTCTTCTTAAAGAAGATGATGAAAAGTTCATCAAAAGTATTTCCAGCGACTGTGAAGGCTAGGGAGAACAAGCTCGAAGGTCTTCCCAATACTGGTGAAGCAGTCCCCATCGCCTGCAGCGGCCCAGACAGAGACTCAGGGGCAGTTGGTTGCCTTCCCTGGTCCAGCACCAGCAGCCAATCACCAGCCGGCGAGACACAAAGCAGCAGTTCTCCGTGGCTAAAAAGATCGGCCCGGAGGATTCCAGTCCAAATTTTTTATCTTAAAAAACCTAAGTACTCCCGCTCACAGTGGCCACATTGGAGAGTTTCCAATTCATGCAGTGCCAAGCACTCAGGGCCCCTGCATTCAGTCAGAGAGACAGTTAACGGACAATCTGCCAGTCAAAGCTTGCCCTCCCTCACCCGGAGGAGGCACAAGGATAATTACTCTCATATTATCCTTAATTAACTGCACAGTCAGAGTCCGCTATCATGGGTCCGCTGCATGCCATGGCAGTCCGTGCCGGAAGTCACAAATATGTTTTAAGTGCGTTATGCAAATGTGACACTAGATGGCAATGGTGAGCTTATGGCAAATTCAATATGTTCTTTAAAAAGCTTATTTTAAAAAGCATTTTCACAGCATTTTTAATGTGTCTAGATTCCACCACTCACACAGGGTCAACAGAACTGTTGCCCATCCAAAGATCACAAGGCCTTTTTTGCCTAAATCAATCCCTCAGGTGGTAAAAACAAAGAAGTACAAAATATTTTGCAACTTAAAAAAAAACACAGGAATTCCAACAATCTGAGGAGCCTTCGCTGTAAGGCTGCGGGGATCTCTACCCATTTATCTGGGAATAAACTCATTGAACTTAAAAGAACTTCTGAGTCAATGTGTATAGGATTGCACTATAAAGGCCTAAAATTTTGAACAAGACTCTAGCTCAGTTTATAGAACACATGACTTGTAATCTCAGGGTCGTGGGTTTGCATCGCAGGGGGTTGGACTGGATGACCCTCAGGGTCCCTTTCGACTTGACAATTCAATGGTAAGCAAAGTATACATGAATATAAAATAAAAATGTGCTTTTAATGAAAGGGCCTGTGCAGTGCTGTTTTTATTGCAATTATTTGTATGGTAAAATATTTTAATTTGTATGCAGTGGAAGACAGGAGTGCCTGGCGTGCTCTGGTCCATGGGGTCACGAAGAGTTGGACATGAATAAACGACTAAACACCACCACCACACAGTTTTAATTCTATTAGTGTTTAATTGCTTTTAAATTGTAGATTTCCCAAACAAGCATATGATCCTCAGATGAAGAGTGTCATAGAAATTTGATAAATTTACTTTACTTTAATAAATATAATATTGCCTTGACCTGCTTGGATGAAAAATCTCACACGGCTTTTGGATTCAGCAAAACCCAGTGGAGGCCGCAGGGAAATTGGGAAGCCACACTTGCACACACCTGGCCCATTGTCCCAGGCCAGGTGAGCAAGAGGTCTCCTTTCTACTGACATGATTTCACCCCTGATGCTGCCATAAATAATGTTCATCTTGATTGCCACAATTCTTCCTAATAATGATAAATTCATCCTACTCCATATTTCTGGATTCCTTTTTATTCCATTCCAGATTTTTTCATAATTATCTTTATAAATATTAATTGAAATTACTTCTAATGGAGATAAAGACCAAAGGGGGGGGGCTCTTTTCAAGTTTGTCTAGATCACGGAGCACCAATTGGTGGAACAGCGTGATTAGATGGGTTGGAATTAGGTGGAACGAAGGAAGATTTGGGTTTAAACTGCTGTAACAGCTGATCATTAGAGCCAATTGAAACAACACACAAACCTAATAGGCTGTATAATAACAACTGCAGAGTCGTTTACTAGAAACTACTTCTGATAAAGTAAAAACCAACACTAGGAACGTAACATATTAAAATGAAGCTTATTTGGCGAGTTCTTTTTGCTGAGTTGCTTACGTGGGCCATTTCCTTTCTTGCAGGATGGCTTTCTTAAAAAGATAAGAAAAAGAAAAATTCATCCAGAGGAGGAGAAGGGGCAGCGGGATGACCAGCAGCCTAGTGTTGCCCAGCCCCCTGCTGGCCAAATCCTGCCAGTGCTGGTGAGGCCAGAGATGCAAACAGTGGCCCAAAATAACAAAGTAGAGCCGGTAGTCCTGCCAGGGTTGGTACAGCAGCAAGCAAGACTCAAGACAGAGTCATTTACTATAAACTACTTTTGATAAGGTCAAAACCAACACTAGGGACATAACATATTAAAATGTAGCTTATTTGGCGAGTTCTTTTTGCTGAGTTGCTCTTCTGATGTCCTTTCTTGCAGGATGGCTTTTTTTCCTGAAGAAAAACAAAAACAAAATATACCCATCATATGAGGATGATGCCCCTGCAGGCAGTATGCTGCCGGCATTGGTGAGGCCAGATATGTGAACAGTGGCCCAAAATAATAAGGCAGAGCCGGGAGTCTTCCCAGAGTTTGGAAAAAAGAACAAAATTTATCCAGTGGAGCAGGATGAAGAGGAGGCCCCTGCTGGCAATATCCTGCCAGTGCTGGTGAGGCCAGAGATGCGAACAGTGGCCCAAAATAATAAGGCAGAGCCGGGAGTCTTCCCAGAGTTTGAAAAAAAGAACAAAATTTATCCAGTGAAGTGGGATGAAGAAGAGGCCCCTGCTGGGAATATGCTACCAGTATTTTTGAGGCCAGAGATGTGAACAGTGGCCCGAAATAACAAAGTAGATCCCGTAGTCCTGCCAGGGTTGGTGCAGCAGCAGGCAAGACTCGAGGCTGTATAATAACAATTGCAGAGTCGTTTACTAGAAACGACTTCTGATAAGGTCAAAACCAACACTATGTATTAAATGTATCTTATTTGGTGAGTTCTTTTTGCTGAGTTGCTCTTCTGGTGTCCTTTCTTGCAGGATGGCTTTTTTTCTGAAGAAAAAGAAAATACCCAAAATACACCCATCGTATGAGGAGGCCCCTGCAGGCAGTATGCTGCCGGCATTGGTGAGGCCAGAGATGCGAACAGTGGCCGGAAATAATAAGGCAGAGCCAGTAGTCTTCCCAGAGTTTGAAAAAAAGAAAAAAGAACAAAACTGATCCAACGGAGTAGGGGGGGCAGCAGTGGGATGAGCAAGAGGCCCAGCAGTCTAGTTACCAACCCAGTGTTGCCCCAGCCCCTGCTGGCCAAATAATTTCCCAACTCCTGCCAGTGCTGGTGAGACCACAGATGCATGCAGAGGCCCGGAGGAACAAGGTCCAGCCAATTGTTCTCCCAGATTTAAAAATACAGCACCTAATATACACAACACCAGCAATACAGGTAACAGCAACACTTACAACTGCAAACCCAAACCTGGAATTACACAAAACAATTTAGGTCTAGTTCAGTGTTTAAACCTTTGGGGTGTTAGGATTTAAAAAAGGAAAATCAACCTGGCTTCTTGCTGATGTAACAGTTTGACAAAGTCCCTCCTCATCCCAGGGTTCTTATGGCTGACCCATAAAACTGTATAAAGCAAGTCTGTGTCAGCAGGATTGTGCCTCACAAAGTGATCCACCATGGGAGCCTCCTTCACTTTGTTTCTAATACGGGAGCGATGCTTCCCAACACGGGCGCTGACAGAGCGTACAGTGGAACCAATATGAATCAAGTTACAAGGACATCGTATTAGATACACTCCATCTCTGGTTTGGCAAGTGCTCAAATTGCGAAGGGTGAATCTAAAGCCCAAGTTGGCACCATAAAATTCTTTTGCCTGTAATGTGAGAGTGCAAGACAAATATCTGCCGCATCTATTATGACCCACCACCAAGGAACTGGTGGGTGTGGGAACCGGTATCAGATCAGTATGAACTAAAAAATCTTTGACAGAGAAAGTTTTTATTTAAGGCCAATGAGAGGAAAATCAGCACAGCCTTGAATGTTCCACAGTGAATGCCAGTGTTTCCTGAGGATCCTGATAATCCTATCGGAATGAGTAGAAAATTCTCAGGAGCCTGTAATGCGTTCCCTGGACTGAGTACGATGAATGGGGAGAAATAGTGAAGGGTGTTCCTCAGCCAGAGACCTGCTTCTTGCCTGAGAAATGACACGCTCCGGGTACCCCCTAGCTAACAGGGAATTAGAAAGTGTTTCAGCCACAGTGCAAAAATCACTATTCAGTGAGGAATTCCTCTTGATCCTCAACAATTGCCCATATGGTAAATTGTCCTTAAGATGCTTAGGATGAAAAGAAGAGTAGTGAAGTAAGGAGTTACAGTCAGTGGGTTTATGAAAGGGTTTAACACCTAAGTACCTGTCATGTTTCACCACTTCCACATCTAAAAATGTACAAAGGTTGGTGCCATGTTGTCCTGAAAAGGAGAGGGAGGGTTTTATGGAGTTAATTCAGGGGACAAACTGTAAGAAGTCATGTTCATTGCTGAACAAAAAAACCAACAGATCATCTTATATACCTGCAATAATGCAGCAGAGACTCAGAATATGGATTGTTATTCAATATGTGCGTTTTTCCAAATGAAATCATAAAGATGTTCGCCACAAAAGGGGCTATAGGAGAGCCCATGACTACACCTTGAGATTGAAAATAAAAGTGATAAAAAAAAGTATTTCCCCAAAAAACCTGTATCTAATAAATCTAGAAAAAACTCTAGAGGGCGGATGCGGATCCTGCCTGGATTCCCACAATTGTTGAATAAGATGGTGTCTTTCTTCCAGAGGAATATTAGTATACAGTGAAGCCACCCCCAAAGAAGCAAAAATAATGGCTTCAGGTATTTGCAGCTGTTCAACCTGTTGGATGAAATGTGCTGTATCTTGAATAGCTGCCAGGGTGTCTTTAGCATATTTTGGTAAGAACGAGTCTAAGTATTTAGCAATGGGCTCCAAGATAGACCCTGAGCCCAAAACTCTGTCTGCCCGGGGGGGGGGGGGGGCACCAATAATCTTATGTATTTTAAACAGACAATAGAAAACCGGGATGTGGGGATAAGGTGGAATGAGGAATGGAAATGTGTTTGTTTAGGAAGTCCATTGTGTCTGCATGTTGGAGTGCTGTTTGGAGAAGTGTGGCTCTTGATCCTGTAGGGTCTTTCGCGGTTTTCAGGGAAAACAGGGAGTCTGAAAGTTGGCCTTGGCCTCATCTAGATAATCTTGTCTATTCATAATTACAATGGCCCCACCCTTGTCAGCTGGTTTTATAATATTAGTATCTTTGGACAAGTCATTCAAACAGTTACATTGAGACTCAGTTAAATCCTTTCCACTGACATCATTTCATCATGTTGTTATAGTGCTGTGACCTCATGTCTCCAGGGGCTTGGGCGCCCTTAGAAACGCTGGTACACAGCGACCTTCCGAGAGAGTGAGTGTGTTTTCTCTTCCCCCCAAAGTCAGTGTGATATATTTAGTTTTAATTTGGCATTTGTGTTCCCTTTTAATAATAATAATAAATTTTTATTTGTATCCCACCCTTCCCAGCTGAGGCCGGGCTCAGAGCGGCTAACATCATAAAAACAACACAATATGCATAAAAACAGACATCAATTAATTAAAATACACTAGCGTCGCTAGTGGCCCCCAAGCCCCTTGAGAAACGAGGTCACATTATTTATGGCAACATCAGGGGTGAAATGATGTCAGTAGAAAGGAGACCTCTTTCTCACCTGGCCTGGGACAACCTCCCCGTTTCCCTGCGGCCTCCACTGGGTTTTGCTGAATCCAAAAGCTGTGTGAGATTTTTCGGCTGATATTTAACAAAACAACGCCGCCGCCCCCCCCAGACATGTTAAATACAATTGCTCAGGTTAAGAGTCTAACCCTCGGATACCTGACATTTCCCTGCTGTGAGGTGCATCAAATGCTAATACCTTTAGGTTGCGGATCAGCCTTGGTCCCTGCTATGACTTTGTGAAATGAATTTCTTTCACCCTCAATTTATGAATTAATTACAAGTGCTTATATACCACTTTTTATCTACAACATTCAAAATATAGTTATTTAAAAGAACTGTTTTTCTCCCCCAACCCTCTTTTTAGGTTTGTGTGGTAGAATTCCAAAGTGCCTTCAGAGATGAACAATAGAATTGTTGACAATGAAAGCCTATGGAATCTTGTCCACTCTTCTACCTGGCTTGGGGGGGGGCTGACAGACCCTAGAAAGGACTGCTGCTGCTGCTGCTGCTGCCGCTGCCACCCAGGACTGCCTGCCGGAAGCCTGAGGGCCCTGCCCTGCCTCTCTCCACCTGGCTGGGGGGGCAGGGCCTGACAGGCTTCACAAGGACTGCGGCTGCTACTTGGCAGAGAGGGCTCTTCTTTTTAATAGTTTTTAAATTATATTTTATCTGTGGTGTTTTAAACTGTGCTTTTTTGGTATGTTCTTTTGTTTGTGTGTTTCTTTCTCTGTTGGAGGTGGGCGGGTGTTGGGTTGTGGATAGGTATAGTTTTGTATAGTTCTGTTCTTAAGGGGAGAGGGTCAGGGCTGCCTGAGTGTGGGCCCCAGCCAAGAGAATGGCTGGGGCATGTTCCACGGTGTGTGTGTGTGTGTGTGTGTGTGTGTGTCCTGGGACATCCGATCTCAGTGATCACAGGAAGCAGGAGTTGCGCTAAGTCCAGACCATGTCATTACTGAGGAGGCAGGTTTAGTCGTTGTTTGAAGACTATCCCTGCCTCCAGGTCTGGTCTTGACCAGAAGGATACTGGAATCAGCAAGGGAGACCCACATGACTTTAAGGTTTCTGGTTTCTGTGCAATATCAGGAAGACCTTGTTTGGGTCCAGCTTGTTCACGAAGGAATCGGCCTCCTCAGAGAGCTGCTCGGTGTTGACAGTGGATGGGCTTGTACATGTTGAACCTTTGCTGGAAAAGGAAAAGGGAAAGTGAGGAGCAGCAAATGGTACTCCCTGCAGGGCAGGCGTGCAGGTCTGGTCAGCTTGTCTCAAAAAGGATGTTGGATAAAGTTCAGAAAAGGGCAATCAAAATTATCAAGGGGGTGGAGCGAATCCCCTATGAAGGAAGGTGGCTGAGGTTAGGACTTTTTGGTCAGGAGAAAAGGTAAGCAAGAGGCAGCACAATAGAAGTTCAAGAAGTTTGGCGTGGCACAGAGGAAGTGGAGGGAGTCTCTTGTTGGGAGATGCAGGACAGGTAAAAGAAAGGTAAATCAGGGAACTCAGAGGATCCCAAACAAGCATGGCTCTGGAACGCAAAGGTCGCCCTGACGCAGAGGACTTTAGGCTCCTAGCCCTGTCCGTCTGATAACTATCAAAATTGGCGATAAAAATAATGCTGCACACAGCAGAGAAGGAAGGTGAGCGATGGAAGGGGGGGTCCCCAGACCTGGCTCCTGGCTTGTTATCTGCCAGCCGTGGGACCGGAGGCCTCAGACAGGAATCCCACTAGATGGGCTCAGGGACAGAAGGGGGTCTGCTTGGGATAGAGCAGATCTCTAATTCAATCCCTGGATGACCTGCTAAATTATTATTATTATTATTAATACTACTACTACCATTACTACGCTTTGTGAGGCTTTCTTGGCACAGAGCTGCAGGAGATATCACACCACAGCATGGTAATATCCTACGCTCATGTTGCATGGTGTATTTGAGGGAAGAATCGTGCTTCAGTGTCAGAGTGTGTGCGTTGGATGCAGAGTTCAATCCCTGGGGGTCTCCAAGTGGGGCTGGGAACAGCTGCTGCCCCCCAAATCCTGGAGTCAATGTCCAAATGCCTCTCTGGGAAAGTGGAAGTGATGCAGAACAAAGCATGGGAATGGAAGAACTTCAGCCCTGGGTCAAAAGGATGAGTTCAGAAGCAAGAGTATGTATGTTGCATGAAAATCCCCACTGGCATCTCCAAGGAGAGCTGGGAGAGACCCCCACCATGCCACCTGAAGCCCTGGAGAGCAGCAGCCAGTCAGTGTAGAGGTGGTGTGGCATAGTGGTATAATAATTTATAATAATAATAATAATAATAATAATAATAATAATAATAATAATAATTTATTATTTATACCCCGTCCATCTGGCTGGGTTTTCTCAGCCACTCTGGGCGGCTTCCAACGGAATATTAAAATACAATAACCTATTAAACAGTAAAAGCTTCCCTAAACAGGGCTGCCTTCAGATGTCTTCTAAAAGTCTGGTAGTTGTTTTTCTCTTTGACATCTGATGGGAGGGCGTTCCACAGGGCAGGCACCACCACTGGGAAGGCCCTCTGCCTGGTTCCCTGTAACTTGAGACACACTGGATTAGAATGTCGGTCTAGGGCCTGGGAGGCCGGGGTTCAAATTCCCATTTGGCCATGAAGCTCACTGGGTGACCTTGGGCCAATCACTCACTCACAGCCTGACCTCCTTCGCAGGGCTTTTGTGAAGGCAGAATGGGGCGACCCTAGAAAAAGGGACGGGCCGTTTGTCATTCTCTCACCTTTGCCTGGGGGCTGATGCCATAGCTGGTGAAGGCAGGAGCAGGAGCAGGTAGTAAGCGGTGAAGGTTTGGTGAGGAAATGCCAGTAGAGAGCTCGGTCCAGAAGCCAGATCGCAGAATACGGGGTGACACCTGGAAGTGAGAAGAGAGACTATTAGGCCACAGGATGAGAAGAATGGACCACCCCACCTTTCAAGGGGGTTTAATAAGGAACTCTGAGGCCTAGGGATGACGAACTGGGCCTCGGTGCTTTCTACAAAGGATAGAGGCATTTCCAAGGGAAATTGATCCTCTGAGGCCCTTCTTCAGGTGCCTCCTCCACAAGAGGTCCGGAGGGTGGCCACACGAGAACAGGCCTTTTCTGCAGTGGCTCCCTGTTTGTGAAAGGCCCTCTCCTGGAAGGCTCACCTGGCACCTTCGCTACCTATCTTTAGGCGCCAGGTGAAAACGTTCCTCTTCAACCAAGCCTTTGGCTGATTGATCTCCGATATCTTTCTAAATGTGCTGGGTGAGGGGGGTGTTTGCTTTTCTTCTCGTTTTTATTATGCATATATATAGATATAGTAATTTTATGTGGTGAACTGCCCTGAGATCTGTGGATGAAGGGCGGTATACAAATTTTAATAATAATATTAACAACAACAACAACAACAAAGCATAGCTTGCTTCAGGAAAACTTCATCACAGGCCATCATAGATGACACCCTTTGTCAACCTGGTTCCCTCCAGATGTAAGTAAAGATTAGTAAAGACAGCTCTTGGGCTGCTGGTATCACACAACATACCTGGCTTAGTGTTCTTGTACACAAGGCAGACCTTCCCATTCCCTCTGCACGGGTCCAGCTCAAACACCAGGCTCCGTGAGTCCAAGTGAGGTTTCTCCGGCTGACCCCCGTTACCTTTGGGGAGAAAGAAAAGGCTGAGCGAGGCAGGCAGGCAGGCATTCTCGTCGGGTGCAGGGCAAAGAATACTCAAACCAAGCGGCGCGTGGGAAGCTAGGCATCAGTGGGGCTTGTGTATAAGGTCACAGAAACTAGGTGGGGGAGCAGGTGGGGCAGAGAGGAGGACCAAGGTCACCCATGGACAAAGGGGTGAGGTGGGGCAGTACCTCCTTCATTGTCGGTGTCCTCCAAGTCAGCCAGTGTGGGGATGCCACAATTCTGTAGGAGCACAGAAGGCTCACAGAACATGGTGCCCTCTGGAGAAGAATCTCAGCTTGCTTGCTAAAAGCAAGCGCCTATCTGTCACAGCAGCAAAGATGAGATTGGCAGCACAAGGAGTACTGCTGCTGAAATAGGAATCTTTCTGCTGCTGAACAGCTCCCGTTTCATTGCCCCACTTCCCAAATTAAAGACAGAACAGCAAAGGAAAGGAAAGGAAATGGGTGTGTGGATGCAATTGTTGATCAGAGAATAATGTATTTATTTCGTGTGTGTTTCAAAGCATTTATATACTGTTTGACTGTGAGAAAAACTCTCAGAGCGGATATTGATAAAATTATTTTTAAAAAGTTAAAAACAGCTATTTAAAAACATTCAAAAGTTTTTTATTTATTTGTATACTGCCCATCATCTGAAGATCATAGCATGGTTCACAGCACAAAAGCACAAGGTACAAACACAAAATTCCCAGTAAAAACAGGAACAAAAACACAACAAACCAATGACATCCTCCCCATTCATTAAAACCGGTAAGCTAAAAACCGGATTAAAATACATGTCATACTTTTTTGTTACTGGATAGGCTTGCCTGAACAATAATGTTTTTAGCAGGCTCTGAAAAGAGTACAGTGAAGGCACCTGCCTTTGTCAACAAGCAGGGAGTTCTAAAGTATGGGCACTGCTGCACTAAAATATTGATTTATTACATATACAGAATGAGTATTATGGGGTGTTTGTAACGGTGTTGGTTCCGCAGATCAAAGTGGCTGAGTGGGGAAGGCAACCTTGCGAGTAAACTGGTCCCAAGTGTGGAAGGCTTACTCTTACCGTCAAACTTCACACTCCAAGTCATGTGGAAGCCATCCGTCATCAAGTAGAAATGCTTTAAATTCTCGGGCAAGACGCAGGCATTCTTCTGCAAGGAGAGGCGAGGGCAGCAGAAAAAGAGAATCAAGCAGCAGCCACTTAATAAAGTTTTATAATTCCATGTGCAATTAGCTTATGTTCCTCCCTATCATTTCTTTGCCAATCGTGAAGTTCACAAGTCTTATTCCAAACCATGTTTCAGTGGCTAGAACAGGGAACAGTCACAACACAGAACCAAAGACCAGGGAGAGGACCAGAGAGGAGGCCAAGCATAATTTTTGCTGCCTTGTTCCTAGACTCTGCACAAGGGAATTAGAGCAAGTTCCCTTCTGTCATTCGGGGCTGGAATATCCTATAGTATGTAATTCACTACATATCAATGTGGGGTGGCTGCTTTGGCATAGCCCCAGCTTCTCTCTGGATTTGAAGGACCCAGCCAGCACCCAAGGAGTGAGTGGCAACAATTCTATTGAATCATCTGCCTCAAAAAAAGAACTGCTTGTAGATGAAACATGAAGGAAATTAGTCATAGAAAATTCATCTACCTTCAAGAGACATATGTTTCTTGACATGGCCCTAACTTCTACTTCTAAAGGCCAATACAGAGAACACGTTTTCACACAAACGGGAATCCTTCCTAGGTCTGACAAAAAAGTAATAATTCATGAGAGCAGAGAGCACGGGTTGGACTCACTGTCAGTTGGGTTAAGCTGTTAAAATTATCCATGAAAGTATTTCTTTCTTTTTTCAGTAAAAACCATCAGAATATAAAAGCAGGCCAACAAAACTCTGTCTCACCTTCTCTGATACCTCTGAGTAAGGAAGGATCAATAGGGAGTTGGCTAGGCAGGCAAATGAAACTCAAAAGCTTGGATATAATTTGTCAGGAAGTCGGTGTGTATAATAAAATTATTCACTGCTTGATTTACTCCCAGGGTAGGGCCAGAAGGAACATGATGCCACGACCTTTGGGAAGCTGGTGCAGGAAGAGTTACGTGCAGCCCTCAGAGCTGGACCTCAGTGTCCGGGCAGAACGATGGAGGTGGAGATGCTCCTTCAGGGATACTGGACCAAAACCGTTTAGGGCTTGAAAGGTCAGCACCAACACTTTGAATTGTGCCTGGAAACGTACTGGGAGCCAATGTAGGTCTTTCAAGACCGGTCTCGGCGGCCACTCCCAGTCACCAGTCTAGCTGCCACATTCTGGATTAGTTGTAGTTTCCGGGTCACCTTCAAAGGTAGCCCCATGTAGAGTGCATTGCAGTAGTCCAAGCGGGAGATAACCAGAGCATGCACCACTCTGGTGAGACAGTCCGCGGGCAGATAGGGTCTCATCCTGCGTACCAGATGGAGCTGGGAGACAGCTGCCCTGGACACAGAATTGACCTGCGCCTCCATGGACAGCTGTGAGTCCAGAATGTCTCCCAGGCTGCGCACCTGGTCCTTCAGGGGCACAGTTACCCCATTCAGGACCAGGGAATCCTCCACACCAGCCCGCCTCCTGTCCCCCCAAAACAGTACTTCTGTCTTGTCAGGATTCAACCTCCATCTGTTGGCCGCCATCCATCCTCCAACCGCCTCCAGACACTCCCACGGGACTTTTGCAGGGTCCCCAGCTCTGGGGTCGCTTGGGGAAGGGGAGATCGGAAACAGGGTCCCTCCAGGGCCAGGCAAGATGCGTCTCCCCGCCCCCAGACCCCCAAGTTCCCCCGACTTCCACCCAAGGGAACCACAAAGGACACCTGAAATCAGCTTCCGCGGCTCCGGGTTGGCGGGGGAAGCGGGCAGCCCCGAGTTCGAGTCTCCGCTCGGCTGGGCCCGGAATGGAGACTCGGAAGCCGCCATGTCGAGGCCTCTCCACAAGCCGGCCGAGGAGGGCGAGGGGCGGGGGGGGCTGGCTCCTGGGGCAGCGGAGGGAGGCGGCTCTCTGCCCGCGCTCAGGAACCCCCTCGGCCTCCGGAGGGAAAGAGGCGCCCCGTCCGCCATCTTGAAGCAACCGCCAAGCCCGACGGCTCTCCGCCCAGCCACGCCCCGCGCCCGACTCTCGGCCCCCATTGGCTGACGCAGCCGGGCTTTGCCCAGATACGGAGTCGGAGGAGCCGGCCAATGGGGAGGGCTCGGGACGGGCGGGGCGGGGAGAGAAAGGGAGGAGGAGGGGGAGGAGGAGGAGCCGGCTCTCCCATTGCCTTCTGGGAGTCGTAGTCCCTGCGCTCCATTCCCCCTTGTTGTTGAGTCGTTTAGTCGTCTCTGCCTCTTCGTGACCCCCTGGACCAGAGCACACCAGACACCCCTGTCTTCCACTGCCTCCCACAGTTTGGCCAAACTCATGTTTGTAGCTTCAAGAACACTGCCCAACCACCTCGTCCTCTGTCGTCCCCTTCTCCTTGTGTCCTCCATCTTTCCCAACATCAGGGTCTTTTCCAGGGAGTCTTCTCTTCTCATGAGGTGGCCAAAGTCTTGGAGCCTCAGCTTCAGGATCTGTCCTTCCAGTGAGCACTCAGGGCTGATTTCCTTCAGAATGGAGAGGTTGGATCTTCTTGCAGTCCATGGGACTCTCAAGAGTCTCCTCCAGCACCAGAATTCAAAAGCATCCATTCTTCGGCGATCAGCCTTCTTGATGGTCCAGCTCTCACTTCCAGACATCACTACTGGGAAAACCAGAGCTTGAACTATACGCACCTTTGTTGTAAAGACGATGTCTCTGCTTTTTAAGATGCTGTCTAGGTTTGTCACTGCTTTTCTCCCAAGAAGGAAAGATCCTAGCATAGTTGATAAAGAAAATGCAAAAGTACAAAACAATAGGGAAATTGATAGCTGAAGGGGAAGTGATAGAAGAACCAGGAAAAAATATATATATTAAGTAAAATAAAAACATCACCACCCGACCCCACCCCCACTCACCTTCCCACCCCTTTCCCTCTTTTCTTCCTAATGTCTCAACAAATGAAACCGATTTGTAAAAAAATGTTACATGGGGGGGGAAAGTACGAGAGACATTGCACATACCTTTGTAAATCAAGAAAATCTTTAATAAAAATACATTTTTAAAAACAAACTAAAAAGTCCCAGATGCTTCAACCTTTCTTTGGAGTTCTTCCATCCCTGGGATCATTTTGGCTGCCTGTTTCTGAACCTTCTCCAACTCAGCCATATGCCTTTTGAGGTGGGGAGATCAGAATTGTACACGGCGCGCCCAATGCAGTCGCACCAGAGATTTGTAACAGCATTATGATATTGGCAGCCTTATTTTCAATTCCTCCCCTAATGATCCCTGGCGTGGCATTTGCCCTTTCCATGGCCCCCCAACACAGAGCCAATATCTTCATTGAGCTCTCTACTATGAATGACCCCCAGGTCTCGTTCCTCATCAGTCACTGCCAGTCCAGACTGCAGGAGCATAGATGTGAAATTAATATTTGTTTGCTTGTCGTCCCCCCCCCCCCCATGTATCACTTTGTGTTTTCTTATGCTGAGTTCAATGTGCTATAATTGAATGCTTGCTCCTTATGTGGAGAGGTCTTCCCAGAGTTTTGGTTTGGTGTGGTTTACAATTGCTTTACCACAACCCTGAGCTTGGCTGCCTCCCGGCCCACCCAAAACTCCGACTCCTTGGTGAACTTTTTAAAGAAATGCACAGCGACACTATGGGCGCTCATCTGTAGGGTGCCACAAGCCACTGATCCTACAAGCCATTTGTAGTGATCAGGTGGGATTGCTATTATAATAATAATAATAATAATAATAATAATTTTTTATTTATACCCCGCCCTCCCCAGCCAAGGCCGGGCTCAGAGCGGCTTACAAGCAATAATAAAAACAAGATGAATGATTACAACTTAAAAACAAAAATAAAATACAACATTAAAATAATGGAACATTAAAATATTAAAATGTAGCCTCATCGCAGGAGGAGAAGGAAAAGAAAAAAGAAAGAGAGGGAGGGAGGGAATCAAATTGCTATGAGGAATTATAACAAATATAGAGTAAGCCATCTGTCTCAGCAATGAAAGCATTGCGTTGACTGGGTTTAAACTATTTTGATATGATTTTTTGATCAATCCACACCTCTGCATCCCTGTTCCATTTCTCTTTCTTGACAAGTCACGTACACAGCCCAGTTGCTTCGCCAGGCAGGCATCCTGGGCCATAAAAGATAGTGGGCAGCTTCTTTGATGTAGCCTTTCTGATAAGTTAATCTTAGGGCCAGGAAACAGAAAATGATAATGATCTCTATCCTTCTTGCCATCCTTCTTATCAAGTATATTGCTTGTTTATGACCCTCCGGGGTTGCTGGATGCACTCCTTTGTAGTTCTGTTTTATTTACCCCAGAAGTGCATGCTTAGTTAGCTTTTGTAGTGTAACTTTGTCCCCACGTGGGGTTTGTTGAAATGCTCAGAGGAAATCTGATTGGTTCTTACGAACACAGTGCAAAAAGTTCTTTTGTGAATAAAACGACCTGGGCCAGAGGGTTGACGGGAATTATTATTATACGCACCCTTCCCAGAGTCTTGCTGGTTCAAGCCTCTGTGTGTATTCTTATTAATCAGAGTTCAATTCTTCCTTTACTTTGGGAATGCCTCACCATTGATCCTGCTGGCTGCTCCCGGCTTCCTGTTTCCGGCGGTGGGAAATGGCAGACTCCCACAAGATCGGACCCCAGCCGTTCCGATAATTCAGGGCTGATACGGGGGTAATTAGCCCTGGCAGCCTCAAAGACCCGTGGATTGTCCAAGATTGCCGGCGTGCACTAAGGTGCAGCCGGCAGGACACTGGGTCAAAGAGCATGGAACGACTGGCACTCCTTCAATGTCATTCTCATAGCCAGGAGCATCTGTTTGGGAATATTAATAGATTTGGACGATAAACAGACACGGCTGGATTGAAGGAGCGTGAGGAAAAGCCTGCAGAAGTGTACAGTTCCTGGGGGTTAAGTTCGGACTTCAAAGAGATTCTCATCATGGTGTTTGGATTACGTTTGGTATGTTTTTTTCTCCTCTCTCTACTCAACAATTATAATTGGTCTTTTATGCCAAGCCTCATGAAGAATTTAAACTAAGAAAAAAAAAGAGTACAGATGGACTTTTATTTATAATTAGGCATTTAACCGCTCAGCTTCATTTCGGATTTGAGAGATCTGACAGAGATGCAGGAAGAGACACGATGGTTTCCACTAGTTTCTACTAGTGACGCAGCATGAAATTTTATATCTCTTCCTTTCTTTGAGACAAGAGGAGCTGTGTGCTGACTTTGTGATGAATCAAGATAACAACTTGGAACAATATACAGTGCAGCTGTTTGCAGAAGCTTTTTATATTCATTATGAGTAAAGAAAAGGCTAAGGGATGTCTAGCAGCCCCACCCCCCGGGCCCAGAGTGGGGAAAGTGCGGTTTCCAAAGGCCGATTGATCGCCAAATGACTGATACTGTGGAACACAGTTTAATATTGCAAACACTTTTGCCTAATAATTTGGAAAGTACTGGTTTAACAAAGTTCAAAAGGAAGGTTGGACAATTAAGGAGTTGCTGCGCTATCAAAGATAACAGACTTGGACAACATCCCGGAATTGGAACGGAATCAGATGAAGCTGAGCTGAGAAAAAGGCAGTTGGAAAAATTTTATATTAACAAAGTTGTATTCGGACGATGAAAATATATGGTGTTTGACATGAATGAGAATCCTGGACACAGGGACAAAAAATGATCAAGCGTTAATATCGAGATGTGGAAAATATGGAAACGACAAGGAGAAGCAGGACTAAGATGCGGAGATATGCTCCAGAGATCCAGACCGTGGGGAGCCCCAAGAAATTAATAAATACGATTTGGACTATAATTTGATCTTTTTTATTTAGTTTTTTTAGTTTTTAATTGAAGTATTATGATCGGATATTTAATTGGATGTTTTCTATTGGAAATAGAATGGAATGGAAAAAATGATTTAAAATATATATATATAAATCCTGCTGGCTGCTCCCAATATGACATTGCTGGCCTTGGGCACAGAGCAGTTCCAACATTCCTTGCTTTGTGAACCTGCTACCCATTTAAAGCATATTTTTTCCCCCACGTTATTCCCCCCCCCCCCCCCGCTGCTGCATTAGTTTGGTCTGCAGGGGTCAGAATGCATCCATCCATCCTTGAGTTTCCAAACCACAAGGAGGGTTCAGGTAGGTAGCCGGGTTGGGCACGCTGCCCAACTGAGCCCAAGGGAGGTGCCCTCCAAGGTCCCAGCCTGGAAAGACCCTGAGACTGGTCCTGAGTGGAAATGGTCCCTAAATCTGGAAGGAGCCCATGGGGCACAGCTTGTGCCACACCTATGGAAAGTAGCCAGGCTGGGTGGCTGAAATATACTCTGAGTCGAGAGTGGATTTCATGCTCTTTATTCAGCTCATAGTGGTGAGGAGGAATGGAAGTTCCCCCAGAATGTTTGCCTTATGTACATTATTTACACAATGGGCCCCACGTGATTGGCTAATTCCGGGATTCTCCTGTAGGCCAATCAAGTTGCAGATTCCCTTCCACCTGGAGCTGGATTGGGTGCCTCCTGTGGACCAATCAGACTGCTGCATTCTGGATCCTGTTGTTCTAGGACCGATCAGACTGCTGCATTCTGGATCCTATTCAACTCAGTACATAACAGTGGTGGTAGTGGGGAGTTAGAGGGAGAGAGAGAGAGAGAAGGGTCATCTCCTGCCTCTGACTCACAAAGCCGGAGTGTAGCGGTTAGAGTGTGGGGCCCAGGACCTGGGAGAGACCAGGGTTCCAATCCTCCCACTCGGCCAGGATGAAGCCAGGCCAAGCCACCCCCTTGCTTGCCCAAGATTTGCTGTTCGGAGGTGGCTGTGCCAGACAGCTCCCTGGCACTGCCTGTTTTCCCTTGAAAAAGCCCAGCGTGAGAACAGAGGGCATTTTAATCAGCATCCTTCTGCCCAGGACCATAGGAGGAGTCCAGGGCCCAGATGGCTGGGGTAGTGGGCACTCAGAGCCCTACCTGGCACCTTGCCCACTGTGTGCCACCGCCCGTTCCCCTTCCGCACATCTCCAGCAGTTGCTGCGCCTGAGCTGAAGTGAGGCAAAGACCAAGGGGCCGAGGAGACTCCCCTGCTGCCCTTTCTCCTCCTCCTCCTCCTCCCCCCAAGTTGGAGGGGGGGGTGTTGCTTGCTTTTGTCCCTCTGCCTTGCAGGCCGGCTGTGTTTCTCTGCGCTTCAAGTTTCCCTGGGCACAGGCTCCACCTCTCCGCCTCCTGCCCTTCCAGATCACACCGCGAGCACTTTCCCGTCCTGGCTCTGCGCTCCTTCCTGGGCAGACACGGAGAGCCGACACGGGTCATGGCCACAGTTTTCGCCCCCAAGGCTAGCCAGATTCTGATGACCCCGGAGCCGCACTACATCCCCGGGTAAGTGCAGAGGTTGCAGCCGGCAGAAGAACTTCCTGAGAGCCCAGTGAGTTGTGGCACTGCCCTTTCTCCAGCGTCTCTCTTCCTGCGCGTGAGGATCAGGCTATATACCTGTGTCTCTTCACGCCCTTGCGGGTCTGTGGGGGCGCAGGAGTGCCAACGTGGCCCTGCAACCGTGGGTGCTGGGGGCGCCACGAAGCGTGCATTGAAATTTGTGGGTGCCTGGCCCCTTCATGGAGAGTTTCGTGGGTGCTTGGGCACCCAGGGAGTTGGCACCTATGTCTAGGTGTGTGGAATCGGTGCGCAGGTGTCCTGAGCTCTCTCGGCTTCTTCTTGACACCAGGAGATGGAAAGGGTCCCCTTTGGCAGGATTTCTGCTCGGTGGGGGAAGGAATCACAATGCGCGGGGGCGGGGGGAGCTGGCAGCACAGCAACCCTTCTCTCCCCCCGCCCCCCGTCCCTCGTCCGCGCAGCTCCACCAGGCTGCGCTTCTCTCGCTACCCTCTCTGTGTACAGCAGCTGCTATAGCAACCCGGCAGGAAACCTGGGGAGGGGAGGGTCACCCAGGAACCGAACAGGATGCAGGGCTAGATGGGACCTTGGCCTGATCCAGCGACAGTCTTGTGTTTTGTTGATATTTAGTCGTTTAGTCGTGTCTGCCTCTTCGTGACCCCCTGGACCAGAGCACGCCAGGCACTTCTGTCTTCCACTGCCTCCCGCAGCTTGGTCAAACTTATGTTCGTAGCTTCGAGAACACTGTCCCACCATCTCGCCCTCTGTCGTCCCCTTCTCCTTCTGCCCTCCATCTTTCCCAACATCAGGGTCTTTTCCGGGCAATTTTCTCTTCTCGTGAGGTGGCCAAAGTATTGGAGCCTCAGCTTCAGGATCTGTCCTTCCAGTGAGCACTCAGGGCTGATTTCCTTCACAATGGAGAGGTTTGATCTTCTTGCAGTCCAATGGACTCTCAGGAGTCTCCTCCAGCACCAGAATTCAAAAGCATCAATTCTTTGGCAACCAGCTTTCTTTATGGTCCAGCTTTCACTTCCATACATCACTACTGGGAAAACCAGAGCTTGAACTATACGGACCTTTGTTGGCAAGGTGATGTCTCTGCTTTTTAAGATGCTGTCTAGGTTTGTCATTGCTTTTCTCCCAAGAAGCAGGCGTCTTTTAATTTCGTGACTGCTGTCACCATCTGCAGTGATCATGGAGCCCAAGAAAGTAAAATCTCTCACTGCCTCCATTTCTTCCCCTTCTATTTGCCAGGAGGTGATGGGACCAGTGGCCATGATCTTCGTTTTTTGATGTTGAGCTTCAGACCATATTTTGCGCTCTCCTCTTTCACCCTCATTAAAAGGTTCTTTAATTCCTCCTCACTTTCTGCCATCAAGGTTGTGTCATCTGCATATCTGAGGTTGTTGATATTTCTTCTGGCAGTCTTAATTCCGGTTTGGGATTCATCCAGCCCAGCCTTTCACATGATGACTTCTGCATATAAGTTAAATAAGCAGGGAGACAATATACAGCCTTGTCGTCCTCCTTTCCCAGTTTTGAACCAATCAGTTGTTCCATATCCAGTTCTAACTGTAGCTTCTTGTCCCACATACTTGTGTTCCATGATTGCTATGTTCCCTTGCCCCTGACGCTCTCCTGCCCCCCTTGCAGCTATGGCGGGTACTGCCCCCGTTACAAGTTCATGCTGGGCCAGACTTATGGGAAACTGACCTCGCAGCTGCTCACTAGCCCCGAGGCGGAACACTCTGGCCGGCTGCTCCTGCAGCCCAACTGCTCCCCCAGAGACACGGAGGCGCCTCCGGAGCAGAACGAGAGCGGAGGAAAGCTCCCCCTGCTTGGCTGCAGAACCATCCCAGGTTACACAGGTAAACTCCGGGGAGAGAGCGCGCGCGCAGGAGGTCCCCTCAGTCAGGTCTGGGCTGCAGCAGCGGCTGGCAGGGAGGGGAAGCTCAAAGGGGCCAGAGGCAGATGGCTGTGGCCCCCGAGGGGATGGAGGGCAGGCCCTGGATTACCACCCTGGTCTCCTCTGGGAGGAAGGGTGGGATGGAAAAACCAGGCAGGAGGTTTCACTGTACTGTTCTTGACTCCTGCTAAAAACGATTTTTGTTTAGGGCTTATGCCCACTTAACTCTCCTCTGCACTTTCCCCTCGAAAGCCCTTTACCGCTGAATCGGAGCAAGGGGTAAGGAGGGCAAAACCCAGATTTTTGTTGGTTGTGCTTCTGCTTTAAAGAGCGGGTTTTGGCAGGGGAAATTCCAGGGGGAAACAAAGAACACAGCTTGGACACAGAGCTTTAAAGCACAGAAATCTCTCTGGTAAGAGTGGGGTTAAAGTTAAGTGGGAAGAAGCCCCGAGAAGAGCCTAGCCAGATGCTTAGAAAGTTGACGAGTGTATTAGGGTGGATCTAAACACAGGAGGAAAACACTATAAATAAGTCAGGAAACAGATCGTTTTATCAAAAGAAAAACAAAACAAGGAAAACTGTGTTTTAAAATTTCCTGCTCTCTGGCACCATCTGGTGTTGCATGTATATAGCACGTTCAAATACCTGTTTCCCTACTAATGTAGCCGAGTCCTTAATCTGTTTTTAGTCCTTTGTAATTCTGTCGTTAATTTTTCTCATTGATTATTTTATTGCTTTATCTTTTCCGTAAGCCCCTTTGAAGTCGCTGCTTTTGTACAAACAAGGAGTGCGCAAATTTTATGAAATAAGCAGCCCGAGGGCCAGAGAGAGACAAGGGTCAGAGGTGCCAGCAACTCTTCCCGCCCGTAGCTCAGGCTGAAGTCTTGGTCAGTCCCTCACGCATATTCATAGATAAAGCAAAGCAGAGAATGGGGCACATGCTCTGGTCCCCCCCAGAACACTCCCCAAGACCAGGAAAACATGGCAGGGGCACTGGAGAGCTTCCTTTCTCAGGGGGAAGGTGTGGAGCTCTCTTGCTCACGAGGAGGCTGCATATTTTTCTTGAGGCTACTTGTATCTTGCCCTTAATCAGCAGGTCTCAGTGGGAGTGTCCGTCTGTCTTGGGAGACAGTAAGATTAAATGCTAGGGGCTGTCTCCCTGACTTACTCTGCCTGCCAACCCTGCCAGCTGCTTTGCCCTTCCTCCACACCTGACCCAAGCCCCCTCCTTTTCCATCTCACCCCCCCACACTCTCCCCCCTTCACCCTATGCTGCCTGGGCTGTTCAAACGCGTCTTGTGTCCTGGCAGGATTCATCCCTCGGGCCCAAAACCACTTTGCCAAGACCTACAGCGAGATCTGCAAGGAGGCCAGGAGCGAGTTTGCCCGGCAGCTGCTGAGGGGAGCTGGGCAGCGGGAGGCCTGGAAGGCGGCCGGAGGGGAGTCTCCAAAGGACACCAAGCCGGAGTCTCACGTACGTGGCACACCTGAGGGTCAAGCCCTTTCGTGGGCAAGTGTGGCAGCCGGGAGGGGGCACTTACATGTCACCCAAAAAAACCCTGCATGAGATTCGCATGTGCTAACACTTGTATGCAGGCACAAATTTAGAAAGAAGCACCGTCATGGATGTTTTGAACTCTACCAGCCCCACACATCTGGAGGGCCCCAGGTGGGCACCCTCTGGCCTAGACTGACTGGCATCACCTCTCCAGGTCTCCAATGGGTCAGGGGGCTGCTGGCTGGTCTTCCAGCACGTGCATCTTATTTGCAACTTGGGACCAGTTTACCTATGAGGTTGCCTCCCCCCCCCCCACATGCACAATAAAAGGTGGCTCTTTTCGGGGGGGGTGTTATTGAGTTATTGTTCTTATTTTGATTTTATATATTGTGATCTTTTCTGTGAACTGCCCTGAGACCTCCAGGTATAGGGCGGTATATAAATTCAATCAATCAATCAATCAATCAATCAATCAATCAATCACCCCCCCCAAGTGTCCCTCTTTTCCAGGGACGTCCCCAATTTAGAGAAGCCATCCTGGAATTTGATCCCAGAATGTCCCGCTTTTCCTTAGGATGCCCCTGATTTTCATCAGAGAAATGCTGGAGGGTATAGACTCGGCCCCTTTGATTGGCAGAATGGGCACCACTGCAGGTGGCACATAATGCCCGCTCCATATTCATAAGAACTTGACACCTGCACTTTGGAACTCCCTGCCTCTTGATACCGAGCAGGTGCCTGGTCTGGCCCCTATGAGGCATCTGCTGAGAACATTCTTGTTTAGGCAAGCTTATTCAGATGCTTAGAAAGTTGGTGTGCATTTTAATCTGTTTTTAGCATTTTAACTCTCTTGACAGTATATTCTTGCATTCCTCCCCCCCCCATTTTCTTGGCTTGTCTGTTCATAAACTGCTTTAAGGCTTTCTTCTTTACGATCAGGCAGTATATAATTTTTTTAAAAAATTAGTAAGTGAATAGATAAGTGGGTAGCAAGGTCTGGGCCCCCCACATCCCTCTTGAATCTGCTAGGGCCATGTCTGTGAGGCTCCCAGGTTATCTATCTGTCTATCTATCTATCTATCTATCTATCTATCTATCTATCTGTCTATCTATCTATCTATCTATATCTAGGGAGGGGCCTTAAAGTCCCCCCTCCTTCCCCGTCTCCTATGCCTTGGTGTTTCTTTGAAATGGAAAGTGGCTGCAAAGGGTTTTAATAAAATCAGCAAAGAGACGCCTGCCTGGGCCTGACTCTGACCCTCCTGGTGCCCACAGAGCCTCCCCCCCAAGTGCAAGACCCCCCTGGCCGCCGTGTCAAAAGCTGCCGCCCCATATGTGTCTTGCTATGCCTTCCGGCCCCAGGGATCGCCCTACTCTCTGGAAGACAGCAACCCACAGAGGCACTTCATCTCAGGTGAGGCTCACCTGCCCCCATCCAGGCTGAGGAATCTTCTCCCAATGCAAGAAGCACCTCTGGCAGATGTGGGGGTGGGGGTGGGCGGGTTAGGGGTACCTTCCCCTCCAGGTGTAGCGTGACCTTGCTCATTCTCCTCCACCACCCCCACCTGTTGCTATTTTCATCCTTCAAAAAACAGAGCAAGCCCCTGTAAAGTAAATGGAGCAATGCTTTTAAGGTCACATTTAGCCCTTGGATCAGGGCTGGATCAGAATCTCTCTTGGCCTGCACACCTCCAGTTGGACAGGTGGGTGGGGCTGCAAAGGAGGACCTCTGGCCAAAGGGTCCAAGTTCAAAACCTGCTGCCTTGGGCAGGGATTGGCTGCTCTCGGGGACTCTGACTGGGAGCTCTCAAGTGGAAGGAAACCCCGTGGGGCGGGCATCTGGTGCCCAATTTGAAAGGCTCTCTCCTTGCCAAGGAGCAACTGGGAGGAGCCTTCAAGCCCCTCAGCTGATACTTGGCAACCAGGTGGTTACACACCGGGGTCACATTTGGCTCCGTTTGTCGGAAGCTCTCCCCAGGGCACCTTCCTTGCAGATCTTTAGATGCCAGGTGAAAACTTTCCTCTAGAACAAGGCCTTGGGCTGATGAAACAATCCATGGCCTTTTAAATATGACTGGAGAGGTGTAGTCTTTTTAGTTTTCAGTTACAGTTTTGTGTTTTTACGTTGTAAAATAATAATTCTACACCCCACCAGCTCTGGAGGGGGGGTGGGCTTTGGTGGTGGGTCTAAGTCTCTCAACTCCTGCAGCGCAGGCTTCACTGGATTCATCCCTCGCGCCCAGTACCTGATTGGGGCAAGCTACCCAGTCATCACCCGCCGGGCTCTGGCAGAGTTCGACCGGATGCGATGGAGGCAGAGGCAAGGGCCTTCTGGAAGCAGCTGCGATGCCCAGAAAGGTGGCGATGCCCTCCCTCCGCTGACAAAGACCTACCCCACAGACACGGGCCTCCTGCCCCACTACAGGGGCTACGTTCCAGGTGAGCTGGGGGGCTGCCCCACCTGTTCACGCTCTTCTCCTCCCTGGGTGCTGCAACCCACGGAGACCTGGCTTGACCGTGGAGACACCTGAGGAAGAGGAGCTGCCACAAAGGCTTGGACCAGTCCAGGGAGGAAAATTCTTCCAGGGCCGCTGGCCATGAGGACTAGGCTCTTGCCTCCACAGAGGAGGAGAGGGCTGCTCTTGGGCTCGAATCCTGCTTGTGGGTTTCCCATAACGGGCATCTGGTTGGCCCCTGTGAGAAAGGGAGGGTGGAGTGGATGCGCCATTGGCCGGATCCAGCACTCTCCTTATGTTCTTATGGAACCTCACATCTGCTAGGATGGGGGGGGGGGGCTTCTTCAAAATATGCTCATTGCAGGGAGAGGTAAACTTTATAGACCTTTCAAAGCTGTGATGAGGTGCCCCAAATGAGGGGTTGATCTAGGCCAGCTGGCTGTCCCACGGCTGTATGGCATTGTTTGGGTGGGGATACCACCAGTTTGAAAGCACGCCCAAGTGCAAGTAGATAAATAGATACCGCTCTGGCAGGAAGGTAAACGGCGTTTCCATGCGCTGCTCTGGTTCGCCAGAAGCGGCTTAGTCCTGCTGGCCACATGACCCGGAAGCTGTACGCCGGCTCCCTCGGCCAATAAAGTGAGATGAGAGCCGCAAACCCAGAGTCGGACACGAGTGGGCCTAATGGTCAGGGGTCCCTTTACCTTTTTATGGAGTTATCTGACCCCCGAGCCATCTGAAGGCAATCCTGTATAGGGAAGGTTTTTAAAATGTTTGATGTTTTATTATGTTTTTATATATGTTGGAAGCTGCCCAGAGTGGCTGGGGCAACCCAGTCAGATGGATGGGGTATAAATAGTCAAATTACCCTTATGGAATGGTCCCTATTTTCACTGGAGGCCTGGAGGGCTCTCACCTTCTGCTCCAGCTTCCTGAAAGCCCTTGCCACTCTTCCTCAAATGCTCTGGTCTGGGGGAAGAGGCAGCGGCGGGCATGGCAGAGTTGGACGGGACCTCCAAGGCTCATCCAGCCCAACCCCGAAAGGCAGGAATCGCAGCGAAGGGGCCCCCTTTCTCCATTCAGGCCTCATTGTGTCTCCTTGCAGGTTACAAGTTCCAGTTTGGCCACACCTACGGCCAGCTCACCTTTGACGCCCTGGGCCAGAGCACCCTGGAGAAGCAGGTTCTGGATGGGCAGCCATGATGCCCCGCCCTCTCTGGACTCCCCCCCCCTCCAGGAGCCACTTCTGCCCCCTTGTTTTGTGTGTGTGGTGTAAGGAAGGGAAACCGACAGCCAGGATGGAAGAGGACCCCCTTCAGCTCCCCCTCTTCCTCAGACAAAGGATCCATGGTGGGACTTTTTTGGGGTGGGGGGGATGAAAGGATGCCAGTGGACGGGCAGCTCCCTATTCTGGACTGGGGGGGTGTGTGGAACCGACAGCCTTCTGGTCCCCCCAGCTCTTTGAATCTATGGGGTCTGTTTCTCAGGAAGGTCCCAGTTGTCCCAGAGGGTTCAGTCAGGTTCTGGGAAGCCCAGAAACACCCTTTGGAGAAGCCTTTTCACCCGCCAGCCTTCCTCTTGCCAGACCAGCTGCCTCTCTGGGAGAGGACCACCCTGGGCCAGGGAGCCTGAAATGACCGGGTGCAAGGCAGTCTTAAGAAGAGGGTCCGCCCCGCGCAGTTTGGGAGAGAGGAATGTGGCATGTGGGGCTGAGGCCTACAGGGCATCTATAAGACTTAGATAATATCAACCAGGGCATGTTCCAGTTTGGCCACACCTATGGTCAGCTCACCTTTGACGCCCTGGGCCAGAGCACCCTGGAGAGGGGAAGGAGAGGGAAAGGGGACGGGAGAATCACAACCATGGGATCTGAAAGCTGGGAGCGTCATGTAGCCCAACCCTCCTGCAACACAGAAATCACAGCAGCAGAAGTCTCTCTGATTCTTCCTGAAGTCTGCTCCAGAAGCACTGGTCAAGAGTTGCTTCTTCTACAACTTGGGAAGGGGAAAGAAACATTGGTTTTGCCCCCCAAAATGGAGGAAGACTTTCTTTTCCCCTCTTACTTTCTGACAATAAGAGCTGTTGGACAGTGGAAGAGTCTCTTTCGGAAGGTGGGGGCCTCTCCTTCCTTGGAGGTTTTCAGGCAGAGGTTGGGTGGCCATCCATCATGGATTCTTGAGTTGAGATCCCTGCCTTGCAGGGGTTGGGCTAGAGGACCTTTGACGTTCCCTCTAACTCTACGATTCTCTGATTCTATGCCAAGGGCATCTCTTGGGTGCTGGGCAAAGGGCAGCTGCTGCCCCCCAACCCACTTTGTCCCTCCTTTTTGTCTTCAACCTTATTTTTCTCTATCCTCCAATGGATCTCCAATTAATCTTTTATTCTAGCACCTCAAGGAGTTGCGTCAAGGCCTGCAATATCCAGAACTTCCCTGCAGGCTCCGCCAGGTGGAGGAGCCAGCCCATAGCTTTCCTCCACTCCTGGCTTCAGAGTCCATCGGGAGGGGGGGGTCCCAATCCTGAGGTCCCTGCGCAGGAAGTGGGTGGGTGTATCGACCGTCTCTGCAGCGGAGAGGAGCTCTTTAATCAGCACCTTTTTTTATTAATATGCGTCATAAATAAAGAAATAAATAAAGGCGAGACACCCTGTTCTAACGCCGGAAGTACAAATTAAACATGGCGCCTTTTTCCGCAGGAGCCTCTGACTTCGCAACAGCAGCCACCCCTTGGGGGGAGGGCAAGGCAGGACCCCCCAGCCCAGCCCCTCAATACTGACCGACCGACTAGTTGGTCTTGGCAATAACACTGCCCTCTGGCTACACGGGGGGGGGGGGGGAGACACGGGAGACCAGGACCCCCATCCCGCCCCACCCCCCAACGGAAAGGGAGAATGGTGAGGAGCCCCTAACCCCAGAGAAAACCCTTCTCCCACCCACCCTGTTACAGACACGGGCAGGCAGTTTCACCAGCACCGCCTGGATGTCCTCTGGGGACCCCAGCAGTGCCCTTCTGCTGCTGGGTCAGGACCCTGGACCCTGTGGGGGGGGGACAGCCCCTTGCGGCTGGAAGGGCCGCCCTCTGCCCACCACCCTTGATTCCCCTTTGTGGGCATTGCCCACCGTCGAGCCTACTTCTAACACAGAACGGCCGTGGACCCCTACCAAACCACTACACAGACACACAGACACATGGGCGGGATTATTTTCCCTCGGGGGGGACCCCACCCACCCCTCCCTCCCTCCCTCTGAAGCTAGATGCCCCTTCCCCGGGGCACAGGTCCCTTCCCACCGGCTGCCCCTGCGGTGTGGCGGGGGCCACAAGATGCAACGGGGGTGTTAATATATGTTAGCACACAGTTCTAGAGGGGGCATGTCTAGGGCAGGGCCGCCTCCAACGCCACCTGCCGCCACCGGGGGCAGCTTGCAGGAAAGCGCCCCCCCACCCGGAGATGGAGGCGGAGCAATGCATGCTGGGGGGTGGCTGCACCGCCCTATTTAGGAAGGGGGGGCTCCAAGGGCCATCCAGTCCACCCCCTGCAACACAAAGCGGCAGTCCTGGCGGCCGAAGGTCTGTGCTGGACGAGCCCTGGAGGCGAAGCAGGTGAAGAGTTCCTTGTTGGGGGGGGGGAAAGGGGGCGAGAGAGGAGAGGAGCATGCACAGCAATGACACTTGGCAACAGGAGACCCCTGGCAGGACAGGGGGCGAAGGCGGAGAGCAGCAGTGACTTCTGAGATTCCTTCACAGCGAGGAGATCGGGAGACGGGATCAGGAGGAGGAGGAGGCGCCTGTGCGCCCCACACTGTCCTGCTGGGGGGGCACGGCCGGGCTCCGTGGGTCTGTGCTTCTCTGGGCTTCCCCGGCCGCCCCCGGCCCCCGTCAGTAGTCCTCATCCTCCATGTGGGTGACGTACATGATGGGCACCAAGCCGCTCTCTGCCCCTCGCCTGCAGCGCAGCCAGTCGGCGTCCACCTTGCCCACCACGCGCAGGACGTCACCCTTCTGGAAACTCAGCTGCCCAGCCTCCGTGGCAATGTGGTGGCACAGGGCCTTGACCTCGCTGCGGAGGGAAGGAGGGGGTCGTGAGGGAACAACAACAACAACAACGTCACGGCTAAAATATTGGCTGCTGTTTCTTGAATGCTAAAAGAACTAAGTCAGCAGGAGTCAGCGACCTACAATGACTCATGCAACCGTTCACCAAATTATACTTGTATATATAGAGTGGTCAATGTTAGTGTGGTGTGGGTTGGTTGGAGGGTAGAAAGCTGGTTGCGTTTGGTGTTTATAAAAGCTGTCGGTCGTGGTTGGAGAAGAAGACTTTTTAAGGATAAAAGCAGCATTCGGCAAAGTACTCTTTCTTAAGGACTCTTTGTGCCAAATAAGGTCTGAGGACTAGGCAAAGGAGCGAAAAGGAGGTCAGAACCTTTTCTTTTTTCAAACACTGACAAACAATTGATTATTTATGCCCTGCAACAACAACAATAATAGATTGTTTATACCCTGCCAATCTGGCTGGGTTTTCCCAGCCACTCTGGGCGGCTCCCAACAGAATATGAAAAATAGAATCAAACATTAAAAACTCCCTAAACAGGGCTGCCTTCAGTTGCCTTCCAAAAGTCAGATAGTTGTTTATGTCTTTGGCATCTGGTTGGAGGGCGTTCCACAGGGTGGGTGCCACCACCGAGAAGGCCCTCTGCCTGGTTCCCTGTAAATTGGCTTCTCGCAGGGAGAGAACCACCAGAAGGCGCTGGACCTCAGTGTCCGGGCAGAATGATGGGGGTGGAGACGCTCCTTCAGGTATACTGGACCGAGGCTGTTTAGGGCTTTCAAGGTCAGCACCAACACTTTGAATTGTGCTCGGAAACGTACTGGGAGCCAGTGTAGGTCTTTCAAGACCGGTGTTATATGGTCTCGGCGGCCGTTCCCAGTCACCAGTCTAGCTGCTGCATTCTGGATTAGTTGTAGTTTCTGAGTCACCTTCAAAGGTAGCCCCACGTAGAGCGCATTGCAGTAGTCCAAGCAGGAGATAACTAGAGCATGCACCACTCTGGCAAGACAGGTAGGGTCTCATCCTGTGTACCAGATGGAGCTGGTAAACAGCTGCCCTGGACACAGAATTGACCTGCGCCTCCATGGACAGCTGTGAGTCCAAAATGACTCCCAGGCTGCACACCTGGTCCTTCAGGGGCTGGAGAGGTTGGGGCCCCCTACTCTTTCAGCTGTGATTTCTGCCTGGTAGGGGCTGGACTAGATGTTCCCTGGGGCTCCCTTCCAACTGTGACATTCCGGGATTGCATGGTCACCACCGACTGTTGGAGGAGGGGCAGTGGGGCAGCATGGGGGGGTTCTCCACAGACGAGGGGTCCTCCTCTCCCACAGGGCACAACGGCCACAGCCCACCAGCTGCCTCTGGGGCCACTTCCATCGGCCACAAGGCCTGGGGGCAAACCATAAAGGAAGCTTGTCAGAGAGAAGGACTATGATGGGCTGAGCAACCTCAAGCATCTCTGCACTCTCACTCTCACCAGACTCCTGGCTTCATGGGGGGGGGGGTCTATCAGCACCCTGAGGGTCACAAATGCTCTCCATCCCTCACCTGAGGTTGCTTTTGAGCCCAGCCCCCTCACCCCCCCAAGAGATCCAGGCCTCTGCTCCCCGCCCAAGCCGGGGGCTCAGTTCTCACCCCTGCAGGGCTTTCCATGAGACCCCCTTGGACTGGTTGCCAGGACCACAAGCCTGAGGGGTCCCAGAGGGGGGAGGTCCTGGGCCTCTGAGAAACTCCCCCAAAAAGCCTTCTAGCTTGAGCATCCTTGAGACAGACCCTGGCCCCCCAGCCCTGTGGCTGCCCCCACCCCGACCCCCTGTTGCCCCACAGTATCCCTCACCATGGTGTCTCGGGGGAGCCTCCCCTGTCCGGCAGTGGCTGCTTGGGATGTGCGGGAGGAGGGTCCGGCGCCAGCCGCTCAGGCTCCGAGGAAGCTTCTCTCCACACCGTGGCCCCCACTGTCTGTGCCATCAGCTGCAGCACGGAGCGGTCCAGGCTCAGCCAGCCAGAGGGCAGCCTGGAAGGGGAGAAGGAAGTCAAGACCAGTAGGCGGATCAGAGAACGACAGAAATAACGCGAGAGGCAGCTGTTGGGGAAATATCGGGGTTGAGCGCGCCATACCCTGTGGGTTCAGCCTGGAAAGCAGGGCTGGATTAAGCATTCAGCAAAAGAAGCTTGTGCTTGGGTCATCAAAGGAAGGGGGAACCACAGAAATTTCCCATTGCCAGATTTTCAACATTAATGGTCACAATTGCTGTACATTAAAAATCCCAACAGAAGAACTCTGCAACGAGGCAGACTAGGTGCCTCATCTCTACTAAGTACAGAAGCGGATGTGTGACATAAGGTTAGTTTTGAGGATCTGAGCACAGGCTTAGCAATTAGAAAAAGTAGGAGGAAATGTTTCCTAGCCGCCATAAGTGCCACCCAACTATCTCTTCCAGCAGGAGTGCAGAGAAGAGGCTCCTAGCACACCGCCTGAGCTCACCGGAAGTGGGACTTCCAGCTATACAGTTAGAAAAGTTCTCTGGAGCTTTGCTTCAATTCCAGGGGCGAGACTTTTATATGCACAGAGATGGAAGGACTCGTCACTACCAGCAATGGGAGAATGGCTGAGATGGAAAAACCGGCATGCTTAAGCAGAGAAAAGTCATTCTTAACATTTATGGGAGACTGGAAACTTCTCATAGATGTTTTGAAATAATGGCATTTGGATTTGAGGATGGAAGATAATATTTGCTTATAGAAAGTAGCTTTGTAGGGATGTGAATACAGTGGATGCTCAGATTGCGAACGTGTTCTGTGCAGGATGCACCTTCGCAACCCGAAGCATTCGCAACCCGTGTTTGCGCTTCTGTGCATGCGTGACTGCCGAAACCCGGAAGTAACCTGTTCTGGTACTTTCAGGTTTCGGCAGTCCGCAACCCAAAAAAACGCAACCTGAAGCGGACACAACATGAGGTATGACTGTATTGCTTATATGCAGCAGTCAAATGAAGAATCGGAAGTTCTTTAACTTTTGAACTTTATTATTCTCCCACCTTTTAAATCTCTTGTCTATTTCTTCTTTATCTCCCTCTCTGCCTTTCTATATTTCCTGCATTTCTTTTTCTCTACGAGTTTTATTGAATCCAAATCAATATTTTGATTTGGACCAAAAACCCCAGAGATATGATATTAAGTTTTGTATGTCCCTGTATAAATCCTAATAACATCTATTCATAAACAACAAGTAAGAGAAAAGTTTTCAAATACAAATGCACGGAAATGAACATTATTTTCCATCTCACTGTAGGTTTTGTTTCATTTCAAAAAATAAAATTTTATTTGAGGGTTTGTTCTTGTTTGTATTTTGAATTAGATATATGGGGGGGGGCAACGAAATCTTTTATGTGCTTAGGGCCTTTGAAGGTCTTAATCCAGTGCTGCTTGATGAAGACACAGAAACATCTATAGTTTCAGCATTCCCACCTTTGCCTGCTTAACCTTCTTTTCAGTTTCCATTCTGAAATGTCCTGGGTCTGCCCCCCCCCCCCCGGCCTTTGCACCAGCAGCCCTGAACTGGGATGGCTCAGGAGAGCAGCTGCAGGGAGGGAGGCTGCCCTTGGGGGGCCATTGCCATCCCAGGGCGGTGCCAGGGCAGCAATCGGGCTCCTTCGAAGGACAAGCGGCAATGTGGCGCAGTGGTGAGAGCGCTGGACTAGGACCTGGGAGAGAGCAGGGTGCAAATCCCCACTCAGCCACGAAGCTCGCTGGGGGACCTCAGGGCAGCCTAGCCTCCCTCTCAGGGCTGTTGTGAGGATAAAACAGGAAGGCGGAAAGCAATGCCTGCCTCCTTGAAGGAGAAGCGGGAGATAAACACACCAGAGAAGAGAAGAGCAGACTGTGCCCTTGTTTGGAGTGGCATTCACCCTGCTTCCTCCTCTGTTTCAGCCTCGTCATTATTGCCAGAGATATTGGCACAGTGGGGGGGACAGTGTTCTTGGGGCTCCCTTTCTGCACCCCACAATCTCAGATTGGTTCTCAAATGCCTTGGTTCTCAAACAGCTTGGAACCCGAACACTGCAAACCTGGAAGTAAGTGTTCCGGTTTGCGAACTTTTTTCGGAAGTCAAATGTGACCCGTTTTGAGTGTTACGCTTCTGTTTTGAGTGCTATGCTGAGGTCTGTCTGTTTTTACTGTTTATTTTGTGTTTTTGTTTTTGCGGCTCTTTGGTTTTTTTGTGTGTGACTGTGTTGAACTCAGTTCAGCTACTGATTGATGGATTGTGTGACTGCAGTAAATTGTTTATTGCTTTCATTTTATGAATCAATGGTCTCATTAGATTGTAAAATTCATGTTAAATTGCTGTTTTAGGGGTTGTTTTTAAAAGTCTGGATTAATTCATTTTGCATTACTTTCTATGGGAAAGCAGCGCGCCTTGGTTTTGGAATGCTTTGGTTTTGGAACGGGCTTCCGGAACGGATTAAGTTTGAGACCCAAGGGAGCACTGTACTATCAACTCAAAGACCTCCAGGCCAGTGGCACCTCTTTGCAAAAAGCCTGAGGTCAAAGTGCCACGGAGACCCCCTCCTCCTCCTCCTCCTCCTATTCCCAGCCTTTGGGGTCTCTGCCCATCCCATGCCGCTCTAGGGTGCACCCAAACCGCCAGCCCCCTCCTGCACCCCCAGGTTGCTGCCCCCACCCCACCTACCTGTTGGCCTGCTTGGGCTCCTTGGGCGCCTTCCGGGAACCAAAGAGGTGCCCCCACTTGGGGGTGCCGTTGTCCTCCTGGGGACCCCCCTGGTTTGGGGCTGGCACCGCGTCCTTCTCCCCGGTGTGCTTCAGTTCAGTCAGCACCGAGTCTGGGGGGCTGCCCATCCAGAACGGCCGGAGGGTCTTCTCCTTCGCTGCCTCCCGGGCGGGGGGGGTCTCTGCCTTCCACCGAGGCTCAGTCCCTGTCGCTGCCACGTCCGCCGGGGGTCTGTCTTGGAGGGGCACCTCCGCGATGGGGCAGGCCTCCGCCCCTTCCACCACCCCCTCCCGCGGAGGAGGCCCCTTCTTGGGCTCGGCCGGCCGGGGCGTCCCCCCTGCCACCCCCTTCTTCCTGCGCTCGTAGCGGGCCAAGCGAGCCCCTTCCGCCGACCCTTCGATGTAGACCTGGGAGCTCTGCATCAGCTGGTACCACCAGCTGGCCTGCTTGTCTTTCTTGGGCTCGGGGGGCCCCTTCCACCGCGCCGACTCTGCTTCCCTCTCGGGGGGTGCCACTGATGGGGCCCCCTCGCCTTTGACCCTTTCTTCTGCTGCCTTCACCGGGGGTCCCCCATGGCTCTCCCGGCCGCGGTCCTGCTCCGCCACCGCCCAGCCGCCGACGCTCCTCTCCAGGCTGCTGCTGCTGGTGGTGCTGCTGGTGCCGCCGCCGGCCCCCATGGCTGCTGCTGCTGCTGCTGCCCCCCGGCTCCTCATCAGCTGGAGGGTGGAGTGGGCCGAGAGGACCAGGCCCTGCTGGACGCGGAGCATCTCCTTCTGCTGCTGCTGCTCCTTGCCCATCTGCAGCAGGTGGTGCTCAAAGAGGAGGTCCAGGCTGAAGGGGAGCAGCGAGAGGGGCTGGAGGAGGAGGAGGAGCTCCTCAAAGAGGCCCTGGCACACGCCATGCGACAGCGAGAGGAAGCCCACCGGCTGGTAGTGCACCTGGACAATGTCTGCAGGGAGAGGGAGAACCGCAGGTTGTCATTCAGTCCACAGGTGGTGGAGTTGTAAAACATAAATAAAGAGCTTCTGGGAACTTATATACAGTGGTACCTCGCAAGACGAATGCCTCGCAAGACGAAAAACTCGCTAGACGAAAGGGTTTTGCGTTTTTTGAGTCGTTCCACAAGACGAATTTCCCTATGGGCTTGCTTCGCAAGACAAAACATCTTGCGAGTTCTTGCGAGTTTGTTTCCTTTTTCTTAAAGCCGCTAAGCCGTTAATAGCCGCTAAGCCGCTAATAGCCGTGCTTCGCAAGACGAAAAAACCGCAAGATGAAGAGACTCACGGAACGGATTAATTTCGTCTTGCGAGGCACCACTGTACCATGAATTTAAAAAGATGCTCAAATTAACGTTTACCAAAAAAACCGAAGCCTTTCTCCTACCCTGTTTCCCTGAAAATAAGACATCCCCAAATATAAGACCTACTTCCAGTTTTGCCTCTCGCTGTAATACCCTGTTTCCCTGAAAATAAGACAGTGTCTTATATTATTTTTTGCTCCCAAAGATGAGCTAGGTCTTATTTTACAGCGAGAGGCAAAACTGGAAGTAAGTCTTATTTTGGGGAAACAGGGCATAAGGCATCCCCCCAAAAATAAGACCTCCCCGATAATAAGGCCCCCCCGAACATAAGGCCTCCCCGGAATATAAGGCCCCCAAAGCTACCGTGAGGCGTCTGACTCCTCTGGACCGTAGTGGTGGGTGCCGTCGCGCAGCTCACTGATTGGCCGCAGCGCAGCTGGAGCTGTTCAGGCAGTGCGAGGTCTCTTTAAATCAGAGAGCCCACGCCGACACCAGGACAAGCTGCCGCCTGCCGCTCGCTCTGCCCTGACGGAGTCTGGCTGACTCACTGTTAGACAATAAATGTGTACCGTATTCTTCTTCGTGGAAAAATAAGACATCCCCTGAAAATAAGACCTAGCGCATCTTTGGGAGCAAAAATTAATAGAAGACACTGTCTTATTTTCGGGGAAACAGGGTAGGTATCATGGCATCAGACATTCCAGGAGAGAAAAGGAGGCCCCCCCACAGCACAGGCGGGTGGGTGGGTGGTGAAGCAGAGCCCTGCAGCCTCGGTGGCTTCCCTGCCCCGGTCACTGGCAACCCCTGCTACACCGCTGCCTCCACAAACTGGCCTGATCCTCCTTTAAAGGCATCCAAGTTGGTGGCCATCCCTGCCTCCTGGGGGAGCTGCGGAGAACGGGTGCCTGGCTCCCTCCCCAGTTCTGCTCACCCCCAAAATGCTCAAAGCACCCTTCACAATGCCAGTACGAGACTGATTCTCCGTGGCTCATCTGGCCCCATTTCTCGGACCTGACCGGGACGCTCTCCTGCTTCCCCCGGCAAGGTGCTCGACTCAAGGTGGGCAGCTCTGCAGAATCTTCCTTCCGGCCATCGGCCAAGATCCCAACCACTGCATTGAATGCAGGCCACCTGTGCACTCCCACCTCCCAGCCACCTCTTCTTACCTTCGTGGTTGTAGAGGTGGTTAAACCAGAACTCCAGGGACCGGATGCTGTTGGAGGAGAAAGCAGAGAGAGAGAAAGAGAGGGGCTGAGAGTCAATCAGTCTCGTGTCCAGGACCCACAAGTGTGGGCCTGGCAGGAAGGACACCCCAGCTGCCAAACTCAGAAGCAAGGCAGGCTGATGGCAGGAGTTTCTGGCGTTGCAGGAGCCCCCAAGGAAAGCCCCGCTGCCATGTGGGGACCAGCAGTGTGGGAAAAGGCCCCCATGGGAGTTTTGGCTGGCCAGAAAGTTATGCAAGAATCAGACTTGAGTTCCGGTTTGTGAGGTGGCAGAAAAGGCTCTCTCATGGAGAGATGGAGGTTCCCCCAAGTCTCCAGGCCTGGCTTTAAAGCACAAAAGTCTCCTATGAGGCAGCAGCCAAGGGGTGGAGGGGTGGGCTCCATGGAACCCCTCACCTTCCTCCCTTGGAATCACATATTTGTGGAGTCGCAAGGGACCCCCAAAGGTCATCTGGCCCAACCCCTGCAATGCAGAAACCACAGGTAAACCACAGACTTTGGGAGTGTTTAGTTTTATTGTGGGGGGTAGTGCCCTGGAGATTTGCTCGTTTCCCTCACATTCTCCCCCCCGCCTGCCCCCGTGGGCCCACCCCAAAGGGCTGGCGTGAGAAGGGGGAAGCAGCGCTTACTTGAGGAGGCCGAGGATGAAGGCGTTGAAGCGCATGGAGTGGCTGGTGAGCTCCGGGTATTGGCTGACTTTGCTGCAGAGGCCGTGCAGGACCTTGGTGGAGGGGCCTGGGGAGGAACGGGAGAATCACAGAAGTGCAGCGTTGGAGGGGACCCCAGGGTCATCTAGCCCAACCCCCTGCACGGCAGGTATCGCAACACAACATCCCAAAGAGGCAGTTTTAATCTGTTTTCAGCTTATTGCTATTTCAACTTTTTGAAAGTCTTCAATAGTTTCTGCTAATTTTTCTCATCAGTTTATTGTTTAAACTTTTTCTGTAAATCACTTTGAGGTTGGTGTTTTCTTTTGCATAAATCTTGAAATAAATAGTCATCGATGAAGCGATCATGAGGCTGAAAACGGCCCAAAGGGATTTCGGCTTCAGGATTCAAACATTGGAAAGTCTCTCTCTTGCCCCAAGTTGCTGGTTTTGACCCGTAACGCCAGTCAGGGCCCAGCTGGGATCTTTTAAAGAAGCCTTCGCCACTGCCTCCTCCTCTTGTGATCTTGGAGGTTTCTTCCAACATATACCCACCCGGCTTGATCACATTCAAGCCAAAGCTGTTTCCAACATGCCTTTAAAGTATCATGTCGTTATTTAAACCACATAAAACCAAGGTTGGAACAGATGAATCCCACTTGATGTGTGTACTGGAAAGCTTTGATCGGTGGAACTGGCACAACTGCAGGTGCCCCATGATCCCTGTGAGAAGCCAGCTGCTTAGTGTGCCAACTGCCTGCCCTCTGGAACTCCCTGCCTCTTGATGTCAGGAAAGCCCCTGTACTGTAGTCCATCTGGCATCTGCTTTAAAGCATTCTTGTTTAGACAAACCTGCTCAAATGCTTACATTTTGAAATAATTTCCAATCTGTTTTAGTCTTTTAAATTTTGTATGTTGAATATTTTTCTTCGTTTTCTTGTTTTATCTTTTTTGTAAACTGCTTTGAAGTTTGTTTTTGTTTGTTTTTTAAAAAGTGGTCTATACATTTTATTAAAAAAATATATATTTCAATGTGTGGGGTGGTGACCAGAAATTTTCTGCGCCAGGTACCACCTGGCCTTGCTACGCCACTGCCCCCTGGGACCCCTGATCAGCATACCCAGCTGCGTGGAGGCCTCCACCACGCTCCAGGGGATGTTCCTCCTCTGGCCGATGATGACGTCCAGGACGTAGGCCTTGAGCCCGTCGCTCAGCACGTCCCGGATGGCCGGGCACAGGTACTTCAGGATGAGGTGCCCCACATTGGGGCTGACGGAGCTGTTCCCCAGTTTGGCCTGCGAAAGGAGGGGAGAGAATCAGAGGACGGCAGAGGAAGAAGATTCTTTTGACCATATGGGGTGGTCTGGTAGGAAGGTTAAAGCTTACTGGGAAACGTGTCTCAGCTAAAGAAGACTGGCAAATGAAATTAATGGAATATGCTGAAATGGCAAAATTGACTTTGAAATTAAGAGGAAGAGATGACAATGAATTTAAAGAAGATTAGAAGGACTTTATTGCATATCTACAGAAGCAGTGTACACAGGTTAATACATTAGCAGGATTTTAAAAATACTCGTAAAGACATTATGGCTGGACAATAACTAATTTTAATGATTTTATAATTAAATGATTTTTATAATTTTAAATGGACATGTGGTATGATGATAAACAATAGAACCATGGAAAGGAATAGGGGGAAGTTAACTCTATTTTTTTCTATGTTTGAATATGTATTGTTGTTTTTTACTTTTTGTTGTTTTTGGAAAATTAATAAAATAATTTTTTTAAAAAAAAGTTTATCGGGAAATGATATACAATGAATTGAAAAGGATGTTCAAAATAACTTTTATTAAAAACACACACACCCAGAAGCTTTTCTTTGGGGAATCATAGGGACAGAACTACCTAAATTGTATAGAAATTTATTTGTGTGTGCTACTACAGCAGCAAGAATGCGACTTGCCCCAAAGTGGAAAGAAGCAGAAGTCCCAGCAAAGGAAGAATGGATACAAAAACTTATGGAATATGCAGAAATGGTGAAACTTACCAGAAGAATAAGAAATCAAGATAACGAGTTTTTATAAAAGAATGGAAATGGTTTACGTCTTGAATATTTACAGATAAATTGTGAACAGATAAAAGCATTAGCAGGATTATTGAAATAACCTGCAGTTTCATAAGAGTATATATTTAAAGCAGATAATTAAATGAGCAAACTAAATGAATGTGGCTATGCAGAAGATAATAAAATAAATAAATTTAAGGAACAGCAGCAAGCAGGATTTGAATCCAGGGTGTTCTCTTAACCCCCTTTTAAAGTCCCAGTGGGAAGAAGCCCAGATAAGACAAAGGGGTCTATTTGACTTGACTCAGGGACCAGGGAACCGTAAATGCTTTCCTTTGTACCTTGATGGAGCAAGACTGAAAGACTATATTTGAGTGACTTGGGCATGCCTGGATCTCAGGTTCTGCCTGAGACCACACCTTTTCTGTGACATCTCTGTGATGTCTTGATGATGCTTCTGGAAATGTATTATGGGAAACTTTTAAAAACTGACATAACCCACTGTTTGGGGCTACTCTCCGCTTCTTCTATGTTGTAGTTTGGAATTTTGTTGCAACAATAAAGATCAGGCCTTCCGACCGCTGGTTTGCTTCAATTTCTTGGCTGTAGTCTTGTTTGACCTTCCAACCTAAGCCTGCGGAACTCACTGCTGCAGGTTGAACTAGAGGATAATTAGGGGTCCCTCCCAATTCTGTGATTCTGCGATTCTATGATCTCTGGTTTAAAGGTGAGCAAGAGTCAGAGAGACAAAGTGTTCCTGCACTAGGCAGGTCAATAAATCTGACCAGGCTCAGATTCATCCTGTTTGATGCTCTCTAATGATGCTCCAGCCAAGAGAGGACAAAGGGACTGTCTCTTTATGAGATAGTTTCCAGATATGTGTTACTTTTCTAAGCTAAGTCTGCCTTCTGGGATCCAATTGTGAACAGAATGATATGTGAGTAAACTCTTTTTATACTTTTATAGAAGACTGTGTCGTGTCTTATCTTTTATGAGGGAATAAGGGGGAAATACCAGAACAGTTATTATAGAGGCTTTAGCGAGCCTGAGCAAACGCATCCGCTGCAAGTTTAAAAAGGGGAATGTTACTCTGCTAAATTGTGAACTTGTTAACACAAGTTGGAAAGGCTATAATCAAACAATATATCCTCTCCTGCATCCCTGAACATTCCCACAGATGCACCCCAGAGCACTTTCCCCCAGGCCGATGACTCACAACACCCCTGCAGAGGAGGCCCCATCCTTTCCCTTTGGCAAGCAGAAACTTTGAGAAGTGACTTGGCCAAGGCCACACAATCAGTCAAGGGGGATCTGGAGCAACGCCCCCCGCCCAGCCTGTTTGGTCAGTGTGCTCGATTCCTTGCGTCTCCTTGCAAGCTCTCCCCCCAACCCCCGGTCAGGGTTTCCGCCCCCACCAGATAAGACGGGATTAGAGCAGTAAGATTAAGGAGAAACCAGACTTGAACTCGGCCCAGACCAAACTGCAGAAGCCTCAAGCTCCGCAGCGTTAAGGGACGCTCAAGGCTGTGACCTGTCTTGGCTGCAAATCCTCAGGATTACTATAAATAAGCAAGACATAAACCCTGGCAGGGAGGGGCGGGGGGGAGCTGGAGCCGGGAGGGAGTTTGAGGAACAGGGCAGAGTCACGCGGCTGCTGATGTCTCAGCCTTTCCAGGAACAGGCGAGGCTCCCTTGCCAAACATGCCCGTCTCTGGGAAACAAAACCCTCCCGCTGCAAGACACATTTCCAACTGGCAGAGCGTGCTGGTCATCAAATAACAGAATTGCAGAAGTGGAAGAGCCCCCAGGGTCATCTAGGCCAACCCCCTGCATCGCAGGAATCTCTGGGCCAAGGCAAAGCTCGAACCCTTGACCCCGAGATTAAGTTTCATGCTCTACTGAATGATCTATCTGGTCCTCAAGCCCAACCCCCTGCAGTGCAGGAATCGCAGCTGAAGCATCTCTGACAGATGGCCAAGCTCTTTTTTAAAAACCTCCAGTGGAGGAAAGTCCACCACGCTGGTTCTGGTGCTACCATACGGAGCAGGAGAAAAGAAGCTGGCTCCATCTTCCCTCTGACAGCCCCTGAGATCTCCTCTCAGGACTCAGCAAAGACACAACTGTTTGAATGTGCTATAAACATGCAACACCAGATGGCGCCAGAGAGCAGAGAATTTTTATACATGTTTTTCCATAGGGTTTTTCCCCCTTTTGTTATAACGATCTAATTTCTGATTTGTTTATAGCATTTCCCCCCCTGTGTGTTGTCCCACCTTCAGTCTCCTCTTCCCCAGGCTAAACATATCCAACTCCCCGAGGGAGCTACAGTACAGTGGTACCTCTGGTTGCAAACGAAATCCGTTCCGGATCCCCGTTCGCAACCTGAAAGGAACGCACCCCGTGTCTGCACATGCATGGGTCGCGATTCGCCGCTTCTGCACATGTGCATGACGTCATTTTGCGCGTCTGTGCATGAGCGAGTGGCGAAACCCAGAAGTAACCCTTTCCGGTACTTCCGGGTTGCCATGGGACGCAACCTGAAAACGCGCAACCTGAAGCAAACGTAACAAGAGGTATGACTGTATTCTTTTTCAAGATTCTGCAGAGTCCCCTTGCACCCACAGCCTGGGATTCAATAGGCTTGGGTTCCTAGTCTCCTGCCAGGTTTTCCTATGAAGATTTGCCCAGGACTGCTGCAAGAAAGGCTTCTCCTCAAGGAGAGGAAGGGGTCCAGATCCTGACTCACAAAGGGCTCCTCTTTGGGAGCTGACCTGGGACCTGGCAAACCATGCGACCCCCTCTGGCCTCGTCTCCCCGCTTGCCCACCGCTCTCCTGATCATTAACGAAGCTGAGCGTTGGAAGACTCGGGAGGGAGAAAAGGAAGCACTTTGCCAGCAGGAACAACTGCTTCATGCAACACAGAGTGAAGCTATGGAACTCCCTCCCACTGGAGGCAGTGATGGCTTTAAAAGAGGGTTAAGAGAACACCCTGGATTTGAATCCTGCTTGCTGGTTCTATGGGATGTGAAACACAAGAGCAGTCAAGTACAACATTCCTAGAGTGAACATGTTTACACAAGGGGAGGAATGTTTGTCCAGCCAGCAGGTAAACTTCCTGTTTCCTTCTGGGCTGAGACAGACTTCCTCTGCATGTGACTAGAAGTGGGCGTGGCCTCACTTGTGCAGGTAACAACAAAAGCACAGGGCAGGGCAGCCGTCTCTCTCTTTTGACTACATGCATCGAAGAAGCAACATCTGCTTAGCCAAAGATGCTCTCTAGGCCTCCAGCCAAGAGAGGACAAAGGGACTGTCTCCTTATGAGATAGTTTCCAAGTGTATGTTACTTTTCTAAGCTAAGTCTGCCTTCTGGGATCCTATTGAGAACAGAATGATGTGTGAGTAAACCTTTTTATACTTTTATAGAAGACTGTGTCGTGTCTTATCTTTTATGAGGGAATAAGGGGGAAATACCAGAACAGTTATTATAGAGGCTTTAGCGAGCCTGAGCAAACGCATCCGCTGCAAGTTTAAAAGGGGGAATGTTACTCTGCTAAATTGTGGAACTTGTTTACACAAGTTGGAAAGGCTATAATCAGACAATATATCGTCTCCTGCATCCCTGAACATTCCCACAGGTTCCCCACGGACAACTGTGAGAAGAGGATGCTGGACTAGGTGGGCCGGTGGCCTGATCCAGGACAGGCTCTTCCTACTTGTGCTAAAGGGACAGGGGCTGGGGGGGGGGGCGGCAGCGATGGTGGTGGCCATGTCTTGAAAGGCAGGGAAGGGCTCTGGGGCCCCTGGAGGATCCTGGCTGCTCCTGGTGACCTAGACCCAAGGAAGGGGAGGGGAGGCAGAGGGAGAAAAGGAGGAACGTTGGGGCTCACCTTCACCCCAGGATCCCTGCTGGTCCCAAAATGCGCCACAATCAAATCCACAGCCATGTTGATCGCCTTGACGAGACCTGGGGTGCGGGAAAAGAGGGCAGGTGGGTGAGGACCCTCACCATGCATCCCTCGCCTGCCCCACACTGCAGAGAAGGTCCCAGGAAGTCCACCCCCAGAAGTTTCCTTCTTGGATAAAACTCCAAGAATCCTAGAATTGCAGAGCTCCATCTGGTGTGTCCCTCGCCCCCCTGAAATGCAGGAAACCTGAAGATCTGAGGGTGTAATCCTGCTGCTTCTATTATCTTTGAGAACTCTGGGAGAATCCTGGTTCCAGGAGCCAGCAGGAATTCCTGCCCAGTTGCAATGGAAGAGGCGGCCCGCCTATCCCCTACACTTGAGTAGGGGAGAGAGAGAGTCCAGATTGGGGGCGAGGCTCAGCCCCCAAACGTGTTCAAGCGCTTCAGTGCCCAAGCGAGGCTGCTGCCATCTGGAACATGCAAAGATGGGCCACTCGGATAAATTTCCCAAAGACTTGTTCTGTGCTGGGAGGGGAGGAAGCGACTGGATTTGGCCCATGCGCTGGAGCGCTAACTCTCCCCACACAGGCCATCTCCCACAACTGCTGGTAGCTGAAGCGGGAGGCAGGGGGAGAGATTATAATTTTACTCATTTATTTGTTTCTCATCTCTTTCTCCCAGGAGCTCAAGGAGGTGCTCCCCCTTGTGACAGGAATTTTGAGGTCTCAGATATATGTTAAATGTTCCTAAGTGTACCAACCAAGCACGTACATAGATCAGCACAGGAAGGCCAACCTGGAACCATTTTGATTCCCAAACTGACCAAATGTTTTCTCTGCAAGGACAAAGTAGAAAACCTCCACATTGTCTCTTTCCTCACAAATCCTGTCTTAAGGGCACATTTAAGATATGAATAGGGTGTGAGCCTGTGACCTGGCTCAGGAACTAAGTATTTATCATTACAAAAGACTGGCCAGGCACCCCAGGCAATCTAATCAAGTGACCATTAAACAGGTAACCTGGCAGACAGGAAGTAAACAAAGCACTCAGATTCCTGCTGTAGACCGCCCTTTCTGTGATGTAGGTATGATATTTGTGGGGGTCTTGGGTTACACCCCTTCTGTGATGTAGGTATGATGTATTTGGGGGGTGGTCTTGAGCTCCAGGGCAGGGAATTGAAAATGTCTATATAAGGCCTTGCGTGCCATTGTTCTGGGTTCCTCCTCCTCCTGCGTGTGGTGAACAAGGACCCTGTTGCAACAGATCGATAAAGATCAGGCTTACTAGCTGCTTTGCTTCTCAATATTCTCTGGTTGGCCTGTTATTTTCTCCTACCAACGGGGAACCTCTATATGGGCTCTTGGATACCCCATAAGGGGAAAGAGCAGATTTTTGTTTACAACATCTTCCTCAACAACAACCCTGCGAGGCAGGTTGGGCTGAGAGAGGCAGCGACTGGCCCAAGGTCGCCCAGTGAGCTTCATGTGCTGAGAGGAAATTCGAACCCTGGTCTCTCCCAGGTCCTTGTCGTTGGGACATGGCAAAAAACGTGACTGCAGGAGGAGCCCCCCAGCCCCTGATACGGCGCCCAGCAGGTAGCCCCCTCCTCCCCACACTCTCCTTCCTTCATCTGGGCTCCTCATGCACTTTGGGGACACTTTTGGGGTGTTGTCTGTCAATCGCCACTCAAACTGAGCCCCCAAGCCCTTTGCTCAGCTGTGTCTGGCTGAAGGGCAGGGGGGGCAGAAGCCCCACTTCCCTGCCTGGCACCCCACAGATGCTGCCGGGGCCTCACCCTTCTTCTGCAGCAGATCGATGGAGATGGACTCTGTGTTGCCGTCTGGAGAGAGGCAGAATTCGGCCGGGGGTTTTTCCGCCAAGGAGAAGTAGTCCGGGAAGAAGTCGGAGTAGTTGAGTTGCGGCTGCTTCAGGGAATGTCCTGCAGGGACAGAGGAGGGGAAGGAGACGGGCAAGGTCAGATCCGGCTCCTCTGTGACACGTGGAGTGGCTGGGACAACCTAGCCAGATGGCAGGCTATTGTCGTTATTATGACAGTGGTACCTCTGGATGCAAACGGAATCCGTTCTGGAGCCCTGTTTGCATCCTGAAGTGAACGCAACCCGCGTCTGTGGGTTGCAATTTGCCGCTTCCGCGCATGCGCCTGATGTCATTTTGAGCATCTGCGCATGCGCGAGTGGCGAAACCCGGAAGTAACGCGCTCCGTTACTTCCGGGTCGCTGTGGAGTGCAACCCAAAAATGATTTACCCGAAGCTACTTGAACCCGAGGTATGACTGTATTAATAATAATAATAATAATAATAATAATAATGTAAGAGCAAAAGAAGAGCCCTGTTTCTGGATCATGCCAAAGGGGGCCCATTTAATCCAGCTTCCTGTCCCCACAGTGGCCACCCAGATGCCCCCATGGGAAACCCACAAGCAGGATTCGAACCCAAGAGCAACTCTCCCCTCCTGTGGTTTCTAGCAACCAGGATCCAGAAGTAAAGCTGCCTCTGACTATCGGCAGAGTATGGTCTTCATGGCTAGTAGCCACTGGGAGAGATCGATCCTCCATGAATTTGTCGAATTCTCTTTTAAATCCACCCAAGTGGGTGGCCATCCCTGTGGCAGGGAGTTCCCTAGTTCAACACTGCGCTGCGTGAAGAAGGCCTTTCTTTTATCCCTCCTGAAGGAACGAGTGTTGGCTCTGGGGCTGGAGGGGCCTGTTGTCAGCCAGCCTTCACCTCCAGCCTCAGTTTCCCCACAGAAAAGGGGAGAGCAGCTCCCTGGGGAGGGGAGGGACAGAGGGAGACTTCCTGCCCTGCCAGGAGGACCTACTGAGACTGGGAGGGGTCTCTCCTGGGCAACGTCCAGGGACATTTCCCTGCAGCAACATCCTAGGAAGGGCTTGGGTGATACCAGGGGCCGGGCGGGTTTTGCCTCGCCCTGCACAGCTCCTGCCTCTGCCCTGAGGGACCAAACTGGCATTTCGCTGGCTCTGTCCTTATCGGGGGGATGGCTAAAGACCAAGCCATGAATGCCTTAAATCCGAATCAGTTGCTGTTCCAAGGCTGCCACCCTGTCTCTCCATCTAGTCCAGGTACGTCCAACTCTATAGAGACCGCGATCTACCCCTAGTACAGTAAAACTGGGAGTGATCTGCCCATTGTCATTGCACATAGTAGCTGAGCTTTTTTGGGGTGGAGAGACCAAAGTTCTTGAGCTTTCTTCATGCAGGGAGACCAAAGCTGCATTAAATCGCTCACCCTACAGCCTGCAGCTCTCACTCCGTCACACACTTTCCCCACAGATGCAGGAAAATAAGGCAATCACAAAAGCGCTGGCGGCAGCAAGGGGAAAGAGCAACGGGGGCGCGGCGTGCCATGATCAATCAGGGTCACGCCATCAGCCGTGATCGACCAGGAACGCCCCGCGATCGACAGGTAGGTGGCGTTCGACCGGTTGGACATGCCTGATCTAGTCCCTGCAAAGGTAACAGCTGGGCTGCCACTCCACCAGCCTGGGCACACAAGGGCATCCTCAAGGCCCACTGGCTTCCCTTGGGCTCTGGGTCGGCCACAAAGCTCCCTGGCTGCCATCGTGGGCTAGCCTGGCCTACCTCGCAGGGCTGTTGTGGGCATTAAATGAGGAGTGGGAAGAGCCGTGCCTGCCAGTTTGAGATCCCTGGAGGAAAAGGTGGGATATACGTGAAATAAATACCATATTTTTCACTCCATAAGACACACTTTTTTCCTCCTAAAAAGCAAGGGGAAATGTGTGTGCGTCTTATGGAGCGAATGCAGGCTGCACAGCTCTCGCTGAAGCCAGCACAGCAAGAGGGAGAGCTGCGCAGTACTTCTGGGTCACTGGCTTTCCAGCGAAGCAGGATGAGAGACGGAAGGGGCTCCGTAAGGGCTCCTTCCCATCCCTCATCCTGCTTCGCTGGGAAGCCAGCAGACCAAGAGGCGCTGGGCAGCTCTCCCTCTTGCTGTGCTGGCTGAAGAGGCTTTGCGCAGCTATCGCTGAAGTCAGCACAGCTCTTGGTCTGCTGGCTTCAGCGATAGCTGTGCAGCTTGCTCTGGCTTTTCCGGGAGGTGGGAGAAGGGATGGAGGGCAGCCCGTCAGTCCCTTCTCCCACCTCCCAGAAAAGCCAGCAAGAGCCGCTCTACCTTTAAAGAGCCACGCCGAGCGAGCGTGTCTGCGGCTCTTGCTGGCTTTTCTTGTTTTCCTCCTCTAAAAACTAGGTGTGTCTTATGGTCGGGTGCGCCTTACAGGGCGAAAAATACGGTATATGATTTCAGAGACAGGGGGCTGGCATTCATGGCCCGCTGCTGAGTCCTCCCCTTCCATCCTGCCCTTCTAGGGGGTCCCTCCAAGGCCCCCTTTCAGCCCCCCTCCCCCCCCAGAGGGAAGAGCCGCTCGCTGGCTGCCACAGCCCCACGGGAGGAGGGGGCCCACCGTTGAGTCTGCAGCTGGCGCGGCCCGTGCTCAAGGGGAGCTCGAAGATGGGGTTCCTCCAGGGCAGCCTGCCCTCTGGCTGCTTCCAGTCCAGGCTGCCGGCCAGCCCCGAAATGCGGTCCAGGCCCAGGGGGTTCCTCCGCCGGTACTCCCGCCACTTGAGGGCTTGCGGAGAGAGGTGGTTGGCTGGGGGGGGGACCCGGGACGAGGCAGGGGGCAGCCGGAAGGAGAGATGGGGGAGAAGGAGAGGGGCAGAAAAGCAGGGGGGGCAAAGGGGAGGAGGCAGGAACAGAGACAGGCAGTTAGTAGCAGCAGCAGCATCGGGTTGTTCAAGCGGTGGAGCCCCCCCAAAAGGTGCAGGGGGAACACACCTGGAGGGCACACCTGAGCGGGGCAGGTGGGGCAGGAGGCATCTGGGCAGAGGAGGCTGCAGGGACCCCCGGCCATCTGATGCTTCAGAGGCCTTTTGCACACATGCACACAGGCATATTCTGCAGAATCCTAGAACTGTTGAAAGGGGCCCCTAGAGTCATCTAGCCCACCCCCTACAATGCAGGATGTGTCTCAGTTCCGGCACAGCCTGGCTTTCCCAGGGAGGGGAGTTGGAGAGGCGTGAAAGGACAGGAGTCAGTGCACCCCCAGGATTGGAGCCAGGCCTTGGCCAAAGACAGACACACCCATCCTCTGCCCTCCACCGGCTGCTCCCCAGGGGGAGGTTACAGGGGGGGACCCTCACTCACAGGCAGTGGGACCCTTGGCCCAGAGATGGTGCCTTGGCACGCGTTCCCCAAAAGCAGGACCCACCCAGCCTGGCGCTGGCAGCCTGACAATGGCAGCCGATATCTCCTCCCAACACCCAGTGTTTTGGGGGCCCCAGCAATGAAGGAAAATGGCATAGCCCCCCCCAAAAAAACCATGCACACTCCCAGATCTTTTCCCCAACACCCCACCGCTCTGCTGCATGACCGTCTCTGGACCGGCTACCCACCATTGAGCGGCCGAGGGCCCAGCGATCCTGCGCCCAGAGCCTCGCTGCAGCCGAGGGGCCACTGGGGCTCCCCATGGTCGCCTGGCCTGGCCAGGATCAGCCCGGGGGGCATCAGGGGAGGCAGGGCGGTGCTGCAGTGGAGCTGGCGCTCGGGCACAGGGGCATCCAGTTCCGGCAGCAGCACGGCAGCCTTCGTGGGCGCGGGCGGGGGGCTCTCCTTCTTGGCCAGGAGGGTGGTGCCGTTGGCGTTGCTGCCGAGGTTGGCAGCCTGGCTTCCTGCGGGAGGGGAAGTCCCGGCTGGCAGGAGGTTGGCGGAGACCGGGCAAGACCTGCTCCGGGGCGGGTGGCTCTCATTGCCCGGCGAGCAGGAGGAGGACGAGGAGGAGTCCGCGCTCTGGAAAAAAGGCACGTTGTTTCGCACGGGGGAGTAGCTGCCCAGCGGGGACGGGCGCGTGGTCTCCGGCACGGGCTTCCTGGCACAGCCGTCCCCCAGGGAGGCCGCCCCGTCCGCTGAGCGCTGGCCGTGCCCCAGGGCCGCCGCCTGGACCACCATCTCGGCCGAGGTGGCGGAGGCTGAAGACTGGGAGGCGGAGGAGAGAGTCTGGCTGGCGGCCGAGCGGCTGTAGAGCTGGGAGAGGCTGGCGGCAAAGTGGCTGTGCAAGGCCCGTGCCTTGGGCTGCTTGGCAAAGTGGTGCTGGAACACAAAGGGCTGGATGGGCAGGGTGGTCGGGCGCTGGGCCTTGCTGTAGCGCACCACCGACTTGCTGTCCGCTGCGCCGCCTGCAGAGGGAGAGAGAGACAGCGTGAAAGGACACCAGGGACCCAGGCTCCTCTTCTCCCAGCACCAAAGGCCCCATAGAAGATTGGACTGCAGATAGACTGCCTCTGGAGCTGGAAGTTCCATAAGAGCATGAGAAGAGATAGCTGGATCAGGCCAAAGGGGGCTAAGGATATCTCTAAGGACAAATATCTCTAAGGATGTAGTTTTATAAGAATTCTAAGGTCTCAAACAAAACATAAATGTTCATAAATGTACAAGGCAAACACATGCACAAGTATATAAACCACGTGTCTGAAATAGTACAGGAGAACAACCCTGAAGCCATTTTGACTCGCCCAAATGGACCTCAAATATTTCTCTGCAAGGAGGAAGGAGAAGGGGAAAGCTTTCCAGTGGTCTTTGGACTGTAGGGGCTGCTTACATCTCCCTGTAAATACAGTCTGGCAAATATCTGTTCAGCTGAGCACACTCTCAATATGCGTAAGAGATTCAGGAAGTATTTACCATCTCAAAGGAATGGCCAGGCTACCCAGAAAAGGCAACCAAGTAAGGCCTTATCAGGTATCCTGGCAGACAGGAGAGAAGCAACACTCTCAAATTTCTGCTGGAGACTGCCTCCTTCTGTGATATATGTATGATGTTTTGGGGGGTGGTCTTGGATTACAGGGTGGGCAATCTCAAAATTCTATCTAGGGGCTTGTGCACCACTGTTCGGGGTTCTCCTCCCTCCTGCATGTGGTGAGGGGGGACCCTGTTGCAATAGTTTATTTCCTTTAATAAAGATCAGGCTTACTAGCTGCTTTGCTTCTCAATATACTCTGGTTGGCCTCTGCTATTTTCTCCTCCCGGTAGGGAACCCACTTAAGGAGTCTACATGGGTTCTGGAATACCCTGTAAGGAAAAGGGAGCAGTTTTTCTTATAACAGCTGGAACCCTCACAGACTGCCTCTGGGTGGCACAACAGCCTTAAGAGCATGAGAAGAGTCTGCTGGATCAGGCCCAAGGGGCCCCATCTCAGCCAGCCTCCTGCTCTCCTGGAAACACACAAGCGCAAGAGCCACTTTTCCCTCCTGCGGTTTCCAGCAGAGTGACTTAAAAAGCCACTCTCACCTCATCCCTCTGCACTCACATCAGGATGGACGCTCAATGAACAGTTAGCTGGAAGCGTCCACTGCGCATAGGAGCCAACTCCATGGGGCCGAGGGCTCTCCAACCCCCCAATGAAGTATTTGAGGGAGCCAGCCCCCCTCCAGTTGAAGGGCACTGCCATTCACGTGGTGTGCATGCCCCATGCCATGTAATCGATTATGTGGGTCAGGGCTTACCTGAGGCCCCCCCCCCAATATTTTATTCAAGTTGGTGCCCCTGTGTGTGTTACTTTTTGCAGTGAAAGGCTCCGTCTTTGGCATAAATGTCCGTGAAATGATGCCCAACACAGACGCTCTCCAGTCTAAGTGCCTCTATCACTCTGGAAACCTGAGTCAGAAGCAGCCTGGCAGGTGCTGCTCTGGGCATCTCCCCGAGGTTGGCGTGACCCTCCCAGGAGAATCACACAGGCAGCCCCTTTCGGAGCCTCTGGGTCAATGTGCCCCTTGGAGCAAAAGGGAAGCAGAGAAGGGGGGGGCAGGCAGAAAGGAGCCTCCTCCCGGATGGTCAAGCCTCTTGCCAAGGCCGACTGGCCCCTTCAGCTCTGCTGGACTCCACTTTCCATGGTCCAGGGAAAGAGGCTCCTGGAATCCCACAGAAGCCTCTTCCAACCCACAACGTTGTCCTTAACAGCTCTGAGAAGTTCCCTAAAGACAAGCTCAGGCCACCTCTTCTGTACCTTGGTTGTCGAACGCCTTGCGACTCAAACGTTTTGGCTCCTAAACATCAAAAACCCAGAAGTGAGTGTTCCAGTTTGTGAAGGTTTTTTGGAAGCCAAACATCTGATTGAGTACAGGAAGTGCAATTGGAAGCCGCAACTTGGTTTCTGAACCGTTCTGGGGGTCGAATGGACTCCTGGAACGGATTAAGTTTGACAACCAAGGTACCACTGTACCTCCAACTGGACAGAGAAGCCACCCACCTCCCTCTTGATTCCGGCCACATTTTGGATCTTCACATTGACTTGGAAGAGCTGGAAGGCCCCAAGGGTCATTGTGATAAGAATTTTAAGGTCTCAGATATATATTAAATGTTCATAAATGTACCAACCAAGTACGTACATAGATCACCACAGGAAGACCGACCTGAAACCATTTTTGATTCCCAAACTGAGCAAATGTTTTCTCTGCAAGGTCAAAGGAAAATGGAAAAGCCTCTCCATTGTCTTTTCCTTCACAAATCCTGTATTAAGGGCACATTTAAGATATGAATAGGGTGTGAGCCTGTGACCTGGCTCAGGAACTAAGTATTTATCATTACAAAAGACTGGCCAGGCTCCCCAGGCAATCCAATCAAGTGACCATTAAACAGGTAACCTGGCAGACAAGAGGTAAACAAAGCACTCAGATTTCTGTGATGTAGTTATGATGTATCTGAGGCAATTTCAAAAGTCTGTATAAGGGCTTGCACACCATAGTTCTGGGTTCCTCCTCCCTCCTGCGTGGGGTGAGCGGGGGACCCTGTTGCAACAGATCAATAAAGATCAGGCTTACTAGCTGCTTTGCTTCTCAATATTCTCTGGTTGGGCTCAGTTATTTTCTCCTACCAATAGGGAACCTACGTAAGGACTCCATATGGGCTCTTGGATTTTTGTTTACAACATCATCTAGTTCAACCCTCTGCAGTTCAGTTTCCCTCTCCTGCCCCTGCCTTGAAAGCCCCCCTTCATATTTGCTGCGGCCCCCCGAGGGTTGTGGTGGCAGAGCCCTGCCTGGTCCTCTGGCTCAGGGGCAGCAGCCCCCCAGCCCCCAACCCTGGGAAAGAAGACCAGGCCAGGCCAGCGCCAAGCCCAGGAGGGATCCCCCAGGTGCCCGATGAATGAAAACCAGCAAGGCAGCAAACCAGGGTGCACTGCTGGCTCTCAGTCAGCTGAAGGCATCGCTGAACTGTCCCAGCTTATTTATTATTAAATGTACGCCCCATCCTTCCTCCCAGAGGAGCCCACAAAGTGAGAAAGCAACCAAAGCACCTTACAAACAACTTCAAAGCAGATGGAGAGCAGGAAAGATCTCCGCTTAAAAGGCTCGTTGGAAGAGGAAGGGCTTCAGCAGGTGCCAAGAAGGCGACAGAGGCTGCCTAATATCCCGGCGGAGGGAAAATGCCCCGGAAAATGTCAGGCAAAGCAGGATGAGGGCTCAACTGGCAGCTCCTGTCAGAGCCACAGGTCTGGCCGCCCCTGGAAGGACTTTGGCATCTGCCTAGGCAAGCAAGCCTCGCTCAGCCTCGGAGAATGGCGCAGGCCAACCTGGCAGGGCCGTTGTATGGGTTTCAAGGCTGCCGTTGCGTGCGCCAAGCAGTCAGAGCTCTCAGAAGGTGCTGGGCAAGTCATTAGTGGTGCTAATTGGAATATCTGAAGGCCTTTTTGGGACCAAGCCGTGGTCGAAAGGGAAGCCATGAGCCAGCCCAGTTCTGCCCCTGGACAAAGCAATCAGGCGCATCCTGCTAAGATCACCAGATCCTTGGATCCAATCAGCATTTCATACAAGCATCTGAAAAGGGGAGAACAGCTTCTCTGGGGCTGTGCTGGAGGAGGCACTGGAAAAACCGCATCAAGCTGGAAGGATGGAGCAGGGAGGCTCCAAAAGCGTCCCATGGGTGGGTGAGCAGGAGTCAGCAGTGGGGGGGCAGAACCAGGGCCCTCCCTTCCCCCACCCACGCTGATTCACAGCCCCCTTCCCCCCTGAACCATCTATGTGTAGGGGGGGCTATGGGGGTTTGAGCCTCTGCCCTGGACCCTCTTGGAAGGGGGTCCATATGAACCAGCAAGGGCCAGCAAGAGAACCCCACACCCCTCAATGGGGGCTGCAAGGGCAGAATCTGCCCCTCTGGTGGCCAGGCATGTTTGCCTCCTCTTCCTCCTCATGCAAGAGGGGCTCCCCCAACACCCCCAGTCCCTCCAGACCTTTTCACTTGGGATGTCCTGGGCTGGCGCTCCCGGCAGCTGGAGGTGTTTTGCTTCCCTGGGAGAGGAAGGCGGAGAGCAGTGCCTTGGCCCCTCCCTGAAATGGGAGCCCAGCTGCGCAACACGAGGGTCTCCTCCTGCTGGAGCACAAGACCAGCTTCTCCCCTTTCAGCTCTTCGCCTCCAGGCCAGCGGCTGCTCCCACTTGGGAGACGACTCGGAGCTGCTTTGGACAGAGATCTCTCCAAGGGGGACAATTCCTGCCTCCAAGCAAGGTCTCTGGTCCTGCCAGGAGCCCCGGGAAGGTAGGGAACTGGGGAGTCCCACTAGCAGCCTCCCCATAGGAAACTGGGTGGCAGCCGCAAGTAGACCAAGGGGGGGGGGTTATTAGGTGTTATGCTGGAGTGAATGAAGAAAATGATGTTTATATATAGCGGACAGGCCAAGAACCGGAAGTTCTTTAGCTTCTTAACTTCGCTTTCTCTCTCTCTTCTAAATCTTTTTCTATTCCTTTTTTTATCCCTCCCTCCCTCCCTCCCTCCCTTCCCTCTCCTCTCTCTCTTTTTTGCCTTTAGATTAATGTTTTAGTTTGGCCAAAAATGAGAGAGAATATTCAACTGCATGACTTGACATCTTTCCGCAGGGCCTGCAAGACAGAGCTGTTCCGCCTGGCCTTTGGTTTGGACTCAGTCTGACCCTTATGTTTTCCGTCCCGTTACGGTTCTGATCCATGGGCTACTTTTAAGACGAGGCTGCATTTTAAATTGCATTTTAACCTGTATTTTAAATTGTGTTTTTTCCCCCATTATGTTTTTATTGTAATTTTACTGGTGTTAGCCGCCCTGAGCTCGGCTCTGGCCAGGGAGGGCAAGGTATATTATTCTTATTCTTATTAACAATAATCTTTGTATTCTTCCTTATAAAAAGAAGAAAAGACACAGCAGACCGAGGGGGGGTGCCAGGGCCCCAAACTGAAGGGAGTGCAGAGAAGAGTGGAGGCAAAGCTGCCCTTGAGGCCAGGAAGGGCCAGGGAGCATCTTTGAGGCCAGGGCCCTTCCTGGTCCAGGGTGCGAAAGGGCAGTGGGAATGTCCAGACAGTGGTGGGTGGACTGAGGAGCCTCTGGTCTAAGTGCTCCCGAGCATGGATCTCTCTGGCAGGGGGCTGGACAAGCCACCTTCTCGAGAGTAAAGGATTTGAGAGGAGTTGTAAAACAAATACTGGGCAGGCTTTGGGATCGGGGCCCGTTCCTGCCGCAGGAGGGTGCTGTGTGGCTTCCGAGCAAAGCCTGCCCCCCTCTCTTCCTCTCCCAAGGAGGCTCTTTGCACCCCCAGAGCCACCCCTTCCCTTCCTTCTCTGCTCACCTGCCGTTGGACGGCAAGACCAGCCAGGGATCTGGCCCTTGTGGGCACATTTCAGATCCTCAGCAAACCAAGTCACACGGTGGCATCAAGCAGGCAACAGAAATCAGGAGAAAGGTTTCGCTGCAAACCTCTGGGAGATGTTTCTCCAGAACAGAGGCTGCCCTTTGGGCCGGGTGCTGTCAAAAGAAAGCTAGGAATCTCCTCCTTGTTCCAGTGCTGGTCGCCCAGGATGCCTGAGCCCCAGACCAGCAGAGGCCAAGAGGTGAGGGAGCACAGCACCCCGGGGCCAACACACAGCCCGCCAAGTGCCCAAGCCACACATCCATGGACTCTTTGCCTCCCCAAAGGGCGCAGTGCTGGGATAACCAGAGAGGAAAGTTCTCTTGTCCTCAAATCCTGTTTGTGTCTCGACAGCCATTGTGAACTAGAGGGGCCACAGGCCTGATCCAGTGGGCTCTTCATTTGTTCTAATTTGAAAAGGGCATTCTGGCCATCACCCCTGTATTTTCCCCATTGATCTTTGGGTATTTGGATTTTTTGCTTTGCATTTTAAGTTTCAGAGGCTTGCCTCAGAGCGGAGAGTTGGCTCCCCTCCCCAAACCACCACACTAACCTCTCCGTACATAAAAAGACAAGGCCCTTTAATTCAGACCAAATGGCTGCAGCTGCCGCCTCACTGCTGGTTCCGCCTCTGGGGCATTGTCTGCTGTGTGGTGGCTGCACCCAGAGGCAGTGGGGTGCGTCCACAGCTCCCCACGTGGTCCAGCCCCACTGCATGCAAAGTCTTCCCCTCAGCACTGGGCCTCCCTGCGGCTCTTTGGGGAGCCACGAACGAGCCGTGCTGTCCCTCCCAGACACCCCAATACCCCCCCATCAGACAAGAAGTGGCCCCAATCCAGATCAGGACCCCCAGTTCACCCACAAGGATGTTCTGGCCTGGGAGGAAATGTCCCCTGCTGGCCCCGAGGGCTGGTCCCCTGCAGGTAGCCTGCCTGAAAAGCGTCATCCTGCCCATCATCACCCTTTGGGGGAAGCCATGTTTATAGAATTACATAATTCTGGAGTTATAATGGGCCCCCAAAGGCCATCTAGTCCAACTCCCCGCAACACAGGAATTACAACTTGAGCATCCCTGACAGTGGGCCACCCAACCTCTCTTTAAAAGCCTCAGCTGAATCACAGGATCCTAGAATTGTTGAGCTGGAGGAGACCCCAAGGGCCATCTAGACTGACCCCCTGCAATGCAGGAATCCCAGGAGGAGGAGACATTGAGCCGAGTGCCCCCCTTCCAGCATTCAGACAAACACGCACTATCCACCAGCTGCGAGAGAGAAGCAGCGCGCCCGTCACCCAGGGCAGTGGCTTACCATCAGCTCGGGCACGAATGTCTTTCTGGCCAAGGCCGCTGGCAGACCCCTGCTCCATCAAGGCAGAGAAGAACGGCTGCGCGGGCCCCTCCTGCCCGCAGGAAGGCATCTCCCTGGAGCCCAGGCCCTTCCTGGGGGTGCTCAGCCCCCTCTCGGCACCACGGTGGCCCTCGCAGCTGCGGTTGAGGGCGTGGGATGGGAGGCTCTGGCTGTGCCTGGCCTGGCCCTCCAGGAAGACAGATCCGTCCCTCTGGTACTCGGGGATGGGGGAGAACTCCAGGGAAGAGTCCCTGCTGGTGCGCAGCGGGGGAGAGGAGCCCGTCTTCTTGCGGCCCTTGGCCAGCTCTGCAAAGGACGTGACCCGCTTGGGCGGGGAGCCCTGGGAGGGCAGCGCAGGGCCGTCGCTCAGCTGGACCGGGCAGCTCATCATGCGCTCCAGGGAGCCCAGCCGCCCGGTGGGGCTGCGGTCCAGGCTGCGGTCGTAGCTGCGGGACCGCTGCCTCCGCGGGCCGGCCAGGGTGGGCGGCGAGACGTTGACGTACACCTGCCCCTCGATGGCGCCCTTCTCGGCCTCCCCCTGCGACTCCTCCCGCGAGCAGTCGGTGTCGCTGTCGGGCCTCTGGAACAGGTAGTACTCGGTGGGCTGCAGGGGGCTGCCCCGCGGCTGCTCCTCCGAGCAGCTGGTGATGGACGAGCCGGCTGGGCTGGGCGAGGACTGGGAGGACAGGTCGCAGGTGACCAGCTTGTAGTAGTTCTGGGTGGCCACCACCAGCCGCGCCTGGCTCTGGAAGCAGGCCGTCAGGTCGGAGGCCTCGGAGGCGCAGGGGTCACACAGGGCAGGGTAGGAGTTGCAGTTGGCGTCCAAGACCGGGGAGGAGGCGTGGTGGCACCCGCAGGCCTGGTGCGGCTCGCCAGGCACCTTGGGCTCGCCGGGCGAGGAGTGCAAGTCCAGGTAGAAGGCCCCTGAGTCCGAGTGGCTTCCGGAGGAGGAGTCGTCGCAGGAGTGGGCCCCCGAGTTGAGGTTGGGGTGGGCGTGCCCGTTCATCTTGTTGTAGAGGGCGCTGAAGTTGACCAGGACGCCGTCGGAGCTGTTGCAGGAGGAGTCGCTGACGTAGCCCATCGGCTGGTCGGGGGCCTCCGACTGGCTGGAGAGGCTGTAGCAGCAGCAGCGCTGGAGCTCCGCGCTGGAGCAGCTGCAGGTCCGGCTGCGGGGGGCGTCCCGGCTGTGCGCCAGCTCCTCGCCGTCGCTGGCCCACTCCTGCTCAAAGGAGAAGCTGGAGGGCTCAGCGCGGTGGCAGCCGTACTCGTCCAGCTCCATCAGCTCAGGCGCCAGGCGGCTCCTCTTGCGGGCGTCTTCGCGGGACAGCTCGTCCTCCTCCTGGCCCTCCACCACGTCCGCCCGGGGGCTGGCGCTCCAGGGCTTCACGACGGGGCTGGTGTCGTGCAGGCGGAAGGGCGGCAGGGCCAGCTCATGCAGGCGGAAGGGCGGCAGGGCCAGCTCATGCAGGTGGAAGGAGGCCTTGCCCAGCTCATCTTCGCAGAGGTCCTGGGTCTCGCTGCCACCCAGCAGGAAGGGGTTCTGCCGCTTGTTGGCACCGGGGGCAGGCGGGTCCCTGTGCGGGGCCTCCTTCTCTTCGGGCGTCTCCCCCGGGGCCAGGGTCGCTTCTGGATCCTGGAGCAAGCTGCTGTAGAGCAGGGAGTCGGCCTGCGAGAGGTCCCGCTCCGGGAGGGAGCCGGTCCGCAGGGCCCCCGAGTCGGCCTGCCCAAAGGGGTTGGCCCGTTTGCTGGTGGTGCCGCAGCACGGCCGGTCAGGGACCTGGCAGTGCACCAGGGGGATGTGGTGGACAATCAGCGTCTCACCGGCCAGCTTGGGGGGGCTATCCATCGTCGTCGCTCTCCAGGACCCCCGCGATCCCCAAACTACCCATGGAAGGATTCAGGTGAGGAGGGACTGCAGAAGCGCATCTCATCGAAGCATCAAAGGAGCACCTGGAGGGAGACAAAGAGCAAGGAGTCAGCAGCCTGGAAACAAACAGAACCGACTGAGGGTCCCACTGCTGGCTCCTGCCTGGACCACCTGGGGAGACCCCTGCTCAGAACTCTTGCTGAGCCCCTGGGACTCCGCAAGTGGGACTCAGCAAGAGAGTTAGTGACCCCCCAGGGGAGGAAAGACTCAAGACTGAGAGGGGGGGAAGGAAAATGCCTCAGCACTATAACAGAAAGACCATCACAATCACAGGTAAATCAGTCTTTCTCAGAAAAGTCTTCGGCAGACTACTAAAAACCTATAGACACTAAAACAGAGGTTTTCAACCTTTTTGAGTCCATGTTTCCCTTGACCAGGAGGCCAGTTAGGTCCCCCCCTTGCCTGCAGAGCTGGCAGCCCCTCACCCCTTTTCGAACCCCCTCCTTTGTGGAGTGTTCCCTCAGCCTCCTCTCCCCTTTCCTTGGGAGTCTTCTGGGCAGCCACTGCTGCCGCCCCGGTCTCTGAGCTGCCCCCCTGCCCCAAAGAGAGGGGCCTGGGAAGAGGATGCCCCCAGCCTTAGTGGTCCAACAGAGACTGGCCAAAGGTGAACGTGAGGCCAATGCCTTGCCTTGGGTGGCAGCAGCAGGCACTGCCAGACCTGCATGGCGGAAAGGCTCCCCTTCAGCTCCCGGGCAAGCCTTGCACACAGCAAGCCCAAGAAAGCCAACATGGCCCTTGTCTGCTTGCCTGGCCTCCCACTTGGCTCTCCATTCCCAACAGCTGGCAGACTGGCTGGCTGGTTGGGCTCCCTCGCCCCCCTGCTTGCTTGCTTACTCTGATGCTGCCTCAGCAACCAGCACCCCCTGGCCAGCCCCAGAGGCACCATTCGCCTGGGGAGCTTGGAGCCAGGGCTGCTGCAACAAACAGCTGTGCAAGCCTTGGGGAGGCAGAGACGCAAGAGGGCATCAGGAGAGGGAGGGAACAAAAGAGGGCAGAGGCCAGGGTTGCCTGTGGCACCCCTGACCATCATTCAAGGCACCCCAGGGTGCCACAGCACACTGGTTAAAAACCATTACAGTGGACACTAGGGTTGCAACCGTGATCCATGTGGGATGCACGTTTGCAACCCGCAGCATTTGCAACCTGCTGTGGCACATCCATGCACGCGCAGGTTGCGATTTGGCACTTCTGTGCATGCACAAAGCAGGATTTAGTGCTTCTGCGCATGCGCGACCCCCGAAACACGGAAGTAACCTGTTCTGGTACTTCTGGGTTTCAGCGGGTCCATAACCCGAAAAAACACAACCTGAAGCACCCGTAACTCGAGGTATGGCTGTAGACTAAAAGAAATTAGAGCAAATAATTAAAAGAGAACTAAATTTGTTTCTGGGGGACGCGGGTGGTGCTGTGGGTTAAACCACAGAGCCTAGGGCTTGCCGATCAAAAGGTTGGCGGTTCGAATCCCCGCGACGGGTTAAGCTCCCGTTGCTCGGTCCCAGCTCCTGCCAACCTAGCAGTTCAAAAGCACCTCAAAGTGCAAGTAGATAAATAGGTACCCCTCCGGCGGGAAGGTGAACGGCATTTCCGTGCACTGCTCTGGTTCGCCAGAAGTGGCTTAGTCCTGCTGGCCACATGACCCGGAAGCTGTACGCCAACTCCCTCGGCCAATAAAGCGAGATGAGCGCCGCAACCCCAGAGTCGTCCGCAACTGGACCTAATGGTCAGGGGTCCCTTTACCTTTACCTTTTTAAATTTGTTGCTACTGAAGAGGACCCTGGGGTCATGCACTCCCCACCTGCACTTGGTCGCACCTCCTTTCCCTGCATACACAGAGCACAAAACAGCCCCCGCACCCCCCCAGTTCTCCAGTCACCACTCATGTCACCCCAAGGCCTTGGGGTGTCTCTCTCCTTTGCCTTCCCGGGACACGCAGCATCCCATGACAACAGCCGAGCCGACGTTCCCCCTGTGTGCTTCTGCACCAAAACCACCCTTTTTCTGTCCAGGCCATGGATCTGCTTCCGACCCCCAAGAGCCAGAAGCTGTGGGGCTGCAGGCAAGAGCCTCTCCCTCGCGTGGACAGTCTCCCAAGGCAACCGAATCAAAGAGCATTTTTCTGGAGAAGCCCATTGCCTGCCACTCCTGCCAACCGCCAGACTCCTGGCCTCTTGACAGAAGAGCGTTTCTGAGTGCCCAACTCACAGCCGGACACCTTGGCAAACGGACCTTCCTGGAACAAGCTGATATTGCGTCCCCTCCATTAGGGAAGATGCCTACCTGCACAGTGACCCCCTGCCCCCACCAGAAATTAGGTTAAAGGGATGCCGTGGGAACCTAGCAAGACCACATGGCACAAGAGAGCCAGCGAGAGCCTTGAAGGAAAGAAGAGAGGTGGAGGGGGCCCAATCCACTCACCCAGAGTCCTCCTTTCTCAGGAGTCTGGGGCTGGTGCCCTTGGAAAATGGGGGGGGGGGACTGTGTCCCCTCTGGAAGGGAACCCCAAGGCAGCAGCTGCCCACAGGCTGCCTTGTCCTCGCTTTCCTAATAAATAGCATTTGACAAATTATTTCTGCCTCTGCTTGGAAATTGATAGGCTCCAGTCCCATTCTTAGAAATGTCTCCTAGTCGGTGGTTCACCACCTGCCAGTTTGGGAGGGATGGATGAAGCTCTCAGCTGAGGTGTGGGGAACACCCCACGGGCATCTCTGATAGGCATTTCAAGAAAAAATGGTGATTTGTGGCTTCAGGAATCTCAGCCAAAGCCTCCATGGCTGGGTGGTGGAATGGCAGGGGGGGCAGCACTGCCATGGGGTGACTCACCCCTAGCAGGATGAGGTCATGAAGCCCAGAAGAGCCATTGTGAGGTGTGGGGTGTGGACCGGATCCATAAAGGACGGCTGCTGCTGCTGCTGCTGCCCAGGACTGACCTGCTGGGAGCCCGAAGGGCCCTGCCCTGCCTCTCTCCACCTGGCTTGGGGGGTGGGGGGGGGCTGACAGGCTCCATAAAGGAGTGCTTCTGCTGCTCAAACGGGGGGCCTCCTTTTTAAAATTGTTTTTATTTTTTATTTATGTTATTTTAAATTGTAATTGATATACGGGATCTGTTGTCTCACAGGCAGCAAGGAAAATGGGAGTGAATTTTGGCGGCCGTCAGGCAGGCAGGAGAGGATTTGGCCAACTTGCAAGATCATGCAGCACTTTCAAGACTGGAGCAACCGTATCCTGCATCTAAGCAACCACCAGGCTCTGAATTTGCAGCCACCAATAGGGTGACAAATCGGAATCCACAAACAGGGATTGGGGGCCAACCAGATTAAGGAAGTGGCGAGATCTCCACTAATTATTATCTTTTTAGGTAGCAGTTTAGGGGTGATGTGGATCAGGGCCAGCTTGTTGCACTTAAAATATATATTAAGTGCAGTATGCTGGCCCGCATCCAAATCACCCCTAAACTGCTGCCTAATAATAATAATAATTGGTGGAAATAAACAGTGCTATTTTTCTAGAAAAAGAGGTTCTGGAACTCACCCTGAACACCTCCTTTGCTCTTTTAGGATGGCCAGGGTGCTCACCTGAGGGGGACAGAGTGGAGTTCTGGTGAATTCTGGCTGAAAAAAAGCCCTGCATGCATAGATCATTTTGTTTGCATGCCACCTTTCCCTGGTTAAAACCATGCTCAAGGCGGCTTACAACAAGGAAAAATATTAGATAATTACAGACGTAACAAAAGCAGTCACAAACAAATAAAACATCAAGAAGTACACAACCAAACTGAACAATACTCCCCCCCCCTCTCTCACACACACACAATTTTGCCAATACAAAACTCAGAAACACACACCTGAAAGCTATCTGCTAATTGCCACTCTAGGGGAAAACGGGTGAGCGGGTGAAATTTTCCTTTTTAGCAACGCTCAGCATCTGTCACTGTGCAGAAGTGAAAGAGATTCTGACTAAACATCAGGAAGAACTTTCTGACAGTAAGAGCTGTTTGACAGAGGAACGGTCTCCCTGGGGAGACGGGGGCCTCTCCTCCCTTGGAGGTTTTTAAGCAGAGGTCGGGTGGCCATCCATCATGGAGGCTTCAGCAGAGATTCCTGCATTGCAGGGGGTGGACTAGAGGGCCTTTGAGATTCCCTCCAACTCTACGATTTTATGATTAAGGGACAGTTCACAGTGTCACACAATTCTGAGCAGGTGTAATTCACTCCCCCCTCCTCCAGGAGCACTTCAGTGGGATGTTTGGCTCAGAATCCCACCCCCCATCAGGAGAGAGTGAGTTAGCAGAGAATCCAGCAGCGCTTGGGTGATGCAAGAAATCCCCCAGCCCTGCGGCCTGAATGCATTTCTTGAGATGCGACTGGTGCCTTCAGAAGGCAGAGCAACCGCTGAAGGCAGGGTTCAGTGGAGAGAGCAGGCAGGCAGGGGGACGCACTGTGCGCATGTGCTCGCCTGTGTGCTCTGCGCACTGGGACCAGGAGAAAGGGAGGGCGGCCGCAGCTGCAGCAGCAACAGCACCGAGCTGTCAAGGCTGCGGCTGCCGCTCAGGCGAGGCTGATCCAAACCTCCCCCGACGGCCGCTGGAGGGAAGCCCAGCCTCCAACCGCGCATGGATGGATGCATGTGCGCATGGATGGCACAGAAGAGTGTCCCTGTGTGGGCTGCTGGCACGCTCCCTTCCAGCAGCTTCCTCGCCTTGACAGTGGTGCCTCTCCAAGAGGCCGTTCCCAGAGCAGCCGCCATCGCTCTTGACTGCCGCTGCAAAAAGCTCTCATCCTCGTCCTTGGCGCCAGAGGCTCTGCCAAGCCCAGAGTGGCAGCGGGGGGGGGGGCTGTATGCTCAGAAGCAGGGAGGGAGGGGGGAAAGGGTCTCAGGGGCTTCGGAAGAGGGGTGCCGTCTCCAGAGGGGGTTCCTGCTTCTGGTATGGGGAGCGATGGCAACAAGAGGGAACAGCCTGTGCAAAATGCCCTCATTTAGAAAGATCACAGGGTCATGCCAGATGAGTCAGTGCGGTGCAGCTGTTAAAAGTGTCAGACTAGGAGCTGGGGGACCAGGGTTCAAATCCCCCCCTTGGCCCTGAAGCTCACGAAGGTGGTCTTGAGCTCAGCCACTGCCTCTCAGCCTAGCCTGCCTCACAGGGCTGTCGTTGTGGGGATTAAATGAGGAGGGAGAGAACAGAAATGCAGCAAAGATGTTAAGAAGAGCTGGAGGCACATGGGCGACCTGTTTGCAGCAAGGAAAAGGCTGCAGCAACCTCAAGGAGGCCAGGCGGGGATTCTGGGAGAACTGTTGGCCTTGGAGCCCCAGCAAAGCTCAAGTCAAGGATCAGGGTGCCAGGGGACACCGGGACTTACCCCGGGGCAGAAGGCTTTGCATTTATATGGGAGGGCAGGACGGAACACATCCTTTGATAGGCTCCAGCTCATACTGCAGACTAGTCTTATTCTTTTATCCTCTGTCCTCCTAAGGTGCAGAATTTCAAAACACACCAAAATTAACTTAACACATGTAAATTAAAGCATTCAAAAGTATCCTAAGAGCAGTAAAACCACCAGGAGACACTTAAAAACACCAAACACAGCTGAGAGGAAAGAGGAATCCTAGGACCGTAGAGTTGGAAGAGTCTACATTTAGGAATCCTGCTGCAAGGGCGAAACGAGGCTTTATATCACGCTGGTCAGAGACCCAGTTTGGCAAAAAACAAACCAACAACCCACACACATTTGTATACACACACAGGCTGGCAGCCTCAACGGGCACCTCTGGAGGCTTCACCTGGGGCAAAAAAACCAGCCAGCTGCCCCTCACTCCTGTAATTATAGCTCTGCCTGCCAACAGCCATCCCTGGATGGGCTCGAACCACCAACCTTCTGGTTAACAGCCAGACACACTGACCCATTAAAAGAGCAAGTCTCCAGCTGGCACCCAAAATGCCACATCTGCCTGGCACACCCCGCCCTAAGCAGGCCTGTCCCCAACAGGGACCTGCTGTACCTCACATAGCATGGGACCTGGGAGCAGAGAGCACCTTGCCTGAATCACAGATTCTCTCATCCTCAGCTCCCCCTCTGTGAAACAGGAAAAGCAGCAGCAGGCCTCGCAGGACCGTTGGGAAGAGGTATGAGACCAGGAGATGCCACTACCTGCCCGGGCTCCCTAGGGCAGCTGTGCCCAATCCAACACACATTTCCCCTGGAGAATGGCAGCCTCTAGACATGCAGTCCAGCTGCTGCTGAGACCACTGGCCCAGCTGGGCCAGTGCTGCTGGCTCTGACTGGCAGTGTCTCTGGGAGAGAAAGCAGAAAGGGAACTTGGCACCTCAGCCACAAAAAGGGCAAGCTGCGTTCCCCTACCGAATCCAAGGGAGGAGGCCCTGAGTCAGCGGTAGCTCATCTGCTTTGCATGCCAATAGTCCCAGGTTCAACCCCACAGTTCAAGAGAGCTGCTGCCAGTCAGTGTAGACAACATCTGCCTCCTGCCAATGACTGTGCCAACGCAGCTGCCAGCCTTGGCTAAACACAAGCAGGTTCACCTGGAGTCAAGCAGCTGCCCAGCTACCCGGTAAGCCTGTCCATGAGTGGAAGGAGAAGCCTGGCAGCATCCAATGAAGCTGGACTTCTCCACGGAGCACAGTTAAACTGCGGAACTCCCTCCCACAGGAGGCAGTGATGGCTTTAATGTGGGAATGTTCAGGGATGCAGGAGATGATATATTGTTTGATTATAGCCTTTCCAACTTGTGTAAACAAGTTCCACAATTTTAGCAGAGTAACATTCCCCCTTTTAAACTCACAGCGGATGCGTTTGCTCAGGCTCGCTAAAGCCTCTATAATAACTGCTCTGGTATTTCCCCCTTATTCCCTCATAAAAGATAAGACACGACACAGTCTTCTATAAAAGTATAAAAAGGTTTACTCACACAACATTCTGTTCACAATTGGATCCCAGAAGGCAGACTTAGCTTAGAAAAGTAACATACACCTGGAAACTATCTCATAAGGAGACAGTCCCTCTGGAAGCCAAGAGAGCATCTTTGGCTAAGCAGATGTTGCTTCTTTGATGCATGTAGTCAAAGAGTGCAAAGATGGCTGCCCTGCCCTGTGCTTTTGTCGTTACCTGCACAGGTGAGACCACACCCACCTCTCGTCACATGCAGAGGAAGTCTGTCCCAGCCCAGAAGGAAACAGGAAGTTTACCTGCTGGCTGGACAAACATTCCTCCCCATGTGTAAACATGTTCACTCTAGGAATGTTGTACTTGACTGCTCTTGTGTTTCACATCCCACATTTAAGAGAGGATTGGACTAATTCATGGAGGAAGAGAGGGCTATCGGTGGCTCCTGGCCAGGATGCCCATACTCTGCCCTCCAGAGCTGGAGGCAACGATGCTTCTGAACCCCACTTGCTGGAAACTGCGGGAGGGGAGAGGCCTCTGGTGGTTGGATTCTGCTCGCTTGCAGGTTTCCCATTGGGGCATTTGGTTGGCCACTGTGAGAACAGGATCCTGGACTCGATGGGCTACCATTGGCCTGATGCAGCTGCAGGCTCGTCTTCTGTTCTTACACGGCGAGAGCAGGATTGCTGCTGGGATCCCGAAGTGGCGCTGGGTGCTAGGGGGAGCAGTCAAGACATCACCCCCAGGAGGTCCTGCCAGAGGGTTCACATCCCCACTGGGGGCAGTCACTGCCTCTCAGCCTAAGTTCCCTCACAGGGCCATTGTGGGAGTAAATGAGGAAGGAGAGAACCATGGGTGCCTGGGAGTGAAAAGGGGGGGATATAAAAGAAGCAGGCAGAGGGC